AATGCCGTAGTAGTACATTCGCATGGAAACTGCTCATTATACACATAGTATGATACAAGCTCCAGTGTCCCTCTCTAGAATAGCCTGTTGTCCGCGCTGGCCTTGGCCGCATCTCTCCTTGCGCTCTGCTTCTTCCTGTCCCTGGCCTCGCCAGGCGGTTTGAAGAACAAACTCGGGCTCTCGCCATCCTTCATGAGGTAGTTCAAGTACCCTCTATGCGCTGGATCGCGGTAGTACTCAATGTCCTTTCTGGCAGTCGCATCAGGCAATCTGTACTTGTATTTCGAACCAATTTGCTTCATGACAGCAGCCATGGCTTCGCTCTTCTTTTCTTCGGTGGCCGTTTGGAGGGCGCTGAGGATGGGCGAGGGAATCTTGGCAGCTGGCAAGCGGCCGGTGAGAGAGATGAGGTCTGGAGAGGCCTGAAGGGAGATGGTCGGGTGTGTGTCGCCGCGGAGGACGCGCTTGATGGCTGTGGGGGAGTAGAAGCGTGTTGTTACGCTGCCACCGAGGGCTTCGATACGTGCGATAGCGTCGGCAGAGGCGCGCGAGACGACAATGTTAATGGGTGTAGTCAGTTGCTCCGGATTCTGCAGTCACAATTAGCATTCGTACAAAGGTCGTAAAGGATAGATTCATACCCTCGCGAGCAACTTCACGCCATGCCTCTTTACGCCGTGCAAACACCTCGACTTGGCCAATTCCTTCATAGTGATGGGCTTCTTGGGATCTAATCTCCCCTGATTAATCCAATCTTGTATGCGGTCCAGGTTTATTGGCGACATCTCCACCTTGAACGGGTTGTACTTCCCCCGCCCTCGCTCGGGGTTGGTGATCCATTGTGGTGTCTGACCTCCTTCGAAGCCTGCAGGGACTTTGCCGTGTGCGTGCTGACCCTTCTGACCACGTCCACCAGTCTTTCCCTTTCCTGAGGCGGGACCGCGACCTCGCCGAATTTTCTTATTGTAGGCGCCTGCATTGTCGGAAAGCGAAGAAAGGATGGAAGCGCATCTTTGCTGGGCGGGCAGAAGAAATGGGGCGACCGATGCCGCTGTGGGCGCTCTGGAACATATGGACAGCAGAGTTGAGGCGGCTCGGACCGCTCTTAGCCGTGGTGGCATGGCTGTAGATGGCTATCTTCTTGTTGGCGACAAGCTGGCTGGTGTTGAACGAATGCGAAGATTCGATGATGAGTCAGCAGCCATGTCCGCGGGATCTAGCCTTTCTCGGATGTTGACCTTGTGCAACCACCGGATCAAACCCATATTAATAGACCTTTGCTGGGTTTGCCAAAATTTTCTGCGTACTTCTTTCTTAGGGGTTTATGGAAGATGATACTATGCTTGTTAAAGGGATTGGAGGTCTAGCCCTTTCTTCGAGATTGAGGGCTTGCAATGTATCTCAATTGGACATCGTCCACTTGGACGACTCGGAACTATCTCTACATGAATGTTGGCTGGAATTTTCGCTGGTTATATTCTGATCCTAGTAATAGAGGTTAAATTTGGAAAGTCATCTATACAAAGGCCTCATCTACAGATAGACTGTGCCCTTGCGTAAACTCAACGACGATCTGAAATCCAACGAATTCTTAGCCCTTGGTCCGCAGCTTGCATTGCAAGTCTCGAAGCTAAATGTTATGGCTGAACCAAGAGTAACGCCACTCGCCTCCTTTATGGGGGAGGAACAGGTTGTGTTGGGTCCTACTAGGGGCCTGTGTAGCGATCGTACTACAAAGGTATAGGACATATGATGATCTAGCTGGCCAATGGGAGATTGGGCGAGTCAGGTGTAAGAAGAGCGACTCGTGTGCAGAAGAGGAGATTGTGGTAAGCTAAAGTGTATGATCATGCAAGGTGGGAAGTAAAATACAGCTTTTCCGGCCTATTCTCTTCCTATCGGACATGCCTCTGCATACTACAAAATCATCCTACAACAATATGCCCTGGGGACGCATGAGGAGCATATGATGAGCCACACAGAGGAGGAGGAGAGAGAGAGGAGTGAGGGGCAGATATACAGGCGTGAAGGACATGAGATGGAAGTGGGGTATATAGACCCTGACCCAGTGAATGTAGCTAATCGGATATCCCCTCTTATCCGTCTGGTACAATACAGGACCCTAGACCTTGGCATCATACAAAACGATCATACATATGTTGATTACTACATAGGGCCTATGTATGGTGTTCAACTGGCTGGACGCTACGAATTGTGAAGATTTGGATAAGGACATGAACCTCGGCTTACCTGCGCAATGTCAATCCCCAGAAGACGTATTACTGGCGGAGGAAAGAGACTGTATCCTCAGAGAGTTCGAATACGTTGCAGCGATATTCGGACCATATGCACGCGATACGATCCGAGCTCTCCGGTTGAAGCCAATTTCATGTTAACGATAAGGAACCTTTACGGAAGAACCTGCTGTATTGATCCCAGTTTTGGTCCATATGGTACGTGGACTCCCTGCAAAACAAGGAGGGAAGCAGCAGAAACGGGTCTAACTGCACGATTGGCTAAGCTTAATCGACGCGGTCAGGGGAGAGAAACATGTCCCGGTTGATACTGTGGAACACCTGCGCCGGTTCAAGAAGGTGTGCCTAAAAAAAAATACAGCCTGAATTGTTGCTGCGATAGAGGATATCATACGTAACTTTGAAGGACATGCACTTAAGAACAAGTAAGCTAAAAGGTATCCTATACGCTGTCAGTAGATGCACTAGGGGATGTTAAGTATTTGAACACCATCATGCTACATTACAAGTAAGCTGATGTTTAAAGGGATTGGGGTAGATAGAGGGCAAAGCTGATATTGCTTGTACCATGTTTTCACCTGCCTGTGTATAAGCACGTATATATCCTGTAAAGCGCACGCAGTAAATACAGAGAACTCAAAGACAAAGTGCAGAAGTGCAGATATTTCAAGGACTCATCATGGTCAAATGATACCCCCAGTCTATACACGATATGAGTGGGACAGACAAACTATCATCCAACCGCCAAGCACGTATGTACACGCGTGTGCACAGCATTGATTTAATCCAGATCTCATTACATATGTCAATACTCACTCCCGTGGCGAATGTAAGATATGGGGTCTGATGATACCCTTCACTTTCATAGTACGCGTAAAGATTATATTCATTGATACCCTTCAATGGTGTATATATATATATATATATATATATCTACGCTCTCTTATACTATCCTAACATAATAACCACACGCTATAACCAAACTGATCTACCCAAGCATCCACACACATACACACTCACCACCACATCCACAAATCCACAATGTCTAAAAACAACAACCTTGAAAACTGGCGGAAAGTTACAGGCGTTGGTCATGGTCAGAACTGGGGTGCTCCTACACAGTATCCCACCAGTGGCCCACCAGTGGGGGTGCATGGGGCACGGCGATGAAACAGTCGGCTGAAGGTAGCAAATCGTAGCCCTCAAAAGGCTTGAATGCTGCAGCTACGTCATTTACCCCTGGCGGCAACAATTCAAAGAAGTAGGTGGTAATTGTCTGGGTATAAGAGGCGTGGATAGAACAGGGCCGTATAGTCGGCGTTCCCAACTACTACCTTACTAGAGCATTCACGCGAGGTCGGAGCCTTCCAGGGTATCTTTCCCATGTATTTCGTTTTGCAGAACTTGTTCTAAGGTGTTTGATATTATGAATGTATTGAATGTTTGCACTGATACGATGCATGTATGATATGGAAAGTGTTAAGCGAACGGAGTATATCTTCAATTTGACCATATAAAGTACCAGAACTGGATGCGTAAACAGTGTGTGTATTCACCATACCTTGCATAAAAGTTTTCCGCGCGTCTGACTCTCTCGCTTTAACAAAACGCTCTCTAACCAAGACTCGCGACCTGAGAACAATCACACTTACCGATAGCTTCTAAAAAACCTACATACCAAAGAAAGATGAGCAATGACTCGTTCTACAACAACGACGCCTACAATATTCTCGGCCTCGGCCATGGCGCAGATTGGGGTACCAGGCGCCCCTACGATTCCCGCTCACGCTCTGTCTGGAGCTATCGCGGCGGCAGCCTTCAGGACAGCACTGGGCCTTGCCCTCAATCCAGCACATCAGGAGGTAGCATGTTCTCGGGCATTCGATCCACGGGTCCGTCCGTGTCGTATTCTTTAGATCCAAGCTCGGCTTACGGCGGCTCTCAGGATGGAGGATCGCGATATAGTGGAGGGGTGAGGGATGTGAGAACTCCGCCAGGCTTCCCGCCACGAGGTTCGCGTTACTACGGGAATTCGAGATGGTGGTAGGAAGAGAAATGTTCACGGTGAGAGGTACTATCCGTAATGATACTTGCGTCCATAGTACACCTAAAGCCTAGGCTGATCTTAGTTAGCTGACAATACATCAAGAAAGTATACAAAAGAATAGTGCTTAAATTTGCCTTCATCCCAGAATTGAAGTACATCAGTAAGTGGTTGCTGCTCCTTCACAAATCTGTGTGATGGTTCTTGGAGACGATGAAGTTCGCCAGATTTCCGGTTGGGGATAGATGTGGGGCATGTCGGTATTATCAAGGTTGGATCAGGAGCCAATGATGCCGTGGTAAAATGATGTAGGATGCATCAGATTACGTATATCTTTCGTTAAAGTCCATCCTTAAGCTTCTAAACTCCGAAGTATGCTCAGCTAGGACTTTCAGCTCAGCTATGACTTTCAGCTCATCGAGGACTTCTAGCCCATCAGGGACTTTCAGCTCCACTGACCAAGGTCTTGTCATGCAGTAGTTAATGCCTGCGTGCGACTATTCGCAGGAAGATTTTAGGACGCCTGAACAGGGCTTACAAATGTGTTCTTGGCGGAACGTTCACCGCAACGCGATGCTCGACAGTTGCTGTCGATGAACGAAGGATGGTTTGTAGTGTTCGGTCTACGCAGGTAATGTATAAGAAGCGGTTCCGCCTCTTATCATCCGCGGAATTCTGAATCTTATCCTGGACCCTACATTATGTCGCACCTTCAATACTTCGACTATCCTGGCTTCGGCGAGCGATCCAAGCGGGATCTTAATTACAGCCAGGCAGTTCGCATCGACAATCGTATCGAGCTATCCGGTCAAGGTACTTTCACCACATCCAATAAGTTGTCCTACACTGACAGACTCAGGTGGCTGGGATCGCACAACAGAGGAATATCCTGATGATCTCTCGAAAGAGGTGGACCAAGCCTTTGACAACGTTGAACATGCTATTCGTCAGGCTGGTGGGAAGGGCTGGGACCAGGTCTATAAAACGCGCATCCACGTCACCGTGCCAATCGATGAGATTGCGGAGCCGATTATTCGCAATGTGAAGGAAAGATGCAAGAAGCACGGACCGCTTATGACAGTCGTGCAGGTCGTGGGTTTATACAAGACGATGAAGATCGAGATAGAAGCGGAGGCGCACTTGGGCTGAGACAGATTGGGAGAGCGGGGCGCGTATTGTATGTGTTCATAGTTCAGCATATTCCATGGAGATTCGGATGGCGCCTAAATACTAAGTTCATGAGGTGTGAGAGTGCAGCTGACCGATCGAAATAAGAAAGGTAGTGTTTGGTGCTCAGCGTTGTTTCCAGACGTCATCGTCATCGCGGCTACCCACTAAGTGGGGCTTGAACTGCGCCACAACAATTACCCTACGGTAGCCTCCCCACCCCTTCAATCTGGAGAACAACCGACACAAGCACCCCAGCGCCCCAAGTAGCAGCATAAACAGGAAAGGCCATCTGGTTTTCTGAGTCCGACATCGCGAAACTTTGTGCGGCTATCCACCTAGCCGCTCCTGCGTCATAAGAGCCGTCCTTGCGCTGCTATCTTCGCGACTTCTTGGCTGGCGCGGCAATGCCAAATCACTTTCGAAGCAAGCTGAAGGATGCTGGCAGGCAGACAGGCAACTGTTTACGGAAAGCAACGTGGCAGATCTCTAAGTGCATCATGTGGACAGTTTGCTCGCCATGCATTTGTTGTATATTACTGTTTCTGCCCCATCGACATGGCAGAACGCGACCAGCTCTATTCGACATAGAGCCGCCAATGATGCCCATTCCACGCAGGCGTGCTCTTTCAATTTCGGGAGATTTACAAAACGGTCAATTGACGGTGGCTCAACCTCGGTCTGCCTTTATAAACAAGCTACCTTTGGAGATCCGACGCATGATCTACGAAAAGACCCTAGGAGAACAATCCATACATACGTCAGTTTCAGATGGGAAGTTGCTTGCTCGACGGTGTACCTTGAGAAATTGCACTTGTTACGTTAGGCCCTGCCCACCCGGTCAGAAGTTAGAGTTGGGACTCCCTTTGCTAAGAACGTGTCGGCAAATGTAAGTCGAAAATCTGATGTAACTGAGCAGTTGTCTTCTTAGCATGAGACTGACCGGCTGACGTTTTCAGCTATTCTGAGGCCATTGAGTATCTTTACAAAGCCAACCAATTCTTCATCTCGACCGATTTGGAAGACTTCCCAACAGCGGGTTATCTCTCCTATTTCTTCCAACCCCAACGCATTGTGCAGATCAGCAACCTCACCATTGAATGGGATATTGACCGCCATCAATACTTCAATGTCAACTTGATGCCTGACCATCACCGAAGCGAGTGGTACAGATCCTGGGACGGCCTGAGCAAAATGGCTGGCCTCCGTCGACTACATATCAAATTCTACTTCTGCCTCGACCTTTGGCAGGGATGTTACGGCGAGTTTTGGGAGCGAAATAGCAAGGAGCTGCTGCAACCCATCAAGAGGATCACGGCTCCAAGAGACTTCCTCATCACTCTTCCGAATTGGCAGTGTTCGACCGATATTGACGTTGGTGAGTCTAGGTGCGTCTTCAAACTGCCAGAGAGGGTTGGCCAGGAAGGTAACGCGTCGTGACGCGTCCATGTGCAAGGGCTTTTCGGGCGATCGCAATCACAGGGACGGTAGCTTTTCGGAAATGGATCTGAACCATTATGAATGTTCACGAGACTTACGAAGAAGCTCGTTTCTTATGAGTTGCACCCAAAAACTAATCCTGAAGGTATTCGCTGGGTTTTCGCTCGCAGAGACTTGAGCCTACCACAATGTATTCTTTATGATGTGCTACAGTCTTATGTACAACTCTTGTAGAACAAGCGTTTTCGCATGGAGTTTCTCGCACCTTAAGCCGAGGGAACACGAAAATCTCGCGAGAGCCGACATGTTGGACCAGTTCTACCGTCTGTTCGGAGTAGACTCTAAGAAGCAAAACGCGGCCAAGACATAACACGATAATGACGCATCAGAGACCTGCACCCAAGCTTCCCACAAGCGGCTTGATCAAGTTTTGTTCCGCCCGCTGTACCGGCGCGCGTATCTTATCGCACCGTTGATCAACGTGACAGGCGGCGTGAACTTGGCAGCTTGGCGGGCTAACTTGTCCCGTATAGCTTTCCACAACTATCTCATGCTCCGTCAGCCTTCGAGTACAGCCAAGAACTTCGAGCTAGGGTAGCTCCACCACGTGCAGTAGTTGTGCAGCTCAGCTCGAACACCTCCAACCGTGCGGTGTGTGGTATTTCGGCGTCTTTGATCCATCCGAGGCATTGTGTAGCTCTGGCGCTTCTCCGGCGCAGATAAGAAGCAGCATGGCCGCCAGAAGGCTTGCGCTGCAGGAACCGTTTGACTTTCCAGGTTCCCGGAAATCTCAGGCTTGAGTATCGTCGCGATGCGCTCTTTCGTTGCTACCTCCGTCCTCTTTGGACTTGCGTCCGCTGCTGCTGTACCTGTTGTCGCGCCTCGTGGTGGAGACGGCTACGGTCATGGCCATGGGCACAAGAAGTTCAACGTGCAAGTAGGCGTCCGGCCTTATTATCTTGTCGACAACATGGATGATGGTCCATTGAAGGAGAAGCTTGAGAGCTGCTCGGAGCAAGAGTTCAAGACATCGGACTTCGTCTTCGCGCATCGTGGAGCCCCGCTTCAATTCCCCGAGCACACACTCCAGAGTTACAAGGCTGCGCATCGTATGGGTGCCGGCCTGATTGAATGCGATGTTGCGTTCACCAAAGACAAGCAACTTGTCTGCCGCCACGCCCAATGCGACTTGCACACCACGACCAACATCCTCAATACTACACTCGCCGAGAAGTGCACCACCCCGTTTTCGCCCGCCACCAATGGCACCGCTGCGTCGGCCAAGTGCTGCACCTCGGACATCACATTGGAAGAGTTTGGTACCCTTTGCGGCAAGATGGATGGCTTCAACCCCAACGGCACCACAGTTGAGGAATACATGGATGGCACACCCTACTTCCGCACCGACCTTTACGCCCAAGACTGCCCCAAGCTCATGACGGTTGACGACTACATCCCATTGGTGGATAGCTGGGGCCTAAAGTACACTCCCGAGCTCAAGACCCCTGAGGTTGAAATGCCTTTCGATGGATACACACAGGAGCAGTATGCTCAGGATTTGGTCGATAAGTTCCGCGAGTACAAGATCGATCCGAGTCGTGTGTGGCTGCAGTCTTTCCTTCCCGATGATGTCTTCTATTGGATCGACAATGAGCCCGAATTCGGAATACAAGCCGTATACCTCGATGAACGCGTTGATACTCCTGAGGGCTACGCCAACGCTACGGCTAGCATTCCTGAACTCGCTGCTCGCGGCGTCAAGATTATGGCTCCCGCTATGTTCGCTCTTACTAAAGTGGATGATGCGGGTAAGATTGTGCCATCGGAGTATGCCATCGCTTGCCAGGAACATGGTCTGGACATGGTTGCATGGTCGTTTGAGCGCTCTGGATGGCTACAGATTGAGGGTGGTGGCTACTACTACCAGTACGTTGCCAACATTACTAACAATGATGGCGACATGTACACGGTACTTGATGTGCTTGCTCAGGATGTCAAGATCCTAGGCATGTTCTCAGATTGGCCGGCCACCGTCACTTACTATGCCAACTGCTTTGGATTGTAGGCAACAATGCCTTATATAGAAAGTTAAAAGTATTAAAGGCGCTGCAGCTGCAAGAACGCAATTTAGATACCCACGCCCTAAGAATCGTAATTCAGTCTTGGTTGTCTCTTCCATTGTCCGGTAGCCTCAGCCTCACAGTACTATCCCCCATATCCCAGTCTGTCCTGCAACTTGGATACGGTAGAACAAGCACGGCCTCGCGTGGCCTCTTCACTGCCCTAACACTGTCCAGCAAGATGTCTTCCAAGTCCAACCAGACATTCGCCCAGATTTGCTGCGGGCTGGGATCAATCAACACAACTTGAAGATTCCTGAGCCCCTGCATACCGGCCATTATCGACCAAGCTTTCTCCCAGTTCGCCGTGTCCTCGCGGTATACGACGCGATTCGAGGGGCCGCGACGCAAGTAGGGGAGCGCGCGAATGGCCCAGCGAACATGTAGCGTGCGAATCGAATTGAGCCGTGGCTGTGGAATCGAGGAAGGAAGGTAGAGCAGATGTGTGACGTGAAGGAGGGAGAAGGTATGCGCGCTATAAAGATATGGAATGGCTTCAGAGTACCTAAATTGCGGCATTCTATTAGTCTCCCCAATGCCGTTGTAATTACAGCCAGAGAAGAGAAGCAATACGTACATGCGTCTACAAACCCTCGCTATGGTCACCCCACCACTATATAACCTCGCGCCTTTCTTCCCGAACACGAGCACGCGACACATGTACTCCCTACCGTCTCCCTCGCTGTTGCAAATGAAATGCCCGAACCTCTTCTTCTTTGTACTCAACGTTAAATGAACAATTTCTGCGCCCATGACGTACTCATACACCATCTGCCTCAATTCAATCGGCAGCCGCGCAAAGAACGTGCTCTGACCCTGCGCGTGCGTACGCGCATCAACCTCGACATCAGGCTCAGACGTCAAGCTGATAATTGACTTGCGCGGACGCACAGCGCCATGCTCTGGTGCAGAGGCTTTCAGCGCAAACGGGTTTCGCGACTTGGGCTTCGAGGATGATGGCTCGGTTGACGGTATATCATGAGGTGCCCAGTGTATGCCGGGTAAGCGGCCGAAGAGAGACTTTTTGGGCTTCAACATTGATTCCGAGTGCGAGGATGAAGAAGAGATGGAGAGTATGGGCGCAAAGAGGGGTGGCGTGGTGTGACCTGCCCCCTTTGCGCGGGCAGGCGCGCCACAAGAAGCCGCGGCTGAAGGTTGCCCAAAGTGGTGATGGGTTAATGGCGGGTAAGCGGGGTGTTGGCACGCGTTGCTTATTCCGAACAAGCTTCGTCTGGGGGGCGTGGAGAAGCTTGAGTGGGGAATGTAGGTATTTTTGCTACTTCAACAGAGAAGCCATCGACATAATTGTTCGATCTATGTGTCTGATTTCTGCCTTAATATGCTGCGAGAGCAACGTATATGCTCCAGATTACTTTCCTGTGATCGCGTAAGCAGTAGGTAGGATTCGCAAGTTGTCGCTCAAACGGGTATCGCGTCCTCGCTATCATAATCAACATTACCAAAAGTAATCGACGGTGTACATTTTTAAGTAGAGCCAATGTCCTCATACTACGAGCTGGACTCCGGCAGTGCAGTGAAGTTATCTCTTCCAATGTTAGCAGCTTGGACAATGCCCAATGGGTAGTTTATCCGCTTTCTCCAACTTCAGGCAACCAGACTACGTCCAAAGATCGGGGTCATAGGTAAGATTTTCGAGAAAGAGCTTCAAACTCTCTCATCCCATTTGAAGCTGCAGACGAATCATATTTGGTCACCCGGACGAAAGACGGGCTCTCCCGTCACGCCATGCTGCTTTGGTACTGGTGGTATCACAGCACAGCCACCTGCACAGTCATGTACCAAGCGCGCCTTCCCAGGGCGTAAGTCAGCTTGTCATAGACAAAGCCCCACACTAAACTACAGCAAAATAATTTTGTCATCCCTAGGCTAGAAGACAGCATTATGAGGAAACGTCTTCGCGCTTGTGAGGAGTGCCATCGTCTGAAGATCAAGTGCGACATCAGCAGTAATCCTGACGCGGCCAGCTGCGAAAGATGTACGCGCAACAACCTGGAATGCGTTCCAGCAGCGCCGCGACTACAACGCAATCGTATCCAGGAGCTCGAGGCGCAGATACAAGAACTCAACAACTTGCTACAAAGCCAAAGCACCAGCAGCCTTACGCCGAGCCACTCGCCTGGAAGTCTTACCACCACAACGCTAGGCCGATCGCCCGGTAGCCTATCCGACAACCACTACGATGGCGTATTATCGTTCCTAGACGCCCGAATTCCGCCTAACAAGCAACAACACCTGCTTCACCTTTATGCGCATCAGGCGGGAACGGCTTGGCCAGTCATACGCCTGTCGATGGATCTTGACCATCTCCGCGCAAAAGCTCCTATTTTACTGCTTGCTGTGATGGCATACACTATTACACAAGAGGCGCAAGGCGTAGACCTAGAAACGCATGATGAGCTAGTGCGCGAAACAATGCATATTCTCGGCGAGGAGGTGATCGGTAGGGGGCAGAGGTCCCTTGAACTTGTGCAGGCACTTCTCGTGGCCACACTCTGGAACAAAAGTACACGGAGGGGCCAACAGGGAAGCTGCTATCAGATCCTGCAGCTAGCCGCCGACATGGCGATCGATCTGGGGATCGCAGGATTCTCGCTGCAGCCCTCTCCTGTGGCTTACTTCTGCCGGCACGAGGATACAGGGTCACTCGAGGCACGGCGTACCTGGCTAGCCTGCTATGTGGCACTGTCGAGCTCGTCGATCAGCACGCGCCGACCTAACCCGTACCCTTGGGATGCGTATCATGAGGAGTGCGTTTTGTGTCTGGAGAGCCAAGGAGATGCTTCTGACATGCTGCTTTGTCAGATCGTCCGCATCACCCAGCTCAATATGAAGATTTCCACTCACCTGTGTCTTTGCCAAATCGCCACTTTTGTCGATGGCAACGATTACAACACCTATGCCGTAATTGACACGTTAAAGAGCAAACTCGATGCATGGGCAGCTCAGATCCCACCTAGCCTGGTAACATCCCAGACCCTAAAGGTATGGTGGCATGTAGCCATGGTTCACCTATACGAGCTCGTGCTACACACACCAACAAACAAGGCGTCATTTACAGCACCATTCATCCCAGGCCGTCTTCCTATCAAAGACTACCCTAAGCCTACCAACATCATCGCTCCTCTCAGAACGACTCTCGAAGCCCTTGTCCAGAACTGCCATGCAGCCCTCGACACAGCTGCAGAGATGGATCCAGTTTTGGCTGTTCACCTACCGTCGTTTTGCTTTGCACCCACCATCCTCTATACGCTCTTTGTGCTCGTCGCCGTCATGGTAGCCACGACCGACCCAGGCAACACATACGGGCAATGCCTCCCAAAAGATTGTTTCCGCATCGAAGACTGCGGCCTGAAACTGCGCAATCTGGTCGTGTACATGAAGGTTTTGGATCCGACCTTGAGCTGCTTTACAACACGTATGTTTGATGCGACGAGCTGGCTGGAGCAATGGTATAACGATTACACTGCTATTCTGCAGCGATATGAGGCAAACCTTTCCAATTAATGGGATCACTACGGAGTTTTATAGTTTTCCAAAGTTACTTTTAGTCAAATCGCAACGGTGAATTTTGGCCGCTGGAATCGGTGAAATCTTGCCGTGGTATCTTGGTGATTGGTGCACATGTGGTCGCTCTTGCATAAGCGTAATTAGGCAGATTTTGGCCGCGCCCTCCATCGGTAATAATTGGCCCTCGGCTTGCAGCAATGACGTTTTTTTCACAGCATAAACATCTCTAGATATTTGCAACTTGGTGTCCTGCTATCTGATGATGTAGCGCATCGAATACACATGTCGCAGATCTTTACTGACGTAGGCAGCCTGGCTAAATCTCGCCGTCCTTTCCGCATACGCTAGTGACGGTATGGCGGATTCTCCGTTCCTGCATGAGAAACGCCCTGCGCCGGTGATGTCTTGCTGCCTCACCAGGTGACGCTCTTTTTCAGCAGTCGTCTCCCATGCGTTCCTCGCTTCCCTTCATTGTGGTACACAGCTAGCGCGTACACGAGTTGACGACCACAGAACGATGTTGTGTATAGTCTGATGCTTAGGTACCTGAAGCAAGTCTTCGCAACATCTAGCGGCGTCTCGCTTGCATCTGATGCCCTCCATTCTCTTTCTTCTCTTCGCAGCTTCCGCCCTGCACAAGAACCGGAACTTAGGACGCCATAACGATACTTTGGTACATGTGTATGTATCTAGCAGTGATCTCTGGCGAATTCTAGCCGTTCACCCCACATACCACAGCCATCACACGTCCTACGTTGTGTCGTTTGTGACTGCTGTTGCTGCAAGATAGTGGGTACCGGCCAGATTTCCCCACCACGCTCCCGCAACTACCCCCTGCTGATTCGCCACCTCGTACACAAGGAGGGATGTATAGGGCTGTCAGATCACCCAGATGCTTGGCTATCGAGAGCCATCAACCTCGAATATGACTAGCACCATGCCATCACAGTACCTGCGGTGAGACGACGATGCTATATTTGTCGCATGCTGCTTTGATCGTGCACTTCCAGATACGAATTCTTGGGTCTTGGCTGTGAAGTCGTAGATGTCATTGAAGTAAGCACGCAGGATTTGGGCAGCCGGTGGTATGGGTGTGGTTGTGATGGTCTTTGGATGTAGCCTGAATGGCGATGTTGGATTGCGTATAAAAGAGATGGTCCCTTAGGGGTGAGTTTAGAGCATCACAGCAGCGCACCTTCAAGCTTCAGTGTCTACTAAGTGATACCTCCTTCCGCGTCACACTCTCCGTTGCTTCTTCTTCTTCTTCTCTCCAGATACCCACCATGCGTCCATCTCAAGTCCTCTCTTATGCCATTCTGGCTGGCACAAGTATAGCCCAGGGCGACCTTGGTGCTCTTCTGGCTTCACAACCCGATCTTAGCACCCTCCTCGAGCTAGTCGGTCTTGTAGATGGCCTGGCAGATACACTTTCCGCCGCCTCCAACATCACGATCTTCGCGCCTACAAACGATGCTTTCGCAGCCGTACCACGCGACGTCCCTGAGGGTCAAGCTATCGAGAACAAGAACGACACCATTGCCATCGGAGCTCTGCTCGCTAACCACGTCTTCAAGGGTGTCTACCCAGCCAGTGTCATTACCAATATCCCGACGTTTGCGCAGACCCTCTTGGACAGTTCGTATGTGAACGCGATCCAGCCCTTTTCCAACTTCACTGGAGGAGCCTACAATGAGCTCGTCAAGAACGGAGAAGACGTCTGTGTCATCTCTGGAGAACAAACTGTTTCCACCGTCACTGAAGCCGTAAGTACTTTATCCCCACGAGCATAATCCATCTCAATCCAATGGCATGACTAACGCGAAGCACCAGGATATCATGCTCGGCGAGGGCATCACAATCCATAAAGTCGACACTGTCCTCTCCTTTGGCGCACCCTTCCAACTTTTCACCTACCGCTCGGGCTACTTCGCCATGAACGCCGCTCTCGAAGCCGCCCAACTCGCCATCGACTTTGGCCTCTCCGGCCCTGAAGCCACGGGCCTCAACATCTCCGACTTCACCATCTTCGTGCCTACCAACGAGGCCTTTGAGTCTATTGGCTCTGTGCTCGAGTCTGCGGATCAAGCGACGCTGCAGGAGGTGCTCAAGTACCACATCATCCCTAGCGATGTCATCTTCTCAACTGCGCTGGGTAACGTTACAGTCAAGAGTCTTCAGGGCGCAGATTTGGTGTTTACAGTGCTGGACGATGGAAGTGCGTGGGTTAATGGAGCGAAGATTGTTTACGCAAACACTATCCTCTTCAACGGTGTCGCGCACGTTATCGACAGGTTAGTTTCTCCCCCACCTTATGACAAGTACAACACGCTAACCCTAATCTTTGAATAGTGTCCTAAGCCCTCTTGCCCCTTTCGACCGCGCATCTCTTGAGCCTTCTGCGCCAGCATCTGATCGTGTTGCCTTTGAAGGCGCAACTTCAGTCTCTGAGCTACCCTTCTCTAGCGTATCTCTGGCTTTCGGAGGTGATCTCATGACCTACACTACCACACCTGAGCTCCTAAAGACCGTTGCTGCTGTCGCTACGCCTACTGTAGCTGTCAATGCTACAACTACAGGCTCGCCTATGGAGACTTACACTGGAGGTGCGATGGGCATGCTACCCGGTGCTGGTATAGCCGTTGCTGGAGCCATGGGTATTGCTGCTGCTCTTGTTTAGTTTATGAGGTTGTGAAGTAGTGGAGAGTAGGACATAGAGGATATAGTTTCAAGTGGGGGACATAGTCTATGATGCGCATGTTCGGACGGCATACCATTTAGATCTCATTCGTTTATTTGTTTTCGACAATAGGCGCAGTTGTAATGATTTCAGGTCGGGATGGGAGTGGAGCGCTAAAGCATAGTTAGTAATCATCTTGAAATGCTGCACTGCTACCATAGTGTCTAGTCTTCAGAAAAGTTCTTGAGGCGAAAGCATCCCGATACGTCAACTCCACTTAACTAGCACAGAAAGTCTTGTAGCTCTCAAGTACTGAACTTTCGCATTCTGTACTGTAGCGATAATACCAAGCTAAAACTACTCTCATCCTGAAGCTAGCCCGCGCAGATGCGCCCTATACCAGGGTTTCGCAATCTTAGCAATTTCAAGCTTCAAACTCGCCTCATCAACCCCATGCTCCTTAATGTGGATCTTCTCCTCATCCAAAATATCCCGTTGTATCCACTTCAAAAAATCCCCTAGCGCTCTTACATTCCGTTCAATGCCCTTCTCGCGTAGCACATCCCAGCCCTGCTCTAATCGCTGCTGCGAACACCACGCGGCTGCCGTTGTTGCGGCTGCTTTGCGTCTATCTTCAAGGGTACCAGTGCCGACGGTCTGTTTAGGAGGACGGAAGAATCTGGGCTTGAATTTTCCACCTTTACTTTTGAACCAAAGAGAAGGGTCGGCATTGTACTGAGGAGGTAGGGGTTTCCAGACGATACCTTCGCCCAGACCGGTTGTTCCGAACGTCGCTGCGAAGGGACAGTGAGCAGCGACCTCTTCAGTCATTTGTTCGATCTCTGAGACTGTACGTTCGTAGTCCTCCGGGTAGAGTGTTGTGCGAAATAGGCCAGCTCTTGATGCGTTGTAAATGTCGTGAGTTGGTAGCGAGATATCGGAGTATTCTTCGTCTTTCTGCCATTGCCCATTAATATTGATTGATATGACGACAAGGCGACGGGACAGTTGGGCGATAGCCACATCTTTTTGTATATTTTTGCCTATCCATTCGCCGGCTATGAGCACTGGTAGGTCTTCTTCAGTCGTTGCGCCAGGGTTCAGTTCTCTCCACCGTGCCAAGTACGAATCTCGCAGTTGAATTATGGCCTCTCTTCTGTTGGACATGGTTGCTGCAAATCCTTGGTTGTCTTTTTCAACGGATAGACCAGTAATATTTCGTGACTGGAAGACGATGCGACCGTCAGAATATACCAGTATATCTGCATGCGTACCGTGAAGCTTGACAGTACCGATAAAAGGTACAGGCTCCAGGGCGATGTTAACGTCGGGGTGATCAGGGTCGCGGTTCAAGTATTGTAGTTGGCTGATGATCTGTGGGATATGCGTCGTGATCTTCGGGTAGAGCGTCGACTGTGCAAGGTCGATAGTTGCCATGGTGGGTAAAGGCGACCTTGTCAAATATTTTAGGGGGGATTTTTTTTGAAGACCTCCTAGGATCAAGGCAAGCTTAGCGATGCTGTAGATTGTTGTCGCAGTGTGCGGCGGTGCGTGGTATCGCTCAGTTTTGTATTCCTGCCACTCTTTGACTCTGGTCCTTGACTGTGATAATACCTTGATCGAATCCACTTCAACCACTAGTACTGCGATGACGCAGAGTACATAAGCCACTTACAATCTCCGTAACACATACCATACCTATACGAAAAGGTACTGTTGAACAAGAAAGATCGCAAACGTTAGGAATCCGTGGTGTCGCTCAGAAGCATTAGTTTTGCACCAGAGTTGCGATGGAGCGATTCCAAGGTTCTGTTATCGATATGCAGCAATGCTGTCAGCGCCCTCTTCAAAGCTACTGATGGCGGTGAAGAGCCACCATGCTGGTATACACGTATAAAACCATGCAGAATACTTTTGGAATGACATCGTAGCTCTGCAATCAAAACAATCGATAGAAAACTTTGCACATACTTGCGTTGCGGACTCGACTCCGATGTAGCGCGTGCACAGGCGAAATCGTTATCAGTGAGCTTCTGGCCGTCTGCACCAGCCCTGAAGACTTGCGATAGCCTAGTGAAGCTCTTCCCAGGCCGGAATACGAGGCCGGAATTGGAGACACTTGGTGTTGCAATGCCTTGTTGCGGCTGCAAAAGGGTGAGCAAGGTCTAGTTTTGAGTGATAGCGCATCTAAAATGTTCACAGAGTCATTTGACACTAAAAATCTTCGTTATTCGTGGTGTTCTATACGTGTAAAGGCAACAAGTCGTTGATATACCTTTTCGTGAGGCCGGAATTGAGAGCGCATCTGGCGCCGATTTGCGGCTCTTCGCGGCCCTTTTTTCGGTATTATTCTGGTTGGCTCCCAACCGAGCCTTTGTTACCCCTCGTAATGGTCATCAACTATGACCACCATCATAGAGCCACATCATATATTATCAAGTAAGCCCTGAGCGATGCTTGGTTCGGGTTACCTTCAAGGGGATCTTACCACGGCTGCGCATGTATTGGCTATGCTGTTGTACGGTTGTACAATTCGGGCCGATTTACGAGAGGTTGTCACCGCCGTAGTCGGCCATGTCGTCGACAGCTTTGAGGACTGGCACGTAAAATGATGTTGTAGTTGCCAGTAGTATCTGATGACCCATCAATCCGTGTAGGAAAGTGAGCTCATTACTATGACACAATCAAGTGCTTTGCAAATTCTTGTTTTCCATTCGATACTTGTATGTCGCGGGCTAGATGAACAAAGCCACCGGATGAGATGTCGTATGCTCTCTTTACAGTCAAGATATATAAAAAACATAACACAATTTCAACCTGATGACTCTGAGGACTCTGATGAAGTCTTGATAAGACGAACGGCCACTTTCGTTGCAATGCCTGAGCCTTCAACCTCTGCTTGACCCAAGTCTTGGCGACGATGAGCATACCATCCCAACTCACCTCGGACGCCTGGGGGAGCTTCAGGATCGAGACCGGGCATTGGGGGGTGTCTTCGGGTCAAATTCTGCTGATGGAGACAAGTGATCCAGCCATTACGTACTTCTTATCTTCTTCAACGGTAGGTTTCCGTGGCCGGTTTTTATTCCGGCCACGAGATATAAGCAGCGCGTCGTCGCTGTCGTAAGAGGTTTTATTCCATCTCAACACCACAGATCTCCAACATCGAAGCCCGATCATCTTCAGTACCTTTTGACTCTATTCTTTGATAGCTCTTTGCACCATGTCGTCTTCAACATTCGACTTTCCTGTCATGACGGACACCCGTCCCGATGACCACTCCCTTCCCGCTTTCATGGTCTCAACCACACGTGGCTTCCTTCCTCGTCAAGAGCCCATCGTTGAGCTGCCAAAGGAGTTCGCTCCTCTTGAGTCTCTCTTGCAACGCATGCCTATCAAGACTTTATCAGGAGAGCCGGGTCTGCTCGCAAACTTCACCTTCGGCGACACCCTACTCAAGGAGCTTCCGGACCTCACCCCAGAGGTAGAGAAGTATCGCGATGATCTTGTCGTCATGAACGCCTTGTACCGTGACTACTCCTTCTTAGCCTCCGCATATCTCTTCGAGCCTTGCCATGAAAGGCATGTGAGGGGAGAGGAGTATGGGCTAGGTCGACAGTCGCTGCCAAGATGTATTGCGCTGCCCATTGTCAAGGTCGCTGAGATGTAAGTACCTATACCTTCTCTAGGCTTCATATTATGCCTATGTTTGTTGTTAGCTACTCCCTTTGCTTGGTGTGGTAGCCATGCGCCATGATACCTCCCACGGAGAAGCTTGCAGTGCAATTACCTTCTGGGTATATCTTGGAGTATTTGACATTGACTGACGTTCTTCGCGCGCAGTGCTGGCTTCAAACCATTCATGGAGTACGCCGGGTCTTATGCACTCTTCAACTACCGCCTAGAAGATCCATCTCGGGGCCTTGAGTACGACAACCTTCGCTTGATCCGCGCTTTCGAGCATGGTCTGGATCCCACATCGTCCGAGGCAGGCTTTGTTCTTGTTCACATCGCCATGGTCAAGGAGTCTGGTGCGCTTGTTACAGGTGCATCCGAGATGCTTGAAAGCTGCCTGGCCAAGGACCGAGAGCGATTCAACGACGGTCTTCGTACTTTAGTTGGCGGCCTTAGGAAAGTCAACGGTGTGATGAACAGTAAGTGCCCTACTTGAAGCGGTGCGCTCAGGGCTGACGAACCCAGCGATGTGGAACCGTAGCAAACCTCAAGGCTACACCAACTTCCGCACTTTCATTTTCGGTATTACCTCGCAGTCAATGTTCCCGAATGGTGTCGTGTACGAGGGCGTGAGCGAAGAGCCAATGTCTTTCCGCGGCGAGTCTGGAGCCAATGACAGCATGGTCCCCATGTGCGACAACTTGCTTCAGGTCCAGATGCCGGAGACACCCCTCACAGACATCCTGAAGGACTTCCGCCAGTATCGCCCTGGTAACCATCGCGAATTTCTGGAGGCTGTTCGTGATTACGCCCAGCAGTCGGGTGTACGCGAGTTCGCGAAAGGCGACTCTGTATCAGCCGCGCTTTATCTCCAAGCTCTTGATCAGGTCCGCGACTTCCGTTGGCGGCATTGGTGCTTCACGCGCGAATACATCCTCAAGCACACATCGCACCCAACCGCGACAGGTGGCAGCCCGATTGTGACAGTAGGTGCTCTCTTGATTCGAATGTTCTTACTCTTGCTAATGTACAATAGTGGCTACCCAACCAGCTTACGGCAGTTCTCAGACAGATGGTAGAGACATCCGAGTACTGCAAGTCGGTCAGCGGTGTTAGCGATATCATGGACACAGTCAACCACCAACGAGAGTCGCTGAGGAAGGAGGTGGAAAAGTACTGCGGGGAACGAGGTGTTGCCGCATCATAAGCGAGTGCGCTCTTGTAAAGGATTCCACTTCCACAACCATTGTATCATCATAGTACCCAGTCACGACATGTCACATCAAGTTCCAAGTCGTCTCCACTGTGTGCGCCTTTATTGGAGTGCTGCCTGATGGTGATATTCTCGTATTCTCGCCCTTTTCCATGATGACTCGCGTAAGATCGACGACGCGAGGGCGCAAATACGATATATCATGACTGCAGAAGCTGCTCACCGGTGGCGTTGGGGTCATGGTCGGCCATGGAAGGGTTATGAGTCGTGCGGTGGTGGGTGAGTCAAGACGCGCTATCGCGTGAGTGTCGGCGTCATGGCTCCTGCTTCTATCGATAAGTAGTCCCCCGGATTCCCTAGCAGCACCCATCGCCATCCAGCACTTGCCACCCTTCGATGCTCGCTGCCAGCCAACTCATGGAACATTCACACCTCTTCCGATTACCGCGAATACCAAACGTCTTATTAATACGGCGGACTTTGCGGAACACCTCCTGACAGCTCCAACCCCACATTCAACACGGCCATTACCACGTACACCTAATCGCTGCGAATACCTTGTGCATATACTAAAACCCCATCTGCTTGCGCATATTATGGCCTCAAGACACGAGCCCAAACAAAGCCTAGCTGAGCGGCGGAAGGGGGAGTCTGTAAGTAGCAACGCGGAAATGAGCTGGCATTTCTAGACTACTCATTGTGGCTTGAGAGTACGCACACAAGCTAATTGACATATCAGGCGCTCAGCGAATTTGCCGATTATGTACAGAAACAACAAGCGCTGCGCCGACCGCCAGGCCAAGCCCCCGCCGTTCTCGAAGACCACGATGAGCTGAGCATCCTGGACGAGCTCGGTCTCTCCGATGACAACAAGACGCATATTCGCCTCAGGACACTCCTTACCGACCCTGCCGAGGAGAACGTCGCAGCACTAGCTGAGCATATCAAGGAACGCCTGGCAGAGGGCCATGGGGAGGTCTTGTTCGATGTTGGAATGGAAGACAGCGGCGACTCCATGGGCTTCACCAAAGACCAGTGGGATTTCGCATTGGCGAGGATAGATGTTGTATGCGAACAGATAAAGGCCGACTACAAAATGCTCATGACGCGGAATGTTGGTGGTGACGTTGAAGTAGGACCTCGCGATGCAAAGGACACCGGATTCAGTGGCAAGATGATCCTGCGACAGCAGCCGCAGAGTGTCGACGACGTGATCGAGACGAGGATAGCAGTTGTGGGAAATGGTGAGTTTCTTAACGTACAAGTAAGGATAGACGCTGATTCTGCATAGTCGACGCTGGAAAAAGTACCATGCTGGGCGTTCTTGTCAAAGGCGGCCTCGACGATGGCCGTGGAAAGGCGCGCGTCAACCTCTTCCGTCACAAGCACGAAATCGAGAGCGGTCGAACCAGTTCAGTCGGCATGGAAATAATGGGCTTCGACAGCAAAAGCGAGGTTGTTGTGTCGAACGTCGCAGGTCGAAAACTTACTTGGGAAGAGATTGGACGTCGGTCGGCCAAAGTTATCAGTTTCACTGACCTTGCAGGTCACGAGCGGTACTTGCGGACAACCGTCTTCGGGCTGCTATCCAGCGAGCCCAATTACTGTCTCTTGATGATCGCCGCGAACAACGGTTTGGTGGGCATGAGCAAAGAGCATTTGGGTATTGCACTCGCGCTCAATGTGCCCGTCATGGTCGTCATCACCAAAATCGACATATGTCCACCGCAAATTCTCGAACAGACCATCACTCAGCTCACCAAAATCCTCAAATCTCCCGGCGCGCGAAAGATACCTATCTTCATCAAGAACAGGGAGGGGTGCATCAACACCGCTACCCAGTTTGTATCCAGTCGCATATGCCCCGTCTTCCAAGTATCCAACGTCACTGGACATAATCTGGACCTGGTGCGCATGTTCCTTAATGCGCTACCACATCACGGCAACTACGACAGCTCTGCCCCTCTAGAGTTCCACGTCAATGACACCTTCTCGGTCCCCTTCGTCGGTACTGTAGTTTCTGGTGTCGTAAAGTCTGGCGTGATACACTCTGGCGACACGGTTCTGATTGGCCCCGACAGCCTTGGTCAATTCCAAACAACAAAAGTACGATCCATTGAGCGGAAACGAATACAGGTCCCTGGATGTTCCGCTGGTCAGTCTGGCAGTCTTGCGCTGCGCAACGTTCGGCGAAAAGATGTGCGAAAAGGCATGGTCGTCTTGCATAAAGCCGACAAGCCCGATCCAACAACTGGTATCCTCCCGAACCCCAAGGTGTACCGCGAGTTCGTTGCCGAAGTCTTGATCTTATCTCACGCAACCACTATCAAGACCAAGTATCAGGCTATGCTCCACGTTGGACCGGTCTCCCAAACCTGTGCCATAATAGACATTGACCGCCAGTACATCCGTACTGGTGACCGAGCTCAGGTAGCCTTCCGATTTGTACAGCGGCCTGAGTACTTGACTGTAGGTGATCGAATACTCTTCCGTGAGGGCAGGACGAAAGGACTGGGTATTGTCAAGAGGGTTGGCTACGATCCTAAGCATCCACTGAACCCGGACTTGCATAAAGATGATAAGGGGAAGGAGAATCAGCCTGAAGGCAAGAAGGCTGAAGCCTCATGACGGATTGAGATGTCGAGGGTTGTTAATCTTTTCAAGCTACACCTGTAGCACAACTCAACAGCATTCATTGGCTTTTTTATTATGCTTGTAGTTGTGTTGCGCACAATGAATACTCCTAGGGTGTACTTTATATGTTAGAAGCAAATCAAGAGAATCGAGCCTCATCATATGTGGTTCGTGGTATTATCAAGCGTGTTTTGAGAGGAAAGACAGACTGCATGCCGCGTCGTCGGTCATAGCGAACGACTTGGGAGGTACGGAGAAGAATCGAAAAAATCGCGACTCTCGACGCGCTCTGGCGGTATGCCGCAATGACGTCTCCGAAACGCACCAGCCAGCCCCACCAAACGCGAACGCGTCACGTTCTCACGGCACGCATTCCACACCATTCGCTCAACCCTGCATCTGTGCAGAAAGTAAGTAACAACCAAGTCAACCAATATAGTCATATGAACAAAGAAACGAGAACAGCATCTTGACACTGCACGAACCTATGAAGTCAAAGAATAGTAAGGTAATCTTCTTGATACTACTAAAACTCTAGGAAAGAGTTACGAATGACTATTTTCAACCCAACAGCCCTGAGGCACGCTATAGTGTAAAGCAAAATAAAAAATAAAATAAAATAGACCCCTCCTCTCTTTTCCCGTCTATCCACCCAATATTTACAAATGAAAGAACGCCAAGTAATGCTATGAATGATGAGAGATAAGAAAATCCGGAGTCGACGCCCTCCTTCTTGTCAACGAGAGAAGTTTCTAGTTCCCCCTACCAAGTAGCTTCTTCCCCAAAGCCTTCGCTTTCTTCGTCTTTGGACCATCCGTGTCGTCTTCCATCACGCTGCCTTCTCTCCCACTTACACCACTGATGCCACTAATACCAGTCGCCACGCTCGCAGCTCGCATGCTGGCTGCACCACTGTTCGCTCTGTTTCTTATGTGCCCGGCAAAGGGGGCGCTGACTCCAGCGATATGTTTACTCAAACTATGAATAAGGTTTGCGTGGACTGGCTCCGTGTTATCTACTCTTGACAACTCATCAGCAAAGGCACGTCCATCCTCGACATCATCGACGCCTAGGCCGTTGCTGTGATGACTGTAGCCACCCATGATGGAACCGTGCGTGGAGCGCGCTTGGTTTGTTGAAGCCGGTTTTGACGAGTTCAAGGATGAGCCTTCTTCCGAAACGGTGCTGATGAGACTACCCTGGCGTCCGGATGCGAAAGAACGGCGGGGCACACGATCTTCGGCTGAGAGGTCAGAGCCGCCGGGCGAGTGGTCGCGCATAGAGTTCGAATCAGTGCCTGAGAGATCTGGAGACGTGTTGAGCATTGCGCTGCTGTTGGCAAGTTGACGAAGACGAGACTGTGCTTTGGCTGACGGACGATGGTGCGAGATCTTGTTGCCAACAATCGTACCGGCATGAGACAGAAGCGCTCTTAAGACGTCTTTCTTGAGTTGGGTGACGAGATCCAAATTGGACCACGTTTTGTTACGGTACTCTATCGTAGGCATCCTGAAGACCAGATCGTGGACATCTTCGAAGTTGCGTGTGCTCTTCCCCTTGTAAGAGAGACACAACACCATGGACGGAATTTTGAAGTAAGCAACAGTCATGAACTCGCTCGCGCGACTCATCATTTCTGTCAGGTCATCGCTCCTAACCTCCTTCTTGTTCGTGCGCTTCTCAGTCAAATTGGTACCGGTACGGTAAAGCGCAAAGCGTTTGGCGGTTCGTTGAGACTCGTTTACAGTCTGACTTGAATTGGTTGTGCTTGACCGGACGGAGCTTGGTCTCGTGGAATTATTCGAATTGCTTCCCAATGTAGGGACTACCAACGCAGAGCTTGGGTGAAGAGTGCGACGGAGCTCAGTCCCACTACGGGAAGCATTGTTGTCTCGGAAGAAACGGAAATAATGAGCACTCGGCCGCTTGACCATACCTTTCCTCTTCGCATCAGACTTCTGTACCGGATCAGGGAGCTGAAGTGTGGGCGTGAGTCGTTGCTTGAGAGCTTCCACTGCACCGTCGTCCGTTGAAAGCGAGGCGTTCATACTTGCTGCCCCAGAAATGATACTATTGGCTTCGTCTTCCTCATCCTGGGTCGGTAGAGTGTGTTTGAGTAAAAAGGGCGATGAGTTCGCAGTCTTGCTATCGCCGTACGTAGGGAAAACGTATTGCAATAGTTTCTTGCCGATCTGGTACTCCAGTTGTACCTTCAGCGGGTATAACTCAACCTCAAAGTGTTCTACAACAGGAATACCTGCGATCGATTCAAGAGCTACGAAGTAGACCTTGAGGCATCTGGCGTTCTCCGGAAGAGTCTGGTCTTGCTCCAGGAAAGGCGAGATCATCTCAGGGTATAGCGCGTTGGGCAGCAGATTCAGACCTCGCACCTGTTCAATCTCTAGAGAGTTGGAATTGGATCCGTCGTTGTTATCGGTGCGATCAAACGCCACGTTCTTGAGTTGGAACTCTGCTAATGATTCTGCACCTTCGCGAAGCAGATGCCAGACAATATCAGACGCAGAGACATACATCCGCAGGAGCCCAGTTGACTGTCTTGCCTGCGCACGGTCATCTTGCTTGCGCTGCGCGGTTGTGATCGCTTTCATGACGAAGAACAGTTCGTCCTCGTAGACAGCCAAGTCTTTCTCGACCTCGATACGATCTTCCCATCCTTGCTTGTCCAGATACTTCTCGTTGATCTGGAAGACAGTCTTGATCTCTTCCAGCTGTTGAATGCGCTCTTGAAGACCCATGACCAAGTTTGGAGCTCCAGCAAGGTCGGTGAAGTCTGATGCAAGCATGATCTTCTCAAGTCGCTCGTTCCGCGTCTTTTCCAATGGCTCGTGGTACAACAGCAGATCCAGTACGATGACATACATCGCGTAATACTGTCTAGAGTCACACAAGGCCCGCACGTGTGGGAAGTCCACCCAAAGATGGTCGATTCGGCTCTCCATGTTGTCGGCAGAAGAGGAAGAGTCGCCAGCCGAAACATCGTCATTGTACTTCAGACGCAGCGCATTGTGCTTATCATACCGCATACTGGCCGAGGTTCTTTGTACCACACGCTGGAAGCCAAACGGATTGGTGTGAAACTCAAACATGACCTCGAAAGGTACCCATGGTGGCCATGCTGAGCCAGCCGGCGTTCCGTACATGCTTCCAGAGTACATGTGAATATCCTCCGGACTACTGAAAGTCTTTGAGTTTGTGACGAAGATTTGCAGGCTGTCCATAGCCGCGATGAATCTTCGTTGAACCAGACCCGAGACCTCGTCCATAACACGGTCCTTGTCCATGATTTGTAAAACCTTAAGCTGCATGCCTTTTGCTGTGACAAGTACCGCGGACTTCGTGTCTTTCTCGCTTTGTAGTTGGATTTGCGGTGCAATAAGACGTACAAGATATGAATTCTGAGAAACATAGTCGTCCGCAACATCTTCGTCCGCTTTTGCAGGGTTCGCAGGTAAAGGATCGCTCGCGCCTCCAGAAGTACCGTTCGTGGTCTTGCTTTTAGCGTCCTCCTCATCAGCGTTGACAAAGTTCTTGCCATCGCGCAGGAACTGTTCAATCGTTTCGTCGATGTCCAGCCCTGCCTCGTTGTCACCGGCCATAGGTGTCTCTTCGGGCCCAGATGTAGATGGTCCACGAGACTTATTTTGCTCTTCAACAACGTCGAGTATGAACTTGACAGCTCTCCGAGACATGTAATAAACAAAACCTCGGCGCTGACTGACTTGGTGGATGTAGCGGAGTATTATATTTCGTAAGGAGTTGCCCCACTTGAGGTGGATGTTGTGGATGATGAACCGATTGTTAAAGTCGTTCGTGGAATCGGTAATGGGATTGGGAGGTAAGTCTGCTTGCTTGCCTTCTGGGCCAACCGTATCCTGACCATCGTCTGCTTCAAAGTACTCGTCTTCTCCATCAGTCTCGGGCTCTGGAACAGGATTATCTGAAGACGAAGCAGTCTCCAACCGCTCCAATAAACTGGTATGCATTGCAGACAGAAACTCCAGTTTCCGCTGGAGGAATTGTGTATGATTCCGCAGCGTTTCAAGACGACGTTGCGACTCGCCTTGCCCTTCCGATGTTTCTCGTATGGCGTTGAGCTCTTGCTCATTCACTGCATTCTGGTTGTGCGCAACTTGTTCCTTGACGCGTTCAATGCGTTGTTCAATCAGGTGACACTGTACCCGGCGTGGATCATTCCGTGCTGAGATGACACAATGATGAGTCGGCTCATTACCGAATGCGCTCTTCCGGTGTTTGTCGCCTGAGATGTTGTTACTGTGATCGGTCTGGCGGAAGTACGTAAAGCGCGGGGCGAAGGCGAGTGGTAGAATTTGTGTTTCGGGGTGTTGACGTGAAGGCAAGATCCAACCGAGCTCGATGAAGTCATCCATGTCCACCCACCCAAGGTCGTTGTCTGGAATGGTGAATTTCGACAAATCAGCTGTGAGGTACTCTTGGTTGTAGCTGGCAAGGTCATCTGCGGTTGCATTATCCACATCTTCAGAGCCGGTCCCCGAGATGCTCGCAGATACTGCTCGAATGTCCGTACGAATAAGGTCAAGTTGTACCTGGTTGATGCGCATACCAGTTGTCTTGTTTTGCCTGCTGTTCTGCTGGCCTTCGGGCGCCTGTACCAAGGTTCTGAACTCTTCGCGGCGCTGGTGGAGATCAAACATGAAGCTGTCGAGACGTGCCTTTAGTCCAGTGGCGGAAACCACACCTGCAGTATAATCCTCCGCATCCTTGTGCTTGTAGATGTGGCTCATGTACAGGGGTGATAGCAAGAGATTATACTTGATTGTCGCAAGATGTCGGCCGAACTTCTTACTGGACTTCTCTACCCCTGGCCACAGCTTCCCTTGGCGTACGGGTAAGGACATTGCACCGGAAAACATCGACCACCAGCTGTAAAAGTGTGTGAAGAAGCGTGGTGAGAGATGGACACTGTTGTATGTTTTCGATGGTTCTAAGTTAGCGACAGACCACTCTCGATCGTATGGAGCAGCGATAGCGATAGACATGTGGATATGGTGGCTGCGGAATCCTCGGAAAGCGTCATACTCCTGTCCAAGATTAGCAAAGACCTGAAAGCGAGGCGCCTCGTTGCTTACCTTCCCGTTCGATGCCTTTGCATACTTTGGGTTTTTGAGGGTGATGTTGTAGTGAGGTATGAAGTTGAACGAACGTCCACCATCGTCCCGATTACGCTCAAATACTAGGCCAGCAACCCAGCGCACATTGCCATTAAGCTTCATCACAGTCTTCTTGAAGACGGCTCTCTGCCTGCGACTAGACATGCTTGATGCAGTGTCTGGTCGGGCCACAGCTTCGGTCTCAGCGTCGTGACGGGCAAAGTGGTTGAGGTCTGGGATAGCGAGCACGTAGCTTCCACTCTTGACGACCATGAAATTCCTAGGGTCTTCGTCCTGGGCGATGCTGAGTTGTACATCATTCTGCCAGCACATGACAAAGCCTGCACCATGACCAGTCACCATGTACGGATCACGCGAACCTGCATCGTGTTAGTGGGGTCTTTTACGAAGCCATACTGTATCCTACCTTTGAGGATAAGGTGAACATCGCCGTCACCCTTCCATGAGACATTGATACGAGAATGGAAGGTCAGCCTGATCTTGTCCCAGAATCCGACCCTCTCGGAGGGGTCTATGGCAGGCTTTGTGAAGTTTTCGATGATTTGCATCATATCTTGAATCGCTGGCTGATACGACGTGCCCCAGGTAATTCTGGTCGGGTACGCTGAATTGATATCAATCGCCATGTCTGAGTATGTCTTTACAGGCGCCACAGTTCGACGAACGTCTACAGCATATCCGCCCGCGAGCTCACCCGCGGAGTTTTGCTCTGACGGTACTACAACGACTCGACTGACGCGTGAAGACTCGACATCCCTGAACTCTTCTGCAATTACAAAGTCTGTCTTCATCAAAACGCTGGGTAGTCGTGACGATGGTATGTTACCGATAGCTGGGAAGTGCAACAGTGGCAGTGGGTAGTCCCGAAGATGAATCTTGGCTTCTCCCATTTGTATTTGGACATGCATGGGTATCAAAAGAGCATACTGAGTATCGAACGGCATACCTTTGCCGACGCGGTGCAGGAAGCGCGGGTACTCCGAGATAGGAAACGAGGGCTTGTCGACGACAATTTCCAGGTCACTGACTGCGAGAGCCATGAGAGCTGGACGTTGTGAGACAGCTAGGATGGTTTCCTTCTGCTCGATGTCATCTGGCAGTTCGTCCAATCCCCAGAATGTTGAGCGGATGTCGTTCATAGAACGATTTTGCGTTGTCATCGCGAAGTCGATACGCTTCTTCCATGTCTGAGCGTTCAGGCGATTCAGCTTTACGCGTGCGTCTTGTACAGACGTCTGATATGACCCACTAAGACCGCTGAAGCCGTCCTTGTTGTATCGCATAGGATGATCTGAACGACCCCGGTCCGGTGAGCTACGACCGCTTGATTCGGCGCTCTTCGTGCGTCGGTGGAATCTAGTCTCTTTGTCTTTCTTCTTGATCTTGTTCCGTCCACGAACATCATGTGCAGATCTTGCGCGGTAACGTGAATTGCCACGCTGGTCGTCTTGCTGTTGTAACTTCCGCACTTTCAGGTCAAAAGCATGTTCACGAGCAAGTCTCTGCTTTTGCTCCATAAGACCAATCCGGTAGATAGTCCCAAGCTTCCATTCAAAGGCGTTGTCTTCCAGCTCAAAGAGCACAGCGCGGCTTCGAAGCGATATCTTTGGCACGATCTTGGGGCCTTCAGCTTCCTTGTCAAGGACGTACTCGTTAGTCCCAGTCTTGAAGCGATGGTGCACTTGCTTGACGGTCTTCGCAACATTGGCAACGTTGTCAAAGATCTTATGCATGACTAACTGATGAGGTACAGCAATTCTTATCGCGTCCGTCGCAATGTCAAATGATTTCTCGTCCGTTATCGTGTGACCGTATCTGAGCTTGGACTTCCGATAATCCAGTCGCAAAGATTTGACACTGACGATTCGACTCCAAGCGCGCTTGATAGCTGGGTTTTCTGCAAACAAGCGCACTAGGCGCGACCGAAGGAATGGGCTGGTCCAGCGATGTTTTCCCGCTTCAAGTCCATAGATCTGAAGCATGAGGGGTGGATCTCCAGGCATGTCTGCTTTGATCTGGAAGAAGTGAGCTTTCACATCGACTGTCACTATCTCATGGCTGGTTCCGCTAAGTGGTTCAATAACATCCTCGCCTAGCGTCGGAACGGACAAGTGTCGCGGCGAGCTTGCTGAGGTTGGCTCCGCAGTCTTGGTCTTCCTCACGTCCCAGTCAAAAGACCTCTGCAGGACCTGCATTGCCATGCATAGAGCAAAATGGCGGTATAGCGAATAGCGCAGAAATAGGTTCTGGCTGTACGAATGCACGTGGAATATCGGACCCTGCTTGTCAGAGAGCGTATGCAGAGCAATCTCCATGCGAGGCAGCGACAGCGTTGGTTCTTGCTCCGATTGATCCTCTCCCTCGATGATCAACCCCTCTAGCCCATAGAAATGCAAAGCAAGACGTCTACCATCAGTTGGGTCGCCTGACGTTGCCTTCGGTAACTTTGGCGAGGTTGGGGGTGGTGATCTAAGCAGATGTTCTTCGCGATTGATGGTCCTACTTGGTGCGCGCCGTCTTGCAGGCTTCAGGTCCGTCTCTTCTTCGCGGCCTGTTTTGTATTCCGCGGTCCAGGATTCCAGATGTAGGGATACTCCTCGACTGTGTTTCGATACATCGGAATCTATTCCAGCGACGTCTACGTTCCAATCTGATCCTTGGAGGTGGACGTAGGTCATCCAAGCCGGTAATCTGCGGAGTGCATTAAGTCCTTTCTTCTTTGGCGCGCTTCGCCGACGGCCTATATCCGCTGACGTTTTTGTGACGATCTGTCGCAGTCCTCCACTGATTTCAGGGCGTACCATGTATAGAGAGAATGTCTGTGCCGTGCCCCAAACCTCCACAACAGGGTCGGGAGCTGCACTCATCTGAACCTTGACTTCGAGGTAGTCGGTCAAAAGCAAGTTGTGTTTCTCGATCGCTGCAGTTTGGTAATAGAGTTGCTGTGCGTTCATGCGAAAAGTTGAGCTCAGCGCATAATGCAACTCGCCATCTGCAGAGTGCGATGACTCCACATCCAATGATATGGAAGAAGATGCAGAGATCAGCAGGTCGAACTCGTCCTTGTCATGCCTGTCGAGGTCCATCGGTGGTAGGCTGACTCGGATGACAGGCTCGTGAATTGACATTTTGATGTTTGCTTTAGGCAAGAGCCGGCGAAAGAGATAGCGTTTACGTTGTCTTGTTTCTGGTGGCTTGCGATGCGTCTCGTAGTTATGAAACAAGGCAATGAGTAGTGGTAAATGCTTGGGATCGAGGTCGAGCGATGGCGAGGTGACGACCAAGTTGGCAAAGAGTATATTGGTGTTGCGCTCGGCGCTATCTTTGTCGTTGGAGAAATGGATGGTTTTAGAAGGGAGGGTTGTGTTTAAGGTCGTCGTCGCCATGGGAATGTACAGAAGGCGTTCAGGATGACCGTGGCTATTGTCGATACCGACGGATATGGATATTGCAGCAAGAAGAGCCTGGTGAGCAATGTCGTTAGGCGAGAAGTACATGAGATGTGCAGGACTGCGAGGGTCTAGGCGAAGAAGATCCATGCCGACTTCCTTCATGGAAAGATTGAGGTAGAACGGAGGGTCTGAGCTATCCGCGGTCTCAATCTGCTTGGTCAGGCCGAGGAAGCCAACCGCGAACTGGAACTCGTGAATGCCGCGGAGAATGGAGCTGGCGAACTCGCGAGAATCGGAGACGGCACGGACAAGTTTTTCTTCACGACTGTTCGGGTCGTCGAGCTCTTCCATGACATCGCTGAGCGATACATCTGTGCGACTGCCACGAGATCTTTTACGAGGGCCAGTCGCGCGACACTTCTGGGCTCTCTCAATGCACAGTTTGACATCGTCATACGGAATGAGGAGGCGACCCAGCTTGAGTGCGATGGATGCATCGCGCAGACCCTCGAGCTCTTTCTTGAGGAAGCCGTGAACGTTGAGAGTGCAGTGATCGAGCAGCTCGGTCGACTCCCTGCCTTCTGGGGTGAACAGAATGCTGCGTGCGGAGAAGAGCCATTCGGCAGGCCATTGCTCCTGATCCGGCTTCGGCTTGTGGTGATTGAAGAGACGGCTACGGTCCACCGTCTTGCGTCTAGTATCCACGGCTAGATTGAGGCCGCCGACCTGCACTGAGCCCACGTCGACGACGACAAGGGTGGTTGCGTGAGCCACAACATCAACCTGCCTGAGCCAATTGATGTTCCTGTGCAGACGCTTGATCTTCTCCTTGGCATCCGTGAGCCTCTTCCACGTCAGGCTTCTCTGTGTTTCCTCGTCGCCCGGCTCGTCGTCCTCAGCAACCGGTTCCGGTGTATCCTGGCCGCTCTTGCCCTTCTGTGTCGTACCGTTCGCCCAGTGAGCCCACCCTGTCTTCTTCCGTGGCTTCTCTCCAAGCACCTTGAGGTCCACTGTGACTTTGAGCTCGTGTAGAACGATGCTGACTACCGTTGGTTGGGCGAAGGTGGGTCGATGGAGGGTAAAGCCGAGCCCACGAATTTCGATGCGCAGGCCATCCTTGGGAGTGAATGCAATGCGTCGCAGGCCCCGTAAGCCGAGTCGTTGTATGGATACCCCGGTGGCAATGCGTATAAAGGCGAATAGGACAAAGGAGAGCAGGTAGATGAGGAGCAGGAGCCCCGCGAGGAACTGGAGGGTTGGCAGGGCCATTATTCTGCTTCAACCGTATGCCATTGACCGAGTGGAGTATTATCGAAGTAGTAGGTCGCGAATGCACGCGATGTGCCGAAGAGATTGGAGATTCGACCGGCCGAACATAATCGAGCGAGGCGCAGGCGCAGGGCTACGAGTGTTGCTGCATCGAGGGCGAGGCGAGGGCGTGGATGAAAGTGCGGACTTAACGGTCGCGGGTGATGGATGCGGCCAAAGCGGCAGTCCCGGAACGCGTCGCCTGGTGGTAGAGACTAGCTATTAGTAAAAATTCAACATGTAGGCCATGTATCGAGTAGTGACGGCAATGGAGACGTTCTCCAGTCTCTCTGCGGGGCTCCGTATTTCCCTCTGTGGTGTCTTGTGCTGATGCCGTCAGATTTCCAGGTTCCCACGCTTCGTCGGCATCATATCCCTGTTCTGCCAAGCCCTACCCGCGTACCTGGAAGGAGCTTGTCACCACCTGACGTGCGACCCTCACTTCAACACCGCACTTGCCCATGCATTGCGCTCGTAGTCTGGTGGGCTGCTACTGGCACGCATATACGTTTCTATGCTTCTGCCATGTATAGTGTAGCGGTCTCGTCACGCCAATACAAACCTCCGTCGAGGTGGTCGTTCCTGCCAAGTGTGTCCGATCGCGGCTGTCCGCATACGTGGGACGATACGTCCAGGGACCTCAACCCGAATTACCGCCGAATGGCGTCGGAAACAAAGATATCTATCCTTGCAGTGGATCATTGCCCTGGAGCCCCTCGCCATACCCCAAGACAACTCAATATTCACTTCAATAACTTCGTCTAATCTTCACATCGTTCCTGATTCTCCTTCAGAACATATCTACCTCCAGAAGCTCATCGCCCGGGTTGCCCAACCTCGTTCGCCTTTGTCGTCTTCATGGTCTGTCTCTAGGGTTACTCCACTGCTAAGAGGACATGCACGTTCAGCGTCTCTTTTGTGGACATCGTCGGATGTGTTCTCATGCCAAAGACAAGGACATCGGAAGAGTTGGTCTCGTATCACGCACCGTTTTGGAACTTGTAGTTGCTCGAAAGGGTAATCGTACGACTTGTGCTGTGGCTGGAGCTGTTTGTGTTTGTCCGAGTGAATGATTGTGAGCTTGCCCATATTGTCTGTATTCGAGGGCCTAACACTGGAGGGTGTGAGATTGGCCTTCGTATTCCTGCCTATGTTGACGATACTGGGCTTTATACCGTTTTTTGTGTTGACAATGATGGGGTTCGTGCAATCGATGATGCCAGCTCTCCAATTCGGTAGTCTGTCGTCAGACGGTTTGCCATTTCTCAAGGCAGGTGTGTCTACGCGGAAGGGTATGGCCTTGGCCTCCTTGGGTTGCACAAATGCATATGATAGCTCAGGCTCAGAAGACGCATCATTAGATGACGAATCGCCTTCCCGATGACTTTCCTCTGAATGTCTGGCGTCGACTATCCTTCCTGCCGCATTCATGACGCGCCGCCTCGGCTTCTGCGCTGCTCGGCGATCAGAGAAAGGCACCATGTTTACTGACGGCTATAGTGAGCGAACTCTGGCTAGACGATACGTAGCGATGGTAATGTGCTAATGTTGTGCGGATATAGTGGTTGATGGTCTGAGGGAATGGTAAGGTTGGTGTTGCATCGAAAGTGAGACCTGAAGAGTGACAGTGTTGTCACCTCGTCGTTCTCACCTTCTCTTCCTTCTCGGTATGCTGCTTCCCCAGAGCTCTACCCCTTTGCACCGTCTTGTTATATTTTAGTATTGGGAACGAGGCTCAAAAGAGGGAAGACACGAGCAAAACACTCCAAGATCAGGACGTTGCACATTATCTAGCATCACTTACCCCATCACCAACCCGAGAATACCGATAGCCCCAAATCTTTTGCGCTTTCAAACATCGAATCAATATACAGACGAAGATGAATGTACACCTCGGAATAAATAGGGCCCTTCCCCGACCTCCCCCTGTCCAGTTCTTCCGCTATGAGAATGCTGCTTATGGCATGACGTTCTTCTACTTGTTCTCACTGCACGACGCACAAACAATTCTCGCACTTGAAAATGGCTTCGACATCCACTTCAAACCACAAGATTCGCCCATCACAGTCTACTAGGAATATACCGAATTGATGGCTCGCCTCCCCGATACACACCGGCACCTTCTCAACGGACCCCTCAACCATACCGGTGCTCTCAACATTTGGACGAGGGACCGAATTCCTCTTGCGCCTATGAGTATTCAACACGAAACTCTGATCACACCATCTGGCGGCATGCTAGAAAGGGACTATCAGTGGCAAGGTTGGCTGTATAAAGAGAGAACAGGAGGGTGGGATGTGAATTCGACGTTATACATGCCGCCCTTGGAAACAGTCATGACATTGTCACCCGGTTATAACAATGGGCAGACACCATGGATTTGTGAGGGTGGGACGGCGGAAGGGCGGCTCCGGGTGAAGGCAATTAAGAAGAGAGCAGGGGATGGAATGAGCGCGGGAGACATTCATTGTATGGTCGACACGCTGTGGGACCGGGGTAACGAAACAGATGCGACGTAAAGAATTCAGCATTATGGAACTTCCGTGGATACATGTTTTCATCAGCTATACACATTCATCCCCAGGGCTGACTAGTGTTTTTGATTCGTACTGTTGCTCCCATCCTCCAATATTGCCTTCAACCCACCCACCACAGCGACCCTAAACCAGCCCTAATACACTCACTCCAACCATTACTAAGCAACTGCGTGAACACGGAATATGCCGTGCAATGAGCATGGACATGGCGAGTTCAGCGAGGCTGCTTACGAGTAGTACAGTACCCTTACGACTAATCCATCTGCAAATTTTGTCGACGAAGTGCCACGACCCAAGCAATGTATCCTCGCCAGCAGTAGACCCGGGCGGCTACCACCAACATCCTGATTATCCTGCAGTGAGACCTCTGGTATCATGCTTGCCACTTGCACTTTCATATGGATGGACGAAAGGTCGATCATCGCGCCTTGCACCTTTTCCTGTTGCCGAGTCTTCTTACAGTTGATGCGGTACCATGTTACATGCTTTATCGAATGTTTTTGCCATCTACAAGAACACAACCTTTGCCAAACCGAAGCCTCGGGCTAGACTTGGAGACGCGGCTGGAGCGAGTCCATTTGTTTATGTTGAAAAATTCGATCGGAACGTGAATGCCATGCGACATGTGGTTTGAAATATGGTTGGAGTTCCGTAGCTACTTGCCGTAGCGAGGCGGCATATATGGGAGGAGACAAGCGTGGCTGTGGATTTCGTGCCTAGAAGTGGCGGAAGGGTCTGGGTTGGATGGCGACATCGATGTCTTTGAAGTTGAGATTAACGTCGTGGGTATGGCGAGGCGTATACTGGGCTGAAAACTTGTTGATCAGCCCTCTTGTTTGGCGTGATGCTAAGGGCATCGGTGATCATGTCGCGGATCTCGCGTAGTAAGGTGCGGATGGGTGACATGTTTAGCTTTGTCTAGGAATATTGTAAAATGCTGAAGCATATGAGTAGAAGGAGGTACAGGTGGATTGATGCTTACACCTTGGCTATTTCTTTTTACCCGTCCTCGGATGGTCTAACCATGGTTTAGTTGAGGCGGGCTACGAAGAGGTCCACTTTTGTCCGCCTTGTACCAAGGTATCTAACATGTAAGACTACCCTGAAGGTACACACCCTGACATGAAATGTAAGATTTAGAATATAATTCATAGCGCATACCTTTGCGGTATGTTTGGGCGGGGATTGCAGTTGAGAGAAACGAACTTTTGTGTACCACAATCATAATACTATAGGTTTGCAAACCAGTACCGTTCGACATGTTTACATCCTTTGAGGTCGCTTTTTGTGGACATGACCTGGGCTCTGCTCCCAATCATAGTATGGTAAGCTAAGGAGTCTCGACGAGCCTACCAGCGCATGCTCGCACATGCTGTAGCCACTGACTTACTGCACTGACCAAAGTGCCGATTCAGGAGTGAGACATTGGGACTCGGTGTTTGTTTCCGCGGCCCGTATCAGCATTTAGTAGATTCCAAAGCCATATGCGCCGTCGAACGGAGATGCCGGTTGCGACATGTTTATCTGTCGTTGTCTCGTTGCGAAGCATATCAGGCGCCTCAATAATCCATTTCCACCGCGAAGTTGTCCAAACCGAATAGAACAGAGGACACGCAGTTTAGGTCCGCGCTTGAAGAGCGACGTGCTACAACGGTGGTGATGTCATAGTCCCAACATGCTGGCCAGGCCATGCCGAGGTCAAGCACCATGTCGCGATCTGCGCCGCTCGCACGCTCCCACTCCTATTACTACAACGCAATGATTTGGCATAACGCGACATCAGCGCGTTTCATCTCTTGCTATAGGACTACGTGAGGACTCGGTAGCCATTTTATCTGTGAGTAAGGTGATTGTGCTTGCGATCCACGGTTTACTGACTACGAAGCAGTCTCCAAGAATCCTACAATATGCGTCTATCTCTTCGAGTCCTCAGATCGCAGGGTTGACCGTTACGCTCTAGTGAGCATGGCTAACGCGCGATCACGAGGAAAGCTCGTTGGCTAGGATTCACGTTACAGAAATGCCCTGGCACGTCAATCACAGGATATTTGCGCCTTCGCTACTTCATGTACATCGGTAACTGCGATGGAGTTGTTGCTATCGATTGCAATATACAGAAGGAGTGAATCGCCATGTTCCAAGGACTGCAACGCGAGTGTTCAAGTCGGATCTACGCCGCACCATCAGGCTCTTTGTCCACTTTTCCATGCCAATATCTGTTGCTTGTCAGTCGATTATTACTCCCCATCACTTACAATTATCGCATACGCAACGCTATATACGATTTAAGTCGTCTTTCTGCAGCATCTTATACTCCATAATAGTCCATCACAAGATGCGCGCCTGTCCCCCGAGGTGCGAATGGTTCAGGAATTGCCCAAACCCAGCCCCCATGTACAACGCCTTCTCCAATAAGTGGCTATGAAGTTACTGTATTGAATATGCCCGGATCGAAGTTCCACTTTGCGCAAACGATGGCTGGAGACGCGGCACTTGTGTCAACCCCGAGAGCCAAGACTGGTTCTGTGACTCGCATGCAAGCCGATGCGATACCATTATAGAAAGGCCATCAGGTCGCCCTACGAGAAATTTACATCGCTGCATGCGGATCGGAACCCTGAATCAGGACAATCATAATGGCTGAAACTACTGTATCGGACACGTGCCAGACAACCGGGGACCGCTCAGTATCGAGCTAGCCACATCACCACAACGACCTGCTCTACAATTGATAGGACATCCGATAGACTCACAGATTTCCATATCTACACTGCATCTTTCCGATAATATATCAAGGGATTCGGTACCGATGCCATCGTCGCATACATCATACCAGCCCCGCACAGTAACGACAAGTCGCAGACAAGCTCTTGGGACAATTCAAAGCCAGGATAGAGCTGTTGCTCGTGCCATTGTATCGCGTTCCACAGGTCTAAGAGTAGTCTCCTGACCTTTAAATGATTTCCCATATGTGTCTACACAGCCCCAGTGTCTTGTTGCACGAATAGCAAGCGCCATCTCGTCGCTGTCTGCGGTTCTTTTGTTACCCGAACGCGATCTACTTTCATCGTTCACAGGCGTAGTCCCTGCAGCACAAGGTACTCCCGCAGTTGTAGCAGTATTGCCGCACTCGACATCCCAAGTCGACTTGGATATTTTCTCAACTGTTGTAGATGCCGAATGTTGCACATGTTCGGAGCCGCAAAGGAGTATGCGTCGTGTCATCGTCTGGAAACATATGTTCTGTGAAGAGTATTTGTCAAAGCAAGTCAGCGGACTGTATGCGAGGGCTCATGATTGTCCGCTTTGCCGGAAGGAGGACATGTTTGAAGGCACAGACTGGGAGACATATTGAGCTTGACGGAATTACTGCTATAAAATACTCTTGATACGAATTACAACATTGTTTTACTTTCTCTAATCCACTGATGAGTTCCCCCTCGCTAACAGTGTGCTCTCACTTGGAGAGGGTTAGGGTGTCCTTTCCGCCTCTCACCTCGTCAAACTCATCACTCACCTCCGCTATCTTCTGTCAGCTTCCAGCAGCGTTTGCAAGTCTTGGCATAACAAGACCAGCTCTACTGGTATCTTGCAGCGTGATGCTATATTCTTTCTTCCACCTCGATTGAAGTTCAGATCGTATACAAAAACATGTCATCGCCTTCGCAGCTGAAAGACATCTCGTAGGTGCCACTACTCCATATAAGATGGTCTTGACGCCAAAGCTGACTCACTGTAACCCGCAGGCTCTTCAACGACCCGATCCTCTCCGACGTCAAGATCCGCCAGATTTACAAAGGCAAGACCAAAGAATACTTCGCACACAAAGCCAACTTGTCTGCACATTCCAAGTGGTTTCTAAAAGCATTCACAGGCAACTTCAAGGTACGATCAGATCTACTGGCTGGAAGGCAAGCCACGCTAATCATATACGTTAGGAGGCAACTGAGCACTCCGTTGAAGTGCTCGATGACGACCCTCGGGCCTTTGAATACATGCTCAAGTTCATGTATACAAACGAAATAGTCCTTCCACCAGTCCAGTGTCCCAATCACAAAACGAAGATCGATCGCGACATTCTGACTCCCATCCGCCTTTATATTTTGGCTGATAAATACGAGATTGCGCCTCTTCTTCGACACACATCTAGTCAGGTCGCGGCTGCTATGAACACCCATAGTTCGTTACTGAAGGGCGAAGCAGTTCCGACTATCGTGGCAGCCTACTACAACTGCTGTACGTGTGCGCGGAGTGTCATGGGAGATGCCATAGCAAGCGGGCTGATCAAAAGTCCTTCACGGTGGTTGGGTCATGGAGATAAGGAGGCATTAGGTAGCCTAGTCATTGCACATAGTCACTTCGCAGCAGATCTCATTCTTGCCCTCAGAAATGCAGGACGTCTACGCTAGAAAGTAGATGAAGTCTTCTACGAAGACACGCATTGAGTCTCAACTTTCTGGGTGGAGACGAAGAAGTAGCTTTCAGGCGGCACATACGGGAAGGAGATGTGCTACATAGTACCTAGACATACTTTAAATGGAGCCTGTACTACCCTGGTGCGAAGAAAACGCTATTGGGAAGATGTATACCAAATATCCTGCACATATAGCCTGTACTTCTATATCATAATTAAGAAGTCATGTCAAGCACACTGCTCCCCTCCCACTGACCCCATAGCTTCCGCATAACACCCTGTCTCTCTACCGTATCCTGTAGATTCTTCAGCGCAGCAAGCCTGCCACTGCCGTCTTTCATCTTCCAGTTCCAGCCCTCCGAACGACCAGCCATGACGAGCTTCCACTTCGCCTTGTTATTGTTTGGCTGCATGTGCATCTCAGGCTCGCTGTGTATACTTACCAGATCGCGAGCTTGTAAGAAGGCGAAGTTGGATGTACCCTGCATACATTCGCGGACCTCAAGGATCTTCGGGGCGAGGTGCGGGTTGTACACACGCGCAGTGTCTGCGAGTCTTAGTAAAGTTCTGGTAAAGCCACAATGAAATTAGATACTTACTGAGGATACCAATTTTCATCTCATCAGCCACGTCCGCGACGGCTACTTCCTTCTCCTCGTGACCTGTCTTCTCAACTATCCTCACGTTGATCTGGCGTCCGCTGACTTTGCTCCAGCACAGCTCTTGTACCGCGCGTTCTGCGTCTTGCTCGCCGGCGATCTTGATAAACGTACGTAGAGGATAGGCGAGGTTCTTGACGTTTGGCAGTGCAAAGTCAGGCGAGATGGTGAAGTCCTGGAAGAGCTCAAGCACGTCTCGGCGAGTGAGTTGCAGTGGGTAGTTTGAGAGCTCGATGATAGCCCAGCGCATGTTTGATGGTCGTGGTGGTTTTGGAGAGGGTGACGGTGTAGGCGGTGTAATCGGAATCAAGACCGAGTGAGGAAGAGAATTTGAAGGTGGTGCGTCGCCGCAGGTGCGGAGTGAGTGAACGACCTTGGTGGAAATTTGGTGAGCGCGAATGAACGCCTCGGTCGTTTGCGCGTCAGAGTCTAGTCTAGTCACTGTGGCTTGGTGTTGAGAATCAGTAGTGTATAGGCAGAAGTTTTTCAATTGGAAAGACGTTCTGCTATGATGGCGGCCGACAGAGGTTATGATGCCAACTTCAAAGCTGCTTGCAGTTTAGTAGTTACGAAATGTATGTATATGCAGTCACCTCAACAAAGAACTCGCTTTCACATTGAATTTGTATATATTGAGATTTTAACCAATGAACGAAGAGACACGAATCATAATAGCTAGGTCAGAACATATGATCGTGGAGAGTAACCTAGATCTTCTTCCAGCAATCGCATTTTGCCCTCGGACTAAACCAATTGTGAATATCGCAGCATCTGAGCAGCATTTAGACGAAGCGGGCGAGGACGGAGGTGTCAAATTATCGACGAACAGTGAAACTATGAACCAAGATCAGGACCATCGCCCGTCGGAAGAACGCATGAGCCTATCGCCGCCATGCCACTCCCAAGTTACCCCGACAAAGGAGACTCCGTTGATCATCCTCCCATCTTTATATTCTCGGGATCCATCCGACGTGCTAGCCGACTACTCAAGTTCATCGGCTGGCATAGGATCGACCAAGTATAACTCCTAGAGCCGGAAGAGCTAGTCCACATCTTGATGAAGAATTGGGAGACCGTTAATAAGTACAGTCGCGTAGTTGAAAGGAAGCGAGATGCGAGTACATGGGTGGAGAGCCTGTCCTACAAATGGGTTGTGGTAGAAATGGAGAAAGATCAAGAAGCTGTAAGAACCAAAAGCGAACCAGATATTGAGAAAGGGAACAAGTAGGATAGTATGACCGGAACAAGCAGTAGGTGGAGCATTAATGAGATGTTGACTGAGATCAGACTTGAAGGTGAAAGCAAAGCGGCACAGCTTGAGATGAAATTACCCACCAGCTTCTTCGTCCCACAGGATTCTAATGTTCCCAAAACCCGATGGCTAACGCTATTGCTTCTCTAGTCCTAACGGCGAGCCAACTACGAATACACACTTGATAAAACCCACATACACCCATTCAAACAGACGTGGAAACTCCTCATCTGAAACAATGCCGCCTCGATCACTCCTGCCTTCCTCTCTCGTCTTTGGTCTTCGGCCCCATATCAATTGACTCCACAGACGTTCTTTCTAGTGTTGACTAGTTGTTCACAAATGAGTCATGGCTCTAAAGAAGGTGGCACAAGTAGTGATAAGAGCCGAAAAGGCAGCCGCGAACGAGATGCGGAGGTCGACGCGCTCCGATTGGCAGCCGGAGAAGGCCGATGGTGGGGCAGGCGCGGGGTACCGTCACCATTTCTACCACCATTCCAGCCCGTCTTATTGCCTATAAGCTTTTTCTTTTCTTTTTCTTTTTGTTGCATTCCTGTACACATTGGATTGCATGTATTCGAGTTTACCTTTTACCCTGTCCAGTTGTCTTTTCCGCCTCAGGATAACAGCAGCCGATCACTGAAGCAGCACCCCACCCTCTCCCGAACGCGTCTAGCGATAGTCGTCAAAAGTATGACCGAATCAATCCCTAAAATACAAACTGCAGGTTGGATCCAGGATCCAGGTCCAGACTGCGTACTCCAAATCCGAAACGATGTTCAAGTCCAGACTCCTTCCACCGGCGAACTCCTCGTAAAGCTCGAATACAGCGGTATATGCCATAGCGACTGCCATAATCTTGTCTCTCCTGGGAAATATACCGAAGTACCTGGCCATGAAGGTGTGGGAACTGTCGTATCACTCGGTCAGGGAGTGTCAGAAGAGTTGCTAGGAAAGAGGGTGGGCATAAAGTGGCTTTGGAACGCGTGTAAGGAGTGCAGTAGCTGTAAACAGGGCAAGGAGAACCACTGCGCCAAACAGAAGAACACCGGCCGAAGTGTATGGGGCACCTTGCAGCAGTATGTTGTTGCGGATGCGGAGTTTGTGACAAGGATACCCGAGGGAGTCAAGAGCGAGATTGCAGCGCCACTACTCTGTGCAGGTCTTAGTCTTGCGGGCGCCGTATCGAAACTCACACCCGAGGTTAACCCAGGCGACTTTGTGGCTATCATTGGTGCTGGAGGTGGTCTTGGACATATCGGTGTGCAAATTGCTACTATCAAGGGATACAAGGTCATCGCCATTGACAGTGGTGCTGAGAAGGAGAAGCTGACTAAAGAGATGGGTGCCGTGGCTTTTGTGGACTACGCCAAACAGGATGTGGTACAAGCAGTCAAGGATCTCACAGATGGTGAAGGTGCGCATGGCGTTATCTGCGTCGCAGGAAGCGAAAGAGCGTATCAGCAAGCTCCAGCGTTAGCGAGAAATAGTGGTGTGTTTGTTTGTGTTGGGCTTCCGCCCGACACGTTCATGTTCCCCATGTCTCCGATCCACATCGCTAACAGAGGTATGTCTTGACATTTTCCCTGGATACTATAAGCATTTCGTTAACAGCACCAGGATTGGTCATTAGAGGATCGTCAACAGGTAGCGCCAAACAGATGGATGAACTACTACAAATGGCTTTGGAAGGCAAGATCACACCGAAGGTCGAAGTATACGATTTTGCCGACTCTCCGAAGATTCTACAGGAATTGCAACGTTATGAAGTTACTGGCAGGAAGGTAGTGCGGGCACCATAAGAGCGTGGCTGGCTTTGTTCGGATGTAGCAATTGAGCGAATGCATTGGCGTGGTGTTTAGGATGTGTATGCAGTGGCGTTGAAGTGGTGCGTGGAGCGGAGTCAAAGATGTGTATGTTGTGAGTTAGGGTGTAAAGTATGGGAAATCTACACGAGCTTCGATGCGATACTTTTATAGGAGGCCATGGCTATGCGAAAGCTGAATGGCGACAACCGTATGTTCACGAATTCGCCTAGGCACTACATGGGTCCGTTCAGACGTATCCCGACCTCTTAGAGACACCTAATTAATACATGAGTCTCGTTTAATACCAGTCTCCACTTTCTTCATTTGCCTTCACATCCATCGGATTCATACTCATAATCCGCTGCCCAGGTATCGTATCCGTAAACGCACTTTCAAACACACCACTAACGGCTCTTCGCCCAATTTCCACAAAACTGTCGTATGTGTCATTTTCGCCCGTGATAGCGCTCCATTCAGGATCTGTAGGGCTGCGTGCAGGTCCTAGATCACTCCAGCGGGTAACGATGAGAGCCTGTTTGAAGCGTTCAGGACCATTACCGCGCACACTCTTATCTTCGACGAGTTTGAGTTCAAACAAGTATTCAGTCGGGCATTTTGGACAGCGGCGCATCGGTCGGCACACGGAGCAGAGATGAACCATACCGACGGCTTTTTTTCCTAGGTTGCGTTCGCGGAACTTGTCAAGAGCCGTTGTTTCGGAGTCGTGGACGTGAGGAATATGCTTCAGTGCACATTTGGGAATCGAAGTTAACAACCCATGTTTCCAATGCGCGCATACGCTAAAGTAGGGTGTGTAGTCTCCACGGCTAAACAGAAGCATGCGCTTTGCTGCATCTGTCATACCACCTTCGACATAATGTTGTGATCGAATGCGCATCAAGACGTGACCTTTGTCAGTGATGTGATAGGTAGAGTCATGGCTCCAGTCTGAGTAGCTGTCTTTCCAACGGCGGCCCAGCGACTGATGGGGAATGCCATATTCGGGACCGTAAGCCCAATGGCGGCGGGCTAGTTGAATAAAGGCGAATGGTAGTGTGCGTCCATCGCTGAGTCGGATTCGTGGCGGCGGGATGCGAATATTGGTTCGGTTAGGGCATTCGAAGAGTGGATTGAGAACATTTTGGGGTTTCAGCGTCTCTAGGCCAGGCTGGATCCGTAAGTGCCACTGTGCGCAGGGGAAACAGAAGAGATGACGTGGCATCTTGTGATCCATTGCAAGTAGGAAGTCGAGCCGTTGTGGCCGATGCAACGGGTCCAAAAGTAGTTTGTATGGATGTCTACCTAGTCGAGCGTACATGGTCCGGCATGTAGACGATAGGTTGGCAACGTCAAGTGGTGATAGAAAATCTGCAACGTGAAGCCATACTTCAGGCGATGCGCTGCCAAGTAACGCCATTCCATCGGGCTTCGTAGGGTCATATAGTATGGATTGATCATCCCGTTCTTCCTCAATAGTATCCACTCCATCAATGTACGTGAAGGCATGCATCATGTCTGTCAAATCCTTTCTTTCTCCAGTATCTTTATCGAGAACATCATCGGCTCTTGTGGGCTTCGAGGGTGCTCGATGAGCCTTGCTCAGCTTTGAAGGCTGAGATCTCGATGGCGCGTAGGGTAGAGTTTTCTCATGTTCCAACTGCGGTATTGATGCGGATCTCGAGCTATGTGATTGATATAAAGGTGCAGCGTACTGTGGTTGTCCTTCTGAGTTGCGGCGGTAGTCGGCCGCTTGTTGCGCAGGCTGTAGATAGGCGTTATTGGTATGCGTAAGAGCATCAACGGCAGCATATGGGTGGTCACGCAACGCATGTGGCGCGAGACCAGTGATATCTTCATAGGTTGGTAAACCAAAAGCGTTCTCTGAGAGATCGCTTCTTTCGTTTGTGAAGCTGCCAGAATCTTGGCGGTTGGTGTTCGCTACGTTCGCAGTTGAGTCAAGCTTTCCAAGTATATCGCTTCGTGATCCTTTCTTGGATAGCTTCTTCCGCGTACCCGGCTCTTTTGGTTGTTTCCCTGATCGCATCCCAAACATGGCACGTAGGCCGCTTTTCTTGGTTTCTCGCTCCGCCATAGTGGAGACCACCCCAGCTAACTGTGGAGATAATGATAGGGTGTCGCTGGGCTCAAGACGGGGTTCCAGAGTCAGTGCGACACGAAAGATGAACAGGAGGGTATGCGCAGGCGGTATTGGTATAATTCACAAGAGAGATGTGCTTGTCAAAAGATGTTTATCGAAATTGCCGCAGGGTGGATGATGATCGTCATAGCGTGGCGGCTCGTTTCGGCAGGGGATCCGTACTCATCCGCTCCTCGACTCGTCCACTAGTACGCTCAATCTGTGGGTACATGTGCCGTCATAAGGAACAGCGCACATGCAATGAGCGGCAATCCAGACCGCTTGAAGGTCGACGTCGTGTGGGCTGGCAGTGCACGATGGAGTTGAAGGCACGCGAAAGATGCGCGATATGCATTGGCCATCTGACGTAATCCGCTAGAGGTTTGCCGATCCTTCACGCTTTCCCACCACCCAACCTCCTCATCATTTCCAGCACCGTTTCACTGCTTAACAATACAATCGCATCATGACAAGGTAATGGAGCTACTCTTTGGAATCGACAACACTCAGACGCAATGCGAAATGTACGCTAGTCTATGTACACCATCCAAATATGATCGATTGAGCGTCTCACTGGACGCACTTAGAAGCATGACAGGCTTGTCACTCTAGAACCATCCGCTCTACACAATTACGGTACAGATTACAACTCACAGCACCCACGCCCATTGTCTTTCTTGCCAATCCTTTGTGCGCCCTGTAAACCGATCCAGGCAAGACGAAACGATGATCGCGTACAAAAGGACCTAGTTGATGTCAAGCTTGGAGACTACCTTCGAAAGCTCATCTTCTTCTGATCTATCGCCCGTGGACCGTGATGCTACATCATCCGATGTTCTACCTAGGTTCCGACGAAGACTGTCGATACTATCGCGATCTTAGACAGTCTGCACACCCCGATGGATATTGACGTCGTCGAGCAGCGTTGTCAACCGATCAGACTGGCAACTATCAGCCGTACCATCAATTGTGGGGGCGACAGAGAATGTGAAAGAGACCAGTATATGGAGATTCTTGTGAAAGAAGAGATACTCCGAACGGACCATAACCTCGATTGTGTCGAGTGTCGTGGTGTGTACGGAAAGCGGAGCGCTGATCTTCATAATCTGAGATCTGCTCTTGAGTAAGCGTTCGATAGCCGGGCAATTCCAATCCGGTGTTCTGATGCTGGTCTTTTGCGACATGAGGAGAGGAGACGATGTCGATTCGACTAACTCGGTGAAGAGCCATATGAGCGGTATGCTCCAATCGGTTGTTTGCATGTCGGTTTCGAGGTCGGATTGCAAGCGTCCGAAGACTTGGCGAAGGACAAAGCGCGCGCCTGTCCATGGCTGGCTGTTATTGATAGACACGTAGAGGTCGTGCAGGGTCGCTGGCATGGGGAGGCAGAGATCAGTTAGCAGTTCGACTACGACAGGGGCCCATTATTCGTCTTCTAAACTCTGGCATATATGATTTTGATGGTGCACTTGAGCTTGTCTGGGTTTGCGTCAATGTTGTCAGTCACTTCGCGCATGATGGCTTCGGCGGTCTCATCCGAGTCATCGACCGAGCTGTTGTGCATCAAATGGACGACTGCCATGCGGAACATATCAGAAAACAAGGTCGATATTGCGATAGCTGTGTCACTCATCATGATCAAGACGGTTATTGGTGGTCTAGAGTTGTGGGTGTGGAGAGTTTGTTTCGTGGAAGTTATAGGCGGGCAAAAGGTTCTGCATGTACGGCTTTCACAGAACGCGCAAGCCGCTTTATCAGGGTTCTATAGCTATTACTGACTCTGGACCCTTATTTCTTCTCAAGAGGAGCGTACTTCTAACTTCTCGACCTCCACGTCGAGTTTCTCGCGATCATGTAGTCTTTACTTTGAATGGCCTTCCAGATACCCCAAAATCCGCCTAGTGGCCAGATGCTCCTTAGTCTCAATCCCAGGTCTTTGTTCGCCATGTTCGTATACTTCTCGATATCTACATGCACTTTGTCATAAACCTCTGGTAACATCTCCGCGTTGTACTTCTTCCTCAGTCCTTGATGCCATTTGTGGTCGAACTGTGCCCAAAATTCATCTTTGCTATAATACGTCTGCGCATATAGCCACTTCATACCACCCATCTCGCCGAGCGTCTTCTCCAGCGCACGGTTCTTCCGGAGGTAGGTGGTTGGGTCTTTGGGACCAAAACCCCAGAGACCAATGTTAAGCATCTGGTCGGATTTTAGAGCGCCTTTAGTATGGGGGTGCATCGTTGGTTGCGGACTTTGCTTCAAAGGACAGAGCCAGAGAGGCCAGATATTGAAGGTCTTATCGGTGTAATCGATGAACTTTTCTGCATTGGGGTAGGGTAAAGCCATGTCTTGCACAATATAGCGTGTTGCAATGCCGGATGCATGTAGAGCTCGGTAGAGCATGCGCGTATGAAGGAAGTCGTCAAGGAACCATCGAGTGTACTTGTTGAAGGGAAAGCGCATGTAGCTGAAAGCGGATCGGCCAACCCAAAAGCCACCGCGGTCGTAGCGGAACATATACTCGGCTAAAGGTATGTACTCTACGACTGGCTTGGTGGAATTTCGTGTTGCGGCTTCCACATGCAGGTAGAACCATGGGTCCCAGGGATTACTGAAAGTTTGCGGCTTGGTGTTTGGTGGTAGCTCATCCGTCATCTCGCCTGTAACGATCGCACCATGCTCTTTGCTGAATAGAACTCCATCGACGTAGTCATTCTTCTCGCCTTTATCGCCTCGTGTATGATCTTCGACTTCCTTAACAGCTTGAGCAACACTGCGTGTGGGATAGTATGTCGTCTTAACATATTTTTTAGCCTCGATGAGCTTTAAATCCACGAGTGTAGTAACGCCCAAGGTACCGACTGCACCAGCAGCTCCTCTGAAGAGGTCTTCGTTTTTCTTTTCGCTAGCCTTGGTCACCTCACCGTCTGGCATGACCATCTCAACCTCATTGATGGTACGATCGAAGAAGCCGAACTTGAAGCTGCTACTCTCGCCGGCCGTTCCCGCATACCCACCGCCAACAGTGATACCAGGAAACTCCATCACAACGGGTGGCACAAGGCCATGCGGTAGCGTAGCTTCTACGAGGCGATCCATGGGCACATTTGGCTCAACAAGCGCAGTCTTGCTTTGTGTGTCGACACTGATGACATTTCGCAGAGCACTAATATCTACGATATGCTTCTTGAGATTCGGACGCGTGCTGTTGGTGGAGCCGTGAGATATCCGGAAGGGCTCTTTGCGCGTAAAGTAGTCTTTAACTTTTGACGCAACTTGCGCGACGACGCGCTGATGGCGATCCATCATGGAGCAAAAAGATGGAAGAATTGAAAACGCCGGCGAATGCAAATGCTACCGATACATGATGTGTACTCTAAATCTATGGTCGAAGCTGCGCGTTTGACGGTCAAGTCGGTAGGGACGCAGATTTTCTCCGATGCGCTAAACTTCACTAGTCCAGATCAGGGCTGTCTTCTTTCTTCATCACGTCTCTTGTCATGCACCTATTGTCACTGACATCAATTTAATTGTATTCTATTGACGCCTATGTCACTGTGGCGTGCACTCTGAGGTTGACAGCTACCAAAATTTGATGCTTTCTAGTTATCATTCGGGGAGCCTGAATACACAACCGGTCTATGACCTCATTATATCTGTCGGGGAGAAACGCAAGGAGTGTTTTATACAAGGCAGAAATTCAGGAGGTGCGGAGGTGACAACTACTATGCTGCAGTCTACAACAGCACATAACAAGAAATCTCATAATATCGGAAAGTTTTGTAGACTGTAAAGTCGTTAATTCGGATGTTCAATATCCATGTTACGCTTCATTACAGTAGACAAAAGAGAAGAGCTTGCTAAGGAGCGCTTATTTCTCTTCTTGAAAAGGGTGGAAGTTTTGCTGTTGCACGCGGAAATGTTTGTGACGCGTCCGACTGATAAAGACGCAACTCACACCGTCTTCCTCAGCGCTCAGCAACTAAGCTAAGCAGTCAATGAAAAAGGTGGTCGCGCGACGTCAGGCAAAACAATCACGCAGCGACTCGAGCTAACCGTACAATGACACAGCTCAAACGCACTAGCCAGAGAATACTTCATAAGAGTAGGCGCTGGGTAAACGAGACATATCGAATCGCCACCCCTCACTGTTTGCAGTGAGATAAGCGTGCAAAAAGAGGCAAGATGTTTCAACCAGTTGCCATCGTCCATAGGAAGTCCAGATAGACAATGCGCTGGCGAAGATATTGGGTCAAGCTCAACACCCTTTTGACTTGTAAAGCCCAACGAGAGCGTCATCTCTTTAGGGAAAAGAAGAGAAAGTATTGGACATGGGTGTCGGATTGCGTATACTGCAGCGCGCTAGAGACGCGCTAGATGCTTACTTATCCTGCGCGCGCCACTAGGTTTCGATGTTTCGCCTTCCGGTCTGCAAACACCACGTCTGAGTATCTCACGCTTCTTACAATTACTTGCAATGTCAAGCGCCCCATGGCCTAGTTCTTTTCTTTATATCTCAACAAGTGGGCTGTACTCATCGGCGCCACTTACTGGCATTTCTTCTTTTAAGATAATCCAATCACGTTTTGGGTGTATGCATAGGCAACGCTCAGCTCGAGGTCGATGAGTACAACAGAAATTAGGCGCCATGAAAGTACACAACACCCCGAACAACTTTGCAACAATACGATATAGTCTGCTGAAGCTGTGATACGGTCGTGTGCTTGTAGTCTGGAGACACGTCCCATCTGAAATGGGTTAGACTAATTGCCGTTGAGCTTCACAAATTAGAGCTTGTCGTAAGCTGACAACAGATCATCTTCTGCGACACAAGGTCTCTTCGTATTCATTGGAATCGCTGCGTCTATTTCCCTAGGTCTCTTCTCTATTCAGTCTTTTATCTTATCACATACCGCTATTACCGCTCCCTGTAAAGGTTACATCGGCCTTGCAGAAGCGGGGCGGGGACACTTGACGGCAGCCAAGACATGGGTGTCTTAATACGACGATATAACCCACAGCGCTTCAACGACATGACTGTCTCTTCTATCGACTCATTCCGAATATGTTGTTTTTGGCATTGCCGCATTTCATCTGTCTTGTTGGCGCGCTGCAGCTTCTGCCACCCGTCTCATCAGACTACAGCAATACTAGTGACCTCGGTTTCTCAATCAGCTCACATGCAAGGAAGATATATATCGACAAACGCTTTGCTGGTAAAAGAGACTCAGAAGGTCTAACTCTCATACCGCCATCCGCTTATGAATTCGCTGATACATTTCGCGCTGACCTTTCGTCGCTTTTCGGTGGTTCTTGGATTTTGGAGCAAGTAGACGACTTTCCTCCCACTGGTATTCATCTCGGCCCTATTCACGATAGCAATAACTCATTGGCGTATGAGAATGGTCAACCTACAGAAGAAGGATACGAGCTTGATGTCACCAATGGTAGTGTGTACATAGGCGGGACTGGTGCGAGGGGCATGTTTTGGGGAACACGCACTCTATTGCAAGAGCTGCTGATCGGAAATGGATCTCTTGCGACGGGCCGGGTAGTTGATGCGCCCGCATACAGCACACGAGGGTTTATGCTCGATGCAGGTCGCAAATGGTACGATAAAAAATTTCTCAGAGAGCTCTGCACATATGCCTCGTTCTTCAAAATCTCCGAGTTCCATTACCACTCTAGCGATAACTATCCCCTAAATAGGGGGCATAACGAGACCTGGCAAGATGTGTTCTCGCACTTCTCGCTGTTTCCGGAAGAAAAATCAGAGCTGCAGGGCATTATCCAGCGCCCGAACGAGACGCTGTCACGCGCCGACTTCGAAGACTTTCAAGAACATTGCGCACAACGTGGCGTCACTGTCATTCCCGAGATCGAAGTTCCAGGCCATGCTCTAGCAATTACAAAGTGGAAGCCTGAGTTAGCGTTAGCAAAGAAGGATCTCCTGAACCTGAGCCACCCCGATGCCATTCCCACTGTCAAAGCAATTTGGTCGGAATTTCTACCATGGTTTCACACAAAGGAAATTCACATTGGCGCAGACGAGTATGATCCTGACCTGGCGGACGACTACATCAACTTTGTCAATGAGATGTCCAATTTCATTAACAGCACTTCCGGCAAGCGTGTACGTATATGGGGTACTTATGAGCCATCCGAGAATCTCACCATCTCGAAAGATGTCATCATACAACACTGGCAGTACGGACAATCAGATCCTCTTGAGCTCCAGCATGACGAATATAACATCATCAACTCCGAGGACTGGTGGGCTTATATGAGCCTCAAGAATGATCATATGCCCATCCTACCAGCGCCGTACCCCCAATTCTACAACGTTACGCGCACGATGAACTTTGCCAATGTACCGAGCTGGCAATGGGAGCCGTCTCTTTACAACCCAGTCAACACTACAGAGCAGGTTCAGCCCGGTGCTAGCGGCAACAAGGGTGCTATTCTCGCAGCTTGGAATGACAATGGCCCGGATGCGACTACCCAACTTGAAGCCTACTACGCGATGCGTGATGGTATACCTGTCATGGCGGCGCGTGCATGGGCTGGTGCGCGAGGTGCAAAGATTGACTCGGACGAATTACTGGACAGCGTTACGTTCTTGGTATGTACAGCGGAAGAGCGAAAGCGATGCACTTTGACCTGGTGGCTAACGTGTAACTGATTAGGCAGCTAGGGCACCCGGACAGAACCTCGATCGTCGTTTCAATAGCGCGCAAGTAGATTTGCAAGGCTCAACGTTATTATCGTGGACGCAAGCCTCTACTGATAATAGCACCGCGACGCCAGATATCGGCTCTTATGGACCACCGTACACGCTTACCCTGGACATATCCTCACCCTTCACCCTGTCTAGCCCTGATACTTCGTTATCTCTAAGCAATATTTTCAGGAACTCCAGTGGCAGCACTGCAACACTTATGTTCACCACTGCCGATGGCTTCGAATACCCTCTACGGTCCGTGTCTCCTAGTGATGGCTTCGATCTTGGCCATCCAGGTCGCATATGGACGAACCAGTCGACATCCTCCCACGAGATCGTGCCTATTACCCTCCCAGCTAGGTTACGCATCGAGACTGATGTAGTGAATGGCAGTCGCGTTTGGGTTAACAATACATTCGCCGGACGGTTTGAAGTGTTCGTATTTGGGGGACGCAACACGCTCTTCAGCTGGAGCCAGATGGCTCTCGTTGCGCCGCTAGACTTATTAGAGGGTGGCGTTGATAGTCTGACGCTTCAGGCTGGCGTTCAATTGGGTTCGTCGCAGTACGGTGAGGGCAGATATGCAGGGTCATCCGCGAATCTCATTCACAACGATGCGCAGTCTTCTTCCTCAGTCCTCAACGCCAGGCCAAAGTACCAATGAAAGACAGCCAAAGGCGAACAGGCCTGACGAGTTGGAAAAGGTAGCTGGTCCGTAGCGCTAGTCCCTTCGAAATCGATCACTTATGGATAGTATAGGAGCCCGTACCTCACTCTTTTCATTGCAGCTTAGTAACCGCACGTGTGAGATCCCGCCCAAAAGGGAGTGATCATTCGGGCATGACATGCCCATCCATCGATGCCCATGGATAGTAGCGTGGGGACGACGTTGACCTCGTTCGTGGTTTCAATGTCAGTCACCAAGGCCTTGGTGTACTTGTATGCTCTGTACAAACTCCAACGACGTGCTTCCTTCTCTTATAGAAAGCTGTCGTTGAGCAGCGGTACGGGTATGTCCCGCATACGAACGTTGTAACAGCACGCACGACAGCACTCTGCGGACCCGTGACACCCGAATAGGCAACGAAGTGTTGAGGGATTGATCGATTCCAGATTGGAGACCTTTTTTTAGTGTTGACTTCTCCGCGAACCGACTTGAAGGAGGTGGGAGGCCAGAGCTGCTTCCAACAACGATTGTGGATGCAGGCATCGTTTTCGCCGCTTCTGTAAGCAGATTGCGAAAAGTAATCTCACGAGCTAGAGAGCATATGCCTTCACAGTTCTCCTCGTGTGCGGCGAGCATATAAAGATCTGCGTGGTACTGCGAGCATCTTTTCGAACACCGAGAGGGGCCACGACTGTCATCTGCGAGGGCTTTAGCCTCGATGCGTTCTGGTTCACATCCGCGGATTGGTTTCCACAGGCAGCTGATCCATGCTCTTTGGCCTTCGCTGTATACCGCCATCAACTTCGCGTGCTGTACCGCAGTGATGTATGTCGTAAAGTCGAGCGTGTAACCTTTTAGACAGAATATCTTGGAGTCTCCATCTTCGAGTGAAGAGTCTGCTAACGTTGTGGCACGCGGATCTGTCTTATGCGCAGTTGCGACGTGTTTTGTTCGAGTGCGAGAACTGTCTTGCTCTTGCATGGAAGGCCACAGCAACCTTGAATTGGTACTTGTAGACCTCCTGCATCTTGAAGAGCTGGATGTCTTACCTGAGAATCGGTGGCGTAGGTAAAGTGACTGCGTTGTCATCTCTCTTGCTATATAAACTCTCATTCATGTGGTGGGCATCGGGGGAAAGTAGCAGGTCGTTCGCAGCTGAAGCTATGCCAGAGCGCATGGCAGTTAGAGATGCATCCATACGCAAAATGAGGTTGATTCTTACCAATGGCTACGCTTGGTTCAGTCGCTTCTGATTTCAAGCGCTTTGGAGCAACGTTACGTTCGAGTGGTTGGCCAGAGCGTTTGAAGAAGGACGCGTAGGTACAGATCCACTATTTATTCGGAAGCCAGACTGATATATTGCAGCATCGAGGGAGGAGACGAAGATCTTTGCATATGTTGCAGCCGGCAGAGTATCCTAAAGGTAAGCGCACCGACATTGTTTCATCGACATTGCAACTGACCAGCAATGGAAGATTCTAGAACTGTACAACGCGTTGGAAGATCTGTATTCGATTGGGTAGATGGAACATTGGATGCTCAAAGCGAGATGAAGCGTTGAAGGGTGTTTGGGTCCATTTTTTGGGTTGGTATAGAAGCTCACGATTACCACTGCAGCAATCAAGTAGATCAACACGTATGTCAATACAAACTAGAGTTCATAGCTTTGCTTTCTTCTCTCAATATGTCGCTGTTAATCGCTGGATCAAGTAATCTCCACTCAAGACATCTCCATACTTTCTACCCGTCTTTTCATGTGTCCCTGGGATAGCTTCAATCTTGCGCTCGTAGTTTGGGTTGCAGAAGTAGGCTATTGAGTATCGCGGTGGGTACTCATCCTTGTCTGCGTCCTCTGGTTTTGGCGGTGGCTCTACGACACGATGCAGCGTTGACTTGATGGTGTCGTTCGACCAACGTGCTAATAAATCGCCAGCGTTGATGACAATGGTGCCTTCAATGGGAGTGGCATTGACGAACGTGCCTTTCGGTGAGCGAACTTGGAGGCCACCACGCGCGTCTTGGAAGAGGAGAGTTACAGAACCTGTAATTGTGTCAGTCGATTTCTCCTGCCAGCTCAAGTCGATCGCCATACCGTAGTCGCTATGTTCTCCTGCGCGGACTTGCAGCTGCCCATCGTTCCTCTTGAAGATGCTCTTCGACACACCAGGGTAGTGCAGCAACCTCAACGTGTTGTCACCCGCGTCTGTGAAGCCATCGAACCAAGTCTCCTCAATGCCCATACCTAGCGCAATAGCGCGCATGACTTGCATGTGGAGGCTCTTGCATGTCTCAAAGAAGCCCATCATCTGCTCCTTGAACTCCTTAGCCTCGTCGTCTCCGCTTGGCCACATGTTCGGTGTCTCGGGCTGGTCGTCGCGTCCAATCTCCATACTCTCTTTCAGATCTGGCACCAAAGCGCGCATCTCCGCTTCTGTACCCGTCTCTTCCAACACCACCAGCTTTTCCCGCCCTTGTGTTACATAACCGCGATTGGCGGCGGCGGAATACCATGCTAACTTGTCTTTTTGCTCTTTCGGCCGAGCGAAGAACTTAGCAGAGTGAGAGAATACGGTGGAAACGGTCGAAGGGGATATGCCGTGGTTCTTGAGGTAGACAAAGCCCGCGTTTTGGAAGCCTTTGAGGACGGCGTCGGCGGTTTGCTTCTTCGCGTTAGGATTGCCTGAGAGGAAGGCAGAGAAGTCGATGAGCTGAACGTTATTAGATGCTGAGCATAATTTCTGGTTGGGTACAAAATACCGGAATCTCCAGGTCATCCTGGGAGACGGCTGAGTCTACTTTGATATCCGCCATGGCGTCACTGGTTGACGCGTTGCGTTGGGTCGAAGTTGGTGTGGGATGTGGGATAACGGCTACTAAAGAGACACACACACGTGCTGGAAAGGAAGGTACTGAGATCAGGCGATTGACGCGATACTAGCGGCCATCTCCGTAGCTCAGCCATGATGGGATGGCTAGGTGTTGTTGGCGGGGTTGTTGCCGAAGACAGAAGGTGTACACGAGTGCGATAAGGCTAATGGTGGGGGGTCGTTCGGCTGGAACCTCAACACCATGCCAACATCGTGACGTCCATCTCCGCCTATTGTACAAACATTCCAACTACGTCGACCGCAAGATGACCCATCAGACCTTCGGCTGTAGTTTCTCGAACACCTTATCAGTGTCATCTGACATACCTTGTTACGAGCAACAGTTCCCAATGTTCGTCTCACCTCTATTGGCTCATCACGTAACATCTCAGCCGTACCACGTGCTATTGTTACACTTCTTGAACCAGAGGCCGGCAGTTGACAAGGCAGCCAGAGTATGCTATGCATGACGCGCAGGAATGCGGCGTGAAAGGAAAGTGAGACTTGATAAGCAAACCCAGGAGGCTGAGAGGAGGTTCGTTGTTGTGAATGCTGAGCTTGAGATTGAGAATGCCAGGTTCAAGGCTAAGATTGAGGCAATAAGGGGTGAAATTGCGAGCGTCAAGGCGGAGAGTAAGATGTACAAAGGAGAGCTCTTCAGGATCTTTTTCTAGGACTGCCTTGACAGCAATGACTAAAGGGCCCGCTTTGTTGCACCTCACATAGGTCAAAAAAAGCTTCAGTCGCCGTCTACAGGGTCTCGCATCGGTACATTGTCGTATCATTTAGCCTGCTTTGCAGAGCACGTTCATGGAATTCGAGCTGGGCAACCTGTCTTCCCCACATCATATCCACACAGAGTACTTTTGAGAGATGCTGGAAGCGCGGTGGTCTGTCAATTATGCGTTACACGTGTAAGGACAGGGAATATAAGCGACTTGCTTGACTCAATTTGACCGCTCTCATCATTGTTGGGACAAGAGATGGAGAAGGGAATGAAGTGAGCTGTCTCCCACTTTGTTGTCTGTTGCGTTCGGTACTCCGGTAAGTACCACCTAGCAGTGAGTATGAAGGCAATTAAAATGAACGAAGATGTCTCAGTGAAAGCAACCCTATTCGAACCTTGCCATGAAGAACGAGGAAATATTAATTTTCCCACCCTTTCACTTCACACCTCGTCAATCTTAGTTTATAACTTCTCTACTGAAGCTCGACCACCAGGACCTATTCAGATACCTCAACAACCTCAAACACCGCTGTTTTTGAATTTGCTTCACAAAACCAAGCTAATTTCAACCTCCAATACAGAATGTCAGCGCTCGATCCAACTCGCGAGTACACTACATCTCCAATCCTATCAACCAACATCTCACCACCCTTACCCCCCGAGGCCAAATCCACTCTTCAACTCCTCATAACCCTTCGCGCGCACCAAATCATGCTCACAAACCTCTACATTGCGCAGCACACTCTCTACGTTACAGCATACAACGTCTTCGCTGCTCAGTGCGCAACCGGTGAGATTGATTTCGCGAAGATTGAGGACGCTGTCGCAAATCTACCGGAGCAACAGAACGAAATTATGCTGTTTCACACTTTCCTTTGGAGTTTGCAGACTCTCATTATTGGCTTGGAGAGAGATGAGATTGACGAGGTCGACGAGAGATGTGCGGGCAGACAGGACGGGGTCGTGTTTGGACTTGGAGGTGGCAAGCTGACGAAGAGTGTCAACGGCATGTGGCGTTGATGTGTTTGTGGTTGCTAGCTCTTGGGAGTTTGCGATATGTTGTGGCGACTTGAAAAGAAGGAGTGATAGATTGGCATGATCTGGAGGACTTGTGGCGTGTACTGTGAAGTTGCTTGGCATCATGGGGATGCTGGAAAATTAATGAGATGTCCAGAAGCAATGCAATCGTTGCATACAATGGTCAAACGATGAAGAGGGAGGAGAGTGTTGACGAAGATGGGCTGTAACTACCCTCTGAATGACATAATCACAAGATGTTAATGGATGAAGCAACAACATTCATTAAAAGAAATATACATGCGTGTATCGCTACACACCTTGAACACACTCAGTGAGCCACCATGTTACAAAGACGGATATCCATGCCATCAAAACACCCAAAACGCCGCACACTAATTACATACTAGTCGTGCAATATAGTTCGATCACCATAACGCCGCGTCCTTGTCGAAACGCACTAACTCTTTGCCTGCATCTTCAACATCCTTCCTCGCCTTCATGCGCATGTAGAAGATTGGGCAATCCTTCGACGCGCAGATGACCTCACAGTGAACGCTGCCTTGGCATCGCTGGCATTGCGTCCAAAGACGCGAGAAGCGAACCTCCAGTTCACTGACTTTGCCCAGCGTCTTTGTGTAGAGCTCGGCAATACGCGGCCGGCAGTTCTCGCAAACGGCGCCATCCTTCTCATATGCAGCGGTAAGTGGCTTCTTGCAACCCATGCATGTCTGTGTCTTCTTTGCAAACTTCATCAAACCACCCATGGTGGGTGCCGCGACGGTGATGGAACGCGTATGATCACCGGTAAGTAACGAGGCAGCCTTCTTCTCGCCTAGGATAGGCTCGAAGATTCTTCCAAGTGGTTTCGCAAGTTGGTTGTCCAGATAGTAACGCGTATCGATGGGTAGGTTGTTCTCGAGAACATAGAGAGGATCTTCGGACTTCTCGAAATTCTTAGCACCGGTGGCGGCTCTGACCATAACATAGGCGACACGGTCGCCGAGAGCTGGCGCTGAACCCGCGTCGCGCTTCTTCATACGTTCTGCAAGCTCAACATGTGCTTGTTTGTTCGCGTAGCCACCCGTTCCATCCTTGTTCTCTTGTTTAGTAAGGGCTTTGGTGATCACCAGGTTCGACATGTCCACCTTGTTTTGCAAAAGGTCTGCAATAGTCTCCTTGACGAACCTATTTGACATTAGTGAATGAGTGACTGAGGCGGTGGAATGGCTTACTCTTGGGCACCCTCTGGGTCTTGGTCGATCAACAGCATGCGCAAGGAAGTTTCGATAACAGTCTGGACAAGACGGCAATTGTCACGGCGGACCGTTTCAATACCTTTTGTGTCCATCTTGTCCCACTTGTTCGGGTTCGTCCAGTACAAACCAGCATAACGCTTTTTGTTGATGAGCAGGTAGGGGAAATAGACCTTCTCGAACTCCAGTTTGATAGGCTTGATGAACTTCGAAGACACATAGAGAGCAGCTTCCTCACCCAATTTCATTGCTTCTGCTAGCTCAGACGTGCCGAACTTGACCATAACGGAATCAGTGTCGCCGTAAATGACCTCGGCATCGTGCGTATACCCGTTCGCGATGGTATACTTTGCCTCCACTTCAGCTTTGGTCTTTTCGATCATTTGACGACCGAAACTTGTGGTACTACTTGCGATGGCAAGACAGGGCAGCTTTCCGTTAGTAGCACCTGTCAAACCGTAGACGGAGTTGGCGCTGACCTTCAAGGCCAACTGACGACCGTTCAGCACAGCCTTCTTGAAGGGATCGGTCTCGACCCCCAACTCTTTCTTCGCCCTCTTACGCGCACCTAGCAACTCTTCCAGAATCTCCGTTAAGAGTCCCTTGCGTATCTTTGATGTGCAGAACATGTCACCGTTTGGAGTCACAATGTAATCCTCATCCTTCTTCATCTTGAGCTTCTCCACCGTCTGCTTGTCAAGCCAGGTCGTATAGCAAAGGTTGTGAGCCTGCATGATACTGGGATATAGCGAAGCGAAATCGAGAGTTGCAACAGGTTCTTTGTAGTAGCCACGCTTGGGTTCAATGACAGTCGCACCTTCGTATTGGTCGCCGTTGTCGCCTTGGTTTGGGAGATCCGGAACGATGAGTTGATGGTCAAGGGCTTTACGGAACAACTGACTGATGAAGCGAACCTGCTGTCCTCGGGCAAGAAGGTAATTGAATGGCACACCTGTGACACGAGCCATTTCGGTGTAGTTGACTAGGCACATAAGCTTGTCGAGCAGTCGCTGTGGTAGATAGGCGTCCTTCAAACAGTATACAGCCAATCTTCGGCGGGAGTTGGCGTCGCCGTTGAACAGTTCCGTAATCATGCTGTGGTGCACATCCTCTTTCTGCTCCTTGAGAAAGTGAGCACATACCGAGTTCAATGTATAGCTTCGCAGCTGATGGTCTCGTTGGATGAGCTGCAACAAGTCGAGCTGCAGACGGCCGTTGGTGTTGGTTGTTTTTGTGTCGCGGCTCCCCAGTTGTTTACTGGAAAAATTGGAGGTTTCTACTTTGGACTGCACTGTCTTCAGACGGGACCAATACGGGAACTTCTGCAGCTTCAGATGCTTTGCACGGTCGAGCAGATATGGGAAGTCGAAGTTGTTGATGTTGTAGCCGATAATAACGTCTGGGTCGGCCTCTTCTACGAAATCGCGCCATTTCATCAGCATCTCGCCTTCATCCTGGAACGACAAGACCTGTGTCGCGACGATAGGGCTGACGGTATCTAAACAGAAGACGTTCCTGACGAAGGGCTTCTGCTCTCCGTATCTTGTAACGACGTTCGCGATCTGAATGACGGGGTCGACGTTCGCCTCGGGAAAGACACCTTTGCGGCCAGCGCACTCGATATCGAAGGAGAGGATGCGGAGGGGGGCAAGCTTGGCCCATTCACCTTCAGACTGGTGGGCGATGAGATCGCTGTAGTGTAGTTGTGCCTCAATCTGACAGTTGGAGTGTCGATCGCGAGGGCTAATCATCCTGTATTTGCCCGCAGGGACTTCGACCCAGCACATGCCGGCGACCTGGGATGTCAGCAACGCAACTATCTACTTGCCAAAACGACTTACCTTGGTGTCAATCATGAAGCGCAGCACGTAGGCGATGTTGTCAAAGGTAAGGATACCATCTTCTCTGGCCGGCCAAAGTCGCTTGTAGTTGGCATTGCCCTTTTGCACCATCATCCGGACGCGATTGATCATCTTCGGATCTGTTACCGTGATCTTGAGGTACGGACTCTTCTGGTTACCCTGAAAGCGCAGGATGTTCTCCCTCATACACATCTGTACTGACGCGATGACGGCTGAGTGTTGGTTGAAGTTTTTCTGGCATTCGCTCTCCAGGAAGACCTTGTACGGTTCACAGTCTTCTTTGTGGAAGTTGAGGGGCGCGGCGACGTAGAAGTAATGTTGGAAACCGGTAACATGAATGAGGACGGATTGACCAGTCTGTGATACACAATCAGTCCAAATTCATATACGCCACCTGCACGCTTCTTACCTCCGTCACGCCAAAGAGCTTGACCGTCGTCTTGCCACCATTGAGTACGCCTTCTTCAGCCTCAATCTGCTGGAAGACCAGATTTTGTGTCATCTCATTGAAGTCTGCCGGTAAGGGAGGCCGCCGCCATTGTTGGTCCTTCTCTGTGTTATCCTTCTTCAGCGTCTCCATGTCCTGCGTCATTTTCTCCAACGTCTCCTCGAACTGGCTCGGGCCCACTTGGCTCGAGTTGAAGGAGCCATTGAATTTTTGTGGTGGTCTACTCCTATCACTGCCGTTCTGTATCTTCAGCTTCTTCGAGGAGTGGGGCGACGCCTGTACATTTGTGCGGGTGCTGGAGGATTCGGCGAGGGCGCGTTTCGCCGGCGCTCTTGTTACAGTGCCTGGCATTTTGAGGATATGGCCGGCAGATACAACACCCTAGAGCGTGATATGTGACGGGTGGCAGATGTGTGTTTGTTGTTGGTGAAGTGGATGGAAAGTGCCTAGGGAGAACGCGAAAGCGTGTCGCAGGCGCGAGCGCGTCATCCCTGCTAATTGATTTACGCCACGCTAGCCGTCGCCTGGCATCCCAACTCCCTGCGCACCCGACTGCATCACCACGTGCACTTGACTGCATTACCCAACCCTAGGGGCCGGGAGATATTGTCACTGCATTTGACATGTCTAAACTACCTATTCTTACAATTTATGATATACGTGGCCTTATCACCAGGCCGTTAACCTTATCCCAGTAATACACGGTCTTACAGTAGTCTTGCTTGCAAAATAATTACCTCGAGGACGTTCTTATCGGAACGTCGATTTCCTCCATCTCGATGCGATTCTGCGTCAAAATCCCATGCCAAGAATTAGGCAACTGCTAGGCAGTCATGGAAGGCTTTAGGCCATGTCATCGTATGGGTCTTTTAGTCACTCAAAACTACTAACCTCGTACATAAGCTCGCCGTTTTCCTCAACATACTCCACGTACGCATTCGCACATCCGCAACCACCCACCTAACCTTTAACATGGCCACCAACAACAACGACGTTGTAATAGCTCCCTTCGAGACTGAGCAGGATTTCAAGCAAGGGCAACATTGTCTTTCTGAGGCGTTCGGTCGTCAGGCACAAGATGCTGTGTGGAAGCTGATGACACCGGGCTGGGACACAGAGGAAGGACAGACGAAGCACGCTCAGACCCTGATGAAGCGATGGCAATCCACCACCACCAACAAAGACGGACAACCCAACGCCCTTTACCTCAAGGCCACGCTCCCTGATCCAGACAAGCAGGGCGAAAGACGAGTTGTTGGCATGGCCATTTGGAAGCAGCTGTCGTTCGTAGAAGGTTATGGCGATCCGTTCTCCAGTGACATGAGTGCAGCTCTTGCAGATTATGACGAAAAGAACCAGCGCTTTGCAACACAAATGTTCAACTCGTTGTGGAAACGACGTATCGCGTACATGCACGAGGTGGAGAAATCAGGCCGCAACCCTCCCGCTATCTTCACCTTGGACATCTGCGCTGTTGACCCAGCATATTCGCGTCGCGGCATTGCTACTAAGCTGGTAGAAGCTGGCCTTGCGGAGGCAAAGAAGAGGGGCAACTTGGAGTGCACAACAGAGGGAAGCGCTATGGGAAGAGCCGTTTACAGGAGGCTAGGATTCAAAGATGAGGGTACAGGAGACATCCAGTGGGAGGTGGATGAGGAATTCAAGACCTGGGACAAGCCACCGAACGTCTTCTTGAGGACTGGTGCCTGATCTGTCACACAATGATGAGGCTGAGGTGTTATTAACCCATTGAAGTTTGCTCCAGAACGCCGTACGTAACAAACATTCCAATATACCAAGATTCCATATCTTGATCGCGGGCATCTCCGTCAACGGCCGAACTACTGTCTCCATAGCTTCTTGCCACTTGGGGAAGGTGGGATGTTGGACGCCGTGTAGTGGGGCAGTCCGAAGCTACCCCACCAAGGTCTAAACATTCACAATACGTCTCAGCATTCCACTCTGAACAGTTTGCCGTGTCTGAGTTTTTTTGTGATTTCTCAATAACGCGCTTGAGGTATTCGTATAGTGTCACAGCAACTCCAGTATCATACTTTGACGCGTAAAACGCGTCCCAGTCAGTCAACATGACGATCGTCGACATCCACACCCATGTTTACCCTCCCAAATACATGGAGCTGTTACGCTCGCGAACAACAGTACCATACGTTCGAACCTTTGAAGACGCACCAGACTCGGCACGTCTCATCATCCTGCCAGGTGAAGATGACCCTTCAACACCTTCAACTTCGCGCGGTCGCCCAATTGGCTCTGAGTACTACGAGATCAAGGAAAAGATAGCTTTCATGGACCTACACAAGATTGACAAGTCAGTCATCTCATTAGCAAACCCTTGGCTCGACTTCCTTCCCGCAGAAGAAGCTGGAGAAGCAGCGAAGAAGATCAACGACGATGTGAACGACCAATGTTCTCAATATCCCGGCCGATTATACTTCTTCGGCACCCTTCCACTTTCCGCATCGCCCGAGGTCATAACCGCTGAGATTGAAAGACTGAGCACGCTCAAATACGCACGCGGCGTCATCATGGGAACCTCTGGCCTCGGCCAAGGTTTAGACGACGAGAACCTCGACCCTGTCTACACAGCACTGGAGAAGCATCAGCAACTCATCTTCCTCCACCCGCACTACGGTCTACCTACGTCTGTCTACGGGCCCCGAGCGAGTGAATACGGACACGTTCTACCTCTAGCCCTCGGCTTCCCGTTGGAGACCACCATCGCGGTGACCAGGATGCTGTTGAGCGGGGTCTGGGATCGATTCACAAAACTGAGCGTTTTACTGGCACATTCTGGAGGTACACTGCCGTTTCTGGCTGGTCGTATTGAATCTTGCATCTTGCATGATGGTCATTTGAAGAAGCATGGCAAGACGCAGAACAGGAGGGATGTATGGGATATCTTGAAGACGAACATATATCTGGATGCTGTCATCTACTCGGAAGTTGGTCTCGGAGCAGCACTCGCTGCATCAGGTTCTGACCGGCTAATGTTTGGTAAGTACACATGTAATATCAGAGTGGGATAAAAAGCTAACAATAGCAGGCACTGATCATCCATTCTTCCCGCCACTTGAGGAAGATGCGAAGGAATGGCATAGCGTGAATGCGAACTATGTGGCTATCTCAAAAGCGTTCTCGACGGATGACAAGAAGGCACAGGATGTGCTTGGTGGTAACGCAGTGCGCACACTGAGGTTAGACTCATAGCTGATATATTTTTCACATGATAGTGCCCTTACGTTCACTTCATACAAGGAAGAAACTGAACAGGTGCTAAAAACTCTTCCACTACGTTGCATCCTACAACCGCATATGATATGAAACTATAAGATGTGGTATACTAATGTAGTCATCTAAGCTATCTATATTTATATATTTATCGACTTTGATGTTGTTGTAGGTAACGTAGTACAAGGGTTTTCTATACATTTTTAGTTTTTTCCTTGCATGGGGTGTGTGGAGTTCTGTCCTGTCACTCGATCAACCGCCTTTTCCATCTTTTCTCCTACCACTCCTTCCTCAACTCTCGACAACAAGGCCAAGAAGTCAATGAAAAAGATGGTGTAACAAGCTGCCGATTCAGCCGGGTGTATGAACTAAGCGGGCATACACTCCCTAACTTGTGAGCGCGAGAATAGCTCACGTTCCTCGCATGGAGCTTCCAGACAGCTAGCATGCTAGACATGGGTATACGAAGTCAGTGTATATCTCACATGCAATTCGTACAGAGTTACTTACAGTTCCGCATAGCCGTCCTTCTTCAACCGTACACAACTTGCGGTCAGAGAACACAGTGTGTGAGACAGACTTTTCAAACCAAAGGAAGACGAGATGCAGATGCTCTGTAAGTACGTTCTCAGACAAGTCCGCAAGAGGCGCAGTGGGACGAGGGAACAACCCAGCAGCCGAGGGGAATATGAGACGGCATAAACTGGTTACTGAGCTCTACCGACAACACACCGGGCCGTCCTCTCAAGACACAGATCGGATACCCTTCCACTAGGCGCGCAAAGACAGGTTGAGCTGTTTACGGATCGGAAAGGGTTGGGAAGGACGAAATCGTTTCTGGTACGCAGTCGTCGATGCGGTCGCGTGGATCAGATCGATATCATCGCTTTGGTAAAGTATCCTGACGGACAAGACTGGGCAGTGAGCTATGCAGGTATGGAGGGATAGAGCACCAAACACACAGTGACCTTTTGGTGCAATAGCATTGTGCTCCACGCAGTCTTGGAACAGACCAACAAACGCAAGAAAAGCGTCTCTTGTTGAGAAGAGGGGTCCTACAGCTCATCTCGAGAGGATGAGGCTGAAGCCGCTTTTGCAGGCGAATGTGGGGAAAGTATGTTCGTCGGAGGTCCAACTCGAAGCTGCGAGAACTCAAATCGACATAGATACCACAAACGTGGCCTCAGAATCCCGGCAATGACTAAGCCATGTGTTGCACGACAGTAACTATGCGGTGGATTGTATGAGGAGCTGCTGGGTGTTGTTGTGTCGTGGAGAAAGGAAAAGAGAGAGGGGAGGGTAGCGACCAGAAGGTATACAGCTTAAGCTCGGACGTCCACTAGCGCGAGGATCAATGGTGGCTGGCGATGAGGTGAGCATGAAATTTTGCGTGGTGAAGAGGAGTGGTGAAGACGGGGAGGGGGGAGCATGGAGTTGTATGGCGGGCGCGCAACTGGAGTGACGGTGAATGTGGAAACCTCCAGTGCGACGATCGGGAACATTAACCCACGGGATATTTTTTGTATTTGTCTCAGGTGTATGTGACTATCAAGCAGCCGTATCATCGCCCTTTCCTTCCGTAATCTCTACTAGCTCATCGAACAATTGCTTCATCCACTTCTCCTCACTCTTCAATGTCGCACTAACAACCCTGATAACATACTGCCCGCCCACAATCGTGCTCGTCAAGAAGAAATCCCCCTTGGCGTTAACCTTCTCATAAACCTCTTTCGTCCTCTGATTAACCATCTCCCTATACTGCGCCTCGGCATCAGCGTGGAAGTCATTCTGCAAGGCCTCATGCGTCGGATCAGCCTGATTCGCCGCCTTGCCAGACATGCCCATCTTCGGTTTAACCTGGAAAGTTACTAGCCCAAACGCCGGCTTTGTAGTCACGCTAAAAAGTTCCGGCTTCTGCAGCAGCAACTCATGAAAGTACTCTCCTAGCTTCACATGCTTGCGGATGAACTGCCTCAACCCACTAACGCCATAACTCCTTAGCACGAACCACACCTTCAAACTCCTGAAACGGCGGCCCAGCGGGATCTGCCAGTCCCGGTAGTCCGTAACGAGGCCTTGGTCTGAGTGGGGGTTGCGCAGGTAGCTAGGGGTGATACTATACGTATCCATAAGATCCTTCCTCTTCTTCACGAAGAAAGCTGAGCAATCAAAGTTTACCAATAGCCACTTGTGCAGATTGAAGTTGAAGGAGTCGAATGATGCGATTGGCGTGCATAGATGCTGATATTCTGGGCACACAAGAGCAGAACCGGCATATGCTGCGTCGACGTGGATCCATAGATCGGGGAATTCTTTAGCAAGTGCGGCGATGCCTTCCAAATCGTCGGTGGCACAGGTGCCCGTGCTGCCAATTGTGATGGTAAAGTAGAATGGTTCTAGACCCTTCGCACGACATTCCTCGATCGTTCTACGGAGAGCAGAGGCGGTGACGCTGTAGTTTGATTCGCCTGATGCAGGGACGCTGCGGTATCTCGTTCCGGCTATTATAGCGGCTTTCTGCGTAGAAGAATGTGCGTGTTCAGATCCCAGAGCGACGAGCTTACCACGGATATCCGCTGCTTTATCCATGCGCTCCTCGCCTTCGGGCATATCGCCAAGTTTACGGCGGATGAGGCGTTCGCGGGCGGCAACGAGGGCTGTTAGCACGACTTCGCTGGCTGTACCTTGGATGATGCCTCCGCCTTCACCGTCGCTCAGGAACTCTTTTGGCAGAGCGATGAGCTTAGCTACCCAGTCCATGACTATGGTTTCGAGCTCGGTGATGGCGGGGGAGCAGATCCAGTTGAATGCTGCGGCGTTGAAAGCACCGCTGTACATGTCGCCGATCATGGCTTCGTACGATGAATTGCAGGGGAAGAAGGCCATAAATTTTGGGCTCTGCCAGTGGGTCAGACCCGGCATGATGACGCGGTCGATGTCTGCTTGGATGGTCTCCCATGATTCGCCTTCTTCGGGGGTGGATGATGGGAGAAGGGGGCGGAGGTAGCCTGGTTTGACAGAGGGGAGAACTGGCCGTTCTTCCAGGGTATCATAGTACTTTGCGACTTGGAAGCTGTTAATTTGTGCTTTATACATACGGTTGGAGTGACATACTCTCATCAATGGCGCCTTTCGCCGCTTCTCTGAATTTCGAAGAATCCATTGCGGGGTAGCAAGGCAGAACAGACAATGTCGAAATCAATAGAAGAGAAGATATCTAGAGCAGTCGTATAGTATATCGTCTACAAGTCTAGAAAACGAAGGTCAAGTGCAAGATATATATTTGCTGCTAGTTCCCACTGTTACGTTCGGTAACGCCAAGGTGCGAATGTCCGATGTCGCCAATTCCGCGCTAATTGCTATATTGGGTAAGGGACGTCTATGGACGGAATTGTTGCGAAGATTTGTATGCTTGTACTATGCATGGTGTAGGGCGTAGGGCGTGAAGACACCTACCATGGGTTCGTTAAAAGGGAGACCTTGCAGGGGTGTTTGCTATCAATAGTTAGAGAAAGGTGTTGCCTGTCAGATCCAAATGCCCGACTCTAGGAAAACACTATCAGCGCGTAAAGAAAAACCGGTAGTCTGGGGAGGTTGGACGGTGCGATGCTTATCAACCATTAATAACGGGTATACCTATACGCCTCGCTATGACTACAATCCACTGAACACCAAAAGTACTCATCGTCTTCGTTAGTATCGCTTGGCCACCTCAACACCAATGTTTTCGTCCGCGTTCGCAAAGCCACGCGCCCTAGGTGTAGATTTGCCTGCCACGTCCTGAGGAGTCTCGCCCTTGTATTCCCAGCCTCCGTCCTGGGTGAAGAAGTCGACTTCGTCGATGATGTCCCAAACGACGTCTTCCGCGATCTGCTCCTTGTAACGCTCGCCAATAGCCCGCAGTTTACGGCCATCTGGAACCTGCTGCTCGGTTGTATCACCATCCACCATTTGCGTATCTCTGTCGCGCTGCTTGACCATCTCTTCTGGAGGATACCAGAAGTCAGGACCAAAGTTGACCTGCGCAACACCACCGTTGAAGAGTGAGATGGCTGGCAGGTATCCTACCATGCCGTCGTCGAAGCCTGTCCGTGCACCAGCCTTGATGGCCTCGATTGATGGTATACTGGCGGGCGGGAGGAAGGCTAGGAGGTTCTCGAAAGCGATGCCAACCTCCTCACCGTTCTTGTAGACCTTGATGTGAGAATGTGGCAGCGATCGTACACTGACATCTTCATGATTTGGCGAGGGATGTATCTTGGGCACCGGACCGCGGTCGTGGTAAGCCTCCACTATTTTTGTGACCTGGTAGTCGAGCTGCTCGAAGTAAAAGTTGCCTTTATAGGGTACGGGTATGCGATCGCGGATGATGTCGACGGGTCTGTCGAATGGATCTTGGTTGCTGACAGTATCGAAGCCATCTCCTAGATCCACTGCCGGGTTGTAAATGCCCTCGACGACCTTGCGGTGCATTGATAGCGACGGTAGCTGAATCTCAAGGCCGATGACATCGCCTTCTTGAACGTGCTGATCTGTAACGTATTCAACAGGCATTGGCTTGCCATGTGGGGGCCTGGCCTTCATGTGCTTGCTCTTGGCGTTCTTGGGGAGTGGCTTGAAGATCTTGGAGGCGCGCGATCGGTGTTGTGCTTCGAAGCGGGCGTCGGTGATGCCGTAACTGTAGCCATCGAAGCCGACGGGTGCGTCCAAAGGCGCCTCCCGCCTTGCCCAACCCATTCTCACATGGGGACCAGGCTTAGTCTCTCCCGTCTTAGGGTCGATAGGGTCCTTTGGCCCATCTACCGGTATGCCTCGTAGCACCTTGACCTCATAGTATATCCTGCCTTCTCTTGCAACCACATTGCCCCGTCCCATGCGCCAGCCCTTCTCTTGTGATACAATCGTCGCACTACTGTCGAAATGAAACCATCTGTCGCAGTCCTCGTGGCTCATCCTTGGTCCATACGGTCTAGAGTCGCTCTGTCTGTAGTATTGTTTGTGGCGGAACAGCGGGTCAGCGACGCAGTGAGTGTACTTGTAGCCCTTCTTGTTCCAGGCAATGTCGTGCGGCTTCTTCAACTCGGTGACTCCATCAGGCGCATACATGGGATTCGGCTCGTGGGAGACCAAGGTGCTGTCTTTGGGCGCCTCGTAATCTGATGGTCTGGGCTCAGGAATCGAATATCGCATAGGTGAGTCCGCCGAGGGACGTTCTTTCTTGGATGACTTCGCGCTGGGAGTGCTCTGCCGCGTAGTGGCTGAAGCTTCACGTTTCTTGATCGTCTCGCGCTTCTCTCTCTGCTCGCGCGCAGGAGCTTTGGGCCTGGCACGCGCTGCCGCATCGGGATTGGGGTTGAGCGGAGAAGACACAGCGGGCGCATTATCTCCTTCGAGTGGTCGCCTCATCGGAGGCACGAGTGTGGGAGTGTTGGAGCGCGAAAGGGGGCGTGAGTCGGCCATTTTGAGGGATCCTGTAGCTGATGGGGAAGGCGCGACAGCTGTGTCGGTGGAAGTCGCGACGGCAGACCCTGGACATGCAGCTGCTACGGCGGGCGGGTGGTACGCGAATGCAACCAAAAATTTAGTGGGGTGTCTGACTTTCTCGAACTTTTACTACTCACTGCTGCGACTTTCGATAAACGCCAGTTGGCAACACAGCCATTCCACAAAAATCTCAGACGGATAGATTGCGCCTTCCATAAACCATCTTCTGCGAGCACACACTCACCATGCCGAAAGCACCCAAATCGCCCGGTGCGCGCGACCAGCGACACAATCCTCTAGCCGAAGAATATGCGCCCTTAGACCCTTGGAAGAACAAGGCGCCGAAGCGACAAAAGCGAAACAAGAGCGACAAGGAAGAGGACGAACAGAAGTATGTAGACTCCAAGAGCTCGCGCAAAATCTTGGAGATCGGAAGAGAGCTCGAGGAGGAGGATGCGAGAGAGAACAAGGCCCGGAGACCGCAAGAGGCCAACCCAGCCTTCGACTTCGAGACACGCATGGGTGAGGATGACATGCCTGGGGAAGATTTGGTACAGGCCGAAGATGACGACGAAGCATGGGGCGAGGACGACGAAGAGGTAGAAGAAGTTGAGATCGACGCGAACGATCTGGCGGCGTGGAACAAGTTCATACCCACAGACGACAACCCCATTGTGTGGCCAGGCGAAGAAGCGCAACAATCGGGACCAGGCACAGATCTGGCAGCGCTTATTCTTGAGAAAATCGCCGCCCACGAAGCTGGAGGCGAAGTAAAACAACCAGAAATCCAAGGTGGTGGTGCTCCAGAAGACGCAATCGAATTGCCTGCAAAGGTTGTCGAAGGTACAAAAACCTCACTCTACAACCTGATAACCCTACTAAGCCTGCACAGTATACTCAAAGATTGGCTTAATCTTGAGCCGCTACAAGAGCGGCAAGCTGCCCAAGCCCTTCAAGATCCTGCCCACGATCCCCGCCTGGGAAACCCTTGTTGCCATCACACGTCCTGATGACTGGACTCCCAATGCCACCTTCGCTGCTACCCGGATCTTCATCTCAGCGAAGCCGCAAACGGCCCAAATCTTCCTCAACACTGTACTGCTACCTTTGGTACAACAGAACATTCGGGAAACACACAAGCTGAACGTGCATTTGTACAATGCGCTGAAGAAGGCGCTCTACAAGCCGAGTGCTTTCTTCAAGGGAGTCGTCTTCCCTATGCTCACAGATGTCTCTTGCACACAGCGCGATGCCGTCATTGTGGCATCCGTTGTAGCCAAAATCTCCGTTCCGGTCCTCCACTCGGCCGCCGCACTCCACCGTCTCTGTGAGATTGCTGCTGAGCAAATGTCTTCGGACCCCGATGCTGCTGGTCCCTGCAACATCTTCATCAAGACACTGCTCGAGAAGAAGTACGCCCTACCCTTCAAGGTCATCGATGCGCTTGTCTTCCACTTCCTGCGCTTCCGCGGCGTTGGTGCAAGCAGCGCCGACGCCATGGACACCGAGTCGGTAGCAGGCGACCTAGGCAACACGGGTAAGTTGCCAGTCATCTGGCATCAATGCTTGCTTGCTTTTGCGCAAAGATACAGAAACGACATTACCGAGGACCAAAGAGAGGCGCTGCTAGACTTGCTGCTTACAAGAGGTCACAAGAGCATCAGTGCCGAAGTACGGAGAGAGTTGCTCGAAGGAAGAGGGCGCGGTGTTATGATTGAGCCACCCGCTGTGGGTATCGATGGCGACGACACTATGATGATGGCCGTTGACGCCTGATTGAACAAAAAAAAATCCGTCACAGCTGTTTGTCATGAAGATTATGAGCATTTACCGGCGTTACTAGAAAGGAACATTTGCATTTTCTCTTTCTCCCTCTATCTCTCTGGGATTTCCAAATCGAAACTGAATATACATGCATTCACGTCCCCGAACCTCTGAGACTATCCTATTCGCTCTTCACTTCAGCCTTGCCCTTGTAGAACGCAACATAGCCCTTGATCTTGTTCATGCTTTCCAATGGCTCCGGGTAGTACCAAGCTGCATCTTTTACTTCCGTCTTGTTGGTTGTGACGGTGTAGTAGCTTGCGTCGCCTTTGTAAGGACAGTGTGTTTTAGTGTCTGTGGGGGTGAAGTGGTTACTTTTGATGGTGTTGGGTGGGAACTGGGTTGTGTTAGGGGTTTGAAGGGGAATAAAGTGTTCGGGTAGGGATCGGGGTGTGGTACGTAGATGTTTCCGTCAACGACTTCGTAGTTGTCGGTTTCAGCTACTACGATACCGTTTACGGTTGCGGTTGCATGAGGCATGTTTAGGGTATTGATTTGGAAATGAACTAAATTATGGAATGATGTTTGAATACTTCACAGTTTAGTAAAGAGGTGAGTGTGTTGTGATGTTGTGTAGTGGTTTGAGGGGGAGGGTCTATCGATAAGCATTCGAGCGGGGTGAATGCATGGCATCATCATTGTTGTTTGTAATATGAGCTTACGGTGCACGATGTTCGGCCGTGACTTTCGGTCCCGTCGTTTGAAATGTTGATATTCTGCTGTAGACTGCGTTGATCGTCTAGCATAGTTGCGCATTCAGAAGGTTGCACATGCCAAGTTGAACGAATTACTAGGAAAGAAATATGGAATTAGTTGATAAAGTCTCATGCTGGCGGGATAGCGCCTGCCAAGTCTATGAGCAGTCCCGGCAGCAGTCGATATCTCACGAGGAACAAGTCGCCTTTTTATATTTGACATGTCAATGTCATCTAACAAACCGCTAGTATAGACATGCCTTGCTCTCCGTCTTTGCCAAGCATACAATTTGAGTAATCAGTAGGCGTGCATTCGTGGTGCGTGTCGCCTCGGGCGATGTAGGATGGATACTGCTGACCACAACCGTGGGTAGGCGGGTCCGCAAAACCACGACTTGTTTCAGTCAAGTATGCAGGTTCGCTGAGGCTCATTGACATGCGGCTCGGCTAAAAGGCACCGGAAGCCATAATTCATCCCCTCCGAGGCGCCGGGTGCTCACTGCAAAGGTGCATGTACATGACTGACCAGCGGAGTCGGTGCCGAGCCGATCCAGGGCGCGGCCATGCCTTGTTGAGCTGAACAAGGTGGTGCAGAAAGAATCGTGTGTGCGGTGAGTCAATTTGCAAATATTTTGAGTATTATCGCTGGACGTGGGTGAGAGGGTTAGCTGCAACAGCATCACCAAACCCAAAAGAAAACGTGGGAGTGCCGGGTGATCGGCCTCGACGAACTAATGGTAGCTGTGCTCGCTCTACAAATAATTCGCGTGTGAGCGTGGACACGGCAGGGCGGGCTTTAATTGGAACAAGGCTTATCTTTTGGCGCAGAAAGCAAAGACCCCTGCTGAGACGTCTCGGTAGGGTGTTCGTCATCGCTAAGAAAAAGTTGACTTCGGCGCACTAGAGGGCCACCCTCAACACGTCTTGTTCGCCTTCCCTATCACTTATACCCAGCCATTGATTTCCAGAAGCTCTCTCGCAGCTTCTTTCATCCCAATGGCATCCAACATGAGGCCGCTTGCCGCTTCTGCCAATATGCTCTCGCAGGTTCAGCTGGCTGGACGCAGGACCTTTAGCACACAGCGCCCGTCGCTTATCGCCAACAGGGCGCGATGGACTCCCCGGCCTACCCAGTACCAGATTGCCCTTCGCCAGTCTGTCCGCCAGCAGTCGAGTGGAGCGCCCAAGCCCAAGCCCAAGAGGTTCCGCCTCCTGCGCTGGACATGGCGCCTCACCCAGCTCTCCGCCATCGCCGGTCTTGGATACGTCGGATACGGCATCTACGAGACTCGCAACCCCGCCGACCAGCCGCCACCCGACCCAAGCAAGAAGACTCTGGTTGTTCTGGGTGAGTAGCGATGGATCAACTGTGCATGTTTGGAACGCCTCTGACACGCGACAGGTACCGGCTGGGGCTCCGTCTCTCTGCTGAAGAAGCTCGATACGGAAAACTACAATGTCATTGTCGTCTCCCCCCGAAACTACTTCCTCTTCACTCCCCTCCTTCCCTCATGCACTGTCGGCACCATTGAGCATCGTTCCATCATGGAGCCCATCCGCAACTTCTTGCGCCACAAGAAGGCCCAGGTCAAATACTACGAAGCCGAGGCCACCAAGATCGACTACGAGAAGAAGGTCGTCTACATCAGCGATGACTCAGACATCAAGGGCGATGTCTCGCAGACCGAGGTTCCCTTCGACATGTTGGTCGTTGGTGTCGGTGCTGAGAACGCCACATTCGGTGCGTCACTCGCCAATTCAGAGCCCAATCAAGCTAACATGGAACAGGTATTCCTGGTGTCAAGGAGAACGGTCTCTTCTTGAAGGAGGTTGGCGACGCCCAGCGCATCCGAAACCGCATCATGGACTGCTGCGAGACTGCCACCTTCAAGGACCAGTCTGACGAAGAGAAGAAGCGCCTGCTACACATGGTCGTTGTTGGAGGTGGCCCTACCGGTGTCGAGTTCGCCGGTGAGCTCCAGGACTTTTTCCACTCCGATCTGAAGAAGTGGCTCCCCGAGATCCAGGATAACTTCCATGTTACCCTTGTCGAGGCCCTGCCCAACGTCCTTCCCATGTTCTCCAAGCAGCTCATCGACTACACTGAGAAGACCTTCAAGGAGGAGACCATCACCATCCGCACAAAGACCATGGTCAAGAACGTCACACCCAAGTACATCGAGGCTGAATCGAATGGCCCTGACGGCAAGAAGCAGCTCGAGAGGATCCCTTATGGTCTTCTCGTCTGGGCTACTGGTAACGCTCTCCGACCCATTGTCAAGGACCTCATCAACCAGATTCCCGCACAAAAGGACTCGCGCCGTGGTTTGGCCGTGAACGAGTACCTCGTCGTCAAGGGTACCGAGAATGTCTGGGCTGTCGGTGACTGCGCTGTTGCCAATTACGCCCCCACTGCCCAGGTTGCTGCTCAGGAAGGTGCTTTCCTCGCCCGCATGTTCAACAACATGGCTAAGACATCCGACATTGAGAACGAGCTTGCCGAGCTCTCCGTTGCTCAGGAGACGGCACCAGGCAAGGAGGCCCGTGACAAGGTCTTCGGTGAGATCAAGGCTCTGCAGCAGAGGCTGAGGAGGATCAAATCCATCGGTCCCTTTGAGTACTCTCACCAGGGTTCGCTCGCCTACATTGGTTCCGAGAAGGCTGTTGCCGACATCTCATGGTTCTCCGGCAACATCGCTTCCGGCGGTACCATCACCTACATCTTCTGGCGCTCCGCATACCTCAGCATGTGCTTCAGCACCCGCAACAGGATATTGGTTATGCTTGACTGGGCCAAGGCCAAGTGCTTCGGTCGCGATGTGTCACGTGTCTAAACGCCTTTTCACCACTGGCGTTCCTCCTTCTTTTCTAGAGATTCCCTAAAAGTTCGACTTCCTGAAGGGCAAGTGCTATCAACCATGGCATTGCCAATGTATACAACACACACCTCCCGGCTTTTCTGTACGATTACCAAGACATGTTTTGTATAGGGGTGTGATACCTTCGCAGTAGGGAGGGCTCTTCGGGTTTTCGGTCTGGTTACATTGTCTTGTTGCTAGTCGAGCTCGGCGTTTTGGTGCCTTTTTCCTTGTCAGAAGCGGTTTAGATAGATTTGGCTTCCCCCGTTAGTTTCTAAAATAGCGGAGGATCCAATTGCAGTATTACCATGTTCCAAGACCCTTGCCTTCTATGAGCCTTGAACACTGAATAGACGTTAGTTCAGCGACTGTTGTTGCAAGTGAACTCAGTGAACGTTGGCTACAAGTAAAATAATGATCATTGTATCATAAGTCAAGATATATATAGGCGTCAAGGCCAGTGGTTCCGAAAAACGCCATTCGTAAATGCGACTCTCAATGCAATATATGCCCAGTAATAAAACCCAACCATGATTCTCAATACACGTTATAAATGCAACTAGTTGGTTCACTACCGAGGACTACCCACGGCCCCATAACTCCTCGGACTCGCATGTCTACTCGTTCCCAAAAGCGCCCTGGCTTCTTCCAACGCACTGCCCTTCCTTTTGATAGGAATGCTCTTGCTCGAACTACTTCCAGCCAAACTCGCCGGACTAGTTTCTCTCGGAGAATCCATGGGCGTGTTCGCACGGCTCACGTTCGGCGTAGCAGCTACGCTAACAGCAGGTGCCCAGCCCCTCATCCACCCGCTCACGCGGCGCCAATGCAAACTCCTGCGCACCAGCTTTCCGTGATCGTCGACTGTGATGATGACTTCGTCGTCGCGGGGCAATGGAGATCGACCTCGTGGTGTGGCGTCACCGAAATACCAGAATTGGAGGCCGACTGCTGCATCCATGAGAAGAACGCCTGCTGCGCCAAGGAAAAAAGGTGCTGCGCGTAGAACCCAATCCTTCCTTACGCTGCCTTGAGGATCAACCCAGCCTGAGCCTTCGCCGGGCGCGTAGTCGTACCATGCGCAAGGGTTTGTGAGTAAGGAAGTCGAGTAGAAGAGGTTACCGAAAAAGGCTGCTGCAAAGAGCGCGGGTGAGAGACCAGCTGTCGATTTGCGGACTTGGTTCATGTAGAGTTGCGGAAGACGGGATCCAAGGTAGAGGAACGTGCTCATCCAGGAGAAGACTTTGCCGGCGATTACTGAAGCGTTGGATGAGGTGGTTGTTGTGGTTGTGTAGGCGGAGAGGCTGCGAGCTCGGACGAGACCTGGGGCGAAAGGACTTATTGGTGTAGCGGTAGTAGGGTTGATAAGCACTGCGAGCATAAGACTGACGTATAGGACAGTCTTGGGTGAGGGCATAGGTGAGCTCGATGCTGCTACCCGCACCTTGGGGTTCGGGGATGCACCAGATGGAGGTGTGTTCTGCCACGAGTCTTTCGTAGGCATGGGCGAGCGCGCAAAGTTGGGTATCCTAAAAGTGTCCTTTGCATTTGAGCGCGGTACATCCTTTGCCGCACTATCTTGTGTGTTGCTCTTCTTGTCGGACGAATCTTGTGGTGTCTTTGGAGGGCTGGATGTCTTGTTTGTACCACCTATGCTCATGCCATCCAGGACTTGATGCATAGCAGAGCCTCCAGCGCCCGAACCGCTGCTCCAACGTCCCCAGATGGGTCTCAGGGGCCTTCCGTGATGCAACATCTCGTACCACACCCACTGAGCACACAGGCAGCAGTCTACAAAGACGTAGTAACCTGCGATTATGATCTGCCACGACGCCTGTCCAGTAAACAGGCACCCCAACAAGTTCGTAACATCACCCAGCAGCCATTCCGTCAGAAAGAAGGCGCTTAACCCCGACGTCGACTTCAGCTTATGGTTCTTGTATATTTGCGGCAGTTGCGCGAACAGCCATGATACGATGCTACACGTGCCGAGCAGTGTAGAGACGAGCGCGAGGTTCGTAGGTACGCAGGTGTGGAAGAAGGCTGAGAGGTGATAGAGGAACTCGTTCGCAGGTTCGCAGTTCGGTGGTAGCGAGGGTTTGGCTATATGTAGGGGAGATAGGTAGGGCGGCATGGTGCCATACGTCGAATGCGAGGGTTCGGTAGGAAGTAACGATGCAGCTTTCTAGGGCTGTAATGTCCGTATAGAGTCAACCGGGGCTGCTAACCCAGGTGTTTCCCTTATGCTTGTTGCGTTTTGCTTCTTCTTCACGTCTCGGTAGCGCAGGCGGAGTGGTCAGGTGCTGATTTGGGTTCTTGGTACAGCCGCAGAGGTGTGGGCGCAGCCTCGTATACAACACACGCGTAACGTCAGTGTCAGAATTCAATGATGGATCTGGCGACCGTGTTTCTAGAAATATTTCCAGAGTCAACGCGTGAGAGTTGCTGTTCGAATCTCGGCGCGGTGACGTCGTTGACCCGATGCGTTGCTGATAAGAGTCGACGTGCAAAACAAGAGGATACGGCAACCACGGAAAGCGCAGAATGCAGGTAATGGAAGAGGAAGAGTAGTAGAGAAGACACGAGACGTCAGAGGAGTGTGACAGAAGACACACAGCAACTCAGCGGCCGTCAACAGTCAACAGTCATCATCCCCAGCCAGCCGTAGACTCGATAAAGGAAGCTCTCCACATGCTAGAGGATCCCCCCCGGCGGGCTCGCATGACCGATACTAGGCCAGGCGGCATCCGTTACGGCTAGGCCAGGCATGACGGGGGGATCAGTGTGACTTGTGCGGGTGGGATGCTATGAGTGATAGATAACAGTTGCTTATCTCGAGCGCGAGGGCGGGCACGCGACTATGCTAGCTTACTGTACATCTGCCCTTGCCGCCGCTCGCGAGCCTTGGCAATGCGCATCATCCCAGCGCGTCCGGCGGAAGGCTTACCGGCTGGCTCTCACAACATCGATATAGCATCACCTGATCTACGCATATCTGAGATCGGATCAACTTCAATCTCGAGTCGACCTCTAGCGCCTCCTGCGTGGTTGTAATGCATCCGTATCTGCCCCTCCTCCGCCATCGGATGGGGCGTTCGCTTCGGCCTCCAAGCGTCAACTAATACACTCCACTAAGATCTGCCTCGAAACGTAACAGAAACTCACCGTCGAACAGAGCGAAGGATCGTCGTGTCTCGACGTTCTTGGGAGTGGCACTTCAATGGGAATGGACCAGGCTGGGAAATGCTACCGAGAACACAAAACGAAAGCAAGTTTGAAAGTAATACCATTGGAGTCAACTATCACACACATCATTCATATCCTCATATTTGGGTAAATTTGGCGACCTGCGGCACCCAATGTCTAAACAACATCACCGTCATTCTCAACCCTCGCGTATCCTCCCTCCCTCTGCGCCTTCCACTTCGGACTACGATCCATCAGCACGACTCAGCATGCGACGGGGGGCCGAGTAAACATACTAGAAGAAGTTCTTGAATCCCACAATACCAGCAGTCATCGCCGCATATCCGCCCAGCAACCTTGACCAATTACCCTCCTGTCCAACAGCCAACGCAACGAGATCGTACACCAAGCAGCCACCAAAGATCCAGTCGCTCATACTCGCCGCCGCAGCGAATCCAACACCGGTAGCGACTTGTACCAGCGAGCTAGGCTCCACACCCACATAGTAGGCTGCTGCTGTGTTGTGAAGGAGATCCAGTACACCGATACCTGCGAATGTCTTTGCAACGATGTGGGTGAGGAAGTTGGGCGTTGAGCGTGTATTGATCGGCTCGAGCGCTGTGGCGATATAACCGACTTGCGCCAGCGTATTGATGATGACGAAGATGTTTGACGTCTCCAGGTTATTCGAGTTCCAGAAAAACATCCAAGCTGCCGCACGCGTCAGTTTTCATTTCCAAGGCCATACAGTACTTTAGCGGTAAGACATACTTCCGATGCAAAAGTTTCCCAAACTGTAAACCCACGCAAACTTGTTCATCATCGTACACTCCTTCGCATTACCATCTTGCTTCCACAGTTTCCACAACCAGACCAGCTGGAAGATTTGTTGTGGGAAAAAGAATGCGCCGATGAAGTATGGGTATGGACTAAACGCTGCAAGATTCCGGTTATGGATATCCATCATGTTGGGCGACGAAAAGATGCCATATTGTTGTAGGGCAAAGTCGTAGATGAAGGATGCAGGCGCAAGGTAGCGCACCGTGGATTGTGTGTTGCCCATGCTGAGGGTTGTGACGGGGTTCGAGCGGGTGGTGGTAAGGGTGAAAATACGGTCACGTGTACGAATGGGATGCAGCGTTATGGGATTGTAGATGTGGGATAGGATTGAATTGAAAAGTGTGGTATACTATTGTCTTTGTACCATCTCAAGTCGCGTTTGTCGTAAATCGAAGACGTCATCCCATGATACGCGATCTCAAGGTCCAGCTCCCGATGCCGCATGAACATCATCTTCATCATCGTGCTGTCGGTACCTGGCGGAACGTTGCGCACCGACTGCAACTGCATCGACGTCTCGTATCGTCTCGGCTTCGGAGTTCTTGCGTCGAAACCTCCGACATCAGTCATGTCGCAAACGCGGAGGCCTTGAGCTTGTTGCTGTGATGTCTATTTGATACTATTTACAGCTCATACTCCAGTCCTTTTTCCTCGCATAAACCTCGCAACTAATCCTCTTCAACCTCACCAAGCCACGCCCTATCAATTGCAACATATACCCGTTGCAGCTCTGGTGCTGTGGCTCCCCAACCGCCTTCGACAAAGTCGTACAACACCGATGCCAACTCCTCCGCGCCCCAGGCATCGCCAAGGAAGTCATCAGTAAAGCAAAGTTTCTTCATACTTGATGGTATGACTTGCCCTATCCTCGGCGCAATGAAAGGCTTGCAGCCTAGTAGTACGGCAGGCGCGAGTTGGAGAGAGGAAAGAACGGGAAAGTCGTGGAAATGACACCCACCGCGTGCAAGGCTATCCTCATGTGCGATAGGCAGGATAGGCGGCTCCAAGTGGCAGACGAACCTCAAATATTCCAAGGTGCTTTTAACGACATTAAGAGCAGCGCTGAGCGATGCGCAGATTAGTGAATCATTAGTCCAGTACTCGTAGTCCAATGTAGTAAGAGCAGGCGTACAGGACAGCAGTTTTGCGAGCGTGTCTGGCGTCACTGAAGGCTCGTGAATCTTCAGAGTCGTCAGCTTGGAGCAGATAGGCGGGGATTCCATTTTCCGGAACCCCTCGTGAGCAATCTCATCCATTAGGTTCATCTCGATCATCTGGATATTCGAACACCAGAAGAAAGCCCAATACCCCCTCCAGTCGAGATGGAGATGCAGCCACTGAACCCAATTCCACATGTCAGATTGTTCTTTGTCCTCATCAGCAATATGCATATACCCAACCTTATCTTGCGAAGCTTTTCACACCCTGGAGTTTGCTTCACGCCTTCAATAGAAGGTACCTTCCACAAGAGCTTAGGGAGAGATACTACTTCGTCTCCAACATGGAACCCTAGATGAAGCGATGCGAGATTTGGGCACACCCATATGAGGAGCGCGATGGTAGCATCTAGATCGTACATGAAGATAGCATCACACCAAGACTGGTCACTAACTGCAAAAGCATGTCCATACTCATCGCGCTGCTCTTCGAGCCCTATATTACGCACGGCATCCACGACCAACCGCTGCTTCGCCATCGTCCAAGCTGGGGCGACATCAGGTTCGGGCTTATCCAAAGGTTTCCGTCTACGCCGAGAAAGTACCCCAGGATGACCAATAGCCCTCAAATCCCGTACTCTGCAGTTCGAGACTGGCGATCGATTGCGCGTGTTCGGGTTCTACTAAGAGCGTTTGGAGGAGAAGGTTGGGACGGAGAGATTGTGCGAAATCCTGACAATCAACCATCAGTGGGCGGGTTGGTTCACTGGCTTTCCATTTAATGCCGACATGTTTGTAGAGGTGCCCTATTGTCTTTGCGTGCAGAACTTTGCAAGTTCGAGATAGGTTTGAGATGTCTTGCGATGAAGAAAGGTAGCTGAGTGTGTGTTCCAGGAGCTCTTGGGGAAGCTGAGCAAGCAGAGTAAGCGGATATGCGCTGTTTGAGGAGTGTATCATGAGCTCTCGGTAGTATTGGGTAGATAAATGGGGTTTTTTCCATGAAGGTTGCATTCAGGCAGATGCGAACGTAGGCCCGTAGTAAATGGCCATGAATCCATGTTGGCGCTGAGGTCCGTGTCTTCCAGCTCCACAACTCTTCGATCCTTCCGCCCCTTTCGAGACGACACCGTATCAACACACTCGTCTTCATACGAGCCATATACAACTCTTGAGGTCATCAAAACATGATTGCCATATTATGAGAACTGTTTAAGTACAATGGCGTCCTCGGTATCTAGTCAGCGTCGTCGGCGAACCTCGCAGCCCAACCCAGCATGCTGCGACGCCCTCCTCACATGGCATGGTCCCCTTGTGCAAATATTCAGTACTGATTTGGCAGAATTGCTTCCGGAAAAGAGCTTTCGCAATCAACAGCGCGATTGGAAGACGATGCTTGAAGAAAGAGTTTGGATTTGTATGGTATGTAAAAAGGTCATGATGTCAAACAAATCTTTCCGTAACTTTCCAAGTGACACAATATGTATTTTCATCTGTTGGGTCTTCCTCAAGTCTGCGTACAAGACACAGATATCAATGAAAAGGCGGGCCGTGAGTGAACCCAAGATGACCAATTCGATGCGACTTACCTTCCATTTCAAAGTCTTGTCTTTTGATAGAATGGTGGTCGAGAAAGGTAAGTAACCGGTACTGGTCTGACCGCTCATGCTATTTAGAGAGAGACTTCACTACAATAAGATGCCACCCGAACGTTGAGCAAGCCCAACGCTTGGTAAGGATTTCGTTCAGGGTCGAGCATGTCACTAGAGTAACGTAGCTCTAGCAATGAGAAGGGCTGACTACCGCACCGGGCGGTCGCAATCATCGTCAGCTCTTCATTCTCTTACCTTTCACAAATCCATACAAGTAGCGACGAGTGGTACTGGAAGTTCCGGCTTGTTTTTGAGTGCGCTTGCATTAGGGTGCGCACTGGTCGAGTGGAGTCTTGTCGAAATCAGTAATCTCGAGCCGAAGCGAGCTGTACCAGAGACTGTTTCTCTGAACTAACCGCTGTAAACATTGCAAAGCTTAAAGAAGAAAGGAAGGAAAGAGGTTGGGGTGCGGCGATATACATAGCTTCAGCGGCGCCATTGTACGCTATACCCTGGAGTTTCCCTGCACTGGTGGTGAAGGAGAAGGAGGTCTAGCTCCTCGATGGGTCAATATCCGCGTGTTAGGCCCTACAAACGCTCAAAATGGCTCCACCAGGAAACGCATCGACCCCGAACTTGGGTTGTCTGTACATACTCTGGAGGTACCTATCGATCCTTCGATATCAACACCACACAAGGCTGTACTCGAACCAACTATTCCTACGATTGCTGCTGGTCATCCACCATTTCCATCCACCATGGTCGCAACACGAGCCGAAGCTCTCGATAAGGAGCTCCAAAAGAGAAGAAAGCATGTGCTGCAACTAAACAAGAAGTTGTTGACTTGGGGATATGGTTGAGAGAATTGAAGTGCATACGTAAGGTGGTTGAAGGTGTCTGGTCCCAAAATGCACACTCCGAGAAGATGATATAGAGAACAATGGAGAGATGAAGAAGGTTCACACCGACGACAAGGGACTGTGAGCTTCCTCACCTAGACTACTAGTAAACCCCCTAGAAAATTACGAGGCGCGTTCGCTGCCGTTCTCTCGATCCCATCAGCTCAATTCTGCCTAAGGGACTGTCAAGATCCGAATTCGGCGCACTTGCAAACCTGAAGGGGTGACCCTCTTAGCGTCGGATATATGACTCGTGTAATTTTCCATTAGCCTTCCCCGCATCTGCACGCGCACGCCATGAACGGGCACTACGGGTCAAGATCGCGTAGCACAACCATGCTTTCGACTTATGCAAAATAATTCCGATATTTTTGCGTGTAAGATGGTGCCCCGTGGGGCAACCTTCGAGTATGCGATGTTTAGCTGCTCGTGTCTCGCTCTGTTGTTTTATCTCTGCCTCTCCTCTTCTCTACTTTTAATCCAACCCGCAACAGCACTCTTTCTCCTTCTGTAATATCTCTCTTCATACCTCAGAACCTCCGCCGTTGATTGATCTACCACATCATGACAGCAATGTCAATCCCGCACCTTCGCAAGACCAGAACCTCAAGCCAGCTCATCGTTAATGGCGAACCTTTCCTCATGCTCAGCGCAGAGCTGCACAACTCCACACTCAGCTCAGCAAAGTACATGACCGATGACAAGATATGGCAGAATATGCGTGAGATGCACATCAACACGTTGCTCGGTTCAGTATCCTGGGAGCAGATCGAGCCAGTAGAGGGTCAGTTTGACTTCTCGAACCTTGATGCTGTGATACTGGCGGCGCGCGAACATGGTATCAAGCTTGTGTTGCTTTGGTTCGGCAGCTTCAAGAACGCGCTGAGCACATACGTACCTGCTTGGGTCAAGAAGGACGTCAAACGGTTCCCGAGAGTGCATGCGCTGGAAGCAGGAGGCAAACGGAGAACGCTGGAGTTATTAAGTCCATTCTGCGAGGCGGCATGGACAGCTGACGCAAAGGCGTTTTCGAGACTCATGGCACACTTGAAGGAGTTTGATGGGAAGCATAGTACCGTGCTAATGGTACAAGTTGAGAACGAGACTGGATTGCTAGGCGATTCCAGGGATCGCTCAAAGGTCGCCGATAAGAAGTTTCAGGAGCCTGTACCGAAAGATCTGCTTGAGCATCTGCAGTCGAAGAGCGCTGAACTACATCCAGAGTTCCAGAGACGGTACGATGTTAGCGCCGCTAAAGTAGGCGAAACATCATGGGCAGAGCTCTTCGGTGCCGACGACATTATCAACGCTAATGAGATGTTCATGGCAGACGCCTACTCAAGGTACATCAATCACGTCGCATCCGCTGGCAAAGCAGAATATCCGATACCTCTATACGCCAACGTCTGGTTGAACTTCGATAACCCTACCGATCTCGATCTTACCGATATACCAGTTGTAGTGGGCGGCGGAGAGAAAGCCGGCATCTACCCGTCCGGCGGCCCATGTCCGCATACGATGGACGTCTACACCTTCAACGCCCCTAGTCTAGACTTCATAGCACCAGACCTATACTTTCACGACTATGAGATGACCTGTCAGAACTACAGACATGGCGGTCAACCATTGTTCATACCCGAACAGAGGCGTGACGAGAAAGGTGCGCGACGGATCTGGAGTGCTTATGCCAACTACCTTGCGCTGGGCTGCTCCCCTTTCGGCATCGATTCTCTTTCAGCATCCGAAGGCGCCTTCACAAAGCACTATGGCTTGATCCATTCACTACGAAAACAGATTCTGGAAGCACAGGCGAACCGGCCTGAAGATATGATGGGCTTTTTCTTCGACGACTTCGTCGATGGCCAGAAGATCAGCGAGAAGCCTCGAACAAAGACGATGGGTGGCTTCCAGGTTATCATAGAACGTGCGTTCGTCTTTGGTAAGCCGGGACCCGGAGCGGGCATGGTCATACACCAAGGGGATGGCAAGTTCCTTTGTGCGGGCTGGGGCTTCAACCTCTCCTTCAAGAGCGCCAATCCCAAGTCAACGTTCACTGGCATTCTACACGCAGAGGAGAAGGAGGTCGATCCTGAGACGTGCGAGCTATCGACGCTAAAGATTCTAGGTGGTGATGAGACAAGAAGTGGCGAGTTTTTGATCATGCCGAACGAAGATCCCGACTACGGAGGTTTCCCTATCGCGGTCACCATTCCTGCTAGAACCTGCATCGCTGAGTGCTGGGCATATAGCCTCGAAGAAGATGAGGACGACTTTTGAAGAACCTAGATAATAGGCATCTGGCATGTTGTAACACAGATACTTTCAATAGAATCATTTCGCACATCATTCACACCTGCTATGCTACAGAGAGCGTGAAATCAGACATATGGTGTTTGCACCGCAACCCGTTGATCGAGACTCTCCAACTTTGCTAATAGCTTGTCCAAATTAATGCTTGCTTGCAAAGTGGTGCCTTGCGATCCGGTTCGCAGCTCATCCAGAAGAGCACCACCAATATCTCTGATTTTCGGCACAATGCTATATCCGTTAGCGTCAAACACCTCTTCTGGCATGTTGTAGAGAACATCGAGCAGTTCATCCACTACCCGATGTCGCTCGTCGATGATAGCACCTGGAGTGACTCGCATGTTCTGATCCTTGGCCAGGGTGTTCATCTGTTCAAGTAGATTTGATCGAATGTGCAGTTGCGTGACTTTGAGATTGACCTTTTGCACATTGAAGGCGAACTCCCCAACGTGAGGCGGTCGCCACCCAAGCTCCGGTGGTAGATCTTCAAGCAATTGTTGAGTGCGCATGATGTGCTCATGTAAGTTATCCATAGTCTGAGTCGGAATCGCTTGGCTGGAATGCCATACCATGAAAAGCCTGGAAAGTGCGTTGAGTCCCGGGATATACGAGAGGCACAGACTCGTGTCCTCAGCGAAGCTGGTGTCGGCGCCTTGTAGTAACTGGTTATCGCTGACCTCCAACGGAAGCAGATGGCCGAAGGCTTCATGCGCGTGACGCAGTATCAGTAGCTGTCTGCCATGCATATCGCAGGTGCACTGGCCGGCATAGATCAGCCAGTAAAGGCGCTTGAGGGTTTGCTGATCCATGAACGACATCCGCTCAAAACTCTCATGAATAAGGTATTTGATGCCAACCGAGCTCTCCGCACAGAGGCGGTAGGTCAGCGGAGAACCAAGGCCATGCTCATGATTGACAGCGCTGGAAAAATTGTACAGCGCCAGTGTTCTCTCTAGTGTGATCTCGCTGCCTACGCTCCACATTCTGAAGCGTTCAGCCAGATCCAGACACGATTCTACCGATAATTCTCCATAAAGGTGGCGCCGCCTACGAAGGCTAGCCACAGTGGCAGCGCAGACTGACACTACCAACAGAAAGAACGCTGTCGAGCCGTCATCCTCGGAGACTCTTCGCATAAACAGAGCACGATGGAAAAGCGGAGCTACAGGATGAATCCAATCGAACCAGTCAGTCATGGCCTGGTGGATGATGGCAGGCGGTGCTATGAGCCCCAAACGCGGTTGTTGGGGTTCGCTCTCCGCTGCGGATATGACACCACCATCGAGGCGCGCACGCAGTGAATGTACATATCGATTCTTTGGCCCTCTCTTTTTGCGTGGTCGCATACTCGTGCACTCAATATCGAGCTCAGTACAGACCGAGCATTTTGATTCGCTAGTCGACGCGACGCACTGGCGATGTCAGGCGGCGAATCTGCTCTGATCCAAGTACTCCTCACCTTAACTTTCCTCGTACGGCATGCATCGCAGGCTGCCGAAGTACGCTGCCGAACGCGCTCATCGGGTTCCGATCGTTCTTCCATGTCGTGATCGATGATTGAAGCGTAGAGAACCTGGACGCCGCAAAAACTGACGGAAAAATGATGCATTAGCGTCAGACCGACGCTAGCCTCAAGCACCGAATTAACACCCATGCGTCCTCTCCGCACTGTCGCTCCACTTCCCCATGGCACTGGATGCGGGCATACCGACGATTTGGTCGAGACCACGAGGTGCGTCAGACAACTTCGCTCGAAGTATATATACACGTAGAGATCTGCACAATTGAAGCAGAAGTATCCAGGCTTCATCGCTCAAAAGTCGCCTCTGCACATCGACCACTATGGGCAGCAAACAGGACATCGGAGTCGTTCATCGAGAAGATATTGATCCTCACGGTCAACCAGAAGAAGACATGCGACCATGGTATCACCAGCCTGAATTGCGGAAGCTGTATCTGCTGATGCCATTTTTGTTCCTTGGTTCTACCACCTTAGGGTATGATGGTAGTCTTCTCAATGGTCTGCAGACTATGCCAGCATGGAAAGAGTGTATGTCTCTACTTTCCTACATCTCATTCCAACAGTCAAGAGCTGACAGTGTTGTCAACAGTCTTCCATCACCCCACAGGATCACGTCTCGGCCTCCTAGGTGCATTCCCAGGATTCGGCGGCTTCGCAGTTCTCCTATTCACACCCTACATTGCTGACCTGATGGGGCGCAGGCTAGGAACAGCGATCGGTTGCCTCCTCGTCATCCTTGGCTCAATCATCCAGGCCTTTCCACGCCAAGACAACCCAGACGCCATGTTCCTAGCCGGCAGATTCATCATGGGAATGGGCAGCAACATTTCGAATGCGACATGCCCACTCCTGATCACCGAGGTTGCGCATCCACGACACCGAGGCAGGGTAACGACTGTATACAATACATTGTGGTATCTGGGTGCCATCATCGCTGCGTGGACAACGTACGGCACCTTGACTCATATATCTTCCGATCTATCGTGGCGTCTTCCTGTCGGCCTTCAATGCGCCATGCCCGGTATACAGCTTCTTGCTTTATACCTCCTCCCAGAGGTGAGTCGGACTGCATATGCATGCCGAACATACACTAACTTCGTGTCAGTCTCCGCGTTGGCTAGTCAGCAAGAACAAGCACTCTGCCGCAAAGAAGGTACTCACCAAATATCACGGCAATGGAGCCGAAACCGACTTCGTGAATTGGGAATACAACGAGATTAGCCTAACGCTGGAGGCTGAGAAGGCCGCGAGTGCTTCCAGTGGGTGGTACGAATTAGTCCGGACACCTGGAAACAGGAAGCGTTGTTTGCTGATCATCCTGACCGCCATCTTTTCGCAATGCTCGGGTAACGGGCTCGTGAGCTACTATCTTGCAGCAGTGCTCCAGACTATCGGCATAACCAACTCCTCTGACCAAGCGCTCATCAATGGTGGTTTAACAATCTGGTGTTGGCTCGTTTCCCTCGGATGCGCTTTCCTTGTTGATCGAGTGGGGCGACGAACACTCTTTTTGAGTGCCGGCATTGGTATGCTTATTGCCTTCAGCATCTGGACTGCATGCAGCGCAGTGTATGCGCAGACTGGAAACTCGAGTGCCGGATCTGCGGTACTGGCCATGATTTTCCTCTTCTATGGTGGTAAGTTGCCTTCTCTTTTCTTCAGTCACACATCGCATCATGTGAACGCACCAACTAATGCAATCACAGCCGCCGGTATCGCTTGGCCTGGCCTAACAGTTTCCTACACCGTCGAAATCCTCCCTTTCAATATCCGCGCCAAAGGCCTCACACTTTGCTTCGTGTTCACATCGCTAGCCGGTATCTTCAACCAATACGTGAACCCTATTGGTATCGAAACGTTGGGCTGGAAGTTCTATATCGTATACGTTGTGGTGTTGGTACTGGAGTGCTTGGCCATCTACTTCCTGTACGTCGAGACGAAAGGCCCAGCTTTGGAAGAGATCGCGTTGCTGTTCGATGGTGATCGTGCCAATGTCGCAGGGACGAACCTTGCGTTAGACCAGAACGGTGGGTTGAAGGAGCTCAAGAGTGGAGAGGAATAAGCAAATTTTCCGTCACCGCGAGTGTAGCACCTGGTTGAATTGGAGCGATGAGCAAGGTAATTCAGCAGAAACAAAGTGTAAAGGCACATCCAATCCCCAGGTGACTTCGAATGTGTAAGCAATATTCTCAACATGAAATTGGCCTTATGGCGTTCGTACAACTAGGTGGTGACTGAGAGGGCAATCTTCTTTAGGCATATTTCATAGACTTGTGACGCAACAAATTAGAAGCCAGAGCCTATCCATAGCCACTAAGGCTGCACGAAAGCTATGACAGGACTTACTTCAACTCTCTTGGTAAATTTGGTGGTGAGTTGAAGCGATGATGGAGCTTTGAATGAGACTCTGATTGGTAAATTCCGAGGAATTCTCCACCAGCAGGTGTTTATACTTATAAGGACTTCGTGTCTACTATCCTTCCGGCAGACAGCCCGCGCGCGTCCTCTATCGATCGAAGTCATTATCTCAAACTGGAGTGACGATTTTCTTGCTGCAGTGTTGTCGTGACCATGATGTTCTTGTTGCCCACAGCAAGCTCTTCCTGGCTGCTCCGCGTGTCGTCCCAGTATACGTCGCGTCTAGGAACTTTTTTTCTGCCACTGCTAATAGCAACAACATTCATCTTGATCGCGTCTGGGTAGTTCGATTCTGCTCCAGACCGACTCTGGTTGTGTCGAACGTACCCGCTTGTGTCATATGAGACGTGAGGCGTGTGTGTATTTCGGTAGAAGACAGCGAATGCAGGACAGCAACCGATGCAGACAGCTATAGCCGACTCAACGAATGTCCAGATAGCGAGCCAAGTTGGACTGGGCGACGCGCTGTTTCCAGTTTTGATGCCGATCTGCACGACGCGCAGAGTGGCGAAACCAATGCATACGAAGCCTGATGCGAAGAGCGCGATAACAGCTATTTTCTGCGCGCGTGCCTTTGAAGGTTCCAAACTAGTCGAATTGGGAGAAACATGACTGGCATTATTAGTGTTCCTGTTGTGGTGGGATGATTTACTACGTACTCATGAAGTCTGACAAGATATCGACCGCGTAGGACATGTATAGACTCGCAAGCTGGCCACGGACGCTTCGAGGACCAGAGCATTGCCCTTTCATCATCAGGGCGGTAAAATCCGGGCAGGAAGTAAAATAGGAGATGATACAGCCGATAAGAGACTACATCAGAGGTTTTAGTGGGGAGTGAAGAGCATGCAATGACATGAACTTACAATTATGCAAAACGCAAACACTGCCCACCAGAGGTTTTTCCACACGCTCGGTAGGCCATCTAGTAGCTTTTTGTATAGTGCTAATAGAGATAGCTTGACCGACCATAGTGCCAACCAGAACAACGTTGTTGTAACAAAAATCGTCCGAACGTAGGCAAGGATGTCGGCCTCTATAGTTGGCCAAGCTGGAAGTAATCCTATCTGGTACTTTGAGATTGCGTAGACCTTAGAGATAACGGTGAGGTAGCATATTGACATTGCAAGAAAGAAGATAAAAGCAGCATATAGGAGATAGTCCTGCAACTCCATAACTCTGCGCATCCACACCTGTACGCTAATGCGTGCGAGAGCGAAGGTTGAAGCAAGTACCACCATGGCGTAGGCGGTTCGAAAGAACCCGGGTTCTGAGATGATTTCTCCGTACGTGGCAGACATGGCTGCGTTGCTGGCATAAAGATGGATAGAGAAGAAAAGCTGCTGATAGGATATGAAGGAGGAGGTAGTTCAAGCAATCGAATGAAGAGATTGTGGTAAATTGCAATCACCAGAGTAGATAACACCTTCGTTTCAATCACATCGTACATATCAGAGCTCCAAGACGTCGGTATTCCTGTTCTCGAGTGGTTGTCGAACCCTAGTATAGGCATGAAGGAGCAAGTTTCGATACTATGTGGCACAGTGCATCCATGGTACATTTGCCGTACCCGGCAGTTGGGCACGGCTCGGCGTGGGATGCAAATTGGGGAGACCCCTTAGGTTAAACATCTCGAGGTGTGAGGTCGGTTAGTAAATGGCTCATATGGATCCTTGATGCTGCGGCGACGAAGCTCAGCAGTGAGCATTTTCTTGGAGCTTTAGTTGTCTTCCCCGCATGTGAAAACCTAGTGATGCTAGTACGTGCAGTACGACTGCACAGTAAACTAAGCGGTATGTTCGAGTCGGACATTATTTAATAACCCAAATATATGGAAGGAGATGCTGTAAAGCAAACTAAGGTCTGCGGTGCCTCTCACATCTGTTGAAGCGGCGTAGCAGCTTGGACGCCACCTCGGACTTTTTCCATGTATGTGAGATGTGTCGGTGCCAAGGTCACACGGCGGGGATGAAATAAGTGGTTGTGCCTGCCGAGGCGGTCTTATTGGGGCTGGGGGCGGCATCAGCGGAAGCACCCTAGCCTCATGGACCCACTCTTGGTAACCTCCGCAACTCCAGGAAGTCTGCATCTCCTCTTACCAACACATATGGAGTCAGAATACTTGCAACTTTACGTATTCTCTTCCACTGCTACAGACGCCTGTATTGGTTAGTCCGGATAGTACCAAAACTATGCGAACGTGCCGTCTTAGCAAAGGATGCTGCCGCTAAGCGAAGGAAGCTGCTGTTTTGCGGCGCGGCCATGCAACGAAATTGGATTAGGATTTGATCCATGTACATCTAGCATATCGGCAAACCCGCCTGTTCCGTGTTTCTGGGCACCATTAAATCCTAGTATGAGCAGAGATGAAGAGCATAGCCGGCCTTTTGGACCTGTCGGTGCCAAGAATCACAGCGAATGCGCTAACAATCGTCAGCTTATAGACGCGTAAGCAGACGGTCTCCCAGAAACCTCTCACAAACTACTGCTTACCCTTCCTTCTGGGAAGAATGCAGAGTAGATCCACACGTTCCGTTAGTGTCAGACAGGCAGGTGGGAGTATTGGCTGAATCCCCCTTGATTTACGCTGCATGCCAGCTTAACCTTTCTAAGACTGGATGGATCATCTAGAAGGATAGGACCGTCAGCACAAATGTAACTTCGGGCCACAGTGCCCGCGGAGCTCTGAAATACTGGAACCGCCGACAATTCATACGGACACTACAGAGATAAAAGGATGTGATTCCCTAATACTGGGACACATCCAACATCTTTGTAGATTCCTCCCTGTAGTCTCCCAGCATTCTCCGGGCCTTCCTGCACGGGGCACCTTCTTATCGCATTTGAATAATTTCTTCTTATCGACTCATCCGGTTACCCAATCCTGTTCTTGCAGTCGAAACGATGAAGTACGCCATTCCATCTGCCGCGTTGGTAGCCGGTGCTGTCTCACAGGCTACCTTTGAACCTGCAGATTTCAACGTTACTGAGGCGTTGCTCGACAACGGTGTCAACGTCTCCGCTATACCTGAGCTTGCACCTTTGGTAGAGAGATCGTTGTTAAGTGGCTGCTCTATAGCTGTAAGCACGGATCCTAGGCAATGCCGGTCTCGTTTCGGGGCTAATGCTTCGACAGTGTAACTCCTTGAAGTTGATCTTTGGTGACGACCAAATTGAGACACAATCCGAAGCCGCATACAGTGCGTTTATTGGTAGTTACTGGTCAGGTCAACAGAGACAAATCTCTCCTCGATGTGTCTTCAAGCCCGAGAAAGCTTTGGATGTCTCAACCTCTATTCTTCTCTCTCGTCTTACACAATGTCCTTTTGCAGTCAAGAGTGGAGGCCACTCTGCAGTACCCGGTGGCTCGAACATTGAAGGCGGCATTACTATCAGCTTCGAGAAGATGAACAAGACGATAGCATCTTCTGATAAGAAGAGCGCTACGTTTGAGCCTGGCCAAACATGGTTTGATGTATACACAACGCTGGAGAAGCAAAACCTTGCCATCATCGGCGGTCGAGTAAGTGGGACTATATCTAGATAAAGAAGCACATCACTAACTACAACTTAGGTTGCCAGTGTCGGCGTGGGCGGATTAACGCTAGGTGGAGGTAAGCGCCGGAATATCCTGAGACTACCAGCCAGCAGGCGCTAACTTCTAGCTCCAGGTATTTCGTACTTCTCAAGTGTGTACGGTTTGGCATGCGACAACGTCATCTCATATGAGGTAGTTACTGCGTCTGGACTTATCATCAACGTCAGCCAGAATTCGTTTCCAGATCTTTACTGGGCTCTTCGAGGTGGTGGTAACAACTTTGGTATTGTCACAAAGTTTAACGTCAACGCTATCCCCAGAGCGCCGACCATGTGGGGCGGTATGCGAACCTATATCTCTGAGTTCCCCGCTCTTATCAATGCATACTACAACCTCGGAATGAACGCAAAGAAGGACGGAAAGGCCCACCAAATCTTGTCATTCGGCTGGAGTTCTGAAATCGGTCAAGTTGCTCAGGTTGAGCTAGAGTACTCAGACCCTATCGTTGACGCACCAATATTCGCCGAATACAACAACATCACAGGACAGATTGCAGACGGAACAGGCGTCAAGAGTCTCGCAGAGCTCTCCTCGATTCTAGAAGGGCCCGCCAGCGGTGCAGGTCTTCGACAGGCTTTCTGGACCTGGTCAACCAAGCTTGATGTGGAAATGGCCACTGTGACCAAGGACATTTTCTTTGAAGAGATCACTGAGGTTCTCGACGCGGCGGATCTTCTCCCAGCTGTTTCCCTTCAGGTGATTACCGAACCCATCATCGAGGCTGGTGCTAAGAAGGGTGGCAATGCGCTTGGCCTCGACCCGAAGGAAGGACCTCTCCTGTTGGCTCTTATTGCTATGAAGTGGTCCAACAGCGCGGACGACGATAGACTGAACAAGTTCGCCGCACGCGTCAAGGATCGCTGTATAGCCGCAGCTAAGGCCAAGGGCAAAGATACCGACTACCTGTACATGAATTACGCTAGTCCGTACCAAGACCCCATTGCTGGATACGGTGCAGTAAACAAGGCTAAGTTGAAGGCTGTTTCGAAGAAGTACGACCCCACTAGTGTGTTTGAGGTCCTCCAGCCTGGCTATTTCAAGCTTGATGGCGCGCCGCTGGGCCAATTATGAGAAAGCTAGCTCAACATATTCCGGATATGGTAGTCATACATGTATTCTTCATGTCAAGAGTCCTGTTCATCGCTACCCTGAAGTTCTCTTTGACCACTGTTTCCTTCACGATCCTTTCTCACCATCTGTGTCAATGACATCCTTTCAAGGTCTGTATAAGTCATCAGATATCCCAGATCGCTCAGGGGTAAAGATCTGATGAGAATTCCTCACACTGGCATCTTTAAGAGTTGGATGTCGCTTGTTGAGCCTGCGAGGACGTTTGGTCACAAGGCGAAAGGGACTTTACGTGATATTTCCTCGATGAAGCTACTCGCAGGCCACACTCTACTAGAGGTTTTTCTTTATATGCCACACATCTCCAAAAATCTCATGCTAAGGTACATTTTGCAGCTTCAATGCCATTGCGACGTCAGACGATGTCCATAGGTAGAGTGCGACTGCCTAGTGACCGCGCGCAAACGCGTAACGACACGAAACTTTTCTTGGGCTCGGTGGAGGGTGCAGTTGCGGAAACCCTGTTATAATTGATGGTTTAGGCGATGCCCCCGCTGCCACGGGATGACTTGATTCGTTACCCTTGATGTGGAATGCGACATTTGTTCGCAGCATGTTGCATTGGTATGGACCTGAATGTCCGGTTCTGCCTGTCAATATCTATCAGCGACGGCATGCTTCATTCTATTTATTTTATTTCTCGCAACCCAACCAGTCGGCCGTCTTTTATCCCCAAGGTCAGATTCTTGGGTTTGCTACACAAAAGGTGTAGTCCCTAGCGACGCGCAAAGACATAGCAATTCTCGAACGTCTTCCCGTGTAGGCGCCGGAGTAATCCTTCGAGAGGTCGCCCCTTGCAGATAAGAACGAGGCTGCAGGACAGGAGAAAGCGCCACCTGTCTAGGCCGATGATTGTGGGAAGAACCTCGGAACACCCCAACTTGGCATACTATGTGGGGTGTCGTCCGGCCCGGGTGCGGCTTTGGCCGCGGATTGAGTCTATTCGCTCCTCGCTAGCTCAACACCAACAACGTTTCTAAGCATTGCATATCTGTTGCTAACGCGTCCGGATAAGCACAGTATTTGCACAGTTCTTCCCGGGCGGTTGGATCTCCAATCAAGAGTGTACTCGAAGGGTTTGGCGGTCTCCAGCGCCAGACCCGCATATGCGGTCCCTACAGCTGGTAAGATTGCGGCGTATTAGTGATGCACACAGCAGGCACAATGGCATTTTATCCCCTTGGACATCTGGTAGATTCATCAAGTGCTACTTGACGTTTATCAGAGAAAAAGTCGCCTAAAACTTCTCTATTGCAGCATTAAGTTGATCTTTGGGTTCGTAGGGGTTAGACTTACAGCCTGACCAAAATCCTCGAGGTCATCGGCTCGGGGCTGTTCCCCTTAAAGTCTTGGAGTTTGATGTGGCAAAAGCACCGTTCAAGTTCTACAAACGATATGGAATCCTGCGAAATTCCTGCAGACTCGCTGCTGATATTCTAGCACGATACGGAAGGTGTATACTGCATGCATCCCCCTTAATTACTGTGCATGACCATATAGCCTGTCAAAGAGTATTTTTTGTATCACGACAAAGCCCTAGCGCGACAGTAGTTTTTACCATACCGTTACTAGATGGCGGTTTTTACAGAACGATGCTTATGTGAAATCCGCTCTCCGGCTTACTCCGCGGATGTCTCGTTACCATGTTCATAAAAGAATGTGATACCCCAGTGCCGGGTCTCACCCACCATCATTCGAGGACTTGCTCGAAATTGTACGGCAAACTCCGCCATTTCCCGTACATAGCTTGTTTGATCGCATTTGTGTCCTTGACATTGGCTTGCGTCGCCGCACCGATACATCGCTTGGCTTAGAAGGAAGGATGAAGACGTTCGTTTCTTTTGCCGCCTTCACGGCCGGTGCCATATCACAAGCCACGTTCGAGCCGGCTGACTTCAATGTCACTGAAGCGCTCTTGAAGAATGGTGTGAATGTATCAGCCATACCCGAGCTAGCATCGTTTGCGGAACGATCTTTATCAAGTGGTTGCTCAGCTGCCGTATGTCCCTAGACTTGCTGTATTGTTTACGTTGAAACTAATCCCCATTCAGTGCATGTCTCTGAAATTGATCTTCGGCGACGATCAGGTTGAAACGCAGTCCGAACCCGCGTACACTGCATTCCTCAATGATTTCTGGTCTGCCCAGCAGGTGGAAATCTCGCCACAGTGTGTGTTCAAGCCGGAGAAAGCTCTAGACGTGTCTACCTCAATCCTTCTATCTCGACTTACGCAATGTCCATTTGCGGCGAAGAGTGGAGGACATTCTGCCGTACCTGGAGGTTCAAATATTAAGGGCGGCATTACTATTAGCTTTGAGAAGATGAACAAGACTACACCTTCCGCTGACAGGAAGAGTGTATCATTCCAGCCCGGACAAACTTGGTACGATGTATATACCAAGTTGGAGCAATACCAGCTCACCATCATTGGCGGTCGAGTGAGTAGCGCCTTGAAAGACTGGCTGATGAGCTTGCTAACACAAATAAGGTTTCCGGTGTCGATGTCGGTGGCTTGACTCTTGGTGGAGGTAAGAACAATATATGACTAGTTGTTGACTGGTATGTTTACTCATCTCTACCGTGGGTATTTCGTACTTTTCCAGTGTTTACGGGTTATCGTGCGACAACGTTATCTCCTTCGAGCTGGTTACGGCAACTGGAATCATCATTACTGTCAGCAAGACCTCCTACCCCGACCTTTTCTGGGCTCTTCGAGGCGGTGGAAACAACTTCGGACTTGTTACCCAGTTTAACGTCAATGCCTTGCCGAGAGCTGATACCATGTGGGGCGGATCGCGGACGTATCTCGAGAGCGAATGGCCTGCGTTACTTGAAGCCTACATCAACCTCGGCAAAAACGCCAATCAGGATGGAAAAGCACACCAGATCCTGTCATTCGTGTCATTTGCAGGCTCACCACCAATCGCGCTAGTTGAGTTGGAGTACGCTGATCCTGTCACGAACGCAACTATTCTGGAGGAATACAACTCCATTGAAGGTGCGATTGCCGATACGACAGCTGTCAGAAGTCTTGCGGAACTTACCACACTGATCGACGGTAATGGGGAATTCGACGGGAAGCGTCAAGCTTTTTGGACTTGGACAAACAAGCTCGATCTCGAGATGGCTACCCTCACCAAAAACATCTTCTTCGAGGAAATCGCAAGCGTTGAAGGCGTGGCGAACCTTACAGCCGCTGTTTCTCTTCAGGTCATCACCGACCCGATACTAGAAAAGACGAAATTGAATGGTGGCAACGCTCTCGGACTGGACCCTAAGGAAGGCCCCCTCGCGCTGTTCCTGGTATCCCCTAGCTGGTCCAACAGTGCGGACGACGAAAAGGTCAACCAGTTTGCTGCCCGTATCAAGGATCGCTGCGTAGAGGCTGCAAAGGCTGCCGGTAAATCGAATGACTACCTGTACATGAACTACGCCAGTCCGTATCAGAATCCTGTTGCTAGATACGGTGCAGCGAACCAAGCTAGGTTGAAGGCCATCTCGAAAAAGTACGACCCTACTGGCGTGTTTGAGATTCTCCAACCTGGTTACTTCAAGCTTGATGGCGCTGCGCCATTAGGTCAATTGTAAGGGAGATAGGCCAACATATTTTGGACATGATAGGCAGACTCAGTTGCTCCATGTCAATAATCTCGTTCATCACTATCCTGATGCTCTCCGCCTTGGCAGCTCTATCTTTTACGCTCGTTTCTTATCACTTGTGTCAGTGACGTCCTTTTAAGGATCTGTAATATTTATCAGATATCCTGAGTCGTTCGGGGGTAGACATCTGATGGAAGTTCCTTACTGATACCATTGAAGGTTGAACATCGCTTGTTGAGCCTGCGAAGACGTTTGACCACAAAGTGATAGGGACTTCATGTAACATCCCTTCGACGAAGCTACCTGCAGGCCACATTCTAATAAAGATTATTCTCTAGATGCCATGCACCTAAAAAGCTCATACTAAGATACCTTAACATCTCCAATGCCATGGCGACGTCAGACGATGTCCATAGGCAGAGTGCGACCGCCTAGTGACCGCGCGCAAACGCGTAACGACGCGAAACTTTTCTTGGACCCTTGTTCGTTTCCTGACTATGTCGCACACATTCTCAATCCAAGACTGATGATACGAACGATTCAACATCGCACAACTTCCTGCTCGCCCGTTACCTGCGTCACCTCAATCGCAAGCCCACAATCGTGCTCGCTGTCATCGTCGGACCGGTTAGTATATCCACAAGCTACCGTTGCTGTTGTCGCTGATCTCAACCCTAGACTACATCATGTCGCCTCTTCGCCACCAGCCCTTGACCGATCCCTTGCTCGAAGACCAGAACGACAGGCTCGCTCTCAGTAGCGAAAATGCTTTGCTCAGACAAACTGCTAAGTTGAACAAGCTTAATCACGAATACGAAGCTATGAAGGAGGATCTTAAGCACGTGATAAACGCTTACCATGGCGCTGACAGCAGAGCGACAAGATTGGACAGTCAGAACACAAGGATGATAACGCAGCTCAAGCTTGTGGGAGAGAGGTTAGATGAGCTTGAAGAGAAGAACAGTGCTCTGGAAGAGCAAGCCATCGAACTTGTTTGGCGGCTTGCGGAGAGTGAGCGAGCAGTCGCGCGTCTCAAGGTCGTTGGGAATAAAGAGGAAGCACAGACTATGGGCGTGAAGTGCAAGCGCGAGTTCTTCCCGTTGTCGTTTGAGAATAGTCCTGATGTGGACGAAAGCGCGTCGGTGGTAAAAGAGGAGACCTGAAGTCAAGTTTTTCGAGCATTTGGTATGCGGGGTGCCTCAAAAGGGAGCAAAGAGGCATCAAAATCGTGAAGAGACTAGGTGAGTCTTGCCTACTATAACAATCTCGTTCACTTCTAACACACTAGTAGCAATAGATCTGGCACTGGCGCTGTGGTGCAGAAGGAAGTGGACGTTTCGGAGACTGTAGGTTCCTTGATATAGTGACACGTTCAGGGCAGCTGGCAGATGTGAAATTTTTGCATACTGCGCTTCAGATATGTGCAGGTTTGGTAGGTATTTCTCTTCCTAATCATGAATATCTCTTCACTAGTACATGATACCCTCAGTCCTTACTTTCCCCAGCTTTGGAGCCTTTCCACCAATGACGCTATTTATATCAGCAACCGCTGGTCTCTTCCTCAACCCCATGCGACAAGGCCTGGAGAAGAAAGACTTGGGAGGTCTGGGAAAGCGTGGGCCAAGAGTCAGGAGACCATTGCGCAGTTGCGCGACCATCGGCAGGATTCGGAGCACGAGAGCTAGTACCTGGCTCTATCTGCAAGGATGTACAAGGTGGAAAGCGATACGCACAATAGCGGGTAGGACTCCTGGTAGTCGCATCTAGAAGTCCAAAGCTGATAACTTCAGTGTCACTCAAGAGACCGCAATATCTCTACAGGAGGGCTATGAGATCAGTCTACTAGGCCAGATACCACAACCGACTCGTGATCATAAGCAAAGCTTCGAAAAGACGCGGTATCTACGCATGGAGTTATGATAGAGCCCCACTGACAGAAACAGGTTCGAGAGCGACGATGGATCTATCCCGTTCGTAGTCAATTCTGCAAAACAACGTGTTATTGTTTGCATGCCCTACTTCCACAATCGCCGATGTGATACTGGAGAGCCTTGCAAGAGTTGTCTGAAGAAATGCGTCAAATGCCGGCGTGCGACGTGTGGCAGTTACAAAGCGGGTACCTGTTGTGTTGTGGAATGTACCCGAGTCCATAAATATGACGAGAAAAAGTACAAGAACACCGTATACGCAGACCATGTTAGCAAGAAGGTTAAGGTATTTGCACCTAGGTAAGTTGATGACGGAAGCAAGAAGCCCCCGAAGCGCAAAGGCCGTATGGCGATGGGTATACTAGTGGAAGACTTATTAGTATACAACAAAGGGAGATGGTGTCACAGGAGGAGGAGTATGACGGCCTGGAATTTGTCCGCTCGATCGTGTGGACAAATGGTACGACTGATGCGTTGACGTAACTCTCAAAGTATGTGTAAAGAGCCGCATATAGAGTTTCATATATAGTCAAGGAACAACTAGTGTGAGGATATGCTCGAGTTAGCACGAAGAAATCATGCGCGCATTCACCACCTATGGTGTCGATGTTTGCAAACGTGATCGTTGGATTCCAAGCGTGCTGAAGTAGCTGATATAATCCCCGACTAATACGCGTACCCTAGACGTTATTCCTGGCAATACAACCATCTTACCCCAACCGCCCTAGCAAGTCTCCTACAGCTTGCGTATCTACTTCTTCGTGTCATTATCAGACGGTACCACACCACGATAATCATGCTTTATCTTGTCGCCATCAAATTTCGGCCAACCATCTCTCGACCCGCCAACAGGGTGTCCCCAGCTTTGTCCATTGCCTATGGTAGAGAACAAGCGCCAGTCTGAGTCTCCGCGTTGAGGGTGGGGTAAAGGAGGCGCTGTGGGCCTTTGGTTAGCTGATCTGTTTGTTGATGAGGAGGGAGAGGCAGAGGTCAAGGTGGTGTTGTTGGTGGACTTCATTGGAGATGATGATGATGATTTTGGCATCTCGGTAGTTGTTCTTGTAGATGTATTTGTGCTGCTGGTGTATCTCCGCGTTTTGAAGTTTTGAATAGTAGTTAGTATGGGTTTCAGAGTATGTACAAGAGATTTAAGAACAGTGTTTATAGGCGATAGCTGGAGGTGGTCAGTGAATCTGAGATTGGAATCCTGCAGTCAAATACACGTAGTGTGATGGGGTTTCTTTAAGGCTTCTTTGTTCACAGCGAAGATATAGAGATCACTTCACCGGAATGTTGTTGGCAGATGTGTTGCCTCAATACCCTCATATACGGGGACAGCATATCACCTCATGTCTTCATCCAAGCATACTCCTCTTCCTTCCCCTTAATCGTACCCCTTCTAACCTCTTCAATACTCCCCTTGCACCCTTTCCACACTCCCCATACGCCTTTAGCACTTCCTGGAATAGCGGCTCCGCGGCTGGGTGCGTTGCTGAAAACGCTCTTTCAAGGACGTACAGATCAACAGCTTTGTCTTCGTCTTGTATGCTTGCGGTTGTGAGACCGAAGTCTATGAGGAATATGTCGCCGGCCAGTAAAGAGGTAGGGTGGGACTGTTGCGGAGGGTTGGCGGGAGGAAGGTCTGGAGGTTCTTCGCCGCGCATGGCTGCTTCGCGGAGGCTGCTTGTTGTTTGTCTTCTCTGTGGCATATGTTGCTGCTCTTCTACCTCCGTGTTTTGGGATTTTGGCGTCCGTAACATAATATTGCTTGTTGTGAGATCCCCGTGGCATACCCCAAGTTCGTGCAGCTTTCCTACTTCCCGCCCTACTCTTCGCATCAGGTCAAGTATCTCATCTTCGCCTTCTCTCACCGCTGCACTGTTTCCTCTGCTCACGTCTTCTGTGGCCTTCTCGTCCTTTTCTCGCTGTGTTACTTGATGCGCCCAGCCATCTAGCACTTTCCTCACAGTCCTACCATCTACATATTCCAACACTAACCACCCCGCATCCCAATCTGCGCCAATCACACCTGGTACATTGACGCGATCCCTCTTGACCCTGATCAGACTCCTCGCCTCGGCTAGTAGCCTCTGTTTTGTAAGGCGCTTGTCTAGAGTAGGATGTCTGTACGGCTTTGGTGGTCGGTATTTGACGACGACGGGCGTGTTCGGAGTTAGGAAAGTGGTTTTATATACGAGGGCCTCTGCGCCTTGTGTTATGACCTCGAGAGCGTCATGAGAGAAAGGCGCGGGGAGCGTATGTAGAGGACGCGACGTCTCAGGTGGTGGTGGGGGTTCGATTGGAGGAACGACTGGCGGCTCGGCCATTGCGGCTCGTGTTGTTATGTGAAGGTTGCTGCGACTGCGTGATCCTATATATAACCAGAGAGCTGTGTGCTGGGTATGTACAGGGCGTAGGTGGGTTCAGAACACGCACGGTATGGCGGGTGGGAATTTTGATGTTGACAATTGAAGCTTCGCAGTTGCCCCGCGATGCGACACCACCCATTAGCCCTACGACGCTTATCAATTCTTTAGCTTCAACACCACGCGAGCATCATGTCGATCACCGTTGAACGGCTCTGGATGCACTAGAGAACCGAGATTGGCTCGCAACAGACCATGTGTGCCCGTGGATTTCACGAATCGAGTTTGCACATCCGAAGACCTGGTTTCCATCTGTGCTCAACGGCGCTTCTGTCAGGGTAATAGCTATGATCTCTCCGTTCCTGGCAGAAGCGACCCAGATAGTAGTGTTGACATCACTTCACAACCAAGCCAACGTCTATGTTCTGAAAGCGAGTGTGATTGCATTTAGGTATCTCATCCTACATGATCGCCTCCTCTCTTTGCACCGCCTTGCCACCCAGGCCGCAGCAGTAGCGAATGGATTGGTCAAAAGCACAGTATCTCCAACAAACAATGATAACACAAAACAGAAGCCCAAAAAAGGCAATGAGCTCTTGCCGCAGGCAATTGAGCTCATGTCCATGAAGCATATCCCAACTCGCCCGTCCAAATCGCCGGGCCAAAAAACCATAGAGCCTTCCCACCATGCTCATTAAAAGCAGTTCGCATAAGAGTCTGGGAAACAAGAAGGGGTGGAAAAGAAGATCTTCCCAATGGGTAAGAGACGAAGGGTAATCGTGATATTCGAGAGATGGCAAAAGTGACCTTGGTCAAGCGCAAAATACAAATGAACTAACAAGCAAGGAAAGGTTCATAATGGGCCGTAACAGAAGGCGTCCGAAGAGCGCCACAGTAATATGCACAAGGGAATGAATTTCCCGATTCTCTTTCCAATCCATGGTTGAAAGCCTAGAACACAGTGCTCTTGCGCTTCTCAGCGTTGGTGAGAATAAGCTTGGGCATGCCTCGGCGTTGGCCGTTCTCCTCGGGACGGATGTCGACCAGACCGCCTCCAATGGAAGCACCGTCATCGCTGCTAACACTGTTTGCGGTGTAGGAGCGGTTGATGGAGTTGTCGCGGGAGCGCTCCTTTGAGGCCTTGCGCTCTGATCCAATGGCGCCATTGGCAACAGCACGAAGGCTCCCAATGCTGGGTCTACCCGAGAGGCTGCCACTTCCACCGCTGCGAACGCTGTCGGAATCATTGTCAGATGAAGGGAAGTGGTCGCTATCAGGTGAGGCGCTTCCGCTGCTAGTGCGGTGAGCGCGACGGCCAATGCCAGCTCGCACAAGGTTGCCCACAGCCTGGCGACGTTGACGAGTAGCAAAGTTCTTGCTACCCTCATGCTTGGTAGTGGGGCGCTCCTTGAGTTCCTCAATGGAGGGAGGGTTGCGAGGCTGACGGACTGGGTGCTCTCCAGCACGTGCTTGACCGGGGCCGAATGTGCCAGTCATTGGGGTGGCAGGGAAGCCGACTGGGCGAGTGAAGGCAGAGCGAGGTCCCTCCTCGGCCTTGCCATCAACAGCAAGGGAAGACAAGTTCTTCTTGTGGCCGCGACGGAAAGCGTTAGCAGATGGCGGCGGAAGCGGGACAACATCCTGAGGTGGAGTGTTGGACTTCTTCGGCGGCGACGTGCTGCGCGAACCCCAAGGGCTGGGGTTGCTCTCGTTGGGAGGAGACACGTGGAGTACTGGGGTGTCAACCTTGGGCGGCGATGTGGCGAACCGAGGTGTTGGCGGAGGCGGCGAGTGCGAGAGACCCGACAGACCATTCTGAGCCTGCATGTCGCCGTTGTCTTGCTGGTAGCTCGGGTCTACGACGTACTGGTACTGGCCAGTCATCTGATTGAAGACAAGGTAGACACCTGGCTGGTTGGTCTCCTGGATGGCAGCAGTGTTTCCAAACTGCTGACCATAAGCGTTCATCTGCGGAGTGTATGGCGTGTTAGAGTACTGCTGTCCACCGCTCATGTTCATGTTGCCGAACTGCTGGGTTGTCAGGGCAAGGAGTTGCTGCTGGAGCTGCTGCTGCCTCTGAGCGAGGTACAGCTCGGTAGCCAACAGCTGAGCCGCAACGTTGGGATCCATCTCGCCGTCATCGAACTCGAATTGAGGAGGGGCCAGGACCTGGTTGTAGAAGTCGGGCTGCTGCTGCTGCTGTTGCTGGTACTGGTTCATACCGCTGAAACCAGAGCCGATGGCAGTCTGAGGACCCTGGTTGGCACCGTTGAACTGCCTGGAGGGGCGGTTGGCATTGTTGTTACCAACGTTATGCTGGCGCTGCGAGTAAGGAGCCGAGGCAGGAGGCTGCGCAGATGTGGGCGTCTTGGGCGCGGTGCGAAGGCCGGCTAGGAGATGGGAGCGACTGGTGCGAGGAGTCGCAACCGAGTCCTCGGCGATGGAGGCAACCTTGGGCGGTGAAGCGACGCTGAGACGCTTAAGCTGAGCACCCTTGCCACGAGACGCAAAGCTCGAGGTGGGCCCGCCGAATCCGCCTTGGGATTGGAAGTTGTTGTAGGTCATCTGAGCAAGACCGCCAGCGTCCATGCTCATTGTGGTGGTCTAAGAAGAGTTGCGAACAAAGAGTAAGAGTGCAACAAAGAGTATGCTGGGCGCACACAAGAAAGATACAGAATCGAACAAGGCCGGAAGAGGGAGTGTTGGCGCAGACAGAAAGCCGAGCGAACACACGAAACGTTTGCTGCGAAGCAGAAGTGCGGATTGGCTGGCGATTACGGGATTAAGGATCGTACAGATCGGGATTGTAAGGTAGATTTGTTATCGAAAACCGGCCGATGGGCAATGTAGTTGGGGTTATTAACAAGTTCTTCGGTCGCTATGTCGCTGGGGGGATGCTGTCAGAAGGATCGAGTGGTGGCAGCGGGAAGGCGCGGTCCAGCAGACGGAGATTCGAAGCAGACTGGCGAAGATATTTTTATGAAGTTGAATACACGAACAGGCAGTGACGGGATCAAGGGCAGACAAGCTGGTGGTTGATGCGTCGGCTGGCGAGCTCTTCTTCTCTCGGGGGGAGCGACGGGACTGGCGCGCTCGCACAATCTCAGATTAAGCGGAGGATAAGCTGGTCCAACTGGGGGAGCAGGTAGAAGATGCAGAAGCGGCACTGTGTTGTCGAAGAGAGCGAAGGGAGAGAGGTAGAGAGGAAAGGGCGAGATGGAGGGGCCAGGAGAGAAAAGTGACGAGCAGCGGAGGAGCAGAGCCATGGACGAATGCGAGCGCTATAAGTGACGGGGACCTGTGGCAGCGACCCTGCATTGAGCCTAGCCTAATGCAGCCCCCTGGACACGCTGCAGACCTGGACGCATGCTTGAAACGCTGGGCCTGATGCGTAATAACAGAGCTTGGGCCGTTCCTGCGTGCGAATGCCCTTGTGCGAGAGTACTCGCTTTGATGCTTTGATGATGCCATGCGTAGAGTTGAGTGTTGCTACTGTATACAAGGCGTTGGGTGTCCTCTTGGGTTTCAGGTGCTGAGGAGGAACGGGATGGTCGCTCCTGTCGCACCTGGCGAGGGCCCTGGAGCGTTCCTGCCCGACGCCACGACCGTCCCTTCCTCGCAGCCCACAGTGCCTTCCTCGCGGCGGACCCAGCAAGGGAAAGAGCGACTGGCAAACAGAACCACCGAAACAACGTCTCCTCATTGCTCGAGCCCGCTGCCCAGGAGCACACCGCAAGAAGTGATCCACTGCATCGATAGCGTCTATCTACGCCGTCTCGGCCAGTCGTTCGTAGCGTCTCAGTAGTCACCAACGGCGGCTATGCGCCTGCCCACTGCTACTGGCCAGCGCCATCGAGGCCACCGCAGCCCTTCAGCCACGCACGCTCGGTCTAAATATACCCACCACCACCACCTGTTCATCAGCTCCATCTCTACCTTTGCAAATGCATTGGTGTGCACTACTCTCTCCTGCTCAACCATGGCCTGCGTGGCATGCGCATGAATGGCTTCCAAGCCCTGCACAAACCAGCGCAAATCACCTGTCAGCAGTCATCGTCTAAATGTCCGTCTCTTCCACGCGCAATCTGCAATGCATGTCGTGCGGGAGGAGTATGCTTGTTGACGTGCCGACCCCGGACCTGGCTGTCAGGTCACGCTTTCCATTGCAGATCCAGAGAGATTCTCGGTGCCGTGCCGCTAGTCTCGCAATCGAGTCCCTTTTTTTCCACCTTTTTACACGCGTCGGCTTCCGCGGTCTTTCTATCGACTCGTGGACCTGCTCGTGCGATCCCTTCCTTCGCTGTCGCCTGCCGTTTCGTCCCGGGTGTGCCCTGCTGTCTCGGTCTGAAACTGTCGCTCCGTCTCAATCAACCTAGACCGTGCATCGCTTCCTCATTTCGCTACACACTCCCTGCAGTAACGCCTGCCAAGCCATTTTCCAAAGCGTGAAACACGCCCTCGTTATCGTCGACTAGCGTTTGGGCCGCCGACGCTGTGGGATTCGGAAGCCTGCTGTCAGGGCCATGCTCGAACGCTGATCTCCATTCGTGTGCGGGGGGACAACCGCGCCTTCGCATGGAGATGCCCTCACGCAACATCCGGATATCGTTCAAACACACTCACTTGCCCGCTACGCCTCCTCCTCTGCCTCCTCTGCCTCCTATGCAACGTCAGACGCCGCTACCGTTTGGGCCATGGGACTATTGGATCTAGCATCAGAGCTATTCGGAACGATACCGGTGTTGTACTGGCAGCCGTTCGGGTCAGGGCCGTCATCCTTAGCGGGCAGTAAGTCACTGCATACGACCGAACCGGCCGCTTCTTTCCAAAGAAAAGAAGCATATCAGAACTGCGCATGTGCTCTGGACCGGAACACGGCGGCAACGATTTGTGGGGCGCATCGACCCGTTCAGAGGCGCAGAACAAAGGCAAGAGTGAGGCGCAAAACCAACACAATAACGACATCACGCAGCTTGTATGCGCAGAAGCTTCGAGGCGTCTTATTTCCAGTGGTACGGTAAGCCTCAAACTAATATTCTTACTCGAATCGTGTAGACAAGCTCGGTCGCCAAACTGTCAGCTTGCACCGTCAGCGCTAAAGCTAGAACGCGCTTGTGCAGCTCTGTTTCACGGACACGATCGTCAGCGCCGTCCAAAGTAGGAGGCTCTAGTGCCGCAAGGCTACATGTTTCGAACGTGTTCCAAGCTTCTCGGATATACATCCTGCGGACCACCGATTCTCGCCTTTACCACTTACTGTAGTGAACTGTTGTCCTAAACCGCCGAATCGTTGCTGTCGCATCTCGTGAGTTAGTAACAGATCTCTTTGATTCTTCCCATCTAGAGGTTACTATGGCAAAACAGAAGACTCGGAAAGTGAACCTTGGAGTCATCGACTCATAGCTCTATCGCTCCGTGCACGCTCCGTGCAATATATCCAGATAGCATGCTCGGCATCATAAGACGAAGAGTCAGAGTCAGACGAGCTTCCAGAAATCTGAATGTAGTCTAGGTAAAGGGGAAAAGTGTGCATCAGTGTAAACGAGGTAACATGTCGTAAGTGCACGAGGGGGGTGGGCGTTCATCAATAAGTATTGGAAGTTCGCAGACGGATGATGTGCAACCCGAGATCGTTTGACTGCTTTAGGGTCCCACACGATCTGGAACGTGCAAAACAAGAGATAGACTCTATTGCTTGAACTCTCCCAAGCAAACGTCCAGTCGTGTTGAGCGGATCTTTACGAGACCCACTAGTAGTGTTTCCACATGTTTGGGACTTGGCATGATACTCGGCACGAAACATCTGACAGCACCTATTCTGATATATCTTGCTATCCAGATTTTTCCTAACCGTCGCGAACATCAGGCAAACAGTTTCGGCCAGCTTCATCATCCGTTTTTCGGTGTTTGTGGCTCGAATGGCGGAGCGAGGAAGGCTCCAAGGCACGAAGATGTAGAGTATATAGTAAGCCTCAGTGCGGCGTTTTCCCTAAGGATCAGATCTGCAGTGCATTTCCCATCTTCTACTACCATCGATATCCTAATCAGCATACTTCCTAATCCCCATTCTTACTCTTAATTCCCATCTTTTCTTAATCCTACACCACTCCAACTTCAAGATGCTCTTCTCCAACATCGTACTCGCGGCTTTGGCCCAGAGCTTGACAGCCTCCGCTGCCACCATGATGGTCACCGTAGCTGCGAACAACAAGTTCCAGTTCACACCCAACTCCATCACCGCCCAGCCCGGTGACATGGTCGCTTTCAACTTCGTCAGCCAGGTACGCCAACTTTTCATCATCCATTCACCTCGCATCATATACTGATTCCATCCTCGCAGAACCACAGTGTTGCCTCTTCCAACGCAAACAGCCCTTGCCAACCCCAGCAGAACGCCATCTTCTCCGACTTCCAGCCCATCCCTGGTAACCCCAACGGTTCTCCCAACGGCGCTGGCGGCAACGCTGGCAATGGTCGCAACCGCAACAACAATCGCCAAGCCGGAAATACTCCCATGTTCATGGTTCCTATCACCGACAACCAGCCCATGTACATTTACTGCTCCCAAGCCCAACATTGCCAGCAAGGCATGGTCATGGTCATCAACCCGCCCAACGCCCAGGCCGTAACACAGTACCAGAACAAGGCTGCGCAGGCAAACAACAACGTCTCCCCCAGGGGTGGCATCAGTGGTGGACAGGTGCTCAACAACAACGCTGGAACCAACCCCAAGAACGTCTTAGGTGCTCAGGCTGGTGATGCGGCGACCGCGAACACAAATGGCAAGGGTAAGGGCAAGGGCAAGGCTAACGGTGCTGCTGCTGGTCTGGCCGGTCTTCTCGGAGGCCTGGGCAAGGGCAACTAAGCATGTAGTCGGTGTGATGAACAAAACGGATGTTCAGAGTGGGACATTTTGAGTGAAGGCGTAAGGGGAGGGTGTAAATACATGATGATGGTATCGATGGTAGTAGATGAAATGCTGGTCATTGGTGTGTAAATAGTATAGTAATATGTATCTTATGAACTTATGAAAAGGATTCCATGGCTTTGGTGAGCGCTTGATGATGGGTCGCACAGGACTGGTAGCAGTGACGTCACTCCGACACCCCCATATAGCTATTGTTTCCAGTGCTTCTCCTTCACTCACAAAGGATATATCAGACAGAGTGTGCGTTCCGTTCGGCAACCTCAAGAACAACATCCACTGGTCGATATCGCAATGTATCGTCATAACCAGAACGCATAGTGTCATCACTGATATCTCGAAAGCAAAGCGAGCTCCTGCAAAGAACAATAGTACGAAGTGCATGCAGGCAGCAACTCCCCCATCCTTTAAGACTTTTTCCACTGTGCAATTTTGTTCCTGGAGTACAATGGTAAGCGACAACAATGGTAAGCAGATAGACGGACAACTGGCCTTCAACCACGCGTGTACATACACCCTGTTGTATACTTTTTCTGATCCCTAGACATAATTACTCTTAATTTCTACTTCTGTTTAACTATTTCCCATTGTGATATGCTCGACTATCTATCTACGACCTTCGTCCCAACATTCCCGCCGGTAGAAAACAACAAGAAGGAATACCAAAGACATACCCACAATCTCTCAAGGACATCAACACGATGATCAAAACTTTCACAATGCTGCTAGGTCAGGTTTCTACTTTCTACCTCTTCATCAAGGTCATCATCTCCAGCTTCGCAATCCCAACTACCAACCTCTCCACACTTATCGACCTCGTCAAGAACACTACACAACCCACATCATTGCTCGTCGATCCATCATCCGTCAAAGACACAGAAGGAAATCCCACCGTTGCCTTCGCTCTCGGTGCAACGAAAACCATAGCTCCATCTACACGGCTTCATACTCAGCCCAAGGCGCACACTATCAGCAAGCGACGTACAACGATGAGGAAGTCGAGGTACGACCTCTTTTCCAAGATCAACGAGATGCCGTCGAGTCCCGGCATCCAGTGTGCAACCATGTGATGGAACATTGAGAGAGAAACCAAAGAGTGTGAGCGCTGGTTCGCTTGCACTTGGTTTGGCTAGTGTATGCAGCACTACTTCCCCACTTCCTTTGTGTTATAGTATACCACGATGACAGAGTTTGGCACTGATTGATGGATCCTCTGGTACCAGCAGCGCGTTACGAGGTGCAGGAATGTGGAGTTTATACATTTGCGGTATGCTACAAATGGGGTGCGGCAATCGCGTTTCTTTCTTGGATTTTCTTCGACAGCCTGAGTCTATCACTATAGCCAATTGTTGGTTATCAATGCTGGTCACTGTGGCGTTCTCGAGCGCCTACATCTACGCCGGTAATACATGATGTATATATACGTAAACAAGCTTGTTCAGTTTTGACCAATGTAATCATCCTCGCATATGCCAATGTCTCCATCTATCCAAAGTAACTTTAAGTTTCATCTCAGTCGGCATGAAGGCATAGCCTTTACAGTTGCTCTCGACACGACCATAATATTGGCCCCAATGACACAGACTTCGATAATTGTTGGCAATCAGTCACTCGACAACAATGGGACGTGGAAGAATATTAGAAAAGATTCGATCGCATGAAGCCATCGAGGGCATGTGTTCTACACTATACGAGCTTTATGAAAAATAAAAATAATGAAATAAGACAATGTTGGAAAAAGGAATGCTCTATTCCTCTTGAGTATAATGAACAGTATGTCAGACATATCCATGCCGTGTATATCTCCATATAAACGCCAGTGAGATATGACGATCCCATCGCGTCCCATTCACAATTCCCAATTCAAATACCAACCCGATCGCATAACAGATCATAAGGCGCGAAGCCCTCAATCATCCTTGACACTAGCACTAACATAACCATCGTCTACATCCAACTCATCTTTCTTCTTTTTCTCTCCCAATCCAACTAACATCTTGCTCGCACCAAGACAGCTGCTCACAATCTTGCTGCGGACCTTGTTGCTCAGCCCACTTCTCCTACCTGTGTCATGACCAATCCACATGCGTAGGGAACTGGCAGTGCGTTCTAGACCGCAGCTGGCTTCCTTTTTCAGATTGTCGTCGCTCATGAACTGCGTGAGCACTTTGTGACCGGCAACAAAGCTGAGAAGTGTAGTTGCGCATTCGGGTAGATAAGTGTTGTTAACGACGAAGATGGCGCGGCGGCGGGCCTCGGGGTTCGAGGAGGCGGCTAAAGAGAGGCACTTAGCCAAAGTAAGCGCCTTGCGCACATCGATCGCGACGAAGCCGTTGCCGACGATATTGATGAAGCCAGCATCTGCGGGCTTGGGAGACGAAGGGAGGGCTTCCATTGCTGCTGCAATGCGAGTGTCACGGTCGTCGTCGAATACAACAGCTTGAGCAACTAGTGCACGTAACTGAGCCTGTGAGTTGGGAGGGGCAGCTTGGAGAGCAAGTGCTAGGTCGGAAACGACGTTGTCCTTGGACGAGCTGCTCTTCGCACCGAGTGTGGCGGCAAGTCCCTTGTTCAGTACAAGGCTAGAGTACCAAGCCGCAAGAGCGTCCAAAGGCGAACATATGGCAAAGTCCTCTACGACGGCGTCCATGGAGGTGTCTACGACTGTCTGTTCTGCGCTTGGCTTGTTCCAAGCCAGGTTGTATGCTCGCTGCACGACTGCAGAAACAAGCACCTCATCGCACTCCCTCTCAATGAGTGCTGCGAGATGTTCTGGCAACGGCTGAGCTTCGCTGTTCTGTTTCGACATGTTGGTGGCGATACGGTGCTCGCTTCGGGCCATGTTCCAGTAGCTTCGAGCCAGTTTCGCGCTCAGGTCGTTGAGTAACCACCACGAACCATGGCCTGCGTTTCCAAGTTCCCAAAGCACGATCCGAAGATGCAAGGCCTTGAGCATGAGCCTTGCTGGCGTATCTGGCAGGGTTCCGGAGGCGATCAAGGTAAGTACTAAACGGCTCTTGCTAATCTCAGCGTCACCGCCTGTTAGCTGAGCATCCAACGCAATTTCCCAGGCTTTGACGCGGGCGGCTTCTTGTTCCTTGGTAATACCAGTAAGATACGCGTATCCTTCCCAGCCGATAAGCCTACGCATGCTAAGCTTGAGTGTCTTCAAGCCCAGAGCAGCGAGCTCGAGGGCGAGATTATGCTGAGGTACCCAGACTGTTTGGATCGCAGTGAGCCATGCCTTTCGACGGACTTCAACAGGAGAAGCCAGCGATGGTGCAGGTGTCAACAGGACAGTGGGAGGAGACTTCTTCTTCGGTCTCGATTTGAAGTCGAGCAATGGCGCAACGAGGTAGAAAAAGGCGAAGAAGACTAAGAGAAGCTTGGCCAGAGGGATCTGAGCTGCGGATACACCTAGGGAGACACGAGGAGCAAGGATGCCAGCGAGATTGATGGGAAGGGCGAACAGACCACGACCAGTTGGCTCTTCTTGTGACTGCTCCCGCTCTACAAGTCCTTCCAGTATCATCAGGCCAGCAAGAGATCCGACCATGAGTTTGCCCATCATGGCACCGTTGCGCCGTCCGTTGACCATGGGCGCGGCAACTGCTGGGCGACCGCCATATCCTGGCGGGTATGCAGGTGCATAGTGCTGTTGTGGTGGGAGGCCGCGCTGAAGAGCACTTATGTTCTCTGGAACGGGGATCAATCCTTGTGGCGGTCCTGACATTTGCATACCGTGTGTAGGCGTGAATGGATCTTTGTGAAATCTTGAACCATCTGGTGTGCTGACAGTGCCGTGTAAGGTTATAGGTCCTGATATGGCCATCTTTTCGTAGCTATCCACCCGTCCTTTCAAGGTGTTGACTTCATCTTGTAGACGTTTATTACGCTTTTCCAGGTGTCGGATGTACTCGGTAGCTTTGGAGAGTACCGTAGCTTTGTTGAGCTTGTGTGCAGGTGTGAGCCCTTCGAGGTCCTCAGGATCATCGTCCTCTTCTGTACCGTTTGGCCGCGACATGACGCGAAGACTGGGGACACCTTGGGAGATGGATTAGCTAGTTTCGAGATACGTATTTGAAGTGCAACTTACTATCGCGAAGGGCAGCAATTTTATCGTTGAGATTTGTCCGATAGCGCTTCTCAATCATGTTGTGTGCAGTCTTCTTGGGTGGTCCTCCCTTCTTGCTCGACGGTGCATCATCATCAAGTTCCTCGGAGTCAGCCAGTGACTTCCTCTTTCGTACGTTGGTTGTCGTAGGCTCTGGTGACGAATGCGACGAGGTTGAGCTGGCTCGTCCGTTGCTCAGAGAGTTGGGGCTATGATGGAGACTGGGCGTGGAGGCTGGCGGCTGTGGTGCGACAAAGCCATTTTGAGCGTACTGTGTCGGTGAGAAGAGAGCATTGTCGGCTAGCTGCTGCTCTTGCTGTTGCCATTGCTGAGACGCGTAGAAGGCGTTCTGTTGTTGCATCTCAGCGGTAAGCGGGGAGCTTAGAGCATTGCCATTGAAGTCGAAGGCGGGCGGCATATCGGCGCCCTGGCCAAATGTGAACGGGACACCATGCGACTGAGCAAACATGGGAGCGGCAGTTGGTATGTTGCCGGATTGCAGCGATTGCGATTGTTGGTGAGGGAGGGAATGAGGCGAGGTTTGCTGATCCGGGCTGAGATATGCGGCAGGCCCCTGCGGATTCGCGGGCTTGGGGTCGACATTTTGGGTACTCTGAGACGCTTGCGCGGGATCGTATTGCATCCATTCGTTCCAGTTGGTCATGTCGTCAGCTGGAGCAGTGAGCGTCATGTCGTCGCCGCCAGTTGTGAGCCACGGTCCGCGCATATTAGCGAAGGGGAACTCGCTCGACAGCAAGGGATCTTCCATCTTGGCCGTTTGCCGCTCCGCCTCGGGGACAGTCGGATGAATGGGCCTGGGACTAGGAGGAAATCTGAAGTCGTCAAACACGCAATAGGGTCCGACCTGGAATGCGCCAACATGTTAGCACAGAGAGCAAAGACTCGCAAAAGCACTGCTTCACGCACGGCGATTCGCTCTAGCTCTAGCCCATCGTCGGGGCTGCCGTATGGGTCAGAAGCCATTAGGACGGCGTCAGTCTGCTGGCTGCAACAACAGCGACAACAAGACGGATTGTGTATACACAGTATGGGTTTTGGTAAAGAAAGAGGGAGCTCCGTCTTACCAGCTACGACGTGCACAACATGGAAGTCATGCCACTCCTTCGCAGGCTCACGACGCGAATGCGGGCGGCCTCAGTGAGCACCGGGATTTGCTGCACTACGGTAAATGCGTGTAGGGCCGAGCAGCTACTAGAATTGCATGCAGGAATCGTCCTACTGGGCCGGGGTTGTGATTGTGTGCGTCTATGGCAGTGTGTTGGGGGTGGTTCGACAAGTCGTATGATCTCGCTCGAGTCGACGGGGGCTAGCCGTAAGCCTCACCGAATAGGCAAAGTCTCGACTCCAAGGCCCGGCCTTTCCGTGCAACTACGCGATGGAGGATCGTAAGTCGGCGATAATCTTGCGCACCAGATTTGCAGGTGGAGATTCAAGGGAAAAGCCTACTTGTCTGAGGTTCATCATCCATCGTGAACGGTGTTGAGGCGGGTTGCGTAACAACGAACCCCTGTCATAGTCGCATGACTCCTGCTGCACCTCATCAAAGCCAGCGCCATCGCTAAATGAGATCCTGCACCTCAGCCGTCAAGTTGCCGCCATCGGAAGATTGTGAAGCCGTCAAAGATTTGGATCCATGTGTTCGTTATGACATGTGGCAGATCTGAGATGACATATGAGTCCTGGACGATCTCCCGCGGCTTCGGCGCCTTTGCCATGCAGTGGCGTACCGTGGTAGTAGCGCCAACGGAGGGCTGCAGTATCTGCGTCAAACCTCGCTACCGTACCCAAAATACATTCCACCGCACATTGAACTGTGGACTGTAAACTGTAATAAACTTTAAACTGTCAACTCTGAAATTTGTCTTCGAGCGTCGTTGAGTTGCTTCTGCCCAAGTCACTCCAAATCCGCCGATGTATGAGAGCAAGACGGCTATTCCTGCTCATTTTGAAGTCCTACGTTTGTCAACCGTCAAAAGAAATACAGGAAAAAGTACCCCGATTCCAGACCGTGAGTTCCGCATTCTCTCTCGACGAAAAGCAATTTGACGTCCAGCGACTATGGCACGCCTGATCCATGGAATGAGATTTCCACACATCTGCGTACATATTCTACTTGATGTAGACGGTTGTTGAGAAGAAGAGCTAAAACAGCGCGGCACAACGCTTTTGGAAATAATCCCGCGTCGGGAATATTACCAAAACACCTTGTGTCCGCTATACACAACTAGAAATTCTATGATAATATATTCTTCCGTGTGGTTCCAATGAATTTCTTGCTTGCTGCCAGGGGGTGAAAACAATCATCTTCACACACTTACACGAGGCGGCAAGTCTAAACGTAGGCAATCGCGAAGATATCAAGGCGAACGACCAGAGAGATGTGCTCTGAATGGCTCCACAATATCGCGTTTGACCCCACCGTCTTTCAGTGGGGGGATGCGGCGCAGCACCTCCACTTCAGTCTATCGAAACACTGAACCACTTTGATATCTCAACCATAAAGTAGGTACTCAAAACTACAGTGGCAAACAACCAAACTCACCTGAAGCATATTTATCAACATGTTGCAGTAAGAAGAAAAAGATAGCTATCCAGCTTTTCGTTACTGGACCCTAGTATCTCAGATACAAGGACATGGAAAAAACAACACACTTTTCTCCCTGTTACCAGGTCACCGTAACTCAGCCTTTACATAGAAGGCACTTAGCTACACGAGCCCTCAACGGGTGCTTCTGTAAAATACGCTTTGACGTAGGCTTTGAAACACTCTAGCAACGACAGGCTTTACCAATGTGAGAGCAACGAAGCCTGATAGGACAGGTCAACTTGAGGAAAGCAGAAGGTGTGCTAGAGTTGAGCAGAGACTAATAAATGTTGACGTAAGGGTCCTGCTGTCCTACAAATGAAAGAATGTGTCTCAACTGGGCAAGGGAAGAAAGAGGACAAGGCAACACAGGGAGATATTGACAGTGATCGCGAGTCGTACAAGCAATGGAGATGCGGTGTTACTGCAAGGTATTCGTACAACACTACGTATTATTCCTGTCACACCAACTCACTCTGTTAACTTACCTCAGGTACGAGAAGCCTAAACAGTAACCGTCGCCTATAAAGATTCAATCGACATCAAAGATACTAGATGAATACCACCAGTGTCATCATAGAAAGCCTCAAGTGTCGGTTCAACTGTCATAGCGACTAGCACGAAAGTACTGTACTGGTTTTGATTTGACTCAGCCCGCTCTTTTAGCTCACATGCTCCAGCCGGACCTTCATTGATCAGACATTTGTAGAGATTAAGAGCCGAAGCCTCTGCGTTGTTGTCGGTGATCATCGTGCTGGTATTACGCCTTGTAGTTACCGTATATAGTCCTATCAATGACTTGCGCATAGCTGGCCATAGTATCAAGTTATCCCAGAGTTCAAAGCTGGTATGGATATCCCCTGAAGTAGCATATGGGGTATCCATTTCCACCATTCCGGTTGCCACTCGTAACTTCAGAGTAGCCTCGATCTGCAATAATTTACTGTCTGCCTAAGCACATCGAGATTCGATGAAAGTTTATACATCACTTCAGGAGATGTAGTCGCGATCTACCTTTAACCAGCGAGTGATTGTACATGTCAAAGACAACTAGCCAACGCTTCACTAATAGTGGACTCTCTGGAGCTCTCGGTCACTCACTTCCCGGGTGGCGATGATGATTTTGACAACACATCACACAATAGAGGAAAGGTCCACATAGCACCGATTCAACAATGATACCCAATCCGAGTACAACGGGGCCAAATCCAGCCGTGCTGACCAGAGGCAAAAGTGTATCAAACTCACCGCTGCTTTCATGATGATCAGTGTGACTGTGATTGAGACGTGGATAGTCTCCTGTGGTATCCTTTGGTCGCTCTAGAATCCAGACCCACACGTTAACGCGTGTGTATAGAACAAAAGGAATCTGGCTTTCGGTCAAGTTCCCCAAAAGTAGTCCAGTGGTAGTTGATCCAGACCCGCGGAGGCTATCTTCGCAAGTGCCATGGTACCTTGAGTGACCGAGGTAGATGTCAGGAGAAATGGCGTGCCGAATATGATGAGTTGCCCACTAACGGTGAGCCTCGGTCTGTCTTGTGAAGCCCCTGAGCATCGTTTCTGCTTTCCTCGTGCGGCTGATCGCGGCGTGCATCCAATATAGCCTTGCTGATCAGCATCTCCGCGAGGTCTCTTCCCGCAGAGACGCTCCACCATGGCAAATACGACGTGTAGCCGCTTTTGGCCGTCCTTGTTCGGCCTGGTACGTCAGCAACTGCATGATCCCAAGCCAGGAAGTTGGCGGTTTTGGATTGCTATGTAGCCTCGACCTGGCTAATCGCGAAGCCATACGACCCGTCCTTACTAGTGCAGGATCGACACGTTCCTCCACCAGCCATCAAAGCACTTCGCATTCCCATCATTTCATCACGTGAGAATCGTAGAAGCTAGTGAGAGTCGTGGAAGCTAGTAAGCCTCCTACTGCAGGGCAGCCCGAAACGCCCTAATGGTGCTCGGTATCCCACACGTCACGTCGTACGAGAACCCACTAGATAGACGATTTTACGAAAAAAGCAAGCCTGGCGCGAGGATCAATTTCGCCTGGCCGCAAGCGCCTCATGCGTCAAAAGAATATTCTGGGGGTGCGCGCGCTGGCGACGTTGCTTTCCAAAAGTTAATACTGTTGGTGCAAAGCCCTGGGCGTGTAAGGAGAAGGACGTCCGACACCAGGCACTAGTCCTCCACACCTGAGGAAAAGTCTCTCTCGAGACTACAACTGCGATGGCGACGTTACTCATCACCCTGTTGTATGCCGAGCCGCGTTTGTGGCGCGAACTCGTCTGGGCTTGGCCGCTGTAGCTGAACTCTATCCCACTCGTTGGGTTTGAGCGTGTGTGCCGCTTTAACAAACGCTAATTTGATCGCGCATAATTTGGCTACCCTCTCTGGTAGCGTAACGTGCCGAAAAGAGCGTTTCGTGACAAGTGTAGCGCTGCTATCAAATGTTAATCGCCCATTTGGACCAGAGGCGGCTCTGCATTAGTGAGGCGTCTGTCTGTGCTGACTTACGGACCTTTCCCACGGGAAAAGTGTCTTCCAGTATTGCCCCAAAATAGTGAATGATCTGTAGTGGAGAAGCCGCCGCTTACCGATGCGGGAGGATCCAGAGATCTGCGTCTCGGGTTCGCATTCTGGTAAACCAAGGTGAAGCGACAGGGCAATCTCGCATGAGATGAGGCGTCGGGAGGTTGCCGTGGGAGGCTCAAGGAACGACGGGAGTCTCTCAAGCCCATACAGAAGGCCTGAGTTTTGGGAGGCGAGGGCTTAAATGTTGTAGCGAATCCGATCTGTGACTACGGGAGGGGCAGATCGATGTCGTCATGGATCTCGCAAGTCAAGCGCTTGTATGCGAACACAAGATCATTTGAGATGTGCAACCATGGCTTCCACGCCTTGCACTCCGCATGCTTGACCCTGTATCGATCTAGAGATCTGAAGCCAAGCCGCGATTCTCACGATAGCCGGTACACCAGAGCCACATCGTTGGACTGCTAGCATGCACATAAGTGCCATAGTCTGCAGCGTACAATATTATTCTTTAGTCGACTGTCAAACCCCACTTGATGCTGACGACAATCGGTCCTTTTCTTCGTGCATTCGGTTACTCTTTCCACCCCATTGCTCTCCATACGATTAGCCGGATTTCTTGCCAGTAGCGCTTACGATTGCTCCTGTCACATCAGCATACAACATCAAAATATGCGCGAATCAACTCATTGGCACACAGATTTGACGCTGGTGATTCTTGCGCGACTTCCACGGTCACCCAAAAAAATCAGCAAGAGCTAGGACATCGTCGTAAGACTGTAAATGGGTGGCAGTCGTGTGGTAGAAGTGGTCAGGATTGCTTACATTCGAAACGATCCTTGCATTCTTGGCTAGCATAAGCAGGAGCACCTCAATTTCTGCCACTGAGGCGCAAGCGCCGAGCAACACCGTGAAGGGACTCGTGCGCAACAGTAGATTTTTGACGCATCGTCACGTTTGTACTCGCCCTGAATGGCCGTGGCCTACGAATCCTCTTCCGTCCGACTGCAGGATCGTAACGTACTTGCCCACAACCGTCAGTAAAGTAGGGTCTTCTTTAAACTGACATCCCTTTTTCCAATGATTTCCTCAAGCAGACCACAGGAAATGACCGCGACCACTCATACGTTCGCTCGGTGATGGCCACTCCAGTGAAACCGAGAGAAGGAATGCTCTATATTTCGATCGACCACTGCTTGATGCAGGTCGCCAGAAGAGGTTGACGTGTGCCACGCGGACCCTGACTGAGCGGGACAAGAAACGTTTTTTTTTCCGCGTCGTGCCGGCGAAAATCGCACGCCTCGCGGGCTCCTTAACCAGCAGGATGGGTAGGATGATCATGTACTAATTGGAGTAACTGCCCGACAATAGACAAGGCGCTGGCTCAAAGAGGCGAGGATCTCGAAACACAACTGGCAGCTTGCGTCGAGCGTCGTACGATGCGATACTCCTAATGCATCTGAACCAGTGTACTGGGTGGTGTACCATGTCGCTTAAGCAAGAAACCGAATCGGCGAGAGCGCATTAGACCGATTTGGACCGACGTCCGCTAAGCCTGGGTAGCAGAATCAGACACATGCAGGTGCAGGAGACGAAAAGGGTGTGCCCGAAACGGGATCAGGATCCCGCCAAGCCAGTGTTGAGATCTCGAGTCAGCACAGAATGCTATTGCAAGGGTATTCTGCTATTGCATTCTCTGCCGGCTCTGTTTGTTGTCAAGCGTCAGACTTCGAGGAGCACCGATGCGATGCATCTTTCGGGGTATGTGCTTCTGGTAAGGATTCGCCCACTAGTTAGTGACTGATCTAGCATGTGAATTCCGCATGGGCCATCTCGACGCTCACCGATAACTGCGTTTTGACCACTTTTGAGTCGACTTTTGCCGCGGAGTGAAAACGGTCATTTACAACGGGCATATGTGCCGCCCAACACGCGCTCACTTTGACAGTAGTCGAGCTTAACCCCCTCCCATTGCAGAAAAACAAACATTTTAATGAAAGCGTGATATCTACAACCACGGTCGTTCTCCAGAATATGAAACCAGAGAGTGCTCATCGCTGTCGCAGCTGGAGTAAATGTGGGGCATCGCCTGTCAAACATGGCACTGTGGGGCATTAAGTCAGAATAAGAAACCAATCAAGTTCTTGCATAGACATGCTTTCACGAGCAATCTCGATACTAGATCAAGTGCCGGTACGTGTGATGTTTCGTTGCGGGTTCCTACTTCCTAGGAGAAAGTTATATCCGGAATCCAGATCGTTGGGTTAGTAATGTGTACCGTCTGAACGCCGAACAGAGATGTAGATCTTCGGCAACTTGATCACCACAAGAGAGAAGATTCCTCTTCTCGCTGTTATTCCTTGACAATGTGTGTTTTGAAACGAAACAGGGTTTCTGTGATTGTCAATTCGTAACAGGGATCAGTTCTCTGGGCATGACTGGGTTTGATACCAGTAACACTGCGTAAACCGGCGCTTGTCAGATGCCAGCTGCTTGGAAATCAGACATGACTGCGGATCGGACGCTCGTCAATCGGACGCGTGCTGCAAGGTGGTATCGAGAAGTCAGCCAAAATTAGCCGTTGCACTATGCATAGGCGTAGAGGGTCATGTTAGCGAGATTCAACGATGGCGTAACCGAGCGGCTGCATTGGTTTGACGTTACAAGCCACTGATGCCACGTTTATGCTTGCGCTTTGTCCATGACACGATCACTACGACATAGTACTAGTTGTCGCCATGAGAGCAGTGAAGACAGGCAGAGGTACCCGAACATAAAGTCTGTGAGACAAGGAAGAAATAGCGTGATGCATGCCGTGACCCGCAAGATCATGTTGCACTCAATATCCCACGCCATCTCCAACGGTGGCCGGACCGGAGAGATGACGCCGATAGTCACCCCATCCGGCTTGCGCAGGTGCGTGGACAGTTATCAACAAGCGTGAGGAACACCCCGAGAGACCTTTGTGGTTCCGTTAAGGCGCAGGGTATAGAGCAATGAAAAGTGAGAAACGGTAGAGGATGACGAGGTTGGATGGCTGACGGTCCCACCAATGCAGCTAAACAGCAACGGAGACTTGTTGATAGCGTGCCAAAATCTCTAGGTCGGTTACGGTCTGGTAAAGCCTACTTGACAGCGCTGGTGCGCATTGGTGATAGCACAGACATTTTACAAACGCGAACGCACCAAGATGCCGTCGTGCAGAAGGTGAGTTCTCTGTGTTACACCCAACATGTGTAGGCGGCAACGGTCGAGTGCTTAGTGTTTCATGGTTCGGAGCGAGATGGAGCCAGTGCAAATGGTTGAAGGGTTTAGCGACGACTGACGTAACCGAAAGGTACCCTTACAAAACTACCTTGGGAAGGCACCGGTGGGACAAAGCGGTGGCGAGAAATGGTCTGATAAACTTCTTTTGTTATCCAGTGCATGCGATAAGACAGGCTCAGAGGTTGTTGCAGGTTCATGAGTCGAAGCCTGTCGGGCCGATGGGATGGTTCTTCGGCACTATCTACCTTTTCTGTGAAGACGCTTCTGGCGTCCGCAGCCCCGCAGCACTAATCGCATTGCCACCGATTCAGATGTGTGGACACCCCTGTGGCGATGGAGATTCCCGAGAGTGGTATCGGGTTGAGTGCCTGCCAGGAGGTTGCGATGGACAGACGGGGTGTTGCTGCCCAACAATACCACCGTACATAGGTCGCAGCAAACAAGAGGGGTCTGGTACCGACAATTGATGTGTGCGAGGCGTCCGCCCTCGTGGGTGACAGTTCGCTGGCTGTCGACGCCAAGGTACGGATTGACAGAACAGGCGTGGGTGCAAGCTGGGGTGGATGCATGATGCAAGTTCGGTTGCATCTCGATTGCATGCCACAACGATAATTCGTGCCTGGGCGGCGGGCTGTTCCTTTCTAGGCATGGGCGCATCTCACCTCGTGTGCGCGGGGTGCCCATTCGCGCGGATGGCGGTCGCGATGCTTGTCCCTGGTCGTAACGGTTGCGGATCGAGCAGAAGAAAGCGCGTCGAAGCAGCCCACACCAAGCCGCCGCCGCCCAACGGACGTGGGCCCGTCATGCAGCATCGCAATTGCGCCTTGGAAAATCAGACTTGCTGCTTTTAGGGGGCTGCGCGATCTGATCGGGCAAGCGTTGCAAGGGCTGCCATGGCGTGTCGCATATCCTTGCCCTTTAGGCGTACGCTTTAGGAGTCCGTTGGAGCGCTCGAATGTTGCATCAAGAACACCCAGCGACCGCCCTCTCCACCCACATCCTTGCTGGGGCAAACAGACGTGCCGTATCCAGAGAACCCTTGCCCGCCCACTGCACATCCTCGTCACACTGAGCGACTACTCGCTGCCGGAGCGGTTCATCTCCGATCGCATCTGCGTTAGCCCGCTGCGGTTGTCTTAGCCTTCGTTTCCTCTCACACCATGCCTGCAGGCATAGAGGAGGCGCTGAATTCCGCGTAGCTTGCAGTGAGATCACGAGTTTTGCCTGATCGCCGCTCTTCCGCCCATGTCACACTTGCCCATCTCTCTTACACATCATCCAACATCAGCACCACCTCCGAGTACCAAGAGCCACGCACAGCAAGAGAAGGACGCAGATTGTGGTCATTGAGTGTGCATCCACGCAAGCGATCCCTCCACGGCCGTCGTGCCTGCGACACTACGTCAGCCACAGTATCGAGAAGAAAAAGAGCAGCAGCAGCAACATTCGCAACGACACTAACTGGCATTGATCCATTCGTTAAAAAAGACTCCCGGACGTCTCATCTATTCAGATCTGAGTTTGGGCGGTAACTGCAACATCACCGTGGGGTTTTTTGGAAGAGAGAATCCGACCGAATTGCTTGGCCACGCTTGCGGAGGAAGGAGCAATCTGAGACCATCGTTTCGATTGACGTTGTGCGGGAAGGAACGACTCCAGCGTTGACGGCCTGCGGGAAGGTACATCGACGTCGCGGCACCCACGATTCCCCGCCATTGCGTTGCTGCAGCAGTTCGCTGTCGCATCCCTCCTTCACCACCACCACCCACTAAATATACAACCCACCATGGACACCCTGGATGCCGGCAGTAGGCCAAGGTATGTTGTTTGGTCCATCGCTCCCTTCCCGACCTACGGGTTCTGACTAGCCACCGTAGCATCGGCTTGCCATCAATCAACCACATGGATGCCGACAGACTAAAGCGCGAAGAGGTCGAGTATCAGAGAAAACACTCTGGTGCCGCCGCTGCCATGCCCAGCCCGATGCACCCCTACGCGGGACCGCCGCATCTGCATAGCAATCACCAATCGTCGGTCGCCAGCGCAGTACCCGGCTCGCTTGGAGGCCTACTGTCTCCTCCCGAATCACGCAGGACGTCTGGCGATGAGAATGAGTCGCAACGACCGACGGCCCGGCAATCGTTGCCGTCAATACAGGAGGCCCTAGGTTCAGAGCAGCCGCTGTCATATACAGCTACAGTGCCTCCGCCTTCAGCCATAACTTCAGCTCCTCAGCACTATCATCCGCAATCCGCTGCTGCTTCACCTGCTGAACCACGCCCAAGACCATTTCCATCCGACCTTCAGCACGCCACTCAAGGGCCCTCCAACCGGTTCACCTACCCGCGAAGCCCATTCGTCGGTGCACTAGCATCGCCAACAGTCTCCCGACAGCCACCTCAGGTCCAGTCAGATTCGCTGCCCCGCCCGCCCTTCTCAGAACCACGGCCACCTTATACCACTCCTCAACACAATCCGAAGCTGCCCACTCTACATCCAATCAAGACCACGCAATCCCCACCACTGAGCGCTGCTCGCCCCAACGCCCCTTATTCGTCGTACCCACCACCGCCACCATCAGCCAGCTACGAAAGCCCTGCTCCTCCCTCAGCGGGACCCATGAACCACCGTTATCCGTACACGCAGTACCCTCCCAGCTATCCTTCATCAGCTCCCTCAGCAAGTGCCCCTAACTCGGCTTATCCTCCAACCAGCTCAACTTATTCTGCCCCTCCTCGGTATCCCCCACAATCGTGGCAGGACAACTCAGAGATGGCCCTTCTGGAAGAGAAGAAGATTGGTCGCTCCAGTCTAGCCCCTTATGGCGAATCAGTCAAGCGACATCTGGAGAGTTTTGACATTGAAGCTTCTCTCAACGAGATGGCTGATGGATCCGGACACATTGCCGAGTTTTCAAAAATCTACCGACAACGTGCGCATGAGAACCAACGGATTGGCTTGACACCACAGTCAATGCCAAGGTTAGACGAGGTCGATGACATGATCAAGCAGGGGGAGAGAATCCAGATATCACTTCAACGGATGCGAGAAGTCGTCTTTAATCACCATCAGGCGAGCATTGTGGAGCCCCCTCAAGATCCACGCTACCGCCCGATGAACGGCTATGACGACAACGCAAGCAACTACGGTGATGAAACCAAGGGTATGGGCGGCTTTGCTGGTGGCGACAATAAGACTCGGAAGCGAGGCGTAAGTATCACTGATTTAGACCATTGCCTACTGATACTGACTTCTCAACAGCGAGCTGCACCGCCGGGACGTTGCCATAGTTGCAACAGAGCTGAGACCCCCGAGTGGCGAAGAGGGCCAGATGGTGCTCGAACCTTGTGCAATGCTTGCGGTCTACGTAAGTTTCTAGACGACAACATGTTTCAAGCTTGCCTACTAACACCGTATCCAGACTACGCCAAGTTGACTCGCAAGATGGGTGGCAAGCAAGCTATGACCAGCTCGAATTTACGACCAAAATCCGTCGATCATGGCTCACCTACCATGTGATCATTTACGTTAACGGAACAGGACATATTTGCTTCGACATTATTCTTGGATTTACCAACATCATCGCACATCTCGATCATCTTCACCACATAGGAGCGCTGGCGCAGATACTGCTTGCATTTACAGGAAGGGTTCATCCTCACGGATCGGTCTTACTAGAGATCACTACTTCCTCACTCCAACATTTCGGCGGTCTCATATACCATTTCTTACATGTCGTCCAATTGAAGACGACTTGGTCGATTGTGGAGAGGTTCGGCGAACCAAAAGGAACGGTGCCACTGTGTCAACACACCGATGTTGTCCGCACTTGTCCCAAAATACACGCCGCCCTCAGCACCAAGGTTTTAGGTATACTACGGTCTATTTCTCGCTTGTATTTTAGTAGTAGTAGTTGCATTTTGGCATACACACACCCAAGGGCTTCTAGGCGCGGGAACTTGCCGAAGGCGTTTTCTGTATATCACCATCTGCTAGGATGGTTCGATCAAAGGTTAGGCGTTTCGGTGCACCGAAACAAGCGCTTACCATCTGACGATGAAACTGTTCTTCTAGGCATTCCTGTATAGCACACTTTGCTAGAAGTGTACGAGCCTTCTGGGGGGGTTTGACAGGCGTTCGCAAAGAGATACCACTGGCTTTCAGGCCTAGCGACGTAGAAACTATTGAATATAGAAGTTAATACCTTATATCTTGTTTTATCTCAGTTGTCACAATCGTATCATGGCTGATGCATGTGTGTTCATAGGGACCTATGCTGCGTCACCCGCACCAGTCCACGACTGACGCGGGCATCCCAATATACACAAACTCTGCGCTGCACCGCCAATCGAGGCACCCCGCATATTGTATCATCTGTCAAATAACAACTCATAGGGGTCGCACCTTGCGACCCAAGCAGGTGCAGCAGGCCTAGAGTAGCGAGGACACGATAACCTTGCGACCTGGTGTCCCAATTATGTAAGGCGATGTGCACACTGAAAATGTGCGATGCTGAATGTGCGGCACGCGTAGCAGCAGCCGATCCTGCTTTTGCAGTACCGCAATGGCGGTTGCTTAGCCCAAAACTCATCACAAGCCAAGAGAATAGGTCGCTTGCACCGACGAAGAAGAGACGATTCGTCTTGTCCCTTCAGCCAACATGTGGTGCGGCCGCAAATGTCATGCCACTCCTGCGGCCCGAGGCAACGGTATGGAAGGGATCCTTCCTCAATATGCATAATCGGGATTCTCTACGCGACCATGCTTTTTGCGCCAGTAGGAGGGCTTTGCACAGCGTAGCGACATGTGTAGCGACATGCGTGCACGTGGGCGAAGACAACGGTAGGCGAGGCGCATTTGATGGACAGCAAAAGAAGACACCATGCGCAGTCGTGCATCCGGGCTCGCTGTCAGTATGCCCAAGCAATGTTGCGCAAGGAAAGATGGATTGCGCGTGTGGCAGAAGTGTCACAGTGAGGTTGATGTTGTGTCCAGCTTACCAAAGAGGTAAGCGTCATCGGCAGGGTCTTCGTCCTTGGATGAGGGCTACAGGCATATGCTTACTGCATTACGCATTAATAATCAATACACCCGACTCTAGCCTTGCAATTCGTCCGCGTATGCCAGCGGAGGGGGGATAGAAATTATTCTTCCTTCAATCGTCTGCCATTTGACGGTCTTTTGATAACGCAGGAAACCGAGCCGTCTGCAGCCCATTCAAAATTGCAAAAGCCCTGCGTTGCGTCAAACCCCGCTAAACGTCCCATATTCTGCAGTGCTCCCCGAATACCTCCCCGCAATCGCCGTTCAAACCCAGAAGCCACCCATTCACACGTCTGCTCGGCCCGCCCGTGCACCAACCCGCATTGGACTACCTACCGCGACGCCGTACAGAACTTGGGGATGGGTCTGCTGTGAGATCCGTGCTATGTCTCTCGCCGCCCTCGCTAATGTCATATCAAGTGCCCTTGGAACGCCTCTTGACTGGCCAGAGGCCAAGAAAGTTGCTGGTCAGGTCAGGTCATGGGGAATTGAAGTATGCTTGGTGAAGCCACCCAAAAGGAATATGTGTAGTAATGTGATTGACAGCAATTGCTCGCTATCTGGCGCAATGCCAAAGGCAAGGAGAGGGATGCGCTCCTTTGGGGAGATGAGGTCAAGCACCATCTTCCGCTCGTCCGTCACAGAGCCTGAGACTGACCGGCATCTAGATCGAGTATTTGGTCGTTTGCTATGATCAAGACAGCCACAAGGTCCGATTGTCGCTCCGCCAGGCAGACATTCTAGCTGCGCTCGCCAACGATGAGAAACTTCTGCAGCAAGGCGGCGGAGTACCTGACCTGCAAACCGGAGACGCCGAGTGAGCCTAACCGTCTAGATTCAACATTTCGTACTGACCGTGGCAGCGCGAAGGATAACCCTGCACCCGTCTTCCACCCCGAATTTGGGAGGTTCATGCTTGAAGCGACCCCTGGGAAGCCATGGGGCATTGGTTTCAAGGACCTGCTTGACGTTGAACCAAACATGAAATGGAGGTATGCAAGCCTACCTGATTGTTGGTCAACCCCGTCGCTAACATTGCTTGTAGACGCACCATAGCCAAGGATCACATGGCACAGACCGAGTTTCCGATCACATTGACGACATTCCCTCGTCTTGGATCGGCCGATTGTATCGTACCATCATATCCTGTTTCAGGGCCCAAGCTACGATCCCAGTTTGTTCCGGATGAGATTGCCAATCCGCACATTCGCTTTCCTACGCTAGCAGCAAACATTCGTTGGCGCAGGGGCCGGAAGGTCGAAGTAAACGTTCCGGTTTTCAAGGATGAGAGCACACCATGGCCGTGGAAGGATCCCACAGTCAACTATGACATGCACAACTGGCCTGAAGATGATGATGTGCGCAATGGTGCTGCCAAGGACAACTACATCCATATGGACGCCATGGCTTTTGGTATGGGAAGCTGCTGTTTGCAGATCACCTTCCAGGCAAAGAACATCGAGGAGGGAAGGAAGATGTACGATCAGCTTAGCCCGATAGCACCTATCCTGCTAGCATTGACGGCGGCAACACCAATCTACAAGGGTTTCCTGGCCGATACTGATGTGCGATGGAACCAAATTAGTAGAGCGGTTGATGATCGCACACCAGAGGAACTTGGAGAGAAGGCAGGTCGCCTCATTGTTTAGTATTGATCATGCACTAACATGTGACAGCCGCTCAAGAACGACCGATGGCGATTACCCAAGTCGCGCTACGCATCCAATTCAACCTACATCTCTCAGGATCCTCGCTTGCGACCTGAGTATCTCGACCCAGATCTTATCATCGACACCGACATCAAGCAGCGTCTAATCGAAGGCGGCATGGACGACCTCCTAGCGACACATTTTGCTCACCTTTTTATTCGTGACCCCATTGTCGTTTTCGCCGAAGACCTTCAAGAGTTGGACCTCACCAAAGCTGATCACTTTGAGAACCTGCAGTCAACCAACTGGCAGCACATGCGCTTCAAGCCACCGCCAGCTGGATCCGACATGGGTTGGCGCGTTGAGTTCCGCCCAATGGAGATTCAAATCACTGATTTCGAGAACGCTGCATTCTCGATCTTCATCGTGCTTCTAACCCGTGCTATCCTCTCGTTCAATCTCAACTTCTACATTCCCATCACATTGGTTAGCGAGAACATGGAGACAGCACACATTCGCGATGCTGTATCAACGCAGAAGTTCTGGTTCCGAAAGAATCCTTTCTCGACACACAAGCCCAGCGGAACGGGTACCTCCACACCTGCGGGGAATGGCAGCCGTCCAGCAACACCCACTGGCCCTGTGGAAGACGAATACGAGCAAATGACCGTCAACGAGATCATCAACGGACAGACTACTTCGACTGGTGGCAATGGCTTCCCTGGTCTTATCCCGCTTGTTGAATCCTACCTCAACAGCATGAACGTTGACGTTGAAACGCGCTGCGATCTCGCCACCTATCTGGATCTGATCCGCAAGCGCGCTAATGGTACATACTGGACTGCGGCCAAGTGGATTAGGTATTTTGTCCAAACACACCCTGCGTACAAGAAAGATAGCGCCGTTAGCGACGACATTACGTATGATCTTGTCAAGGCTGCAGAGCAGATTACGCGTGAAGAGGGCCGGGATGGGTTGGGTAAGGAGATGCTTGGAAAGCGACGTTGAGTTGAAAAGATAGTTCGATGATGCATATAGAAGGAGGGTAGAATGTTTTCAAGCTTGTTCCCTTGAATAAGATCTCGTATCCTGCGAGGCATGTAGATGGACTTGATAAAAAAGTATACTGGCAGTAGATTTGATAGCTCCCATCATTGTTTCCCAACTCATAAGGTTGTATGTGAAGAAATGGCCGGTTTTGAGCTGGACCCATGAAGAACGGCGATGCACATCAAATATGGTCTCTTTTCATGCAGCCTGCGCTTCTAGACGTTTCGAAGGTTCTTCTAGATAAAATGTATAGTAACGGCCTTCGCAACTTGGCCTATCTAGCGAACACTTTGATTGTCCCATCAAAGTCAAATCATACCATTGTGGCGACTCTCTTCCACAACCACATGTTTACTAAGAGGATTCACATTTCGTACATCTTCCAGAACACAGCTTCTTCAAAACTGTTGGCAGAAACCACGCAGCTCTTATTGGAAAGGCTGGCTCTCTTTGATCAAAGGCCGCAATATGATAGCCTTGTTGAAGTCTTACGCTGCTGGCCTGCTCCCTTCTCTCCTTCGCCCTCTTCTAACCTCACTCTTTCCAATACTGCTATTGTCATTTTTCCTGCCCGAACCGTTGCACTCAGCGATGTGCGATCTGACTGTTTATGGGTCTAACCACATATCATCAGCGATTTCCGCGTAGAGACAAGGCCAATGTGCTCAGAGGGTCATCATACCACCCTCGTCCAGACATTCGGCGATCAACAGTCTTTTTGATCAAAAACTTGTATGCAGTAACCGCATTTGCGAGTATTGGTAATGAAGCGCAACGTCCTGTATCGTACTTGGTATTTGGTTATGAACTGGCAGGAACATGTTCACATTAGGTTAGCTTTGTTGAGCCTCCATCTCCAAGGTGTTTTGCCTACCATCTTGTTGTTGTCATCGGGATCGATGTTGGGCTTAGAGTTTGTAAAAGAGCCAGCATGTTGGTGGGCGTATGACCAACAATGCGATGATGGCGATGATGCTTTGGGTGTCGAGTAGCATCTGGGAGACAGCGGAAACTGGGCCTGTAAAAACTAAGATTGATAAATATAGGTTTTATAAGAGGGAAGTAGGTTGTCGCAAAGTTGGAAAGGTTCCAGAGGGATGAGAAAGGTCGTCTAAAGAAACATCGCTCTAGATGACATATGGAGACTCAGGTTCTTGGTTTCGAAGCTGCAAGGCCACAAGCTGTCTCAAGTGTGCAAAACTGGATGTCTGGAACACGCTGTATCGCAAGGGCAGAGCATGCATACCTTGCTTATTCCCATGATTTATTGAGCATAGTTCCTACGGATGACAGCATAATCACATGGCTGGAGGCACTTGTAGAGAAGTCATTGATTCAGTTTTAGCGATATTTTACAATGACTGAGTAATACGATTCATGCGAATTGGCTATCAGCTAACGAGCCGAAGCACCGCTATTTCAGACTTTCAAGAGACCCGAAGGTACATGTTCTGTCGAAAGCATCTACCACCCGAATTGCTCGAATATTCACGCCGCTTGTAGTAGCAGTCTTACTCACGCCAGTCATTATATGCTGCTACCTACATACGCTCAAAACCCGGCTTGTCACCATCACAACTACTACGAGTGTATTCACCGCAGTACTGTCAGGCTCAACCAACCCCAAAACTACCGAACTTGTTGTAGCTGGTGCAACGTAAGTGAGGGATATCTGAAGATGTTATGAAACAATACATAGCATCGAAAACAGATATACCACTGCTTTGATCGTATTCATCTCGAGTAACGATTTGCCCGAGTAAGAACTAGGACCGCATCTAACGCATACGAAGGCGGGATATATGAACCAGAGCACCTCCTATCACTCAAAGAGACGGCCTGGGCACCATATTGAAGTGAATTGAATGTGAAAGTATGCGGCGAACGTTTCAGTCACGCTCCATACTTCGACGACACGGGCATTTCGCCTCTATTTAATCGTCGTCTTGACTTGAAGAGGGCTGAGCGAACGGGAAACCTTGATCTCACTTGTTCTACCACCACAAAGACCGCTATGTGGGGTTCCCTAGGCTAATGAGGCGGCTTCGGAGGCTAGCGTATTTGATTTGTGGGTCATTGCAAGCAATCCTCCCTCGAGACGAGCACGACTCGCATCGATCCTCGCAACATGAAGTACCGTCATGTATAACTGCTCAGTTCGCCGCGTTTTCATTGCGCACTTCTTTTTTGTGCAAACAACCTTAACCTCCACTTTTTCACCGCATTAAATTGGTCTCAATCCGAGATCGCGAGCTTCAAAGTCGGAGTCCTGATCACCGCAGACCTGATCCAAGAGTCTAAAGAGCAGACCACCAAGAAATGTCGAACAACATCCTCATCACCGGCGGCGCAGGCTTCCTGGGTCCCATGCTCGCCGCCAAGTTGATACAAGATTTCTCTAACAACATCGTCCTGACCGATCTTCAAACACCCCAGAGGCCAGCCGGAATTCCATCTTCGACATCCAACCTGGAGCTCGCAGCTGCGGACCTCACCTCACATGCAGACATTACCAAACTTCTTTCTATGCGCCCAAAATGGTCGGCCATCTTCCTATTTCATGGCATAATGTCTGTTGGCTGCGAAGAGAACCCTGCGCTTTCTACCAAAGTCAACATAGACGCCACGCTTTCTGTTCTTACGTCCATCTCACAACTCCAACAAACCTCCAAACCCCGCATTGTCTACGCTTCCACCCAGGCTGTGTACGGACCACCTTATACGTCATCGGGTCCCATTACAGATGATACTCCCGCGACACCAATAGGCGTCTATGGCACCCACAAGGCCATTATGGAGTGTTACATCAATGATCTTAACCGCCGTGGTCTAATTAATGCCTTCGCCGTGCGTCTACCGACCGTGGTTGTACGTCCAGGTGCGCCTTCGCGATCAGCTGCAGCATTTTTGAGCGGTATGATTCGCGAGCCGATGGCCGGACTTGAATGTATTGTGCCCATTAGCGACCGTTCGGCGCGCCAGATGATATGTTCGCCACGCGTTATGATCGAGAATTTTGTGCGTGTAATGAAGGCTTCTACGGATGCTATGCCGGCGCATATGCGCGCAGTGTACATGCCGGGAATAAGTGTTACGCTTGGAGACATGTATGCAGCGTTCGAGGCAGTCTGTGGAAAGCATAAACTTGGGCTGTTGAGGGAGGAAGTGGATGAAGAAGCGAAAAGATTGCTGGATAGTTGGCCGCAGACTGCAAAATTCGGAAATGCAACAAGGATGGGACTGTTATTTGACGAAAGTTGTGAGCAGATCTATAGAGAGTATGCCGATAGCTTGAAGGCAAATTAGGCTCTGAGGCAAACAAACTTTGCGACCTTCACGGTACAGGTTGAAGAGTCAATCATTCCGCGAAGCACAATGTTATGGTGTAAATAATGGTTGATTGGTTGGTTGGTTGGTTCGATACTTGTGAATTCTCAGATGAACATTGTTGCTTGATTGACTCTGAAAACTGTAAATAAGATCATGGTGGGCGGCACAGTTTGGTCGCACGCCGTAGGACGCGCCCGACTAAGCATCGACACGACAGGCACCATGACCTCCGACTCCCGTTTCCAGACACCAACTGAAGCAAACCAACCGTAAGCAGTAACTCGATAAATATCTGATTGATCGGACGGGTGAACTAATTTTTAGTGTCCTATGGTCATATGTGAAAGAGTAGCTTCTTGAAAACCTATATATACCACCTACACAAGGTAGCACACTTCAGGACCGAAGAGAAGACCCAGTGGACTTCACAACATAAACATAGTACAGGAGATCCTCAATCGATGTAGGAACAGACACTCTCTACCATCTCAAGGACAAGGGAATAGCAACCGCTCCCATCATACCAAAAACGGCCAGCCATCGCAGCAAACCCTTGGTCACCATCTTCTTCGCTAGCCTATCAATAGCTTCTCCGTCATTAATTTTCGGGAAAGGGACATCCTTCGGAACCTCTTTGCCCAGCACCTTACACAGTGGCTCCCAACCGTCCTTGACACTGAAGAAGACCAACCTATCTTCCGGCACGACTTTCTTCAAGTAAGCGATGTGCCTTTCGTAGGTTGCGGCCGTGACTGGTTCCCCGCGGCCATAGAGGTGTATCCATTGGATTCTTAGGCCATCGATAAAGTCGACGAAATGACGCATGCCCGGAACAGGGAAGAGCACAAAACGTAGAAACCACATCGTCGATGCATTCTGTACCACTTCCATGCTCTTGACCCATGCTTCTGGATCCCGAATCGTGCAGATGACCAATGCATCGGGATACGTCTCAAGCAACTCTTCAACTAGCCCGCTAAATGGTGCATCGGTAACTGCAGCATAGCCGTCCAAGCGCTGCTTCAGCAGGTCGTGAATTGTCGTTTTATCGGAGGGTGACTTTTGTGGGAAATGCGAGAGGAGTTTGATCAAAGATTTGATTTCAACTTCAGGTCCCAGCGTGGCTTGCGTACCACCATGATAGACTGGCCCGTTAAGCAGAATGCACAATGCTTCGCTAAATGATGCAGTCCCCGTGCGCGAGAGGCCAGCGCCGATGACCTGGAACTTGGTACCTGGCTTAGGAACGGAGGGTTGGTTGCCCATTGTAGGCGACAGACTGAGGCCTTGCTTACAGGGACTACGTGAAATAGTCGCGAAAGCGAGCTGGATTTTTGGAACTGTGACCGCGCATGTAGAATATCATGCACTGTCAAAGCGGGGAAATGCTAGACGAACCCTCACTCCGCACTAGTTGTTCGCTGCAGTCAGCGGCGCCGTCTTTCAGGCGTAAACACCTTGGACGTGAGTTCTAACCTCGCTTGACTAAAAATATCTATCGAAGAATAGCGAAACCTTTGGGTTTATTGAAACTTCGAGAGATCATCAGTTAGCGGTGGTCAAAGTCCACTGGGTGCTTTCTGGTGCTTTGGGCCCAGGGTCAAGAGGCTACCAAGTATCTGTTTTGGGTTCACCAAGTTGAATCCAACAATACCTGTTGTTTTTGAAAAAGACAGCCTATGGTCGAGTATTCCAAGATTCAGAACTGTTACCTCACAACAAGGGCAATGTGCCTGTAACGGATGCGAGCATTAATGCATCACCATCAAGTAGAATTGCGTAGTCATGGTCGCTGCTCCGGTCGTATACGCCAAAGGATACATTGAGACTTGATTGCAGACGAGCACTAAAACATTCAGGGATTCGACTATGAGGAGTTGGTACATCGATAGTGAAGGATGCAGGTTCCAAGGTCGATTGGAAGCACGTGCGGCGCCGCTAGTGGCCCTTATGTCATCACATATTGTGCTAACTTTTTGATAGTAGGGCTATCATCGTCACAAGCAGCTCGAGGCCCAACACCACCAACCTACACCGACGCTCATTTGTCGCTAAAGCCGTGTAAACCCACCAAATCAATCGCATATCCGGACAACTGCCAAAATGGTCAAGCTCGAAGAGGTCATGGATGAGGAGTTTGTGCGCGAGCAGGAAGGCCCGCATGACGACGATGAGTGGGACACCGACTCTGGTACGACACCACAAGCCGCTCCGATGATGCCTTTGGCGCATGGAAGTGACTATCCTCAAAACACATGAATACTAAACGTACCACTGCAGAGTCAGACACATCCTCCATCCACTCAGTACAGCCAGACGAATCCCTCTACGAGCGCATCCTTGCCCTACAAGACATGATCCCTGCCAGCACACGCCGTTCCGTCTCCTCAAAAGCCAACACAATCTCTTCATGGTTCAAGAGCGGTCTAAACATGGGTGGCAAGACCCTCTGGGTGGTGAGCACAAGTGCGCTGCTTCTGGGTGTCCCGTGGGCATTGGCATACAGCGAGGAGCAGATGATCGTTGAGCAGGAGAGGGCTGAACTGCAGGCGCAGAGGGCGCAAAACGAGGTATGTAAAAAGTTCTTGTGAATCTTTGGGTTTACGCTCTTCAAGCCTGTGCTAACCTTTTGATAGTTCATGGCTCCTGGTGCGCCAACACCTGGCCAGCTAACTGGCGCGAAGCCTGCTTTGTAGACGACAAAAACTTCCGTTTGGCGTTTCGACTGACAGCCGCTCAACTATGAGCGCTGAGCTCTTCACACCTGTTTTACTAGGATGACGGTGCATGGAACCGGGCTGTACCTGTACATACAGCGGCGAGAGTTTACGCCGTAACGATCTGTACTATATTTCTCGACTCCACGATAATGTATTGCGTCACATATTCATCTCGCAAAACGCAGCCCACGTTTTTTTTACGTTTCAAATTTTTGCGCCCATTGGCTATGCTACTATATGTACAAATGCATCGTCTCGTCTCGTGTTGACTTGCAAACATCTGGCGACATGGATGCATCGCCGGACCCCGGTCTACCAAAGCTCGTATTCCATCAGATGTCAACGTTGCGCCTTTTACATTCATAAATCACTCCAGCTGCGCGCATGCAGTTCCGCGATCAATCCGCAAATAGTGGAGACCAGGAAAGCGGGGACGCTGGGTTTGCAGACGACGCTCGCTCCAAGAAAGGTGGTAATACAGCAAAGAGAAGAGTCATGGTATTATAGTCGATACATGGGTGTGTGGAGAGGCGTTTAGAAGGGGATCGAGCCGGCTGACATTGCGACGCCCTGTTGTTCTTGCTGTTCCATGACTGCCTCGTCGGCGGCTTCTATCGCGACGGCCAGACCAAGCTTAGCAGCGTTCTGTGTTTTCGTCAGTATTGATAGTTAGACTTGAATTTTACCAGACTTACCGCTTTGTGGTCGATTTCACCTGAGAAGGTTACGCGAATTGGCGGCGCGATCATCTTCTCCAACAGGCACGACACCTTGCCCTGGTTGTCTATTTGTGCCCTGTATGATGACTGGCGGAAGTCGTACTTGGCACCGATAGTGACGTTACCCTCCTTCTGCGGTCCGGCCATGGGCCCTCCAGGGCCAATTCCAGCAAATGCGAGGTTGCAGTTGATACCTGTCTCAACCTTGTCTGTAAGTCTGCGCCAGTATGAAGCTTCCAAGACACCACGGTCAGGGATGATCTGACCGCATGCCATCCAGTCGACAGCCCTGTAACGTGCCGCATACGAGACGTTCAGCTCTGGTGGGTATGCCATAGCCGGACGGGTCCAGAAAGCGTCGATACCGAGCGAAAGCTTTGGTGTAACCGCCTGGAGGTAGCTGGCCATGAGCATGCCAGTGATGCCACCGTCTAGGAGGGAAGGGTTGACAGCCTTCAGCGAAGCGGAGAAGTCGGCGCCAGTGTAATCGTTCTCGAGCGAGACCATGTTGCCTTGTGAAGTGAGCTGGACGGCGGCCTTGGAGACAAATGCTGACGTCCAGCGCCAGTTGAAGCGACCGGAGAAGGCGAGCTCATTGTCGAGGTTTCCTTGCATAAACACCTAAAAATTGTCAGCCCATGGAAGGCTGCAGACGATCGAAGCGACAAACCCTTGGTGAACCGTAAAGAACCATGTATGAGTATGGCGGCATAACCTGCGATCCCATAGACAACGAGTGTGCAACCTGGAACAGCGGGGCGGCGCTGAAGGCCTTGGTGAGCTCGGCGCGCAGGCCTGAGAAGCTCGAGTTGTTCAGGAAGACATCGCGCTGAACTTCCCTTGCAATGTTCTCGACTGTGCCCGGGTTGCTGAGGCCCAATGCTTCTCTCCGCTCTTGGAATGCATCGTATACATTTAGGAATTGTGCGAATGGACCGGTGTTGGCGGCGCGAGGTCGTGATAAGATGTCGGCAACAGCTTGTTCCTGCGCTGGGTTGAACTGCAGCGGTGTGGCCATGGTGAATATTTACGCCGAGGTCAAACTAGAATCTCCCTAAAATATGGGAGAGCTTGCACAGGGTGGGATGGAAATGGCAGCGAACGGTTGGAGGGCGATGTTGGGTCGCGTTCGCTAGCATGACGATATCGAACAGAAATTCTAAAGCCATCACGTGACATGACACAGTGACGCTAGAGCTTATCAGATCTCTCCTCCAAGACATGCGGCCCGTTGATACCATGGTTGCTTTTTGGGACCATTGACTACGAAACCCCGCAAAGTGCTGCCTGATTATCTCCAGACCTATCTGCGACACTGTTTCGTGGAAGTTGCTGCGCTTGACTGTTACGGGGTTGTCGCACCTTGTTTGCTGACATCTCTCGGCAAACGCTATCAACGCCGGAACCTTGGAACTGTGACATTGTATCGAACGCAACTCTACTTCATTAACATCCGACCGTTTCTCTTCCTGTGCACTTTGCACTTCTTCCCTCTTCGTCAATCGCTCCTCTTGACCTGACGAATTTACAATCATGGATACCCTACTGTGAGTGCCATGACCCCACTTTCCGCAGCAATGTGAAGTACCAAAGCTGCACACCTCCTGGTCAGAACATTCACTCAAGATGACTAGTACTGCAGAGATATACGCAAACTCACCCCGTTTCCGGCGGCGGTCGAGTACTTTCGTCGACGCAATCCACGACCTACCTACCAAGGAGGAAATGGCTCCCGCCCAACTCTATAGCACAGAATCGGGCCGCCTCTTCCACTCAGGTCGAATAGTCATCGCTACCTGTGGACTGCCAGCTCGAGGAAAGACACATACATCTGTTGCCTTAGCCCGCTACCTCCGATGGCTGGGTGTCAAGACGCACGTGTTCCATCTTGGCGATTACCGTCGCGCTACGCTAGGCCCGGACAACGATGTGCCCGACGACTACTTCTTCCTAAATGCATCGCCACAATCTGTCTTGCTACGCAATAAGATCTTGAAAAAGTGCCGAGAAGACATCTACCAATTCTTGGAACACGACAAGGGCCAAGTGGCCATCTATGACGCCGTCAATGCAATTAGTCAAGGTCGTAGATCGTTGGCCAAAGAGTTCGCCAAGAACGGTATTCAGACAGTCTTCATCGAATCACATTGCACCGACGAGCGCATCATCCAGGAGAACGTTCGCCGTGTCAAGATTTCTTCACCGGATTACCAAGGATGGAAGGACGAGGATGCGGTTCACGACTATCTAGCACGTATCAATGCACGAATACCGCACTTTGAGACCATGGAGGAACCAGATCTACATTGGATCAAGATGATTAACGCTGGTGAGCGAGTGGTAGTGAACAACTGCGCATTCGGATATCTCTCGCAAAGAATAGTCTTTTATCTGCTCAATCTCCACATCAAGTCACGGCAAACATACTTTGCTCGGGCCGGAACCACGCGAGAAGAAGATTCATACAAAGCGGACGCAAACCTCTCCCCAGAAGGTCACGAATACGCTAAGAAGATGAGTGAGGTGCTCCTGAAGTACCGTGAAGAGGAGAAGCAGAAGCTGATTGAGTCGGGAGCAACTGATGCCTCTTTGAAACCGTTGACGATCTGGACCTCCACGCGCCGAAGGACTGTCCAAACGTCAGAGGTTCTGGCTTCCATGGGTTACCGGGTTAGACAACGATCGCAAATGAGCCAGATGAATCCTGGTGTATGCGAGAAGATGTCAGAGGCCAAGATCCGCCAAGAGTTCCCCGATGAAGTTACGAAGCACGAAGCAGACCCGTACCACCACCGATATCCGCGCGCAGAGTCATACCACGACCTTGCCGTGCGCATGGAACCCATCATTCTAGAACTTGAGCGCGAAGAAAACGACCTTCTCATCATCGCTCATGAGTCTGTCCTTCGCGTGCTTTACGGGTACCTGATGGCATGTAATGCGGCCGACATACCTAAGCTCGAGTTTCCTCGCGATGAGATCATTGAGGCAAGCCCATTCGCTGCTACTTTTCGCCATACACTAACATGTTCCAGATTATACCTTCATCCTACAATAATGTGGCAAAACGCATCAAGATCCCTGGTTTACCTGAATCGATGGTTCCCGGAAGCCCCGAAGACATCAAGATCCCCGTCCCACCCAGTGGCGCCGTAAGTCCACTATCTGGAATGGGTACTCCTCAAGCTGGTTCCGGCACCGCGACACCCCAACATGGTGTACAACCTCTAAATCTGAAGTCGCATGTTAATCCTTCTTCATAATTAGGTGCGGTATCGTTGTCGGTACGGCGCTACATTCGATAATGAGCGAGCGAGCCAACAGACGGACTTTGACCCGATTTGAGGAACCAGCATCTCAATGGTGTAGCATGTGAAAGGCAATACATGGGCTTGCGGATAGATGATGAGAATTTCGGCATGAATACACGATAGGACACTTGTCTGGGCGTTGGGGTGCGGCGTGTTGAAGTCCGTCTTCAGATTACACTGTAGTTTCTTGGCTTGTCATTCAATATTCTTATAAACACGAACCTCAAAACCTGCTTGCTATCACTATGCAACTTATCACAAAGTGAACATGAGTAGATTCTGGGGTTGATATTCTCTGTTGCTTGATGCAGTAATGGACAATGTCTTCATACTCATCTGACGACGACCTACGATTCCCTATCCATCCGCATAGTTATGTGTAAGCCTTGAGTTCCACGACGAGCAATGGGATAGACGCAGCAGCAACATTGTTCGGCCGTCCACCATTCCATCGCTAAGACCAAATTCAAGAAGTCTTCAACGATATCTCCAGGAGCCTTAACTTCTCCGCCAGCTGAGCCGTGTCTCTTACTCATCGCCTTGGTTGCGTACTCAAATATAGTGTCAGTGCGGGCTGAATTAGACACGGTCGTAATAATAACTTACTCATTTCCCCATCCCTTGTCGATAGCCCACTGCCACCCACCCCAACCATCATGGTCGCGGGGGCGTACTCGGAACGGCTCTCCCTCGCGCGCATCAGGACAATTCCAGCGGTCGCCTAGTCCGATATCATGGAACTCCACGCCGTACCTCGTGCCGTTTGTCTGACCAGGTGTAAGGGGGCGCTGGTCACAGGGCAGCTCAGGTAGGTCGAGGTCGAAGATGTCGGGAAGAACAGCGAGGAGGCACTCCATCTCTGCGTCAGGTTCGTGGATGTCAGCATTTGTGGGAGGATAGTGGCCTGCAAAGATGTTGAACGGAGGTGAGGGAGATGGGGCTGGAAGGGAAAATTTCAAGGCAAGGGGGTGGGAGGGCTCTCCGAACTGTTGCATGTACTGCAACATGGATGGCGCAGGGGGCGGAGACCAAAGTTCTGGCGCACAATCTTCGACGGACGGAGCGTTACGAGCGAAGACACTACGTCTAGGTGGACTATCAGGTTTCTGCCTGTAGACTTCTGCTGGGGTGGGCCAGACTCTGCCGTCTTCTGCGTGGAACTGTCTAACTGGCGCTATGGCCGGAGTGTAACCCTGGGAGACACCTGCAGGCTCGGGTTGGTACGCTGGACGACGAGGCATAAAGCTCGCATCATCGGGGTAGATATCGGCATGCGAAGGCTCAGGACCTTGATCGGTGCGCTTGGTGCGGGTAAGTGCTCGTGGGCGATAATATCTAGACGGTCCACGTGCATGGCTACCGTATTGCGCATGGCTGACAGACTGAAGATCGCTGAAGCGTCGTGGATGTCCAAGTGGTGCAGCACCTATAAGTACTTGCTGCACTGACGACTCCATAGCTACAGGATTAACTGAACTGCGCTCATCCGTGAAGATCCCACGAGGACGTTCTCCGGCGAAGCCAGGAGGCGGTGCCACTAGTTTCATAGGCTGGTGCCCTCCTCCTGTAAGTCCTCCCGAATACATGTCATGACTGCAGCCTTTGTGTCCTCGAAATAGGTTAGCCAGGTCATCCGAGGATGCACTCTTGCCGTTGAGGTATTGTGCTAAGGCATTGGCAGTTAACGGCTTGTCCAGCGCCCGTCCTATGAGCTTACCAAAGAGATCTTCAGACAGAATTTCAGAGTCGCGTGACTTGTTGGAGCGTGCTGGTGAGTCGACGTTAGTGTCCCTCCTATAGATACCAGGCAGACCGAGGCCTGCACTCAGCTCGTCGACGCCAGGAGCATTGGAGTCTGAGTGAAGTCGCTGGGTAGAGAACAGGTTAGGCAGAGGGTGTGGCATGGATCTTTTGACAGAATCTCTGGCAAGACCGCTGCGGAACTCTGCACCAGGTGGATCCTGATTCAAGGCGATATGGTGATCTATCAGGTCAGCGTGTGATCCTAGCATCGTGATGCTGTTGGTCTCACCTCGTAGCATCTTTTGAAGAGAGTCTAGTGGCATGTCCTTCTGATCTGGCAGCTCCCTCGTCATCCGCACTGCATTGAACTCTTCGTAGCCTTCGTAGTTGGGCCGCATGTCTCTAGTAGGGCGGAAAGGCGAGTCTTCCACATACATGTCAGTCTTATGTGGTGACGTCGGCGCGGAAGAAAACATACCGTCGAACACATATGGCACCTTTACCTTCTGTCGCGGACTGGTAGGCGGAGTTGGTCCTGCAGGCCCAGCGGACATGCTAGTCTCGGCGATGGTTGGACTGAAAGTTGGTGCTTCTGGATTGAACGAGCCAGACCTTCGCGACGCTTTCGGCTGCTTCTGCTCCATGCCGCACGCTTTTGGAAAGTCGTTGTCAATGGCGCGTTGCTTTAGGGGCGTAAGATAGCTGCCCATGAGCATAATCCTTATGCCCGTCTACGACAGTGAATGCAGCAGTGACTCGCGATTTCAATCGTCTGTCACCTTCGTTCACGAATGCGATTTGTCGGCAAACCAACTTTAGCGTCTCGCCGTGTATAGCGATATAACCGCAAAAGTATTCTTATAATGAGTGAATGAGTTAAGGCCTTTGTGGATAGATGTGCATATCCGAAGAGGTTGGTGTAGGCGACATCATTAGAGCAAGCAGTCAAAATTGGAACGAGCTGGTCTCAAGATATCAGCATCAAGCTGTCCAAGTGAAAGTGACTGTGGAGCGAAGAAATCTGAGGCTCGCATGGCTAGCGTTCACTGCGGAGGTGAAGGTACCCATCTTGAATCAGAGCAGCGATACACGGCGAAGGCTGCAGTCCGGGTGGCGAAGTATGTTGCTGGCTTCCTATGTCGTCTGCAACATATCCTACCGTCGAGTTCCGCGCTTTCGTGATGTCTAAAACCCCCACGAAGTCAGTCAGCAGTGGGGGTGTTAGGGGGCTAAATTGTGCACGGGCAAGCTCCATGACTGCTCGTGTGTGACTTTTGGGACGGCGAACCAATCAGAGGAGAGGGCGATGACGCCCTGACGCGCCTCATTGAATAGGGCTGGAGTGCAACTTACATTTAAACCCTCGCACTACACCCCCATTTGCGCCTGCTGCATTCATACTACAGGTCCTTCTTCACAAGTCCACGGCTTATTGCTCACATTTCGGGTCCCTCGCTAGTCTGTGGTTCACCACAGCACGCGACCCCATCTTTTTCAACCACAATAATGCACACTAGTCTCATCAGCATAAATCGACAAATACATCAGCCAGACCACCAGTATTCAACATGCCGATGATGCTCACTCCAGACACGCTGCCTTTCTCACCTAGCAAGAAACGACCGTTTACCCACTCACCTTATGGTCACCAGACTAGAACCGCGACTCAATGTCAGCATGAAATTCATCCCTCCAACTCACATCACACACCCCTGTGTCCCAAGTGCACTATTTACCTGGCTAGAGGAAAGTCCGACGTTGCACTTAAGGAGCTGGTAGCCAAAGGTGGATTGAGGCCTCCAAAGCACATGCGCAACCGGCGGTGGAACAAAGCAAGAAAAGTGTACCTGATAGCGAAACAGCGACTTGAGAAGACCCGGAAGGAAGACCAGTTACGCTGGGAACGTGAGCGGGCGTGGGAGGAGGCTCATCAACTCAACACCAACAACGTCCAGGCAGCAGTCTTATCCCTAAACCCTTCGTTGTGCCCGGTTTGTGACTCCTTGGTGGCGTCTTACCCCACGACAATGCCTGAGGCTCAAGTCACAAAATACGTGGCTTGGTGGGAGAAACTAGACGCTCTTGCCACCTCACACACACTTGTGCATCGGCATCGGACAGCATTACACTCGCGCAACCAGAACCATATACACACGCAAACCGAGAGAGGCAACTCAAGATTGTGCCAGATAATTCAAGCCGTACGCAGGTCGGTGCAAGAGCACAACGAGCTCCGGCTAGCCTGGGAGATCCGACAGAAGACTGAGGCAGCGATACGTCGTAAACACGGCTTGGGCGATTGTTACATTGGCCCCGATTTCTGGAATGAGCCAATATCCGGCTATTATAGTCGTCGTGCCCACCAGAACAACAAAGACCAGACCCGTATGGCAGAGCGACGTGCACGCGGTGGCACAGCGCGACCCAGACTACCACGCAGCTCACTGTCCTACTCGGAGACGACGGAAGACGTGTACGTCGAACCACACTTTGGGGAAACACTGAAACAGAAAGAAGAACGAGAGGAATGGGAGCGTCTGGTCAAGAAGACTGCAGGCGAGATTGGATACCTTTATTTCATTGGTGGTGGTGTTGATATCGATCACTTGGCGATATGGTGTGAGGATTTTGACCAGAGTAACCAATATCTAGTGGAGAGGAATAAAGCTCCCAATTCCGAGACGACAGGTGATGAAGACGTTCAGGAGGACTGGGATGATGATATGGACGTGAGTGAAATGGATGTTGATGAAGCCTAGGAGGATGATTGAACATTTTGTCTTTGAACAGCACTTAGATCGTTACTCGTGTAGTTGTATAAGATACAAAGTACCTTGATGTTGAAGTATCTGGTGTCGAGACAGCCCCGTTAGCACGCGGCTGAGATGCCGTGCGAATGAGGTTCGAGTGACGTGTCATCGCGCGTGGGACAACGGCGGCTGAAGCTTTAGTCGGATCAGCCCGGGGTGCCTGAAATGTCTCTCCTATGCGTAAATGACATCGAAACAGAAGATGAACGGACGATGTACACAGCGTTGAAGACGCAAACACGGTTGGCGAAAAGCTTGTCCAGCGCTAGCCTTTCCAGGCTTACAACCCGTCGATCAAGCATGGCAGCGACATCACCGCCCTATCTAGGGAAAAGATTAAACACGATTTCGTAGACTCTTTTCTTGCCAGCTACAACAAGGCATGGTAAAAGCATCAAACATGTAAACTGACGGCTTAGAAGTTTACAATGCTCTTACTTTTCATAGGTATTCTTGTTACATGCTGATATAGACTGCAACGGAAGACTACTTATTTCCGTACCTGTTTAGTCTCTTCGTTGTGTAGAATTCCGCTGTATGTTCTTAAGAAGAATGATATTCTCCACAGGCTAATCGTGCCCCTTCGCCATGGACACTCATGCGTCCCGAGGTCTGATCAATACCATGAATCTACGCAACAACCAATTCATTTGTACCTCCCAGCTCACGGGCGCTCGCCACTATCTCACATTCAGAACTATCCTTGTCTGTGGCCTTGTGTGTCCGTGTAGCTACCCCAAGCTCAAGTCTTTCCTATTCTTCCCTTAGGGTCCCCATCGATTCACAAGGTAGGATGGCCTAGGTAAGTGGTTAGCAACTACACTTTGGATGAAGCCATGATTGACATACTCTGGTTCTTGCGGCTCCGCTGTCGGATCTCTAGCTTTTCTCTTCCTCTTGCAACTAGGCTCGTCGTCGTCTTCCATCGTCGTCCCATGCTTGTTCTCACCAGAAAATTTCCCTTCCAAACCCAATCGCTTCATGTCCCTCAGCACCTCCTCAAGGGTAGCTTGCAAGGGGGGAGCTGTTATTTGGGCCCTTAGCTGTGTAACCTCAGCTTCCAAGTCGCGAATCCTCACCTTATCCTCTTTCCTCATGCGGGCGAAGTGTTGTTTTTGCTGATGCAGCTTCGTGGCGAGCTTGTCTCGAAGCCTCGTTTCAGCATTGTCCTTGTCGTTTTGGAGGCGTTCGTATGCCCTGTCCGCACTCTGCAGCTCAGTTTCGAGCTCGTCTGCTCTCTCTGCCTTCGACTTGGCTTCGTTATACTGCTCGCGCAGCCACTCGTTATCTTCTTCCAATCGTTGCATCATCTCTTTCTCCATCTCTTCTTCTTCTTCAGGCGTGTGTCTCGTGGGAATTTCCATGTTGTCGACGAACGAGTGGGTCAGGCTTGGGTATTGCATGGCAAATTTGAGGATGACGAATGATTGAGGTAGTAGAGTTCCGAGCGATAGCGGGTTATAGGCGTAGAGAAGTGTTGTAAGATATAACTTTGGTGACCGTCACTTGAGCGCGCGGTGAGTGCGCTAGACCGTAGATGGTGCTACTGCAAACAGAGTAGTATGTTCTAGACGTGGAGGCTTGCGCAACATCACGGCATTGTCAATTGTGATGTGAGACCAAAAATGGTGTCGGGTTAATAGAACCCAATTTAAGTGCCTAAATCTTAGTTGTCATGGCAATGAACGGTATGACGAGAAGTAGCGCAAGTATGTATCTACAAGAAGAGTCCAGACATATTCATGTGAGCCACCAGGTGAACACTGACGGTGGAGTAGGACACTACCAACACAACATATGAGAGGGGCTTCTTCCTCAACCCACGACCAAGGTCATGAAGTCAATGAAAAAGATTGATCAAGCTGCCAATTCAGCCAGGTGTATGAGATAAGCGGGATACACTCCCTAACTTGTGAGCGCGAGAGTAGCTCACATTCCTCGCATGCGACCGACAGACGATAGCGAATACCAATTCTGCCAGTCTTCCGTACGCGGTCGAAACCAGCAAGTGCCCCAAGATAGCGAACTATCCGAAGACATCCCCAGAGACCTATGTGCGCAGTGGGGTGGCCTGGTGGCATAAAAAGGATAACGAATACCCACTGATATCTGCAGAACGCGGACACACTGTCGAACGTCTTCCCAGTAGCGCGCAAATGGTTGAGTAGTTGCGGATTGGTGGAAGCGGGAATGACCCACAAGCTGGCAAATGTTCCAACGTTGTAGGCGACGTTCTGGCGGAGGAAACCCAGCAAAGCTGGGCTGAAGTCGTCGGCGTCTTCTGTTGAGAGAAGCAATGCCTCTACTCACTCGGGCCCAAGTGACTGTGATGGAGTCCAGTGCTTGGGTGGTAATGTCTTGTGAGTGAGTAGAGGTCGTCGAGTCGTTCGATCGTCCAAAGGTTCAACCAACCTCAGCCGCATAGGTATCACAAACGTGACCTCGGAATCCCAGCACGGAATCGAACCATAATGTGCTGACAGTAACTATGCGGTGGCTCTGAAATTGGAGGTGTGTGTAAAGAAGAGAAGAGGAACCAGGAAGCAGAGGATTATATGGTAACGATGGGGACGCTAAGCTAGCGCTCACGTGAGTGCGACTGCCGGCCAGACTTCGGGAGGGTCGTGTTTTTGGCTATTAAGAGGTGAAGGTGAAGGTGAAGGTGAAGGCGAGTTAAAGTGGGGAAACAAGCTCCAGCGTAGTACGCTGCGGAACTTTTCTGGCTAGGATGACGTGGAACTTTGATTGTAGCGCACTAGAACACCAAAGAAACACTTCTACAATAGCCTGTCGCTGCCCCATTATGAAGAGTCATACGCTAAGCAATCTCATTGATCTTGGGTTCTTTCAGTTTGCAGGGAAATGTGGCGCAAGCATGCAAGATCAGCTGTAAATAGCACGCAGATGGTATGTACCCTGACTAGAGAGTAGGTCATGTATTCATTTTCATAGGGTCAAAGGGTATCCAGACTCACAAAGAATCCTATCACAACTCCCTCCTCTTCCTCGCCTCATCATCTCCTTCTGCCACCTCACCAGTCCTCTTCAAATCTACAAACTCGCCCTCCTCCTCCAAAGCATCAACATCACCCTTCTCCTTCGCCTTCTGCAATTCTTCCGCCTCTTTCCTATCGGCTTCCTTCTGCATCTGTTCGTCTACTTCTTGTCTCTCTACGATCTCTGCTTCGTCACCAACCTCTCCCACCAACGGTCCCTCACTTTCTTCATACCAATCTGTGCTCTCTGTCCACTCGATGATCTTCTCCTTGGCTGTCTCGCTGAGAGTGTAATAGCCCGGGTTGTTGCGAGGTTCGAACATGGATGTATGAGCTAAGGTTTCCGCTGTAGCCTTGTCGTTCACGGCAGGCATGAAGAAGTTCTTCAGAGGTCCTTTGGGCAGATTGCAGAATGTGCGGTCTTTGCCAGCGACTTTGCCGGTCCAGCCATGTTCCTTGTTCTCGTTGTTGACGGCGTGGCCAAGCGTGGTGTACATGTTGCAGAAACCAAGATCTTGGCTTGTGGTGAGCTTTGCAATCTTCTCGAGCCGCTTTCGCATCTCTTCAGGGCGGGCTAGGACTCCGACAAATTCTAGATGTGATGTGGCCCAAGTCACGCCTTGGGTTATCTGTTCTTTCTTCATGTATGCTGCTGCACCGCCTGCTGCTATCGCGCCCGCCGCACCGGCAAACATGGCCACCTTCCCGTAGCGCTGCCACAACGGAGCTGATGCTGCGTCGCCAGTAGATGAGGGTGCTGGAAGCATCTTGCTCGTATCGACAGCACCAGATGCGGTGTCCTTGCCACCCCACCCAAAAGCGCCCGCAAGGTTGTTGTATGCCGAGTAGGCCGAGCTCGCTGTATTCCAATGCTTCTCTGCGCCATGTGCCACTACTCCAGGCGCTATACCGAGATATGGTGTGTCGAAAGCGAGAATGCCTTGTATGTACGGGAACATGAGCATGGAATGGTCGGCAAGCGATCCCGTTGAGCCAGTTTGCGAGTTCGACTGCGAATGTATCGGTTGTTCAGCGAGGATGGAGAGGAGCGTCTCAGCCGCAACGATGCCACCCATAGAATGGCCTACAAGTATCGTGCGCACAGAAGGATCCACGGTAGGCGAGGGGGTCGAATTGGCGACCTCAAGGTCTATGACTTTATTCTGTAGCCATTCCTTGAAGCGGCCGACGCATTCGTGCAAGTCGCCTCGCGTCTCGAACTGGGGGTACGTGATGGTAAGGACAGTGACTTTGGGCAGCGCATGCTGCAGGAGTGCCTTCACGTGGCTTGGAAACGTTCTGAATGTCTCATCTCCGCCCTATGCCGAATGTGTTAGCATAGTGTCCATCCTCCATATCAAATAGCATGGTAGCCGTCGCATTGCGCATTGCTGAACATGACACATGTGGATGTGTTCCTGGGATGACGTAATGGTCATTCGCGCGACAAGACACATACCTTGAAGCCGTGGATAAAACACAGCAATAACGTCTTCCTCATGGTCCTCGACTGTGCTCCTGTGCTCCTGCATGGTGGGGCCAAGTTAGTCGAGGGCTGACGGTAAGTCGATTCGCGGCGGGAAGGCGATTACGTCTGGGGTGCAGCTATCTCTCGCTTACCTTGCAGGGGGCGAGCTGGCCGGAACGTTCGATTATCGGAGTGCAACACGCATGAGAGCAATTTGGGCAAGATCTTGGGGAATGTTCAAGCATAGTATGATTCGAGTTCACATGCCCCGTCGTTGAGAGGTTGAGTAATCGTGCACGTTTGATTCATCGTCTTGTACACGGTTTTGCTGCTATGATCGCCCTCACTATGTGATACATGGGCATTTCGTGACACATGATTCTTGCCATTTCACTCGGATTCCCCGACGCATTCAGCTTGTCATGGCCCCTTTCCGTCTTTCCAACAATGCGGGTATAGTACAAACATTCCAAATCCCAACGCCAAATCGTGAGCCATTTCGGCAATGCATCAACATAAGAAAGAAAGGAAATACTGTGGCGCGACTATCCACTCGTGAGCAACATGATTGCTATCGCGGATAGGCTTGCTATCGAGATCCCCATAGTCTTAAGCTGTGGTGAAGCACCCACAGCAACGACATCAAACGGTGAACCACCGCCCGAATCAGCGTTTGATAATTGTGCATTGGGTGCCTGGGTCGCTTGCGCAGTGTCCGTGGGAGGTGCGACTGAAGCCGTGAGCGTTCCGGTAGCATTCGGATCCAGCACCAAGCCTCCCGTCGACGAACTCGAACTCGTAGGTTGCACTGAACTCGTCGGTTTCTCATCTCCCTCCTCCGTCTCCGTTGATGAACTTGACAATGTCGATGTCGCTTCGATTGCTGAATTTGTGAAGCTCGTACTCGTCAAGACCGCCTGGGTGCTTGTCGCTTGATCTGATGTCTTTGTCGTTGTCTGCCCCGCACTCTCGCTTGAAATCGTCGTAATCGTAACTCCAGGACATAGACTCTGTATACCCAGTCCGTTCTGGAAGACTCCAATGATGCTCAACTCGCCCGCATCGACGTTCGCGCACTTATCTGTCACGCTCTCTGCGATGGCCGACAAGCCCCGCACACAGGCTGCGGAACAGGTTGCGCCCGACTTGAAATCATCCGCTACACACCCAGAGATGGCGCTGTTGTAGACGGCGTTGCAAGATTTTGGGAGGTTGTCGATCCGCGGTATGAAGGAGGCAAGTGAGACTGTTGCAGCTGACGATGTCGATGCAAGAACGAGCGCCAGTAAGGCTGCGCGTAATGAGCCGGATATCATGGTGAGTGTTGTGTAGGTATTTGGAAATTGGGTTTGGCGGACCCGTAGGTCTCGAATGGAGACAGGAGCGTGGGCCAGGAAAGCCCAAGTGCCAGTCTTCAATCTTTACCCACGAAGCTTGGATGCCCCGGTGGAAAGACGTCTTCCGGATGTGCTGAGACGACTGGTGTTTGGATTGGCGGTATGACGTTCTTCAAACGGCGGGGGTTGTTTGCGTTGTGTGCAATTTCGAGCAATACTGCCTGCCGAATGCACTGAAAATTCTCTTGCTGTGATGCTCCGCTCACTGCGCGTTGTCGTGGACAACCAACTCCCAAAGCTTTTGCTGTCAACCTTCCCAGAAAGATGGTGGTTCACACCCACTTCCTATGTAATGAGGTGTCAAGGGAGATGTTTCGACACAGTCGTGCAACGACACTGTGTAGATAGACCAATAAGTCCCTTGTCTAAACCAGCACTACCCGGAAGAGCTGCTGTAAGGAACGTGAATGATGCAATGCACAAACGAGGGAACGACTGTTGTTTTTTCCTGGCACCGGGCCTGCAAAAGAGCGACTTTGAGAACTACTCCGAAACGAACTGATGGGGAAACAAGACGCACAGCGTTAAGAAAGGAAACGTTGTGCAAAAGGAAAGAAGGGAGAAAAGAGAAGAGCCGTGATCTTCGTGATATTCAGTCGCTCAACAACCAAACTCAGGCAGCGTTGGCACCTGCTGCGGGACCCGCCACATCTTAAGGTAGATCTACAAGGACACCCGTCCTATCCGCTCCCAAGAACCCCTACTTTGCCTTGCCTCATCATAGCCTAAGCGGGTAGCCACAAGACCAGCAGTCCCTGTACAGCCATGTGAGTGTCGCAAGTGGCCGATATTCAGTTTTCTGAAACAACGGAGTTTGCTGGGGTTAGTGTCGTCGCTGCATTCTGGCCGCCCATTCGTCCAGCGACCCAGCGCAGGCGTTACATGTCACGACCGCGCTTCAGATGCAGGTACCCGGAGCAGAACAGGAGTCTTTGGTGAGAGGTGTGTGTCGCGCGTGTACTTAATTGAGCTGCTTCGGCGGTTGCGTATGAAGTGGCGGGCGAGGCGCGAACCACAGTAGCATGAGACGGGACGGTTATGGCGGCTGCATGGCTGTGGCGCGAGGCTGCGTTCGCACGTGGAGTACAAGTGCCTAGAAGAAGAAAGCTGCGGAGACGCGGACTTGGCTTCCTTGGGGTGTACGTGTGACGGCTTAGTCTTAGACAACAGTTTGACGTGTGTGTGATGGATATAGCTTTCGCTGCGTCTACCTTGATGGTTGCTGTTCGGCCTTTAACTGCCTCGTGGCCGGTACCTTGCACGCAGACCTCCATCATCCCGGAACACCAACGAGCATGCACGCGGGGGCATTGTGTAGTAAGACATCTCGCATGAACACCAATTGTTTCACTGTTTCGTTGATTTCTTCAGCTATAGTTCTTCACATTTCCCCAACGTTTCTTTGCCCGCGTCGTTGGCGCTTTGGCGTCCAGCATCCCGAACTATGCGCCACGCTTCTTGACCATCCTACTCCATGACGATCACGCTCCTAAACCTCACCTTCCCACTTTCCATGTGCTGAACAGCATCTTCTACTTTGTCGAATGGAAACTTCTCGATCATGCACTTCACGCCTTGTTTCTCAGCAAAGTCGATTGCTTCTTCGCTATCCAGCGCGTGCCCTGAAGGCCATCCATGGACCGATTTACCCTTCGTGATCAAGCTTACGGTATTGACCGGTATATCGCCTACAGGCGCAAGGACGAGTAGTTTGCCCAAAGGCCCGAGTCCTTCAACCAATGGCCCTATGATCTTCGGATTTGGTGCTGTGACAACGATGAGGCTCGCGCCACCCATCTTTTGGAGTGCTTCAGAGGCGCTCTCTTTCGAAGTGTCAATATAGTCTGTTGCGCCAAGTTGGAAGGCAAAGTCCTTTTTGTTGTCTGAGGATGATACAGCGACGGTACGGTAGCCCATTTTGCGAGCATATTGTACTGCGAGATGTCCTAGGCCACCAAGTCCTTGCACAGCAATAGTGTCACCCTGTTGGATGTTCATCTTGCGTATGCCATTGAATACCGTAACACCAGCACAGAGTAGAGGAGCGTACTCCGCAGGGTTTGCATCGGTGGGGATGCGCACTGCAGCCTCGCTACGGAGGGTACAGTATTCGGCATCTGATTCCGCACCATGTCAGTTCGCCGTCCTGAGTTTCTCGGAGATTGCCAGTAGGAAAGGTAAGACTTACATCCACCGTCTCTACTAACACCATTGACAAGTTCATTCTCACACATCTGGAATAGGCCCTTGTTGCACGCCTTGCAGGACCCATCATGCGCACCATGCCATCCTCCACCCACTCGATCTCCAACTTTCCATTTCTTTTCGTCGTCGCCAACTGCGATTACCTTCCCGATGACTTCATGTCCTGGAACTCGAGGGAAGACATGTTCACCCAGATGGCCCTGTTGGAGAAAGCTATCAGAGTGGCAGATGCCGCACGCAAGTACCTTGATCAGAACCTCGCCCGACTTGGGTGCAGAGACGGGCACTTCTTTGATAGTCCACGGAGCGCCGGCTTTCTCAATCACGACGGCGCGGCAGGAAGACGGGATGTCGGACGACGACATGTTGGTGCTTGGCCTGTGAACTAACAGAGGACGGTAATTAAGAAAGAAAAGATATGTAAGTTTTTCTTGACTCTGGTACAAAGTTGTTCAGAAGGCAGAGTAGTTAAATTGGCGTTCGTCTGTGATGTCAAGGAGCTGAGGTAGGTGCGACCTAGCTCTCTTTATCTATACTTCCGTCATGCATCTATATGCATGCATCGTGCTTATCACCGGTCTGCTTCCCCGCAACGACCAACGACCAACATCCAGAACTGTCCATTATTACGCAACGCTCGATTTACACCATTACCCCACGTGTCCTCACGGTTATTGGTCTAAGTATGCTTGCATCTTGCGTACCGACTGAAAGACGGCGGTACGCCCAATAGGACTTACGCTAACGCCGACGGAATCAAGACTATTCCTTGAGTATGCTACATATAGTCATGTGCGTAGTCAGCAAGTTGCAGCGGATGTTTTGCGTGCATGCTGACATAGTGTGGGGTTTAACGGGGTTTAGACGTCTTCTGCAATTGCTCAGCGGTGAGATACATGCAACCAAGTCATGGAAGGTCTGGATTGCAAGGCAGACGCGTTGGGGGTATCATTTTCTCTGCTTTCTAATATCCAGTCTTGAGCTCGTACATAGACTCACGAATGCCTCACCAGGCATCAAAGTTACCAAAGCCACTCGTCTTGGCCTTTTTCTTGACTGGTGCAACATCCTCTTCGTCATCCACGTATCCGACTATCTCGTCATCGCCCTGGTTTTGTATCTCCTGTTTTGCGGCCTGGAGATACTTGCCTACGCCGAGACCTTCTCCAGTGCCATTGTCCACTGTGCCGTCTGCGCGTATGCGCTTACCGGTCCACGTTGTTTTGTCGTCGGCTGTGCCGCCTTGCCTCTTGATCTCTTCAGCTTCTATTTCTTTGTTTTCCTTGTCTTTGCGTTCTTTCTGCCATTCTTCGAAGGGGTCTACGAAGACTACTACATCGAGAATCTCAATATCATCGACAGGCTTATCTTTCTCGCCTACTTCCGCTATCTCCATTGAACGCAGCGTTGTGTCCAGACCACCTACTACTCGTGCAAAGATAGTGTGTTTGCGGTCGAGATGCGGGACAGCGCGGTACGTAATGAAGAACTGACTCGTGTTGGTACCTTTGCCCTTGTTCGCCATACTGAGTACACCTCTGGCGTTGTGCCTCTCTGGCCCCTCGAACTCATCCTCGAATGGCTTACCCCATATACTCTGCCCGCCTCTTCCAGTGCCTGTCGGGTCACCACCTTGTATCATGAAGCCCTTGATGTTCCTGTGAAAGATGGTGTGGCTGTAGTATCCTTTCTGTGCCAGCTTGACGAAGTTCCATACCGCGCGCGGTGCGTATTCGGGGAGTAGTTCGACGTTGAGATCGCCGAGTGAGGTGGATATTCGCGCGTAGCCCTTGTTCTTTATGCGCTTCGGCTTGAGCATGTAGTCTTCATCAGAGAGGAGGGCGCGTTCGCCGGAGGTGTGTGGTGTGACGCCAGTCGAGGTAAAGGATGCAGCAGCTTTGCCGGAAGTGTACACGGCCGCGTTATATGCCGGTTTCTTGGGCTCTGCGGACGTTGATGCTGCTGTACCATTCTTGGGCAAGTTCGCAAGCGCTTTCGATGTAATCCCACTTTGCTCCTTGATCTTCCTGTTTTCGCGCGCTTTCGCCACTGCTTCTTTCGCCTTGATGATCTTTGCCGCGTTGCCCAGAGCCTCCTTGTTCACACCGCTCTCCGCTTCTGCCACTACTGTGTCTCCGTCCTTCACATGCTTGTATGAGCTAAAGTCTCTTGATTCGATACTCTGGGGATCCTGGAGCGTGATGATGTCCTTCCGTGTGAATGCCTCGTCGCTGACCAGATCTTGCCAATTCTTCGCCTTGATGTTGAGCCTCTCCACGGTATCCCACGCGAAGACATTGCCGCTTTTCCTCAGCGCAACGATATGCGTGTTGTCTGTGAAGACCTTGTATGTGACTGGGTCTACATATTCGCCGTCCTCGTTCTTCGTGAAGTTCAGCGTGATGAGGTCGGCACGCTTCAATGGCGTTCCGTCGACAGGATTCGTATCGGGGTGTTTAGACAGCCACGTGAGGATGTGAGTGAGGTCAAAGATAGTTCCTGATGACGTGCACACGGGGTCTGTAAACGGCTGGAGGGAGACGGCGCAGTAGTTGAAGGGCAAGCGCTTGAAGGTTGAGGACAAGCCGGCAGCAGAGGCTCGATTGGCGCTGTTTGCGCCGCGCGCGTTGCCAAATGCATCTGAGGAGGACCACTCCGAGTGCGTGATATATAGCTTGTCGGTTCCTTTTCCCATGTCGAATATATGTAGCGGTGGATGATGTTATTCGACAAGTATTGCGTGAGGCGCAAAATGCCTGTAGAGGTGACGCGCCGGCGATCAACGACCCTAGCGCGGCCCCACACATGAGGATCCACATCCGTGGCGCTCTTACCTCTCACGACTTTACCTCAGTCGACGCGGATTTTCAAGTCAATTCCTCAGAATGACCGACATGAAGCCGGGTGGTAACTTGGAGGGGCTGTGCCTTGAGTTGGGTTTTCGGTTGGCCAGCACGACGATGCTCAGCCACCTACAGAAAGGCTGCTGTCTTCTGTGGTGACACTCCAGCCCTTCACAAAGCTCCTCAGTAACATATACACTCGCTTTATGCAAGGAAGGAGATCGTGCCACCTCTTCAAGCCATGTCAGCAATTTATCAGTCTGCTCCGCTGGGCCCACATCCTACCATCAACACCCGATTGCTCAAACTCGAGCTAGACCCTTCACCAGACAGGGTCTCATCGATGATCTTTGTTCGACTCCATGTTACCTCTTTGGATGACGAACCATCCTAAACCGCCGTCTCGTATGTATGGGGAGCGAAGTCACCCACAAAAGAGATTCTGCTCAACGGATAACCTTTTACTGTACGCTTGAATCTCTGGGATCTCCTCAATCAACTGCGGGACGTAAAGTACGATCATTACCTCTGGATTGATGCTCTTTCGATCGACCAAGAAAACGACCGCGAGAAGAGCCACCAAGTTGCCATTATGGGATCTTTATATAAGCGGGCAGAGACGACGATAGCTTGGCTTGGTGTCCCAACCGAGGATGTTGCGAGAGATATCCAGTGTCTGACGAAGGGGTTTTCACAAGACAAACTCGCAAGTACAGACTTGTCTCAGCACTCTGCAGGCCTTGGATGCCTTTATACTCACCGCTACTGGACTCATACATGGATTATGCAAGAGTCTGTGCTCTCAGCCAACGTCATTCTTTGGTGCGGCCAATGCACCATACAAAATAAAATGCTTAGGGGTTAAGCTCCCACGTGTTTTTAAGATATCTAGTTAACTTCCTGATAGTACGTTCTTTCGTTATCGTATATATTAGCTCAAGTAAGAGGATTTAGTAACAGCGTCCATTGTCCTGCTTCCTACGTAGGCAGCTGTGAGGCAGCGTTGAACATCCTCTTATATATGTAAGAGGCAAAGCTCTAAACCAATGCGTCAAATGTCTTACTCTAGATTACTGTTTGCGCTAATAGCTCAATAGTGGCTCAACATTAAATGCCTGGACCCCGCCGAGGGCTATGATGTGATCCATGTTGGAACAACAGCCTGGGCCATAATTTCCGAGGAATCTCGTCCTCAGGACAAAATGTTTAACCTAAACATGTTGCTGTCCATGACGTGGGAAACCAGCTGTTTTGATCCACGCGATCGTATATTTGCATTGCTTTCACTACTTTCTCCACGAGAATCCGAGCTATGGGTTATCACACCGCACTACGAGAATTCCACCCAAACACTTTTCGAGGAGCTATGCAGTGTGTTCCAGAATCCTAAGTTGGATGTTGCAAGAGGCGGGGACAAGCTAGAGGATTGGAAACGTAAACTGTGCCATCTCTTGCTTCTGTAGGCTCCTACGGGAATCTATGCTTAATACCAATTGATGGTGTATACATGGCATCGATACAACTTGTTTCTAACTGCGAATGTACGTTTCCTGTTCTTTCAGTGTGCACGATTGCCCTGTTAATCTAGAATCAAAATACATTAGTAGTTTATCGATTGATCACTCAATCACTGAAATCACACAGCCAACAGCAAAAGACATTAACCAGACTCGCTCAAATTCATCTATATACAAACTGGAATGCTCCTATCCTAAAGCGTCAAGGAACACCCCCCGTCTTCCATCCAACTAATTACAGTATATAAAACAACAACTCAAGTAAATGAGTGTATGGTAGGTCAGTTATGTACAGAACTAAAGGAGTGGCATCAAACCCATCGTGATGGATCCTGAACCGAGCTCACTCTATTCATACTCTTGTGTTTCCCTCTCACCCCCGTGAATTGCCCAGCAAACCACAAGTTGTTCTTGTTATCGTATCTCTCTCAAATATTATATTAATCCAACTCTTGTTTTGTCGTACGTGTATCGAGATTGCTGATGCCCTGGGCCATGAAGAGAAAAGCATGATGATGAGATGCTTACTCAGGCTTTCCGAGGATACCGCGGGCCATGTGGCGCTTGCGGAGGTTGTACTCAACAGCGCGCTTCTTGGCCGCAGTGCTCTGGGTGAAGGCAGCGGAGCCACCAAAGGGACCGGCGAGGGCAGAGTTCTGCATGCGGACGATGCAGACGTTGCTGGCACCGCCGGCGGTACCCTGGCAGGTCATGCCAGCGGGCATCTGGACCTTGACGGGGAAGTCCATGACGGACGCGGCAGAGAGACCTCCAATACCGATACCGGGGACGTTCTGGGTGACAGTGGCGTCCTGGAAGGCAGCGGGGTCGGTTCCACCGGAGGTGGCGTCGATCTGAGCGGTCAGTGGGCCTGCACCGTCCTGGTTGACTTGGTGGAAGGTCATAGTGATTGTGCCGTCGTCGGCGGTGGTGGGAAGACCAGAGGTAGCTCCGGTACCAGCGGCAGCGGCAACACCCTGCTCAGTGGTTCCCTTGGGGGTCTTGGTACCAGCGGCAGCAGCACCACCAGCGGCAGCACCAGCGCCTCCAGCGCCACCAGTAAGAGCGTCGAGAAGACCACGCTTGTTGTTGGCAGCAGCACCGGCTCTAGTAGCACCAGTAGCACCATTAGCACCAGTAGCGGCACCAGCACCGGTAGCAGCACCAGCGCCGGCAGCTCCAGTAGCAGCGCCACCAGCACCACCTCCCATGAACATGGCGATAGCAGCACCAGCGTCAACGGCACCGCCACCCTGAGTGCGTCCGAGAGCAGAGGCCTTGCCACCCATCTCACGGTTACGGATGATGGAAGTATCAGCCTCAGAGCCGCAGAGGGGAGAGGCGCAGTCACGAGGAGTACCGTCCTGGACGGAAAGACCAGGCATGTTTACGCCATTGGCACCCTGGATCTCAGAGACGACACCGTGGGCCTGGACGGAGGCGGCAATAGCAGCAACGATAGCGAGAGAGTAACGCATCTTGATGGATATGGAGTTGGATTATAAAAAGGTTGTTGAAGATTGGAAAATAAGGACTGTGATGTCGAAAGGATTGATTGAGAAAGATGTAAATGAGTAGTGAATTAAGCAAGCGACCGGCGCAAGAATGTAATTAGAAGGACGGAAAAGAATAAAAGAAGCGAGTCTGGTTGATTGAAATGTTGAGTGATGGTGATATTGACTCTAGGAGGACGAGCAGAGAGGTTTATATACAACTCTCTGGTGATGGATTTGATGCTGCCGAAAGCTTAGCATAGACACAAGCATTCGCCGGACTGTGTCTCCGATCTACCAAGGAAGATAGCGCCCGCGGCCCCTTGCTGCCATGGCCAAACACGATGATGGCGGTGGAGGGAGGCTGTGATACTGGGAGCACAAACTCAGAACGGAGAGCTGAGACGATGCTGGTCGAACGATGGTCAGGGTTACTCCACTATGATCCATTCCGCTAGGATCTCCACTGCGGGAGAATCATCTCCAGAAGCTTGGTTCAGGATTTGCTAAGGCTTGTTCGGAACAACGATGTCGCGTTGTGGCAGTGTGCATTGACGTTTGGTATCTGAGAAGGCACATCACCCGCAGATGTGTATCAGCAGCCAGGTTTCGTTCTAAACTCGGCGATCGAAACGGTATCTTGAGAACAACGTTTCGTAGGTACCATCTCTTCGTGTTGTTACTACGAGATACAGAAACTGTGCATTCGTTCGCTGCTTGTAGTTGCATACCAGAAGGAAGCAACAAAAGGGTTCTGTCGCCGTTGCCGGAAACTATTCACCGCTTTGTCGTTCGTGAACGGTTAGCTAGCAATCCGGCCGAGGTGGGAAGGCCATGGTTGTTTCAGTAGCGGGTTTTGAAACTTTAAAGTTTAGCATCGTTCGAGGGCTAGCGCGTTGCTTCTTGCCTCAACTTCAGTCACGGATATTTCCGAAACCTTGAAGCGGCCTCGAGCAGGACCATGACTGGAATTCGACACTTCCACTTGCTCCACTGCAACACTGTAATAGCAAAGAAGGTTTATCGTGACAGCTTCGAGAACGTAGAGCGGTCAGATGGTCCAGCAACATGCAGGTTCTGAATGCAGAATTCTATGCATCAACTCCCACGGCGTTTCGCTATGTTCTGTCCGGCTCTAACAAGGCTTGTAAGAGCCCCGCCATATGGAGCAGTAACTGCAGTAGCCGCATCGTGAGGCAAGCGCTGCAGTCGCAGAAACTGTCCGCCTAAAAATTACAGTATCACTGTCAACAACACTGGTCATCTTTGCAGGCAAGCCTTGAATCAATGCATCAGTGTACCTTACTTCGCCCTACTGATCAATTCTATGTCGACCTCTAGCATCCACAACCTTTTTGTGCAATACGGCCTCGCACTGCCTTCTTCGTCTTCTTCTTGGTCAACTTCTAGTTACCTAACTGTCCTTGTGCCCAAGCCCGGAAGTCCCTAACCTCTTTGATCCATACATATCGCACGCATATCTCCTGAAGCTCAAAGAAGAGTGATGTCGCTTCCAGGAAACCCTTGCTGATCGAACTCTTGATGAACAGTAGCAGTATGATGACGGCACGGCTTTGCGCTTCCTTCCCGTACTCTACAATTGGGATGCCGTTGCCAACGCCGTTGGTAGGACCATTGGTCGTTGTATCCTGCTGTGACGTTGGAGGAGGCGCCTCCATCTTCTCTATGAGCCGCAGTGCGTGTTGTATATAATGAAGGGTAACGTCTTGACCGTCGATGCCGAGGTCCTCGAAGGTGCGATTGACGTGGAGTTTCGTAAGGAAGTCGAGCGATGGGATCTCGAGTGGGAGATGCTCGAGTTCTTGAACGGCCTGTTCAGGTTCTTCCTTGAGCTTTCGAAGTATAACATCGTCCCATGACTGTGAGCTGTCAACTTCTTGCGCTTGACCCTTGTGCAGCGACTTCTTCTCTTTCGCCGTTGGTATGGGCTTTTGAGCAGGCCGTTCAGAAGCTCGTACTTGCGACTCGGGCAGCTTGTCCCAGACTTCTTCCTCAACAAGCATCTGCATGTACGGCAGCGGATCGAATGCTGCTAGCGCATCCTCGTCGTGTAGCTTCGCAAGTATTGTTTGTGGCGTCGCTTGTGAAGACGATGGTTCCTCCGATAGTAACACTGTGATGTATCTCGCCCTAGTTTTCCGGATGTCCGCTGTAGAGGGTCCGGCCTTCGTGCCGCTGCTAGTGAGCGTATCAACATGCTCCTTGGCTGACTCCTCGTTGGTCTTCATGAGAGCCTCCACCCAGTGCGTCAAGTAAGGTTTGTGTCTCATGGATATCTCTTCATGTGCCTTCCAGAGCTTGTATTCGCAGTTCAAGATCACCACGAGCACTTGTAGACTCGGCTCTAGCTTCGCCCGCTCGACGTATGCATCGAGTGTATTTTTGACCCGTATCGACTGGAAGAAGGGCGCGACATCAACGCTGAACGAGTGGGAAGCTGCATCAAGATCGCGGATCGCGTCGTCATTTGATTTGGTCGGGTCGCTAAGAGCGTTGATTTCGGCGGCTGTAAGCGTAGCTGTCATAAAGCTCATATTGGGCGGTATTTATATCGCGCCTTGCGCTTCAAACGATAGGAATAGGGTGAGTGATACGTTTCGGACTGGAGGGAATACATAAGGGTCGAAATGGGCGAGGTGTCACGGTCGTGAATGCTGGTGCGGAGCGCGTGAACCTTGGAAAGAACGGCGAGGCACGTGCCAAGCATCGCATCGTGCCCTTGATTCAGCCACACATCGGACTGGGGAAGGGTGCGCGTTAAATATGAGCACCGGTTATTGGGCGCGCACTGTCGACTCCTGAGTGGATGACTGCTGATAAGCCGTATATTTAGATGGTTAGTATTGGCACTATGGCCATGGCCTTGACCAACTCCAGAACGAAAAGCATCCTTGCTATTATATTGTCTGCATTCACTACAGATGAGACGTTGATGCAAATGCAACAATAATAATATCGAATCTGTTGTCGCATTCGAACTTCACAGCGAGAAATTATGAACTTGTTTGTAGAATGTTGGATTAATTCTCATTACAGCACGCTCGTAGGAACACACCAGGATACTCGCAAGAAAGCTCAAGAGAGTCCTAGGGAACCAAGACGGCGTAACCTAAAGCTATTCATGACATTACGGACGGAGCCAAGCCAAGCCACCTTCACCCGACCGGAAGCTCGGATAACCCCCATGCTAAGCAGTACCTAGCATCGCAAATATCGATAGATGTTGGCGAGAGTCGAGTATCGGTAAAGTGTTGACGTTGGCGAAAAAAGATGAAGATGGGTATCGAGATGTGACGTTGATCGTCAAGCCGCTATCGCGGCATCGTGAAGGATGTTTGCGCGCCCCCGCTAAAACTTGAATATGATGTACAGAGCGTGGATGATACCCTGGATTGGTCGTTAGTAACGTGTTCATCAGTCGTGGTGTGTAAACCGGAACTCACCGGAATGTAACCGAGGACGGTCAACAGGATGTTGATAAGGAAATCAGCGTTGCATCCGCGCTCAAGGAAGACACCCAGAGGAGGCAGGATGATGGCAAGGAGGATCTTGCAAATGTCGCTGGAGATTGTTAGTATCGACGTCTGCTGCCAGTGAGGCTAGCGGTTGCTGGGGCTGACATACCTGGCGGTGAAGGGCATATTGGATGGGTTGAGTGTGTTGGAGTTGTTCTTGTATGAAGAGGTGGTTCTCTAGTACTGGAGCAGTTGTAATAGAGTGTGTATTGATGGTGTGATGAGTTGTGCCAAACAGCGGGAGCCAGGTTAGTATTTATGGCAGTGACGCGGGCAGCTCATGACCATGAGAGTGACGTAGCCAGCGAAATTTGGCAAGGATGGCAGCGATGCCGCGTACCCGCTGCCGGTTTTACGCGCCACACCCTGTGGCTGGCGTCATACGTCCGAGTGTTCCGACTCACAAAGCAAGTTGCGCGATCAAACTTCCAAGCAGCGCTTCCAGGTGGAAATTGCATGTAAAGCCATGCGTGTGACGCATGCCACGTTCCGAGACTGTGGAGAAATGCATCGTGATACTTGGTCTATCCTGGATTCACCTGCGGACGTCTTTCCGAGCCTCATCTGTTAGATGTTCATGTCTTTGGACGGTGAAAGAAGCTCCTGGCTAAGAGGCCTGGACCGTGTACCAGCCACACCAGCTACGCAAGCTCGACGACCATGTGCCGTCGATCCACCACCCATCACCTCGCGTCAAGCGCCGCTAACGATGATGTCAAGCCTCAACATGTGGCGTATGCTTCTATTCATAGCTAGGTGTGGCTAATATCTGGGGGTTAGGTCGACCGATTGGAGCTCTCATTCCACTTTGACCAGCCCTGTTGAACCCTCTGTGGGTTTGGCGTAAGGGACGCAACTCCGCAATTTTCTTTCACAAAGTCCCTAGCAATGGGTAGCGCAAAGCTATGCACGGATAGATCGCCGGCGAGCTTGGCGTTGTGCCAACTGTGCATCTCTCGAGGAACATGCCGGTGTGTGGCTGGAATCGATCGGAATTGCTTTGCACATCGAGATATTTGTGAACATGGACAACACACTAGAGATATGCATTCGAAGCACGCTATCCTTTGAAAAAGAAAAAAAGCATCTTTCTTCCGTGTGAAGCTTTAGAAACGAGCTTATTGAGTTATAGCTAACATATTTTTCATGTGTTTTGCAACCACAGCGCAAGTCTCGAAGAAACAGGGCGTATCATCCATCGGGTATCAACCAATCCAAAGTCCATCATACACGTTTATCCTCTCCAAAGGAGATTTTCACACCAAATCATCGGCTTAACGGCTCTCAGCCTCGGCCTGCTTCTGCAAATCCGCCTCAACACCCCTCTGTCTTGCCTTTCCCTCATCATGCTGCCGTTGCGCCTCCTCCTTCTGCGCCGCATTACCCGTTAGACCTGCAACCGCACCCCCGACAGCACCACCAAGTCTATCTCCAATACCCTTACCCAGATCGTTAACCTGTCCAGCAGCTTCTTGCTCCTTGCCCTCCTTGTTCTGTTGGATACCCTGTTGCTTGATACCCTCGGCGCCGACGAGACCACCGAATGCTTCTTTGGCAGCGCCCATGTTTTGGTTCCATGAGCCTTCTGTGCGGTCCGAGTTGTCCTTTGCGACGCCGCCCGAGGGTGTTACGGAGAATGGACCGGCTTTGGCGGCGGAGTGGGAGAGGTCGTGTTCGGCGGCAGCGGTATCCTTACGGTTTTCGCCTTGGGCCTGGTAGGGTTAGTATGTGCATTCCGAGAGGAGAGACTAGCTTGACTGACCTTGTCGGCGGTATTGCCTGTGAGAGAGCCGATGGCGCTCTGGACAGCGCCTGCGGCTTGGTCCAAGTAGGATTGAGGAGTTGAGGTCTGGTCCTTGTTTGAAGACATGATTGTGTTGTTGCGTTTGTGGTTTAATTTGAAAATCTAAGTGTTTTATGAGGGCTGTAGCTGTATGGAGCCTTGAGTCGTTATCGCGGTGGGTTATATATATATCCCTCTGTTTGTTTGGCAAGTTGCTGGAGCATGTGAAGTATGACGTCATGCCCCACGCGTTGGGCTCTCGCGACGCGCAACTTTGCCCTGCGCGGGAGATCTGACGAAGGTGGCGCTTGAAAACGCGACATGTGCAACACTCGTGGTCTGTTTCACAATGTTCGTGGGTCTAGATGACATCGCTTTAGGGATCAAATGATCTTTTGACATGTACTATGATGCAATTGTAGATATTTCACCGAGTAGACACCGGCCATCCATGAATATCAGTAATTCATGGCCAGGGCATGGGGCATGAGTGAGTCGAGAGCAAATTGCTAAAACATGAAAATATATTTGCTCGTGCAGATGTGTCGAGAAGGGTATGTTCGTCCCAAATCCAAACGCCAGAAAGAGATTGCTTTTGAGGGTCTTGTTCTCATCCATCACCAATGACAGATACCTCCCTCGCTATCATCAACACTCCAAGTACCAGCAAGACCAACAATCTCAACTTGCCCGTTGAAACCTTCTGTTATCTTGCCTAGCCGGGCAACGCCATCATCAACACCAAAGGACGCGCCAATCTCTGCTGGCCCGTTGTTAAGCAATCGCTTTGCCCACGCATCGATTGCCGGCTCGCCCGTCTCATCTCGCGCTTGCTTAAGGAAAGGAATTAAAGCTGTACCTCCTGTACCGCGGAGCTTCTTACTTCCAGTGCGAGCCATAGTATTGGCGAGGTTGACACGCTGGGTGTTTGCTTGCTTGGGCGACACCGATCGGGCGTGCGACTGTGTCTCACGCGACTTGATGATGATATACCGCGAGACGAGCTGGATGTGCTTGTCGCGCAAGCTTCGCAGCATTGCCAGGCATGCATCGTAGGCAGTTGTAAGGGCCCGGTCCTTGCGATTCAGCGTAACGTATTCTCGGATGTTTGCAACACTCTCCATGTGCTCTAGGAACCTACGGTGAGGTCCAGGCATATAGTTGCGCATATCTTGGATGAAGCCATGCGAAGGTCCAGATAAAGCTGGATTTCCTGGCTCTGTCCGCTTCTCACCGGTGGGTCTATGCTCAACCCCTAGTACGATGTCGAAGAACTGGATGGTAGAGCTCTGAGCATTGCTTCCGCCACTGAACTGCACATAGGGCTGTTGGCCACTGCCATCATCGAACATGACTCCGTTTGGAAGACCTGCGTCCGCCATGTTCTTACTTCCAGCTAGAAATGGTCGGATGCGGTGGTAGAAGACATGCGGATCACAGCTCTCGTACATGCGCTCCAAAAGAGCGCCTATCTCATCAAGCCTCTCAGCAAACGATCGTAAACACTGCACGACCGTGTTGCTGTCGCCTTGTCTAGCTGCCGCAATAGCTTTGATCATCATCGGAATAACTGGTCCAGCTCTCGCTTCGATCGCTACGGATACCAGGTAGAACCATGACTCATCCATCGAGCCAGTGAAGGTCATGTGTGTTGCAAGGTTGTCCAAGGTGTCTGTAGGCTCGCTATCGAACAGGGGCCGCCAGTTCCACAAGCACACACCTGCAAAGGTTGCTACTGGCGGAAGCTCCAGGTGTCTGCATGTTCCCAAGAACGGTATCGAGATAGAGGGTGGCACAATCTGCATAGGATTGTTAGCAATGCATCGCATCGGAAGACGTGGGTTTCCAAGACTTACATCGGATGGCCTGTCACCGCCCCAGATGTATGCGTGGGCGATGAATCCTAAAATGGAATACGCTCGCCGCCACTCAGCTTCTGTGAGAAGGAGGTCGGTCTCGAGTACTGGAAGTGCGTCGACTATCCGACGTAGCCGCCTGGCGAGGATCAAGCTCTGAAAGTTGCGTACGATCGTCTCCCATGGCTGGTAGTAGCGATCTGGTAGAACGTCGAGGGGTATTTCGTCAGGCAAGAAGCCGTTCTGGGCTGATATGTCGTAGTCGCCCAACCGAGGCAGAGCCGGAAGCATTGTGATGGTTGATGTCGAAGAAATTTGGGAGTTTTTATGCTAGAAGGACAAAGGTCTCGGTGATATCCAAAGGTGGTCGTTGATCAATCACTTGGATACTTTTCAGCCTTCGAAGGTTGGTGCGCAAGTGATGTCGCGTGATACAATCGGAGCCGGAGGATTAGTGTACTTTGACCAACGGCCGTAGAGGTAGTCGCCACCCAACAATTACCCCAGAAGTAGTCGAGGGATCGCCGAATCTTTCAAGGCACAATATGTGGAGGTTGGAGTAGGAATAACCTAATTATGTGGTGCTTGTGTGTGGGCGAAAGGAATCTAGGCTTGTCTGGTAGGTTGTCACGGAGGTGGGACCTAGGCACCAAATGAGTTGGTTCCGAGTTTGGAGGGGTTAGGCCAGAAGAACAGTAACAAACAGTTGAATTGACTAAGCTGCAACTGGAACACGAAGAGTAGTGAAACAGGCAGAGAAACAGTGAGAGAGAACCAGCAGCGTTATATTTGCCTTCCGGCCGCGGCTGCGAACCTTGGTGGATTGTGTCAAAGAAGCAGGCCGAAACGCGCAATGCTCAGTAATTGCCTAAGAGAAATCTTCGTTCCGAGCTCTCCGCGCAATCTGTTCCGTGGGCGTCACCTTGGGTCACATTAGCAATCAATTTACTCTTGGATTCGATGATTCTACTATAGGCGGAGGTAGCGCGGCTGGCCGACGGGCTACTAACTCTCCCTCCACACTAGCGTAGGTACCCTGCATGAAACGGCTGGCTGCCGAAATCGGTGAATCGGCCGTTGGAGAGGAAGCGCGGGTTAAACTGTTAAATCCGGAGATGATGGCTGAGACATGCCATGTGAAATGCACGATGATGGTTTTCGCCTCTTGTGATGAGATCACGACGCGAGAATTGAATCTTCGCACAAGGCTACACACAACCAATCCAGCGCTGTACACCTCCCCGCAAAATCCCGTTCCTGTGCTCCGACGCTACTGCAGTGGCAGCAAGCTAAGGTCGCAGATCAGGAACCGCATGTCGACCGTTGGGCTATCTGTGCATACAGTAAACTTCTTGTAGTCCTAAGAAAATGTGTTTGCTATTCCGCCGAGTCGGGATATGATGGTGGTGATGGAATCCGAGATGCTAATGACACCACATCAATGAAGTACGACGAAGCATGATGAAGAACTCTAGTGGAGCAAACGAGAACTACAACATCTATGTTTGTTTCCCGCGATACTCCAACATTACTGACTCTCCCTCCAAGGTATCCTCTCCACACCCCGCACCCATCTCCGCCTCCTCCATTCGCCCTTGCGACTCGGCGCATGGCTCTCCCATGCCCGGCGCAGAACCTCCTTCTCTTGATCTCCAATATCCCTGATGCTTCCCTTTGATCCGGTCCGCTTCTTTAACTTGGCCTTTGCGGCATTGGCTTTCTCTCCATCACTTTCAAGAACTTCGTAGTGTAAATCCGTGACCCATCGCTCACCCTCGACCTCAACTTCCACGCCTGTGACACAACGATCTTCGACCCATTCACGAGATAACAAATCGAGTGTCCACTTCTTGTCACTCCAGCGCCAGCCACGGGGTGGGAGTACGTCTTCGAAGAACGGTGTGCCACGAGGTCTGTCGCCGCTGATCCTAGAAGGCGATAAAGGGGAGTAAGGTGATGGTGAGAACATGAAGCCCTCGTACTCGCCATGCTGATCGTGTAGGGCACGGTGCTGTAATTCGAAGATTTCTACTTCGCGCGTCTCTGGTGATGTCTCCAGTTCGATGTCTGCGCGCGAGATGGTGAGGAGGAAAGAACGGCTTTCGTGCTCTGCATCGGAGATGAACTTTTCGCTCTCGGGCGTTGTGAGGAGGTCTTGAACGTTAGGGTGACCCAATGCCGTCAAAGTGTATCCGATGACGAGAAATATCGCGCGCCATGGTAGTAGATGCGCCGATATAAACAACAAAACCGACGCGACAAGTAGGATGAGATAGAGCATCGATGACAGGTTCTCATTGCTGAAGTTAGTAAGCGGTGTGATGAAGCTCAGTACAGCGTCGTGGCCGCGGCTGAAGTCCTCCATGCAGTTCTGCAGATCGCGCATGTTGCGGAAGAAGTCCTTGCTAAACTCGGGCGCAGGCTTGATCGTCTTTGCGTCTGCTAGTGGTGGTCCTCCTAAGCTTCCCCTCCACAGATCGCCATCGATATCCACCATGTTTGCCATAGGCTCCGGATGTCGGGTTAGATATGCAGGAACCATGACGAAGAACATGCCACACGCCAGCGGGAGTACAGGTAGAAGATATGGATCGACACACACAAATGTCCAGACTAGGAGAAACGAGAGGGTTTGTGTGGGCTGGACCCAGGTGAAAAGACGAATGAGTCGGTTTTGAAGAATAAAAGCAACACCAATGCGTGAGTTGAAGCGACGGAAGTTAGAGGACATGGTAGGGATACTAAAGTTGGGGCGGGCGACATAGCTTCGAGAGCGTCGGTCCTTGATTTGTGGTGTGTTCCCGCTTGGTGTTGATGAATCTGGAGACGAGCTGTCGGAGAGGTCTTCTGAGGGCAGGACTTGCGCAAGTAATCTGTAATAATCAGCTCTATCAATGATTTTTGGTCTTGTCTGGGGGGTTCTCGCGCAGAAACGTCATGGTTCGCTTGCTCGAGGGAAGGATATCCGTGATATGCAACATCATACAAAAAATCTTCGAATTCAAACAACTTACAGGTTCATCATCTTGTCTCCCACTCTACTACTGGACTCACGACTTATGTTGTCACCCAATGATTCCAGTTTATCTTTGAGCCTGCTAGCCGACAGCCGGCGCGAATGCGAATGTGGCTTTTCTGTAGTGGGAGTGCCATCGTTCGAGGCATGATGTACCTGGACCACTGGAATAGGTGTGTCGCGGTTTGCCCACGACTCTGCGTTATCGGAGCCCATGGCGTGGTTTGCACTATGCTTTTCTTGTATCTATTGATAGACAGGCGACTAGATAGATCTGAATCAGGGCCGAGGTTGTAGGCAGGTCTCGGGGTGTGATTGAGGAAGTCACACTGCTCTTGCGCGGTGTTGTAGGTAGGCGTGTCACATGTGGCTGAGTCTCGATTTCCCAATCCGTGTAGAGGTTCAGCAGCTGCCCAGCCAACCCCAAAATGGTAGTCTATCCTAGCTCTTTTGATTGCGATCTTTCAAAAGCGTGTTCTCATGGTTCGACGTGGAAGATGGAGAGGCAGGCGTGATGTTTGGTGCAGCAAGCGGATGACGCACATGCATGTGAACAGGGCGTGGCGTTGAGCTTGTGCCATGGCACGTTGTTCGTTCCGGCGGTTTTTCCCCACATGTGTCCGTGCACACTCGGGTTGTTGGTGGTGCGCAATCTTGATGATCAGGGACAGACAACCTTTCGGACTTGGAAGTACTTAGAGACTCATGGTGATTTCTATCATATTGTACGGCCTCTGCCGTACATTAGTGGTGACATGGAGACCAGGACTGTGGAGTAGCAGCGGAATTCCCGCTGTCATGTTTCGGAGCCGTATGGTACCCAACATAGACAGCACCCATAGCATACACTATAGAGTGTTCAATCATGCACATGCTGGAAGCCGTGCCATGTGCAATCAGACTAGGGGTAGTTTGGGTGGTGCAGTCGTCGTTGGCAGGTGATGGTCGCACTGCTTGGAGTACAGCTACTCCGCACTGGAGCGTGGCAGCTTGACTGACATGACGACGAGACAGTAAGGCCGTTGGACGATGCGTCCGTTTCCTGGGAGAGGAGAGTTGTTTTGATAATATCCTATTCGCCGCAACGGGCAGATGCGGACAGGGGTTTTGTCAACTAGACAACCTTAGTGCCTAGTTGTGGCTTTTGCGGGCTGCCGACCCTCATTGTAACTTTGACGAACGTCGACTATCGCAGCAACGGCCACCTCGCCCCTTTGCAGCACCACAGCGCCGTGCTTTTTGCGCTGCACCATTGCTCAACCTTGAATAGTTCCGATAGCCGTTCGCTCGACTCATTACCGACCGCCGATCGCTTTCACCGCTGTAGCCGGGCCCATTCGACATGTCGGCATAGGTCTCCCTCGGTGCCCAAGCTCGACGCTTGGAGACCATCTCGGCGTTCTTTGAAAGAGGAAGACTTTTTTTTTGAAGCATCTCGTGACTACAGAGCTTGAACTGTCCGTGTCGTCACCACTAGCTGTGGAGCTGACATCTGTGGACCATGGCGACGCAGCCGCGAACTACAACTCGGACCATGGAATCGACCAACGTGCCCGAACGGTCAGGGTCCAACATGTCCGAGGATTCTAGTGGCTCCTCAGGTACGAAAAAGCATTTGGGGGGGAGTCGCGTAATGCGACGTCGTATCGAATGGAGCTAACCCTACCTCATCAGAAGATCGCGTACGCAAGTTCCAGAAGACGGGCGACCAGGGCAGCCGCCTGCGCAAGACGAGTGCATCCAATGCCATAAGTGCAGCACGACCGCTGCCTACCATCAACAACAACGCCGCAGGACGAGGCAGGGCCAAGGTGCCGTTGGGCCCCCGCGAGCGGCCCCAGGACTTCAACAAGCAGAGGTACGACGCCGCAGCCTCAGCCTACATAGGTAATCTGCACGACAGATCAGCTGACGCGTGAATCAATAGAATGGCAAGCGGCGCCAGCATCGCTTCCCTCGAGACACGCTCCTTCCTCCCCACGCCCGCGAATGAGACGACGACGACGCGCCCCGTCCCCTCGAACCCACGCTTCAGCTTCACCAAGCAACCTCAAATCAGCACTCCCGCAAAGCAAGAGTCGAACGAGAGCACTGGTTCCTATGACTTCCTGCCAGCCGTCAACTTTGATGACTTCGCCAACAGCCTCGCGTATGAGCCCGCCTTAAGCGACTTTCCTGCGCCTGGCACGTTCAAGACCAACGTGCCTGCCGTCAACACTACCCCCAACAATAACAACATGCCGTCATTCACAGGAACCCCTACCGACACGCGCCCTACACGTAGCAGCTCCTTCGTTCGCCGCTTCAGTCAGTCCACCGCGAGGAAGCCTAGTGGTGCTTCCACCGCATCTGGCTCTGACACGTCCTCAATGCCCCCTCCGCCGCCCACCAACATGGCCATCCGATCACGCCGTCAGAGCCACTTCCCTGCGCAGGCGCCCTCGAACCCGGCTGCTCGAGCCCCGAGAAAGAGTGTTGGCCCTGGAATGCTGCCAACGAGTAGCTTCGAAATGGACAGACTCGCAAATGACAACACAATGCCTCAACTCGGCCGCGCGCCTTCATTGAACAAGGGAAATAGGCGGGAAACGCTCTCTACGAACCTTAACACTACCACCACTGGAGTACCCAAGCTCCCAACTGCTGCACGTAACGCGAAAGCAAAGTCTCTACAACCACCCTCGAGGCAGCAACCGGGCCATCTGACCGTCTCCATGACTCCCGATCCAAGTACAATGCCCTTGGACCACTCCCGCTCACCTGGCAGATCTCCCGCTGCGCAACGATCATACACACCTTCGTCCGCGTCGAGCAAGCGACAGTCAACTGCACCGCACATATCTGGACTTGGAGCGCGAACCATTAGCCCCACAGACGCTCGGAGGCTGAGGAGACTGTCCATGAACCCCAATCATCCGCCAAACGGCCCAGTGGGCCCCCCTACACCCCAAGGCGATCAGACATTCGACGAGCGTGCCTTTAGCCAGTCTCCGGCCTTGGCCGTGGGAGGGAACATGACGCCCTCTTCGGCGCGTGCGACGCCCGAGCAGAAGCGCAAGTCTTATGCCTCTGGCATATCGCTTTCTTCAAACTCGAGCTTAAATTCGCTAAAGGTTGGTCCTTCATCAATACCCTTGCGCACCAATCCTGCTCCAACAAGCTCACGTTTGCCTGCGCCAAAGCCACGAAACGTACAAAGCTCAGCTGGTGGGGAACAAGAAGAGGTTCCTCCTGTACCGGCTATACCAAAAGCCTACGAGTCTCCCAAAGACCCCGAGCGCAGCAGCTTTGCATTCAATACACCAAATTCAAAGATGAACGCGCCTCCTCCAGCCTCTCAAGAAGCTGTTTCGACACCCGACACGCAACGAGCTGAACCTCGGCACAACGAGACCCTGGACGGTGAGGTTCTGAACAGGAGCACAGGGTCCATCAGACATCGAAGAGGGTTAACAGTCGGAGCTGGTTCGGAAGCTGAGAGGACGCCAATGGTACAGCAGTCCAGCAAGAAGAACCTGCAGCCAATCAGACTACCGCCGCTGAACCTGCTACCACTTGGTACACCATTCAACAATCGGATATCGTCTTTCCCTGCGCCTTCTGGCGAGGTGGATGAGCGCAATGTCACACCGCCACCTAAACGTGCGGCCAATAAAACGCCTAGTACGCCCATGACAGCCTCGAAGGCAAACTTCTTCTCAAGGAACAATCACCACGATGAATACCATAAACACTTACGTAGCAGTAGTTCAGCAATCAACCTGCGTGCAGCAGACTCCTCGCTTGATACTCACCCAAACATTGGTACGATACCTGTTCCGACCCTGAACCCGACACGCCAAGCTACCACACCTTTCTCATCGAATTCATTACCAAAGGGCAGTGGAGAGTTCGCTCGCTTGCAGCCACGACCCAGTGGTGAATACAAATCATCTGCCAAGGATGTGGAAATGCAGAGCATGGTTGCTGGACCGCGCCCATTACAAAAGAAAAATACCTCGGATTCAATTCAGACTTCTGAGTCGACAGAACCAGAAACGCCTTCCTCTGGTTCATCCTTGCGGCGAAAGCTTAGCCTTAGCGGCTGGAGGAGAGCTTCGTCAAAAGCTGCGACACATCAGTCGCAAAATCCGCAGATCCGAAAACCGGGCCCTAAGGCTGACGAACAAAGACAACAGCCCCAGCCACCCAAGCACAACGAGATGCCGCCACCACGGTTACCTGCATCTGCTACTTGGAGCGGCGCTACTGGTACAACCCCACCTCCCGCTAAAAGTGGAACCCGGCCATCCCTTGATTTTGGACGTCGCAAGACTTCTACAGCAGCGGTCGCAGCTGATACTGAGGTCGAGAAGTCAAGTGCTCGTAAACCCGTGGGTAGCGGTGGAACACGTGCTGTGTCAGGGCATACAGACCAGGCTAACAGCCAGGCGACACAGAAATCCACGTCAATCTTGACACCAATGCAACGGATGCTGGGCACGAGGGGCTCGTCGAACATGCTCAAAGCTCGTAATCTCGACCCTAATCTCGACCGGGATGATCTGTTAGCCGACGAGGAGATGAAGAAGCTTGCTTCGAAGCGGAAAGACTTCGAGCATGCGGCACGCGATGTTGACGAGCTTCGCAAGCGCGCCACGGCCAAGGAGCGTGTCACCCCAAGTGATGCTGTACGCATGGCCAATTTGAACATATTCGAGAGGGGGGAGATTATCGACTACAAGGAGGTCTACTTCTGCGGAACGAAGAACGCCAAAAAGCACGTCGGCGATCTCAATGCGCAGACAGCAAACTTTGGCTATGACGACGAACGTGGCGATTACAATATTGTCCTGGGAGACCATCTCGCCTACAGATACGAAGTCGTCGATGTGCTTGGAAAGGGTAGTTTCGGACAGGTTGTGCGCTGCGTAGACCACAAGACGGGAGGGCTCGAAGCGATCAAGATCATTCGTAACAAGAAGCGGTTCCATCAGCAAGCTCTTGTCGAAGTCAACATTCTCCAGAAGTTGCGCGAATGGGTAAATAAATTTCATTCATCTTACACGGACAACATGCTAACATATCCCAGGACCCCGACAACAAGCACAGTATGATCAACTTCACTCAGAGCTTCTACTTCCGCGGCCATCTCTGCATCTCTACTGAGCTTCTCGGTATGAACCTGTACGAGTTTATCAAAGCATACGAATTCAAGGGCTTCTCTCTACGTCTGATCCGCCGGTTCTGCAAACAGATGTTGGCCTCGTTGACTCTTTTGAAGACTCAGAAGGTTATTCACTGCGATTTGAAACCGGAGAATATTCTACTTGCGCACCCGCTACACTCAGAAATCAAGGTCATCGATTTTGGATCCAGCTGCTTCGAGACCGAGAAGGTCTACACGTACATCCAGTCGCGATTCTACCGATCGCCTGAGGTCATCCTTGGTATGAGCTATGGACTGCCGATTGACATGTGGAGTTTGGGTTGTATTCTTGCCGAGCTGCTCACTGGTTACCCTATCTTCCCCGGAGAGAATGAGCAAGAGCAGCTTGCTTGCATCATGGAGATATTTGGGCCTCCAGAGAAGCATCTCATCGAGAAGAGTAGCAGGAAGAAGTTGTTCTTTGACTCGCTTGGCAAGCCCAGAGTTACGGTCTCTTCGAAAGGCCGCAGGCGAAGGCCAAGCTCGAAGACACTACAGCAAGCTCTCAAGTGTGATGACGAGGCTTTCCTCGACTTCATCACGCGCTGTTTACGATGGGATCCCGAACGTCGAATGAAGCCCGATGAAGCGCTGCAGCATGAGTTCATCACCGGCGTGCGTAAAACCAATCAACAACGACGACCTTTCAACAGCTCCTCCGCTGTTTCTTCGCCTGCAAAGCGAGTGCCGCCGCCGCAATCGGCGCAGCCACGCGTCCGACCCCTTCCGGAGCCTCCAGTGTCTAGCTTCAGCCGGGGGACCGCAGCCAGCGGTCAGCGTCAGGTGTCCAACAGCAACTCCCCTGTGAAGACGTCTGCTCCTGCAAGGCGCCACTCCACGGTGCAAGGACTTGCACCTGGAGCAGCGGGTACTAAGCGTGCCGCAAATGGAGCACCACTCAATGCTACAAGTGGAAGCGGCCTGCCGCGCGCAGCCCAGCGAAGTGTATCAGGCAAGCCAGACCTCGCTTCGGCTGCGGCCATTGCCAGTCTCGTAAGTCCCAGGCTTCACGGCTAGCCTCATGTTGATAAGCCGCTGACAATGTTATAGAAAACGCACACATAAACTTACGAAACCGGGAGATATTCTCAATATAGATTAACGATTACTTGGGCATCTCATGAGGTTTCTTACTATATAATATTAGGGTCTTACCCTGCTGGCAGCCTCGGGGTTGGATTGCCAGGGACTTTTGTGCAGATGTGGTTGCGGATGTTATGTTTTCCCATTCAGCGACGTTTATACCCCTGAAAAAGTCTCCAGCTTGAGCATTATTTTCAACAGGTGTATTGGTGGGTTTCTTGGATAGTGGAAGAGGGCAGTGAATCTTGATATGAACAGCATTATAGGGCGTTGTAACAAGATAGATATCTTCTTCTAGAATTTGTAATGTGATGGGTGCGGGGTTTTACGATCTCAACGATGAGCGCTGCCTGTCTTTGCGTGACTATGCACTTGGGCCGAGTCGCAGCCTCTGGTGATGTCAATGCGTTATCGATAAGCCTGTCGCGAATTTGACAATAGCGACTTTCGCTCTACAGCCCTCACCACGCGACAATCCTTTTATGATACCCAGTCCTTCTTTCCTTACTTTCATTGAAAATGCCTCGCGATCCGCTCATCGGCCTCGTTGGCAAGCCATCATCCGGCAAATCGACTACTCTGAACAGGTGCGCAATGCCCCTCCACCCCTCCTTCGTGGATCTTTCTGACATGTGTTGCATGGCAGTTTGACAGATGCTACCTCCAAAGTCGGTCCGTACACATATAAACATGCTGGAAGCTATGTAGGCTGATTACAAGTAGGTAACTTTCCGTAAGTCGTCCCTATCCAACCTGCTCCATGCGCCAGCGCAGCGCACATCACCTTACTGCTCTACCGCCACTACCACGATCATCCTACCGTCAGCTCCTAATGCTATTCATCCAGATTTACGACCATCGACCCCCAGCGTGCCATCGGCTACCTTCAAATTGAATGCCCCTGCGCCCGCCTCAACCTCGCCGACCGTTGCAAACCCAACTACGGCGGCTGTGTCGAAGGACGGCGATCCGTTCCTATAGAACTTCTTGATGTTGCTGGTCTCGTGCCAGGCGCACACATGGGCAAAGGTCTCGGAAATAGGTTCCTGGACGACTTGCGACATGCAGATGCACTGGTACATGTAGTGGACGTGAGCGGGACGACCGACGCAGAAGGCAAGGCGACAAGAGGTTACGACCCAAGTCAGGATATCGTTTGGCTGAGGAGCGAGATTGTGCGATGGATACAAGGCAACCTCATGGAGAAGTGGGGCAGTATCAAGAGGAGGCATGTCGCTATCAAGGCTACGGCTGTCGAGACACTACAGAACCAATTCTCGGGTTACGGGTCAACGTCTAGTGTCGTCGCACGCTGTCTTGATCGCCTTGCCCTCAAGGAGCCACTACAGGACTGGTCGGACGAGACCATCGAACGAGTCGTAAACGCCTTCACTGACGAGAAGTTCCCTACTGTCATCGCTCTCAACAAGATCGATCATCCCGACGCCGACAAGAACATAGCGAAAATAGCGAAAACTGCGGATCCAAAGAGTATAGTGCTGTGTAGCGCGATATCTGAAGTCTTCCTGAGGAAATTGGCGAAACAAGGCTTTATCAAATACACAGAGGGCAGCGAGTTTGTCGATACAAGAGAAGATCTGATCGAACAGGGTGATCCGGATGGAGGAGGACTGAAAGAGTTGGACGAGAAGCTCAAGACACGTATCGAAAATCTCAAAGACATGGTTCTTTACCGTTTCGGAAGCACGGGTGTCGTACAAGTACTGTCCCGAGCTGCAGAACTCCTTGGTCTAGTCCCAGTCTTCCCGGTCCGGAATATTCACACGTATACCAGCGGTAGTGCGAGCTCGACGGCGGTGTTTAGGGACTGTGTGCTTGTTAAAAAAGGCAGTACGGTGGGCGATGTGTACAGGAAGGTTATGGGTGATGCACCAATGGCGTATGTGGAGACTGAAGGTGGGAGGAGAGTTGCAGAGGATGATGTTGTCGCTGTGGGAAAGAACGACGTGAGTGCTTTGTCCGAGTGATAAGAGACATGGTGCTAACGAAAGACAGATATTGAGCTTCAAGGTTGGAAGGGCATAGTGAAGCATTGCTTTTCTTTTGTCTTAGGAAATGATTCTCAGGCAATGAGAAAGTCGGGTATCACAACTCTCAATGCAGCTTGGCAGACTCCGCGTAACCCTCGCTGAGGAAGGCGGATCTCGAAACATTAGTAGATGGTTCCAGGGCTTACTATCGACTCATTGATTCCATTACAGCAGGTCTTCCAGATCCATGAAATCCAATAAATTTACTTCCCATCCTTTCCCTCTAGCGCATACAACTCTTTCGGCCTCCCTCCACCATCACAACTAGCAAACTTCCACCACGTCCAATGCACACTCCCAGCCACATTAACCAACCCCCACCTTACCGGCGCCGGCATCGGAGGCCAGTTCGCCCATTTCGCCTCCTCAAATGTAGCATCCAAGTTCATCAAAAAGAAGGGCACGACGTCAAAGGTCCCTGCTTTGGTAACAGTCTTCTTACCCCAGGCTTTGAAGATAGTGGCTGCGTGTTCTGCTTCCGGTGTGTTTGGCGCTGGAGCGGAAGGATGGTCTGCGAAAGAAGCTATCGTGCTGATCTCGTGGTGGAAGTGATGGCTAAAGGGCGTTTGGAACGAGGACATTATATTCTGAAGTTCTTTGCCGTTGAAGGATTGTAGAGAGGGGAGAGAGGTTAGGTAGGTGTTGTAGTCTGCTAGACCGCCGAGAAATGATTCTACATCAATCTTATGTTAGATGTTGGCTCCATAGCGGCTGAAATAAGCAGGTTCTGTTACCGTGTTCTTCATGTGTCTCTTTCCAGATATCCTTTGAGCCTAATATTTCTTCTACCTTGGGAAACAACTCCGCTTCCTCATCATCATGGTGGCTCTTTACGAAGCGATACCATGTTTGTGCGTACCCGATGAATGCTGGTTTATCTGTTTCCTGGATATAAGGGGCTTGTAAGTATATAGTGTTATAGCCTCGCAGTATGGCATTGTGGATGTGTGCCATGTGTGTTGCCCCAGTTGTAAAGATGTCGTCCTACGTATTGGATTAGTACACCGAGATTACTTTAGCGAGAACATGCATGTGTAAAGCACCTTGTTCGTCTCAAATTGCGGCGTACTGATGAGTTTGCATGGATCCTCGGCCCACGGTTTGTTGGTGGAAGTAGACATGGGCGAAGAAATGAAGAACTGGATGGATACGGCGAGGATCAAGAGTAGGAAGAAGGTGATGGTTGTAACGCTAGGCATTGTGACAGACACCAGCGCGCCATTACGTAGGACGGCTTCATTATTTAATGTACTGATGGGAATTCACGTTTGAAGATACAACAAGTGGTGTGTTCATGAAAGTGGTGCGTGGTGGTGTGAGAGTAAGGCGATTCGTCTATTCTCCGATTGGTTTAGCGGGGCGACAACAACAACAGCAGGTCTGCACAACGTCGTTGCATCTCGACTACGGTATAAGGCTGAAAATCATTGTTGAGTTGGCTAAACACAACTATAGCACCTACGTGCTCAGTGTATTTGCAGTGCGGAAACAGAACAGTACAGAACACCATAAAAAACCATGTCTGCAATTGCCTGACGCTGCAACACCATACTTTCACTTTTCTCATCCAGTGCCGAGACGTAGCGCTATGACTGAAGAAAAAGCCCAAGTGATATGTTGAAATACCTTGAAACCTTCAACCAATTACGGCCTCATGCCCATTTAACGAGTCCATCGATGAGTACCTGCAATGCGATGCTATCCCCACATAATCCCGCTACAATACCGACGTTGATGCCCAGCCCACTGTCTCCAACCAGAAACATATCGTTCCTTGCGTCGACTCCTCGTAGCGGGTCATACACTTCATCTGATATCCTCCTCTTCACGGCCTGTGGCCAGGTACCACTGGCCTGACCATCCTGTGACGGGGTAAAGTTCGGAACGACTTTACACCAGTAGTGGCACGTCGATCGATTGAAACCAAATGCAACTGGAAAGCTTAGGGAGTGCGCGTATGCCGCTGACTGAACGCGGAGTAGCACGGCGCCCCAGAATTCTGTGACGTGATCTGGTATGCGTAGCTCATGAGTAGTTTCATCCCAGGCATTTCGAGGCGTAACGCTAAGTATACGAACATTAGGTGTGGTTTGGCTGGAAACTCGACGTCTTATGTGAAAGCTCTTGAATTGAGTTGTCGTGAAGTCAGGTGGTATGGACAGTTTCTGTCGTACGTAGATGGTATGAAGTTTTCCAGTAGGCCAGTCGTCGATGGGAACTAGGACACCAGCATCGACGCGTGCATATTGCATTCCGCCATCTAGGCACTTTAACGTAATGGCTAGGCGCTGATTGAGTTCATTGCTTGAGCGGATCATGGCTAGCATACAGCTGCTGTCCTTCGGGTCAGGTAAGAACTCGAGCTGCACACGTAGACCGATGGGGGTAAAACCAATGGGGAATGTAGAGATGACGTTCTCGTGTTCAATAGAATGGCAGTGTCGAAACTCCTCAGGATGGCGAGCAAGTAAACCCCGGTACGTCGATTGCTCGGATGTAATCGCGCGCCAGGCAAATAGCGAGTAGTCATCAGTAGTCCTTAGTATTTCTTCTTGCAGGCGAATGAAAGCCTTGCTACCCTCTCCATAGAGTAATGGCATATGAATATCGAAGATGCCTAACAAGCAATATGCTACATCCTCTATTCGTGTGCTTTGGCGATATGATGCCCATGACATCCTCTCCGCAACAGAGATTTCGCTAACGGAACGTCCGTCGTCAAGCACACGAACTGGAATGCCCGTGGCATCAGACAACTCCTCCAAAAACTCGACCTTCTCGCCCATCAAGGTCCAATCCTGGAAGTGGAAGCGACACACAGCCGGTGCAATTAGCTCCTGTAGAGTCCAACCACGATGTGCCCATCGGCAAGCTTTGAGAGACGCTCTTGCGATCTCGGAGGCAGTCGTGTAGCTGTCTGAGCGTGGTTTGGGGATGTCGCCTAGATAAACTATGCAGACTTCTGCATCTCTATACCAACGATACATGGAGTTGATGGCTTCTTGAAGCTCCGCACTTGATGCCTTGTCAATGCAGCACGTATCCACCCACAGATAATCGCAGCCCTGACCCCGTGCTTGCTCAGCTGCATTTACAATCTTGCTGTAGCCGACCCGCTTCATAAGATCCTCTTCTGATAAGCTTCCCAGAGGTGTCCCTGAGCTGCCTCGGATCATCAACTCCAGAGCTAGCATGAGTGTATTTTGCGCATCTTGAGTCGATGTTAGGTTAGTAGAAGTCGACAGTGCTCGAGCTCTGCTAATCCAGACGAATTCCTGGTAGTTGACCTCATCCGGACCCCAGGTATGGGAGAGGATGGCGTACTTGGGGATAGCATCATCGTTGAACCACTGAAGCTCGAATGTCCTAACATCGATGAGTCGCATAACAAACGCGTCGCGATGTGTCGACGTATATAGTCATTGGTGTAGGAAGAACAAGTGGGGTGCTGGCCCCATGCGCTAATGGTGCTGAACTATGTTTTGACTAGCTAGGCTTTGCGCTAGACCCTATTGGGGGCGATATACGGAGGCGCTCGTATCTTCGCACTCACGAGTTTGTCTTCAATATGAACCAACATGTCAACAAAGACACGTGCACGACACTCAGGGTGTGATAATACCACGGTCAAAGAGTAGATGGAATGTCACTCTAATTGTGAAACTACGGCGTGGTGCAGGGCGGCGATTGGTGGCATGTTCTACCTCGGAGACCGAAATCAAGTTGTCACTCCGGGCGTTTAAAAGGCGTCGCATATATCATCTAGCTACCGTACCACCTCCACTCATGATTGGCATGCCGAACCAAGCCGAGTACAAGGTTGAGGTCCGTCATACACATAGGGAATAGTCAGTGAAGGGACTGTAGCGAAATGTACCATTTACCGATGGAAAACGCTCGAGAAAGGAAAGAGATAGCTGAGAGTGTAAATGAGTGAAAACATCAGCCATGTGTGAAAAAAGTCCAACGACTGTACACCCCAAATCTTCCCGAAGCATATCCCTGAAATTACAAATTTTGTGGCACGCCTCCCGGGTGCGTCACTGATACGTGTCGCATAATGATCGTCCGCATCTTGGTGTTTGCCATTCCTGTTCACTGGAAACACTAATTTCTTATCTCCCGAGCGAATAAAAGATACGTCATGGAATTACGCTCTCCGAGGCACTGAGAAGGAGCGAACGTAGACCAAGAGTGCAGCCACTGGCTATTAGACTCGGTCCGTGGGATCGTCACACGAGAAGCCGAATTTACGATCGACTCGGATGCAGTTGTCGTCGATGCTCCTACTGTGGACATGCGAGGTAGGAATGATGATAAGGCCCTCATGATCCTTGCTCTTCATGTCCGACCATGAGCTCATCTGACGGCTTTTTTCGCAAACTGTGGAGCCTTCGCTGAGGGTCGAAGGCACTGATTTATCGTGGAAGTTGCTCCTTATCAGTCGCCGGTGAGCATCGGGTCCTCTTGCGGCAAGGTTTTGGTCGTTGATGACACCGGCCCAAATGGCGGAGAAGGGAAGGAAGACGCAGATGACCGTGAGAACATGGGCAACGATCTCAGGGAGAATGTTTGCAAACTGGAGAGACGCGAAGATAGCTACAAGTGTGTTAGTTATATCTCGATACCCAAGCTGACATGGACAAATGTACCTGGTGCGAACATAGTCTGACAGCCCATGATGAAGACAATTTGCATCGGTCCAAACTGTGGCATATTGAGACGTCGCCTCTGGATGATGGCGTGACCTAGCTTGCCGGTAAAGACGCAGCTGAATATCCAAATGGATACGTTTTGCAGAACGTAGGAGATCGCGATCAACTCCAAGATGGAGTCGGCACCCGTATCCTCCAGGGTCAGCTTGGTATTCCAGTAGACGGCAACAAGCCTGTACCCGAACGCAACGCAGGCCATGACAGTCGTTGTACCCATAATGATGTTGCGTTGTAGAGGCGGTGTGGTGACGCATACGACCCAGACTTGGAGACTGAGGGACATGAAGACGAGGGCGGTAACTATGATACCGAAGATATTGGAAGTGATGAAGAAAGCAAAGTCTCCACGTGTCAGGCGACCCCGGTTTGAAGCCAGGACAGTGTAAGGATCGTAGAAGTTACCGGTAACCCAACAGCAGAACAGTAGACAGCGGATGGTGTTGGTAAGAAGACAGGCGGCGTTTAGGAAGAAAATCATAGACTTTCGTTTCTCAGCCTTGGTTAAGAGAAGGAGAACAATCAAAAGCATGAGTGATACACCAAAACCAGACCCGTAGCTGATAGCGAGACGAAAGCCGTAGATACGATAGTCGTTGAGCACCTTCATGCTGATCGCTACGGCTACCCATCCACCATTACCATCTGACACAGTAAGATTCAAGTCCTGGTTCCATGGATCGAAGTTGGGAGGGACCTGAACGCTCTGTACAATGCCGTCCATGGTGATTCGTGGTGCTGAGAGTTGTTGGACGAGGGTTTGTAGAGATAGTGACGTCTAGATGCAGGTCCAGATAGAAGCCGGGCTTGGCAGAGTCAAAACCCGGGGTAAAACTTGGAAGAAAGGTAGGATGAAGTAGAGGCTAAAGAAGGAGCGAAGGAATTTAGTAGCGAGGGAGACCGAAGCTTTATCATATGGAGGATCGGGATATAATAGCTAGAGGGCAAGGTTGCTTCTGCGCTGGAAATTGTTGCTAGACATGGTTGTCGATAAAGTGACTGGGAGTGATGGCTTTCGGATCCCGAGCGGATAATAGCAGCGGCAGCGGCAGCGTACGATTGTTCCGATATCTCGACTTAAGACTATAGCTAGTCAGGATCAAGGTGAAGCTGAGGTCTCAGAGTTACTTGACACCCTTACTATTGTTCCACAGCTCCTTCACCTGCATGCATCTGGGTGCTCGCCTTGGTCCGATAAAAGCTTAACCAATGCTTACTGCTGTCACTCTTCTCTTGTCTTGCAACGAGTTGCAGAGTCGCTCAAAGTAAGGCGCAGAGCCATAAAATGCACTGTTTGCGGTGTGCGATGGTTGTGATAAGATAGCGCAAATTCCTTACTATTGTCCTTCGACTCTGGCCGCCTGAGCTTTGAGACCTTTGGATACCGGTGTACAGGGACCAATTACACATGTCATAGGTAGTGACCAAAGTGCATAGCACAACATACGGGTACGCAGCCATAGCACTGCATTCACATTGAACCCCTTGCTGTCGAGTGGAGGATGCAAAGCCGTTCCTCCGAAGCAGGAACAGGTTGGTGACGGCCGCCACCCAATCAGCACACAAGCCCACTTATTATGCACGTCACTGGTAGCTCAACAGCAGCAACCCCGATCCTCCATAAACGTGACCGCGCGTTAACTCTAACATTCGCGACCCAATGACCGCTACGACGCGTCAATCGACTCAGGATGTGGACGTTGGTTTTGTCAAACACGGCGGGAGCGCCAGGCTCGGATGAATTTCGCCTACCAGAAGAGGGCGTGGCACACATCGTCTTGGGTGCTACCTTTCAATACCCTGGTGTGATACGCGAACTGCATTTGCCGGGTCTCATACGTGAGCTTGGCCGCATTGGTACGTCTTCTCAATGAATCTAAGTGCCAGCTACAATTCCTTACCATGATAGTTGTTGGGCCTTTCGGAGTAAAACTAGAAGCCATTGCAGACACGGTAACCATCTTGCCCAGTCAACCGCATATGAATGGCCCATCGACTGCCATGTTTCAATTACAACCACGGAGCGGCGAACACTCAGAATCAATTCTCCTGCGCCATGGTGATGTGTTACGATTTCCGACATCTGAGTCTCGTCTCACTTGTCAATGGACAGACTCCGAGGTCCAGGTAAACTCGTCAGCCGCGGCCAACATCATTGGTGTTGTTGAAACACTTGAAGACGACAACGAAGACGAGAATACAATCGAACCCACTACCGGTGCAGTGTCACTAAACCAGAAGCAGTCACAGCCGCAGCCTCGAGCGACGCCTCGGCTTTCAAACCAACCATCGGTTACTATTGTTCAAGAAACCCCAACCACGAGTCGTGTAGAGCATGTACCAGATTCTCGTGAGGCAGATGTCAAACCACCAGACTTTCTCAGCGACGTCGATAAACCAGTAGAGGATGTGCCTACCTTCTCGAGGGGTTTTGAACCGGAGCGGGAGCGGGAGCAAGAAGCAGAGGCTTTCTCGACAGCCAGTACTGGCGAATCACAGGGCCATGCACATTTAAAGCTATCTTCAAATGCTAGAGTGTCTTCACCGCGGGTGCAAATACCAGCCAGATTATCTAAGAAGCGCGCTCTTCCCACAGCAGAGGAACAGGCCCCGGAGTCTGATAACGAAGCACTTGCTGGGTCTAGCAAGCGTGCAAAAACGAGCGATAGTGACACTGACGACAGTCGGTTGAGTAGTGTTGACATTGCTACGGCGGACGTATCATCGATGCTGCCACGATCGCAAAGGAACTTGCAACGATCCACAGCCATAACAACGGAAGATTACAACGGCCCAACGCCTCGTATAGCCTGCAGCAACTCTACCATTGTTAAGACAAGCCAAGCTGTTAAGTTCCTGAAGAAGCAAGGCGGGGCATACGTGGAAAATTTGTCGGACGATTTCAACGTTCTGTGGTAAGTGCTCTACTTGCAGTCGTATCACTTTGCTAACGTGTCAAAGCGTAAGAGACGGTGGTCTTCAGAAGACAACAAAAGTACTCTATGCTATCGCTCGCGGCATTCCCATCGTTACCGACCAGTGGCTATACGAATCTGCGTCAGCTAAGCGTCTCCTCGCCGTTTCTGCTTTTAAGCCATCCATCCCTAAGCAAGAAGAGGAGTGGAAACTCAAACTGAAAGACATCCTCGGACAACCACAAACCCCTTTCGTGGACTACAATGTTCATTTCACGAAGAGCCTCAAGACAAAATACGCATCTTTCTCCGAAATTGAGGTGGTAGGCAAAGCCGCGGGCGCGAAGAATGTAACGACTGGTACGGCGAGGGTGAAGAAGCTGAAAAGCAACATTATCCTTGCAGACGACGGAGACGATGTAGAGGCACAGAGACTGATGAAAGACGGAATAACGTGCTACACGAAGGACTTCTTCACATTCAGTATCCTGCGAGGTGTCCTCGATCTCGAAAGCGACGAGTTCAAGATCGAAGGAGTCGTTGCAGCCGCTGAGACACCTCTTAAGGAACCGAAGAAGAAGCGAGGCCGGCAGAGTACTTAGGCGACCAACTATGACCTTTATACGACACGTTTTACTGCATAGCGAGCGTAGTAAGTCTTTATTTCAACTCAGGTCGTGGAACGAAAAGTGAGGTAATACGTTATTTTATCATACTATACCTAATTCCGCGATCATCAATACGCAATTCAATCAATTCATGAGTATTGTCAACGCACTGTCTGCCCCGAAGTTCCTGCTATTCTATGCTTGGGTAAGCGAGTCAGCTCCACATCATTCCCCACAATGCACATATCCCCATAACGCCGATGTTCTTCAATGCTCACACCGTACTCTGAGCGTCTGTTGTACTGAGATATATATAAGACATTATTTTTGAGTTTTCCATCGAAAAGCGCATGGCAAGCACCGCGCATTTCAAAAATCCTCTGTGGCGCAATTGGCTAGCGCGTCTGACTGTTACAGCTTGCAGTAGCGAATCAGGAGGTTGGAAGTTCGAGCCTTCCCGGAGGAGGATTACTTTTTGCACTTGTACGCCGGTTGAAGACACGTTGTGCGACTGTGGAGAGGAATGGCGTTCTTTTTGTTAGCGTGCCGGCAGACAACTCGACATGTTGGCCGAGACTCTAGTACAAACACGGCGAGGGAAGATCGAACAACGTCGAATATTGACAACTTGCAATGTCACATTTGTATGCCTACCATCAACATGAATCCGAGGCTCGGCCTTCTGCGTACTCACACTCGGACTCACTGTTGTTTTCTGTAATAGATGTGAGTTACTTTGCCTGTTGTATGCAGCTGGCATACACATGGAAGGCATCATGAGAGATACTCTCCTTTGTGGCAGTTGGAGATACTAACAACACACCAGGCTGCGAGTTCACAGTGCAACGTCTCCGCATCCGTTATATCTTTAATGCTCAGTCCATAACTAGATCTTAAATTGAGAGGTTCCACTACATGTCATCACGCTATGCATGACAGCGACTCAATAAATAGCACATCAACCGGAGACATTTCCTCATCGCAGCAATTAACAAAGCATGTCTACACTGTATCCTCTTGTGTGGATCCAATAGTTCATATATACGCACCGCTTCACCTCTTCTTGTTCCTCTTGGCAGCCCGCTTTTCGCCCCTGACATCCTTCTTCAATCGAGCGTCGACCATCTTGTACTTACCCTTTGTACCCTTCGGCCTGGTCTTGATACCCTTGTTACCGCCCCTGGCTACGATAACACTGACCTTCTGCTTGGGCTTCTTCTTCGCAGCTCTCGACATCAACCGTGCAATACTCTGTGCCTTCTCCTTCTCTGTCATACCCTCTTCGTCCGCGAGTAATGCGGACTTCTTCTTGAGCTTCTCCATGCGTTGAGCAGCCTTGAACTTCTTGCGAGCTTGCGCTTCGCGGACCTTCTTGATGGGTCGAGCGTTCAGTGCGCGGAGCTTCTCTTTGATGGCAGAGGCTGCGGCAGCAGTTGTGGGCCGTTGGAGTTTGGAGTGCTTGTTCTCATCATCTAGGAACCAATCTGGTAGGCCGTCGACGTCGCGGAGGGAGTAGCGGTTGAAGGATTCGTCAAGGAGATCGTACTTTGTTTTCTGACCTGTGGCCATCTGGTGAGCGAGGGTCATGGCCTCAGCTGTAATGATGTCGATGTCTGGCTTGCCGTTCTTCATGGGCACGTTGTCTTGCTCCCATTGAGATTCATCGCGCTTGACTTCTTCAATCTTGTCCTCGTCATCCGAGGATTCATCGTCCATGGCCGGCTTGGGTTGAGGGGTCTTGGTACTCGTTCGTATGCTCAGTTCTGTCTCAGTCGCAGGCGCGGGTGTGGCGCTTTCATCCTTCATTTCGGTATCATGTTCGACATCGATGCCGCTGTCGTCGTCTTCCTCAAGATCCTCAAGCCCATCAATGCCCTTGAAGATGTCCTGGTCAAAGAACCGTGCTGCACGTTTGGTGAGACCTGTTTTGGGCTGCTCTTCGTTGTCAAGGTCAGTGATCAGTCCCTTGGGCCCTTCCTCCTCGTCATCGCTCCAATCGCTGTCAGCATCCTGTACGAGCTCCTCATCGTCACTTTGCTCCTTGTCCTCGTCAGAGAATCCGTTCCACTCTCCGTCGTCGCCCTGTTTCCTCGCGCGCTTCGCCCTGTACTTGGCATCTCGTGCTGATCTTTGCTCGACGTAATCGCCGTACATGGAGTCGAGCTCTCGTTCGAGACGATCCTCTTCGTCGTCAGTCTCAGGCTCCTCTTCGATCTCTTCTGGCTGCTCGCGTTCAATGACTTGAGCCATCTTGCCCTTGGCAATCTTGTTGATAGCGCCGGCCTTGTCTACAGCCTTCAGGGCGAACATGGAATCCTCGCCTGTTGGTCCAGCCTGCTCCAAACCAATTTCGAAAGGTGTAGCCATGTTCATCTGTAAACGAGTAATCTCTTTTTGCTTGCGCTCGTTCTCAGCTCGGCGCTGCTTTTTCCTCGCCTTGGAGTCCTTCTCTTTCAATCGCTCCAGCTCCTCCTGGATCTGCATCTCCTCGTCCATCGACTCAATCTCGGCGACCTCGTCGCCTTCTTGGGCTTCTTTGGCCTTTTCCTCTTCGGCCTTTGTCTTCTTGGTCGCAAAACCAAAGACCTCGCGTACTCTTAGTCGCCAGCGAAGGAGGCGCTTGAAGTCAGCTCGTCCTAGTACCTTCAGGTCGGCACAACAGTCTCTGATCTCCTTTGTTGTTTCCGGTAACTTGTCGATGGTTGCGACAGCGATATCGCCGTTGGGCTTTTGTTCGAAGCTGAGTTTGTTCAGGCCACCCAGCATGGCGATAGGGTCAGTTGTCTGGATGAACTCAGATACAGGCGCTTCTTTGAACTGTGTCCAGTCTCCCTCCTCATAACCCTCACGCTTCCTCTTCTTCACTTCAGGCTTGAAGACCTTGGCTTCGTTGTTCGGCGTAGGGTCTGAGAGTTCGGCGAAGACACTGCGAGCGTCGAGGAACTTGGGGTCGAGATGCTTCGGGGCTTTGTAACCGCGGCAGACGACGAAGATTTCAGCGGAAACGTTTCGAGAGGAGGGCGGCTTGGTAGCTTCAACCTTGGTGAATAGTTGATTGAACACCCAGAGAAGTGAGTTGTAGTCCTTTGATCTGAAGATCTTGGTCACAAATGTTCCTCCTTCGACCAAGAATTCTGTAGCCAGTTTCATGGATTGTAAGACAAGCTCGGCCTGCGTAAAGGCATCCTGCACCCACGCGGTTCCGACGTTGGGCGCACCATCGTGGAGTACTGTGTCGCACTTGAGATGCTTAAGGTGCTGGCGTAGTGTCGCTCGGCACTTGTCTGTGGTGATATCGCTCTGGAAAGTGATGCATCGCGGGATGGGCTTGATTGGGGCGAGATCGACACCGACAATGAGGGAATGCGCGGGCATAACCTGGGGTCGTTAGTATGTAGGCGCATGGTGTTCAACACAGTGAAATACCTCTGAGGCGACTTGACACCATGACCCGGGCGCGGCGCAAAGATCAATCAAGACTTTGCTCTTCTCGAGGAAGTTGTACTTTTTGTTCAACTGGATCAACTTGAAGGCGGCACGCGCACGATAGCCCTTCTCCTTTGCGAGCTTGTACCATTTGTCGAGACGACCTTTTCCGTGCTGTCAAGGGTTAGTTACTATCGCACGTGTTATTCCAGTATGCGCGCACCTTCTTTTGAATCGCCATTGTTGCGGTTTGGCGTCGTGGTACTGCGGGCAAAAGTTCGCGCTACAAAATTTAGGAAGCCCGACAATATCGCTAGGCGGTGGCAGAATCCGCGCTATCGAGATACGCTAACCCAGGACTAGTGCACGGGATACATGGCCCATGACGCAGCCAGCCCCGACGCGCGCCTGGTCCACCTCGGGATGAAGGTATGCTGCCAGCTTCACATGTCTTTTCTATGCTGATACTCCCTCCAGAGGCCGTATCGCCTTTTTGCTTCCACCACTCTTCCTGCAGGAATGAACCCACACAAGAAATCCAAGCCAAACACCGAGGCTACCGCCGACGCACCCGACAAGGGCCCAGAAGTTCCACCTGATGCCAGCACTACCGGCACTACTCCCAGTGGTAGTGAAATCTTGCCAGGTGTGCCTTCAGGTACATCGATAGCTGATTCAATACCTTCAGTTGGCTCCACAACGCCAACGGCTTCTGGGACACAAACACCACGAGGCAAGAGGTGGCTTTCAGGCTCGGGCAGTTGGCGGTCGAAAGCGCCTGCCATAGTCAAGACTGCAAAGGAAAGCATCGGCGTTAGTGGGGGCGCGACAGGCGAGCTACCGGACGACGAAGCAAAGAAACCCAAGGACGAATCGCCCAAAAAGTTCCTCACCAAGCGAAAGTCGAGCAAGGGCGATGCCATACCCGCCTCCATCACCCAGGTCAATGTATCCTCGGACGGCCTCCTAGACGAACCTCCAAAACCGAACCCAAAGGACGTTGAAGAGACACCAGCCCCCCAAGTCAACGAACCGCCATTACCCCCCGAACCGCCTAAATCACAAGTAGATGCAGCTGCTAGCACATGGGGCTGGAGAAGTTGGTGGTCACGACCTGATGGGTATGCGGACCCAGGGAAGGCCAGAAGTGAGGCACACTCAAGTATTGAGGAGGCTTCCACTACGCCATTACCCGGGCCGACACCCTCAGAAGAACCAGATGCGCAAACAAAGGGTCTAGACGTGGGTGCCATTCCATCTATGGTTGATCAAGTGGCGGATACAGAGAACAAGGATGCGTCAACGGAGGCAGCGCCGCGTCCAGACACGGAGACGAAGGCTACGCCGTCCACAACTGCTAAAGTCCTGGCAAGAGCATCTGGTTCTTGGTTCTGGACATGGAGTAGTGCACAGAACGCGCAAGCGAACCCTCCTCCCGTCGATCCTCCAGCTCAAGTTAGCAACGCGCCGAAAGTTGATGTGGTGCCTGAGGCCCTACCAGAAGCACCCGTCGAGACAGAGACGCCTGCCCCACAAGAAACTCCCGCAACCGCAGACCCAGCTACGCCTACCGAAACTGCTCAGAAGAATACCACAGGGTCGTCAAAGACCTCCGCATGGGCGTTCTGGTATAGGGGCAAACCAGAGGACGAAAAGAAACCGGGCGAGTCTGGACCACAGAAGCATGTGGGCGAGGTGGCAGTGTTTGATACTCCTTCGCAATCAAACCCAGAAGCGGCGCAATTCAACGAGCAGGAGCAGTCCAAGTCAGATGCGGACACACCCAAAGAACCACAACAACCACCGAAAGATGAGCCAGCCTCCAAGAAATCCTTCGCTTCATTACGGGGGCGACCGAAGTCCAAGACTTCCGCGAAAAACACGCCAGCAGATACCCCCACGTCAAGCAAGACTGCCACGCCGACCAAAGCCTCACCAGTGCTCGAGCCTACAAGACCTGAGACAGCAGCTACTGCTAAACAAGCATCAAAACAGTTGGCAAAGGCTAAACAAGGACCGCCAAACCTCCTGCTGCCAGAATTTAGAACCACCTACCAAATGGTCCAGCAACCGAACTTCTGGAAGCAGATCCGTCAATACTTTCTCGGAGGTGAAGCTGCGACACCTCACCTGCACATCAATCCGGCACCACCAAGAATTAAAAAGGCTGTAGCAATTGGCGTACATGGGTTTTTTCCTGCGCCCATTATCCAAAAGGTGCTAGGGCAGCCGACAGGTACATCGATACGCTTTGCCAATGCCGCGGCTGCAGCGATCAAGGACTGGTCTGAAGCGCGAGGGTACAGTCCAGAGATCGAGCAGATAGCATTAGAAGGGGAGGGCTTTATTGCCGAGCGGGTAAACTCCCTATGGAAGCTCTTGTTGAACTGGATTGATCATCTGAAGCAAGCTGACTTCATCTTGGTCGCTTGTCACTCGCAGGGTGTTCCGGTAGCTATGATGCTTGTCGCGAAGCTCATACAATTCGGCTGTGTCAACGCGACGAGGATCGGAGTATGCGCTATGGCTGGCGTCAACATGGGTCCATTTATCGAGTACAAGACAAAGTACTTTGGTCCTACAGCTGCTGAATTGTTCGAGTTCTCGAATCCTAAGAGTCTGGTCAGCCAGATGTACCTCGCCGCTCTAGATGAAGTCCTCCGGTTCGGTGTGCGGATATTGTACGTTGGTAGCATCGACGACCAGCTTGTCTCTCTCGAGGTGAGCAGATTTCCCTCTCAACGTATCTCTTGCGTCTTACTAATACACACTAGTCGTCAACCTTCTCAACACTCTCGCATCCTTACATCTACCGCGCCGTCTTCGTCGATGGTCGCATTCATGCGCCGGACTTTCTCACCCATCTTGTTGGCTTCGCGCTGAAGCTGCGCAACTTGGGTCTTCCTGACCACGGCCTCATCCGCGAACTATCGCCCGCCCTAGCAGGTTCCTTGTATGGCGGTGAGGGTCACTCTCGCGTCTATGAAGACCCTGTTATCTACTCCCTCGCCGTTCAGCATGCTCTCGAAACAACATCTCTCCCGATCCCAACGACCAAAGAACGACCAAGCACCGCGGGCAGTTTTCAGGGCATCAACATTCCCATTATTGGCGAGAAGCTCGCGAACAACAGCAAAAAGGAAGATGTCTACAAGCTTCGGGTGAAGGACTATGAGCCATCTGCTACCACGACGAATCCGAACCCTTTCTTCCTACCATGGGCGATGAGGGGATTGCTAGAAGAAGACTTCGTCAAGAAAGAACTTGGAGACGAGGTCGAAGAGTTACTCGGCATGTTCGAGGCGTGGAAGCCAACTGGGAAACAGCTCAAGGATGTCAAGTTTAGACTCGAGGGGGTGAGGAGTAAGCTCTAAGCACTGGATATACAAGTGTATAGTATAACTGTATGGTTATGGGGGGCGTTAACTTGCATGGTTTGGCGTTCATAAGGCGCTTGATTTCTCTGGCGGGAAGATACCATACATTGAGAGTGTAGAACACATAGCGCATTGTCTTGATTGGATCGGTTCGCAAACGTACAGGTCATTTGATCATTGCTTCCATTCTCCGCTCGCAAACGCATAGTGATCGTTGTGGTAGCGGCCGTCGACCGGTGTGTGTCTACTGAACTTTCCCATACACTACTCAGCCCTCTTAGGAAACCTTGATTCCTCTTACTCGAACACGTTTTAATGGTGGTTGTTTAGTTGTCGTCGTAGAAGATCTCCTTGTACCGATGTGTAGCATCTACTACTGCATTTGCTGCATTGAAATCTGCTTTTACGTTATTATACAAGTTCTGCCACTCATGTTGTTGGTAAGGTAATGCAAGGGAAGAGAAAAGACGTACCGATGTTCGTCCCAAAGTCAGTAGCAGCTTGTACCTTGACGTGCAGATTCTGATCTACCTTGCCGATAATCTCCACCGCGTGGCCGACGGCGAGGTGTGAGTCCTGTTTCGTTCGAATTAACTCATGTTCTCGATTACGTTCCTCGACTCTTTTCCTCGAATGCGGGGATGGGATGAAACCGTGGATGGAAGTGCTTACCCTGTTCAAAATGACATCAACATTGCCCCCTGCATCGATGACCGCTGTCTCGCCACGCAACTGCGTGACCTTGCCCAGCATGCGCACGATGCGATGTTGGAAGTTTGCGAGGTGCGGGGCGAGGATGCGGGGTGTTTGTGGGTGGTCCATTGTGAGTGAGCTTCGTGTGAAGAACTTTTGTAGGAAGCCTCAGTTCGTTGGGGTGTAATGTAATGTCTTGAGGGTGTACTGAGTGGTTGCGTGTTGATGGCGTGGAGGTGGTCGTGTGTATAGTGGTTCAATGGTCGGGATGGGGAGGTGGAGATGAAGGAAGGATTGACGCGTCGCGTAGCGTTAGCGTGATGCGCTAACACGTGATGGCGCTTCATCTGATCATCTCTTCGGCTGGCGAAGATGAGACGAGACGAGACCTTCACCTTCCAACTTACCAGTCAGCGAACGCTACAAACCCTCAGATTCATTACAGCGTCAGCATGTTACGTCACCTAGTCACCTCTTCAATGTCATATGGTAAATGCCATCGTGCTTGGTAGCGCCGCCCATAGGGCATATAAATTCTTCTGTAATCGCCAAACATCTTCCTCTTCTCTCCAAACATGGCGGTGAGCTTGTGAGATCACTATCCAAAAAGGGATCAAGTTTCTTCATGTCTGGCTGTCCAAAATTGCAGAATCTTCACATCATGTTCGCAGTGTTTTGGGGTAGAGACTATACGTATATGAAGTCTGCTAGGATACGTTTTTCGAACGTGCCTGGGAAACCTTCAAGGCCACATATAGGGCAAAGGGGAAAGACATGATCTAGAAATGAGAACGTTTCGAGGTCATGATAGTCGTTTGGTCGAGTCTTTCGAGGCTGATTGACCATGAAGCACACTTTTGAATGACATCGATCGAAACCGTGCGACGACGATGCCATGAATCATACCAAAGCCTGAATAGCCCCGGTGTACTATTAGATCCTAGATAAAACCTGACGATACTCTGAATATATCCAGGCTTGCTGATGCTCACCACCATCACTGCCGACGACGAGGAACATGGCGACGTTGATGCTGGTTCGGCGACCGCATACAAACCTCGTAAAGAGCGTTTGCAAAATTTGAGGTTCAAAGTATAAGGATGATAGCAGCTTCACTGTACTATGTAAAATTCACAGGCTACATTGGGAAAAGTATAACGTTGGTTCACCCCTCAAGCTTCCTCAACAGCTCCCGCATCTTGGCCAACAAATCCGGTATTCTGAACGGCTTCCCAACAACATCATCCATACCAGCGTCTTTTGCGTCTTCCATCTGTCCTCCTCTAATATTTGCAGTGACCGCGATAATAGGAACATGCTTCGTCACCTCTTTCCGTTGCTCCATCTCTCGTATCTTCCTGCAACATGTCAGACCGTCCATCTCCGGCATCTCACAGTCCATGAGAATAATGTTGAGTGGTATCCCATCGGTGACGCAGAATCTTGTCTTGATGAGATGCTTTAGTGCCCAGACGCCGTTGTCGGTGGTACTGGTGATACAGCCTGCTTTTGTGAGTTGTTTCACTAGCACTTTCTGGTTCACCAGATTATCTTCGACGACAAGAACGTGCAGGCGATCATCTTTGGCTTCATCTTTCTTATCATTGGTGGACAGTGGCATGTACACATCGACAGGCTTATCATCGTTCCCTGCTGTAGTCGCGGCAGAAATCTGGGACGCGGTTGCGGCAATTATCTTGCGTGAAGATACCGCATGTTCGGCTTCGAGGGCATGTTTGACTGAATCACGCGACGGAGTAGGTTTCTGAGCTATCATACGTTTGCACTTCAAGTAGAATCCGAAGGTACTGCCGACACCGGCTTTAGACGAGACGCCGATTTGGCCGCCGTGAAGTTCAGCAAGCTGGCGCGAAATGAAGAGCCCGAGGCCACTGCCGCCGTGTTGAATGTGCATTCGTGGAGACTGGATGTTGAATATAACGTTAGTACATGGCTCATATGCAGTTCCTGCATTGGGCTTACCTACAGCTCGGGCAAACTTCTCGAACAACAGTGATATCTGCTGAGGAGAAAGCCCGCAACCTGTGTCTTGGACCTGGAAGCGAATGTAGACAAACGAGCCTGAGCCCCAACCCTCACCGTTTCCAAACTCAGTTACGATATGCCTCGGTGGGACAACTAAAGGTGAGTATCTGAGATGAGAGCTTCTTTCACATGTATTTCTCATGTGAAGATTACATACACTGAAATCCTTCTGGTATGTCAAAGTCGGGCGACTCCGCGTGAGCACATACGTGGACCGTGATTGAGCGAATCTGGGAGTCCATGGTGAACTTGATAGCATTGGTTATAAGATTGACGATGATTTGAAGGAGTCGACTGGGGTCAAGAATCACCCAGTCAATATCGAGGTCTCGAATACTGGGATGTGGAACAAATCTAAAATCGATGCTCTTGGCCTGAGCTTCAGGACGAAACCTAACAGTGGAACATTAGTGTGCTCGTCCAATATATGTCCGAATTCGAGGCGACTAACATCGCCATAGATCTCTGTACAACAATGATTGGCTGCGCGGGTATTGGGGTAATGCGGAGAAGGTTTGAGTCCAGTTTCGAGACAGTGAGAATGTCGTCGACGATTGACTTCTGATGCTGAATACAAAGAGCAATGTTGTCCGCAGCTTCGATAAAGTCTTTTGCCATCTTCCGATCGCTACTGCACGAGAACTTGTGTTGTGCTAGAGTTTCGCGGATGTCATCAGCGCAGATAAGAATTGCGGAAAGTGGGTCTATAGATTTGGATATGAAGTCAGTGTATGTCTCACATCCAGTCCATGTAGGGTTGCTACTTCTCATCTCGTGTGACGTGATATCGATAAATTCATTCTGCTGACGCTTCGCTTGTTCCGCTTCGTATAGTCTTCGTTCTTGCAATCCCTGCGCCCACTTCAGATGCGATATATCTGTGATCGAGCCCATAATACTGATAAGCTTTCCATCAGGGCTTATCTCAGGCTGACTAGCTGCCAAGACCCAATACTCGATTTGTGCGCCGTCAATATCTCGGGGTTGGCATTCAGAGTTTGCAAACTGTAACTCACGGCTTGCTGGCTTGTGATGAGTTATCATATCTAGATATTGACACACGGCATTAGCGTAAAACAAGACGTTAGTATATAGATGTCGCGTACATTCCCACAATTCTTTTGCGGCCTCTTGACTGTCGCCTACCATCATGTCGATGGACCAGCGCAGTTTATCGCCTGTGGATGATACACCTGTCATCTCGTAGTACTTGTCGTTCGCCTCTAACAGAAGTCCATCTGGATCGAATAGGAACATGCCCCTGGGGGATAGCTCAGTCATCCGACGCATCCGTCCGGTCTGAAGCTGAAGCTGCCAAGACATTTGCTCTCTTTGTAGGGTGGCCATCGCTGCGACCTCTTTACTCCGCCGCACCTCGTCTTCGAAGAGAAGTACTGACGCTAGCGATGTAGCGATCTGTCTGTTGAGCATGGCCATAAAAGATCTATACTCTTGGTCATAGGCTCTTCGTGGATTGATGCCTAACAGCAACAAAGCGCATACATTGTCTGCGTTAGTTGGCTGTAAAGGTAAGACCATAGCCTCTCTGCATGGATGTTTGTAGCCGCGCCACTCGATAATGTCTAATAACGATTGAGGAAGCGTACCGTCTTTAATGCTTAACATCCTGGGCTCCAAGCTCTGTGTAGCTTTTCGAAAGGCTGGTGTCAAAAGGCTGTCGCCATCTCTGAAGTTGAACCTGTCGGGTGAGACAGCATGTCCTCTCGGCACGCCGACGGATCCTTCGAAGACGCAGGACTTTATGGACGTTGGTGTAGCGTCCGAATACGAAAAGGCATTCTCAATGTCCTCCGATTCAGTGACGGTGTATAAGAGCGTAAACGGTATGTCGTATTCGTTATGATCCAGGCCATCCAGAACTCTCATCCAAAATTCCTCTGCGGAAGAAGTAGGGCCGATGTTAGTGTTTCTCTTACATGTACACATCCATATTATACACTTACTGACAGTGCGGGTAGCGTTTATGCACACCCCAAGATAGCGTAACAGCCCCATTCTTCTTGCACTGATGGACTCAACCGTGGTGTCAAATGCGTTGAGGTAGATTGTGTTCCATGTTTCAGTTAGCGGGCCTTGTACTCTCGTCTCAGCCAACCCAGCTTCACCATGACGCTATCACGAGGCATCGCGACATTACCTACACCCCAAGACGCGCTCAGTACCACCAAAGACTGGAACCTATCATGATATGAGTGTTACTCGACCATAAGAGCAACCCCCATAACAACGATACTTACGAATGACCAGGTAAAGAACGACTCTTCCATATAACCGTAACGCATGATGGGCAACGGCTGGTTATGATTGAGCTGGGCGTGACCTGTTCGCGCACATTCACGAATTACCGGGCCAACTGCATGCCACATCTCACCAAAAGGGCCCGAGAAACCGGTTCCCATTAAAGCCGGATGTTTTTCGCCTGTCACATCGTCTCTGTAAGCCTCGTTGTAGAGCATGGTCAGATCTTCGCCCCAGAATACAGAAGATGGATGAGGGTTGCGCATGACCAGGCAGATAATCTCTCGAAACTGGATGGACCATCTGTTCATAGCTCCTAATGGCGTCTTTGCCCAGTCGATTCTCCTTACGAACTGGAGATGATCCGAGAGAACACCTCTTGGGTGCGGTGCCGTCCAATCAGACACGGAAGCGTTGGGTGTAGATAGGGTTATCGCCGAGATACTCGAAGAGCTATTCTTGTCACGGTCCTTTCCGACAGATACAACGGGAAACTCGGGTTGCTGCACGTCTTTGATAATCTCCCGGGTTGGTATTGCTTCTGCAGAAGCTAAAGCTTTTGCTTCATCGGCAGTCAGATCGTTATGTCCTTCTTTTTCGAGTCGTGGTGCTGATGCACATAACGGATCTCCTTCGGGAACATCTTCGTTTTTGAAGATTGTGTGCGCGCTGATCAGCCGCCAGTTGGGACGAAGCGAAATACCCAACCATAGCAACTTCTCGAACTGTATGGTGATTGGGAAAAGGTCTCGAGAGTCGTTGAATCTGCTATCAATCGTGGCCCATACTCGAAATTCATCATGTGAGGCTCCAACGCCGGCAGAATCGTGATCGCCTGGTGAGGTACCCATTATCTTTTCCAACAGCTGCTCTCGCTCTTTCAGTGCCGCATTGCAGAAAATGGGCTGTATTGGAACTCGGCTTCCCTTTGCGTAATCGTCCATGTTGAGCAAGAACGTAGGTCGATCGTCCAGATCTAACAGTTGCGGAAGAGTACGTGTGTTGAGTATATCAAGAGCGGCACCTTGCCGTTGGGCCTGGCGTAGGGCGGAAGGAGCTGTAGGCAGCGGTAGCTGGAAGAACGAGCTGCCCATTAGTTCTTGGTTTGAAGGATGTCTCAGCCCTGCGCGACGATAAGGCAAGGTACATTAGGAATAGAGTAGGGGTATATATGTAAAGGTAGGGTGTCGTGCTGGCCGTGAATGAATGTAACGAAGTTGTGCGTAAGCTGTGTGGAAGACGCTTTTAGCACATGCTGGTAGCGACGAATCGTACGGACGTCGCTACTAAAACCGAAACGGCCAGGTTAAGATTGGAAGGCACATCATAGATAAGGCGATCATGGAGGTTATGATATCTATACTCTATTGTGACGGGTAGCTTGAGATTATTAGTACCCTACACGAGTTCATTCGCGTGTCGTTTCGCAACTTCTCCAAGCCATCAAGCTTCGTCAGGAAGTATCATCGCCATCGATCCAGACAGTATCAAGCAACATGTTGAGTGCGTGTGCGCGACAGGAGGACACTAGGCGAGGATGGTATCGTCCGGATGGGATGAGGTTGGCATGGGTGTCTCGCGCGGGACTGGCGATTGTGAATCACGTTGGTTGAGTGTGACGTCACGCGTTTGCAGCACCGCCTAGATTGCCAATTTGGCTCCTATACTATCAGTTGTCAAAACGTTGTGCACTTTGATCCAACTTGAGGTTTCTGACAAGATCAATGACGATTGGGTAACTTCTGTTTTCATACTCTCATCATGAATAGGTGCAAATCAACTCCAAACATTTAAGCATATACCACTCTCCTAGGATGTCTCGCGTCTTGACGACGTTGATGTAAATGCGTAGGAGCGCCGAGTAAGTCCGTTCCCTTGCATTGTTCCGCGGCGCAACTAGGCAAATGTGTCCCAAAAGAACGCGTGAGAGTCGACGTGGAAGATCGGGTAGATCGAAATCCGGAACTTTGGTGTGTTTACTGCTCAGCAAGGTAGCGATGACGCAGTCTGGCACAATGAGCTTACAGGCGTCGACATAGCCTTTGCTGGCAAGAAGTCACAGATAACGACACCTGGGACCTTTAGATTACGCCGTAGTGTAGGTCGATTCCCGGGACGCCAGCATGTACCCGCTCAATACCACCGGTGGTTAAGACCGGAAGATTCTGCGGGATGGAAAAGCGCAAACAGTGTCCAGAGCTTCGGGTGTTGGATCGTGCTTCGGCATGTGCATCGGGGAAGCTACCCTAGGTACTGTGATATCCTCAACACCAGAACTTTCCTCTCTGAGTATACTCTCTGTGTCGATTGAAGATGATAGGGTTTCATGGCGTGCAGAACACATCGCCGACATGACGAAGCTGATGCGAGGCTGACAGTTCGGTTGTTTTGGCAAATCTCGGCGTAATTGCGTCCCAATACTCTAGTCCGCTTCTGGACTGCAACCCTATTTGCTTCCCATAGATTTTCTGCCCAAGAGTTCTCCATGCACTCGTTGTCACAACAATGCCTCTTCCTCACAGAATCTACAGTACGATATATCTTCAGCAATATGTGAAAAGATCATTTGCATGAAAAAAAAAGGACTGAAGAGCACGTTTTCCATTAGTTAATCCGAATCCGAAATCATCGGTAAGCGAATTAGCGACATCAGTGGCGCGCAGCTGCCGCATTCGATAGTCTCTGGATCTCAATTTAGTAAAGCAGCTTCGGACCTGCTCAGGGAAGACACCATGATCAGAGACGGTTCTGCACGCTAACACTGCACGTAGCACCAGATCTACAGGACCATGCAGATCGACAAGTACCAAGATGCGCTTCTGCGACTGTCCCATCTGTTCGGCGACGCTAAGGAGGGGACAAGGAGAATAATTCGTGGTAGACTGGAATGCACAGTAAGGATAGCATGACGATCTTGAGCCCCACGACTCGTGCTGTGAGAGGGGTTAAAGACAAGAGACATGTATGCTTATGCTGGTTGACAGGGGCCCTGCAACTTTTCATCCTTTCGGTTGTACTTTCTGCTGGTACTAAGGTTAAGAAACAGCTAATATGCGTCTCTCCGTCCCATCGCTAGCTCTTTTGAGCATTCTCCCAACGTCGCTCGCTGCACCCGCACCCGCACCCGCCCCGGTGGTGGCAGGAATTGCGCCAGTCGCAACACCAGCACCCTCTACTAAGCAGGTCCAAAGTCTGGATGAAAGACAACTGCTGAATAACCTTCTTCCTGGTCTACTTCCCGGCGTAGTCTCTCTCGTTGACAATCTCCTTGGCGATGTGAACAAAGCGGTTGCACAGGGTGATCCCACAAAGGTGTTCAACATCCTCTCGCAGCTTCAACCTACTACACGACCAAAAAACATCGAAGCCGCGGTCGCAAGGCAATCCAAAATCTGGGCGAGCCCAACCACGCGAACAGACTTTTTTGCTGCGGTTGCAACTCAAATAGCTGGCGGTCTGGTGCTTGATGAAACCCTAAATGCCGCTTTGAACGGTGGTCTGCCAGTTGGCGAAAACCGCGTCAACAACAACAACCCACCTACCACTGGTATCTACCCCAAGAAGGATGCTGCTGATGCACCATACACGCTCTCCGAGTCCGCACTACGCCAAGCTATCTTTATCCCGCCCAGCTTCACCTACGGCCAGAAACGTCCTGTGATCTTCGTGCCAGGAACTGGTGCTTATGGAGGCACGAACTTCGCCAACAATCTTAGGAAGCTATTGACAGGCAAGAGTTATGCCGACCCAGTATGGCTCAACATTCCCGGCGCCATGCTCGGCGACGCGCAAACGAATGCCGAATACATTGCCTACGCCATAAACTACATCAGCGCCGTCTCGCGCACCAACGAGCAAAACATTGCTGTTATCTCCTGGTCTCAAGGTGGTCTGGACACACAATGGGTACTGAAGTACTGGCCTTCAACCCGCAAGGTCGTCAAGGACTTCCTTCCTGTCTCTCCGGATTTCAAAGGCACTGTTCTAGCCAACGCCCTGTGCTTGACAACAAACAGCAACCAAGCCCTTGGTCCCTGTGACCCCTCCGTTATCCAGCAAGAGGCTACTTCGGATTTCGTTAGGGCTTTGAGGAGTGGTGGCGGTGACAGCGCATACGTTCCCACCACAACCTTTTACTCTGGTCTCTTCGACGAAATCGTCGAGCCTCAACAAGGTACCGGCGCCTCCGCCTTCATCAACGATGCGCGTAACGTTGGTGTCTCCAACAATGAAGTACAACGCGTTTGTGTTGGGCAGCTAGGCGGCTCCTTCTACGGTCATGCCGGTGTTCTGTTCAATCCTCTGACTTACGCATTGATTGTTGATGCGCTTCAGAATGACGGACCAGGTAGCTTGGAGCGCATTAACGTCAAGAGCGTTTGCAACAGCTACGCCGCCCCTGGCCTTGATCTCGATGATGTTTTGGCTACCAGCGGCCTGATCCCTGTGGCTGGCGTATTGTTGTTAGCATACCAGCAGAAGTCACTGACGGAGCCTAAGTTGAGGGCTTATGCCAGGTAGTCGGCATGCACAGATAGTCATGACAATATCGTAATCAGTAATGTATTTTGTAATTCGATCCATCGATTCGTTCAGCTACTCTTTGCATGTAAGTCTCTGAACACGTGCTTTTCTCCATCGTTCGTCAGTGTCAGAGCCAACCTTATTTATGTGACAACTACACCTCATAGAAAAATTGTTCAAAGCACCCCTAGACTCCAATAATCAGGTAACAGGCATCGTGAAATACAGCAAACCAAGGTATGAGCCAGTGTAGTGCATGAAGATCAACCAGTCCAGCTCATGTGCCTTTTACGACCTCACCTCATTTCTCTTTTCGCTTGGGAGCCAGTGTAGGAACCATGAAAACCCTATGAGACTGCGGAGAACGAAACGAACTCGTGATACTCGAGTACTCTGGGTGAGACGCGAAGCCTCCAACTCCTGGCGTGTTCGTGTATGCACTCTGACGAGTCCGATAGATCGGGGCCGGAACGATTATCGCTTGTTGGTATGATGGCTTGATCATGTTCTCTGCATTTCTCTTGCTCTTATCCATTCTGTATTCACCTGCCGCAACTGCCTTCGCTGCGGCCGCCTGTTCTGCAGCTGACTTGATGAGGATCTTCTGTACCTGTGTGATCGCGTTGGGGTTCATGGCCTTCTCAGCTCTTTCTAGTTCCAAAAGTTTCGCTATCTTTTCCTCTCGCGAGAGTTTCTTGAAAGCTGCCATGGCTGTTACGCGTTGGGCTGGGTCGGAGAAGTCTGGTAGGCCTGCAGGCGTGAGTGTCTTGAAGGTAGATTTGGCAATGCCGGCGGGCCTGGTGAAGGCCGGGAGACCAGGACTGATCATGTCGCGACGTGTGGACGTAGACCCAGGCTGCGCGGGCATAGGTCGAGATTCTATGGGGACAGGGTGTTGCTGGATATTCTGTATCGGAGGGTGGAACGGAGATCCTGGTGACTGAAGATAACCCGGTTGCGGGAGAAGATTCTGGGTGGGCTGAACCGTCTCGTACATCTGTGCTGTGAAGATTGGCGCTCGCGGCGGATGCTGAGTCGGCATAGCAGTTTGCTGCAGTCCTAGATGCCGTGCGTACCTGGAAGCATGTTGCTGTTGAAAAGTGGAATTCGGTACGTTTATAGCATCATCCTGATGATATCCTTGTGGAACACCCTGAGAGCCGAGAACTAGATGTTGTGTTCCATGTTCCTGCTGCCGTTTGGGTAACTGTGCCAGTTTTATAGCAATGTATGCCTCAATCTCTTGGTTCTGATATTGATAGTATCGCAACTCGGAAAGGGTTAGAGTCCCTGAGAGCCCAGTACCGGTGAACTGACCCGGCGATGCATAGAGTAAACGAGGGTCAATGAGGTGATACACTGATGGCAGTTTTGTTGGTATCCCCAAAGTTAGAGGTGCTGGCTGGTGAGCAGCGGCTGGGACGAAATAACTTGGTACTGCTGATCGCTTCTGGTCCTGCATTGTTGGAGTAATTGTAAGCCTTACAAGTGGCTAAGCCATTCAGCTTGGCGACAGCAACTGTTACGAGGTCTGTAAGTGGTGTGTAGAGTGTGGCGAGGACCGGAGCAAATAGGAACCGAAGTACATGATATAAGGTGCTGGCTTGACCACGACTCCGTGAGTGCTTAAGTGAAAGTGCATTGAACTCTGTAGCATGCTGATTTCTCGAGGTGAATGATAACTATTGGAATAGGTATAGTGAGCAAGAAAGATGACGAATACTCCACGATTCACCTTTTATACGTGATAAACGTGTTGTATTCATCCAGTGCTCTATCTCTTGGGTTGATCATAAGGCTTAGTATTGTGTGATTTCTTCCCAATTATAATTCACGTCATCTGACGGATACTCCGATAACATTGCCTCCATAGCTTCGTGAACGGCCGCTTTCCGGTACTGGCGTAACAAAAGAGCAGTCGCGTCCTCAGGTACGCGTGAGTGACGCGAAGAGCTGTTACCTAAACGATGACGTAGGTAATCACCATCATGATTCCCTCCATTCTGTCTCGCCGCCATCAACCGCACACCTCACCCATCTCACATGCGCACCTATTGATGCATTCATTCTGGCTTCTAGCATACTGTAGGTTTTTGCTAGGGGTCACTGACGCCACAATCATGTCACGTCTCTGCACGCATTCGCCTTGATTGAAGACTTTCTACCGAAAGCCATTACTGGTACACCAACCTGAACTAAGGTTATCCCCTAGCCAATACTGAAGCGCGAAGATTTTGTCCAAACCGCTTTGTTCGTGTTGGCTTTTGTCGTGCATCCTCTCGTGCTGACATTTCAGCCCCCAAGGCGTAGATACGCAGCAGTACGGCGCAGCGCTTTCATGGACGCCCAACTATGCGCACATAAGCATCTTCTTCCATGCATACTGGAGATCGATCGAACCGTTCGACAAGAACCGGGCCGCTTGGGTATTTATCATGGCTTGGTCACACGGCGCTGTAAGACTGCGGCGTAAGCGGCGGTGCACACTCGTCTTACATCTACTTGATAGCTTCCAGAGACCATTGAATGCATCAAGAACTTAGTTATTCGCTCAGGGCTGTCTCGACTTGGAAAAACCCACAAGTCCATGTAAGCGACAAAGAATGTCACGTTTCATTACTACTTCCCACAACAGCAGAAGATGGCGCAGCTCTCGCCCAGCGACCGGCAACCCCAGCCTTGGCTCTCCATGGTCAGGCTCGGGGATCATCCATCGAATTGGAAGTACTGCAACATGGTGGCGTTGAGAGACAATGGATGACAGCGTGCGGCGAAGTCGATATTTACATTTTATCCAGCCAGTGCGATAAAGAAGCAGTACTACATTGGCAGTGCCGTATCTCTTGGCCATAAGAGGAGGACGAAGTCGGAAGTGATTTGATATTCGGCTGCAGCTTATGTTGGGCTATTCAGGTCTTCAATGGGATCATGTAGTACCAAAACGGGAAGATCGACTGCTTCCTTTGGTGCCTGCAGCGAAGCGGTAAGGGCGTCAAGTGTAGCAAACGGATCGCGTACTAAAGAGCCAGTTCGTCGCTGCCGAGTTGGCTGTTCTTAGTCTTCACTATATCAATACCACACTTTCCTTCACTATCGACCGGCAACTCCAACTCTTTTAACTCTTCTGCCCTGAACCGCACTTTCGAAAGATCCTTCACTTCTTTGTAAAAACGCCGATCCCCTTATCCCCTCAACATCAAGGCAAAATGAAGTTCGCTCTCCTCGTCAGCACGGTGGTCTATACTGCCATCGTTCTTGCCGCTCCTGGAGCTGTATGGCTTCCCCAGCCCCGTTGCCAAACGCTCGACTAACACGATATCACCAGGTCTCCCTCAACCGTTCTTTCAAGACCATCTCGATGCGCGATGACAACAATGTCGAGGGTACTGTGCAGATTGCCTGTGTTGAGTGTCCGTGTGCAGTAAGTCTTCCTTCGTTCGCATTTCTCTCTCAGCGAAGGTGGATCAATGATCCTGGGTATGGAAAAGTAGTTCCGGGGCTGATGACTTTACTAGGGCTTCACTGGCGACTGTCAATGCGTCAACAATGGTTGTTGTTGTGATATGACCAATCCCGCACAGCCGCCTGCAGGCGGCTGGTAGACGGCTTAAATCACAGTGAGGACGCTCAAGACACGGGAGCTGAAGCTCTCGAATGCCTCTTTCCGTCCATGAATAATGTTTTTCGGCTGGCGTTTTCGGCTACTGGACTATGTGGGGAAGCCGCATGTACTGGATGCTTCAAACTCATTCTTGCCAATGACATTGAGATAAATCCTGAGGTGTCGGGATCAGTGACGAGCCTTGAAGAGTTTATCTTATACCTTTAGACTAGCTCAATGTACCTCTCTTCTCAAAAGGCTCCTCCATCACCTCAGTCAACCCGTCACTTTCCTCTTCCTTCCTTCCTTCCTTCCTTCCTTCCTTCCTTTCTTCATCATTTCGTCTATGCCTTAGGTAGCATCCCTATCCCCATCCTTATGCTCAGTCTTGACTTTAGTATCATCGACCTACTTCTTTGTATTCTTCTCCGCTCTCTCACCTGTTTCTCTACTCGGACCTGCCTCGCCATTCTCATTGCTATCTACCTCGTCCTCCATAGTTCTCAATACCATAAGCACGGCAATCGTAAAATCCCCTCCCTGATCCGCCAGGATCTCGCAGAACTCAGCATCACTCCCTTCGCTCACCTGCTCCATCGCTGTCACGCCTTCATCCAAGTCTCGATTCCTCATCCACAATGCCTCATAATAAGTCTGTGTAAATGCCTTATTATCATTTGCTCGATCCATTGCTTGAATTAGCAAGTCTGTTTTCTCGATAGCATTGGACCACGTTCCGTCATCAAATTCGGTCTGCGTGATTGCAGAGCCATATGCGACCTTCATCGTCGGGATCAGAGAGATTGTGATCCACGCAGGTGTGATACTTGGAGTGCGAAGCCTGGGGAGAACTTGCGCGAGCTTGGGAGGGATGGAATTTGTAAAAGAGGTCGCATCTGAATGCGAAGAGACTGCGTGCTCGTAAAACCGAGTTCTGGGTGATTTGTTCATGGTTATGTTACGCAAGACTGAGATCGGAGCCGGTTGTCGCGAAACGATGAGGATGACGTACCTATCTTTGAAAATAACAGCTTGCTACTCTACAAAAACGGTGGTCACGCGTGGCTACGGGATTTGGTCGTAGAATCAAATCACACTTGCTGGACGACGGAAGACTGCCCGATGAGATTGCTGATGGGTACTGTCATCTTAATCACGTCATGACCGCGAACAAAGTGGACTTCCAATATAGTACTATCTTCTTGATTGTGCCTTGTACGCTGTCCCTACCTTGTTGTGTATTGAAAAATACTGCTGCACGATTCTAGTGTCTTCCAACCACTCATCGACACACAGGTTCATCCCTTCACTCTTATACCCAAGATACCAGCAAGAACGCGCCCAGCGTCGGTTCGGCCAGATTGTATAACGAGACAGTCCGCCTAGGCATGATGAGGCCACAAGCAGTTCCTTCTGCAGCAGCCGAATTTAACACACCTGCAGGCGCCGAAGAAGCTCTTGAAGAATGCTTGTCAGCTATGCGCACTATTATTCGCACTGCTATCATGCCTTCAGAGTGCCGGCGGTTGCGGGGTCGTCGATGTCGATGCTGCTGTCGGTCTCGATGAAGGAGCACTTGAGGGATACCTTTGAAGGGTTGCAATAAGTACGAAAGTACAGACACAATAATGGCGCATGAAGTTTCGACTTACAGCTCCAGGAGTTGCCATGATGACGGTTCCAAAAAAGAAAGCGGCAACGAAGGGAGTGACCCTCATGCTTGCAACTTTGTTATTGGTTGATGATTGAGGTTGCTTGTCTGGGCTCGATAAACTAGTTGTAGTGATTGTAGCGATTGTTTTATAGAAGCGTAAGTAAAGCAGAGAAGTTACGTAATCACGGTTTGAGGATATCTGTACTATATGCGATTGCGGCCCCTCCAGCGCAAAAATTCTGAAGAGCGAGTTTGAGCATGGAATTTTGCAGTTTCCTCGAGATCATCCCAGTACTCCGCTTGCTAGGCGAAAGATTAATGTGCTCATGGGGTGATGGAGGGCAGTGGACCGTTGGTGGTACGCTACCTGTGTATTATCAACATATTTGATTGCAAGCATCAAGTTTGAAGCACAGTGACATTCTCCTGAATAAACGCCTTATGCAGTTGGTATTTTCTGGTTTTCTTTGGTTGCGTATGCACCCGGCTGGGGACCAACTTTGAGGACACTGACCGGGACGCTTCATCGGTCACTGTGGCTTCCAAGCTCTTAGTTATAAAACTGTTTGCTTTTAAGTGCTGTAGTTGAATAATTGCTTCTTGATCTGAGAATCAAATACTTTGAGTATGCCGTCCAATTCGAAGCGTATGAGACTGATGAAAGACAACCAAGACGACGGTGCAGCCGACTCATACCAAGATCATCTGAATGGTAGTCAAAAGCCAGAAGGGATGTAATGAGAGATCACATTAACTACACTGTACGAATGGGATGACATGAAGAATGATGTAACATGATAAGAATAAGACGGTTGAGATGCTGTCTTCAAGACCGGACGGATCAAGCAGATGCTGAGATGAATACGTTCAATTGACGATGTCTCGCATTTTTACAGGAAGATGCACATCGCTAGTACCAGTGTGGAAGTCACAAACACCCCTGTGAAAGTAGAACGACCTACGCTTCAAGTACATGGTTCGTGCTTGTCGGCGTATCCAGGTCTGGGAAATGCAGTGAGTCGTGGCAGGCTGCGGCGAGAAGATTTTTGAGGACGAGGACGGTGATTTGCGATAGTCTGCAAACAAGCTCTGTGTGCAAGTTAACCACACCTTCAATAAGAGTCGACTTAGCTGCGACGTCGAATCTAGCAGAAGGCTAAGAGGGTTGTAGTTCGCAACTGCCAACGCGCGCCGCGTGCACGGATCCAGCCCTGGAGCCCCATGTCGTCACCAAAATATCGTCTATCATCGCATCCTCTGTTCACTCAGGCTTGATGGACTCGCTGAGCAACGCGCCTCGCGAACAAACTCAAAGGTCGTCTGACTGCAGCATTGGAAGAATAGCGCTCCAGAGCCCCACACCTGGCAGCTTCACGTCGACGTCATCATGCCGAAACCGCGACGCGCAACTTGATGCTCAACAACGTGTCGGAGACGGCCGGGAATACGTAGCGCCTTTGACATGAGGTTGCGATAGATCTTACGACTAACCCGTAACCTTTACTGACATCGTATGCCTCCCTGGTACAAATCGCCAACAGTCGTGCAAGCGCTGCCGGCAACCCATCGATTACCTAACCGCATCTCTCGAGCCTCGCGCATTAGTTGCAGCCAGTATAGCACAAATATGTCGTCTGATACAAAGCAACAAAAGAATGCCAAATTTGGGCATCTGCCTCTGTCCACATCTGGACCACAGGAGACCACACTGACTGTACGACATGCACGCTCGCTGAAGCAGCCACTAGACTAACCCATTTTCCAGGGCAATGCACTCCTACGAACCCCATACTTCAACAAGGGTTCAGCCTTTACGAAGGAAGAGCGCGATACCTTTAAGCTTCATGGCCATCTCCCCACCAACATCCAGACCCTCGACGAGCAGGTCAAGCGCGCATACGCCCAGTACACGTCCCGACCAAACGACCTTGCGAAGAACACCTTCATGACGAGCCTGAAGGAGCAGAATGAGGTGTTGTACTATAGAGTATGCCACGGTTGAAGGTGTTGGTCATGACATGGCTGACGGCTGCGCAGCTCATCCTCGATCACCTCAAGGAAATGTTCTCTGTTATTTACACTCCCACCGAAGGCGAAGCGATAGCCGACTACTCCAAGATCTTCCGACGGCCTGAGGGTTGCTTCCTCAACATCGACGATGCAGACCGCGTAGAGGACGATATAAAACAATGGGGCAATCCCGAAGATATCGACCTGATAGTCGTGAGCGACGGACAGCAGATACTGGGCATTGGCGATCAGGGCGTAGGAGCCATCCTGATCAGCGTAGCCAAGCTCGTCATATACACGCTATGCGCTGGCATACATCCTTCGCGGACGCTGCCTGTAGTCCTTGATTGTGGCACCGATGTGAGTAGGGAAACCCTGACTCAACGGCGCGTTCTGACCATCCTAGAACAAAGATCTCATCAACGACGAGCTATACCTGGGCATGCGAAAAGAGCGGGTGTATGGCGACAAATACGATGACTTCGTCGAGAAGTTCGTAAGGGCTGCAAAGAAGCATTACCCTAAAGCATACATCCACTTCGAGGATTTTGGTCTAAACAACGCACGAAGGATCCTAGATAAGTACACACCTGAGATTGCATGTTTTAACGACGACGTACAAGGGACCGGCTGTGTAACGCTCGCAGCCATCATGGCAGCTTTTAAAGTGAGCGGAACTAAATGGGAAGAAGCTCGGTTTGTTATGTTTGGTTCGGGATCAGCGGGTACAGGAATTGCAGACCAGATTCAAGATGCTATCACCCAAAACACTGGAAAGTCAAAAGAAGAAGCTGGACGCCAGATTTGGTATGCTACTCTACACCTCGAGCCAGCTAGCTCACGCTAACTTCAATCCAGGTGCGTTGATAAGCCTGGTCTCCTCTTACAGGGCAAGAAAGATCAGCTTACTCCCGCTCAACTTCCCTATGCACGAGACGACAAGGAGTGGGAAGGCAAAGAGCACGGCGACCTGCTGTCTGTCGTCAAAGAAGTGAAGCCACACGTGCTCATTGGTACCTCGACCAAGCCTGGATCCTTCTCGGAAGACGTCGTTCGAGAAATGGCAAAACATGTCGAACGCCCGGTCATCTTTCCACTATCAAACCCAACCAAGCTCCACGAAGCCAAGCCGCAAGACCTGTATGACTGGACCGATGGCAAAGCGCTGGTTGCGACAGGTTCGCCGTTCCCGCCGGTCAAGCACAATGGCAAGGAGTACGATATCTGTGAGTTTGTTGATACTACCTCGATGATCGTATTACTGACGACTACAAGCTGAATGCAACAACTCGGTAACATTCCCTGGCATCGGCCTCGGTGCAGTCCTCTCTCGAACCCGCCTTATGACACCCGCCCTCCTTGTTGCAGCTGTTCAAGCTCTCGCCTCGGCAGCTCCCGTCCTCAACAACCGTGGAGCCGGTCTCCTTCCAGATGTCGAAGACGTACGCGAGATTAGCGTTCAAATAGCGAGGAGCGTAATCAAGAAGGCTGTAGAGGATGATTTGGCCCAAGAGAAGGACATACCGAGCGACGATGCAGAGTTGGAAGAGTGGATCAGAGAGCAGATGTGGGAAGCAGAATACCGTCCGCTGAAATTGGTTGAGCACAGCAACGCAACTGCGCATGCAAGGGGAGAAGCAGGCACGGCGAGTGGGCAGAGGGAGGCAAAGCATTAAAGTTGACAGCACTGTGACGCATACAGCTCCGGTCTGGTCGTCCATAACTATATACCTCATTCTACCTCGCCTTCTTCATCTTCCTTTCACTCAATCATGACATCGAAGCACGTACTGTACTTGTTTTCGCCACCGAAACTCCATACCCAGATCATCATATGTCGTCCCTTCTCCATACATTCTGGCCTGACAAGGAGCGTTAGTATAAGACTCATATATGAGCCCCTTCCTCTCTTTCCAACACGACACCAAAGAAGGAAGACTTACATATGTAGCGTCTGCCAATTTCCCTTGTCGTGAAGGTCTCCCGGACCCCACCCCGGCGCTGTCACTTTCGTATCCGACGGGTATGCAAAACTCTCCTCACTGAACCCATTTCTTTGCACAAGGTTCTCCTCGGTCAATTCTTTCACATCTACAATCTCTTTCTCTTTGCTGCCAGCCCAGTACACGGAGACATTTCCTGGGTTACCCATTTCGACACCGCCAAAGTTACCACGACTATGCCCGTTGCCGCCGAACATGAGGGTTATGGAAGACCCAGCTGCGGCGGTCGTCATGGGGGCGGGTGCAGTGTGCGTGGGCGGTTTGTGGCCGGGTTCCTGAGGGATAGTCGGGGTCAAGTATTGCAGGGGGCTTCGTTGACTAGGGTGGCAGGCGTGCGTATCGGATCTTGAGGCTGCGGCAGGGAGGTCCCATAGATCTGTAGGTGGTCAGTGGGAATACAGCGGATATTAGGAATGGGAACATACGCACACTCAAGCCCTTCATCCTGCCAATTGCCCGGATTCTGCTTTCCGCGCGGCCAGCCGTGGCAGAGGTTCGCGAACCACGGTCCGCTGTGTGCGAGTCAGTTATACCGTTTTATTTTATTCATGCATGTGGTCGTTTGGAGAGTACACACAGCGGGTCAACCTCTCTAGGCGGTGTTTCAGCCGCTGCTGCTGCCATGTCGGCTTTTATACCGGTGTTGTCGTGCTTGGTGCAGTGCAACCATGAGTGTGCTAATGCTGTCGTAAACAGTGTTGTAGTTGTAGCTAGACTAATCAGCTTCATGTCTTTCGTTTCTTGAAGGGATGGAATAGCCTGGCTGTGTTGAAATTGTTGGAAGAAAGAAGACTCGATACCATGTAGATGCTAGGCTCATCTTTTAGTAATCAAGTTCAGCTTCACAATGAGCGCTCAGTGAACTAGAGGCTGTGAATTGTGAATATGGTATCGATAAGAATATCCGAATATCATGTCCTCAATATACCTTTGTTCGAACCAATCTCCTTCAAATGCCATGTTGATAATCACACATTCCACCCATTGACGCCAAACTCCTAGTGACAGAAAAGCCCTTCATGTACTTTCAGGAAATCTTCCTCATATCTTCTTGCCTAACTTCCCTTAAACAAACCTCAGCCTTGGTTAAAACTGCACTGTGTTCAGGTCCTCATGTTCCAACCTTGTATCATGCATGGTCCCAGTGACCATCGCTGTCTGTCTGCCTAACCATATCGAAACCTGACTGAAGAGCACTACCCACTTCGAAACAGCCCACTTCACATCATACGAAGTAATCCCGCTCATGCACGCAGCCCAGTCCCAATAGAAGCGCAAAACGTTCGTGATGTAGGCATCTACGCTCATTTCCTCTCCTGTCACAAATTCGTATGTGCGTCCTATGACAAATATGATAATCCGAGATGTGATTTGGTAAAACATGGTTCGAAGAATAAACATAGTCCAGTTTTCGAAAACTCGCGGTATTATGTCTTCGAAAGCTTCGCGAAACGTACGTTGGGGTTGGTAAGTTGATTCGCAAAATGTGGTATGTAATCGTTGTCTCTTGTGTCAGAAGCCTATTGCGTCCGTGGCGCGGGGAAACCATGTTGAGGGCGAGAAGAATCTCAACCCGGGGAAGGTGACGGCGACTGGGTGCAAGATTCCTGAGGTCTTGTATTGATCGACAGGCTCACCGGGAACTACTGAAACAATGGAGGATCGGCGGTAGAGAGCTTCGGAATCGTTATTGTACGTAATATCATCAGATTTTGGCTTTGCTGGTACGACCAGCATATGGATGGAAGGGATTGCGAAGGTGAAGGCGAGGAGGAAGGGTAGGCGAACGGCGACCTCAAAGAGGAACATGTACAAAACTGCGGCTACTATAACATGCAGCTGGTATGTTGTGAGCAAAGAACATATGGGAGTGCTTGTTACAACGGGTATGTCTTACTGAATACGATTTCACGAACCGGAGCAGGGTTTGTTGACTATCTTCGAATGTATTCTCCAGCTGCGACATCGAGCTTGCAGATTCGCCCTCATTCCATCTACTCCGGTTGGTACTTGCAGTGATCCGGCCCCAGGAATCGTCTTTCTCGTAGTACCAAGGCTGATCCAAGAATGTGAGGTCCTGGGAACCATTGATGCTTTCCAGTTTTCGCGGGCTTCGATGCACCTGACTGCGCATATAGTGATTTGATGCCACCGACATGGTTCCTAGGTGATCACGGCGTTCGTGTTACTGACTTTCAAATTGAAAAAATTCGTTCAAGTATGAAGCCTAAGTGTGGTTGTGATTGTGATGTTTGAAGTGGAGCAACAAGTGAACAAAGAATGACATTTAGAGGTCTCCGCATATAGCACGTAGCACATGACAATGCGAGGTTGTGACAATAGAATAAAGACAGGTTCTTTGAGATTTTGAGAAGCTGAAATTCGAGTTTGGTACCAATAGCGAGAGCAAGTGGAGGCGTATACATAATATGTACCCTATGTTGGCAATTCTCATATGGTGTTGGTAAAGAACACGATTAAGAGTTTCGGAAAAGGAAGACGCGCCCTGCTTAGACTGGGGGTGTATAGAGGAGAGCGGATGCGAAGGTACTGAGAGTGGTGAGAATTCTATAGTATTACTGGTATCGTTCGCCACCGTTTGCTGTGCCGTGTTGCAATATACACAGTCATCGCGATTAAACGCTTTCCCGCGCCTTAGTCTCCCAAATCAGAAACTGTACATTATGTTCGTGATCCTCGTCGTTATAGTAGTGACCACTAATAGCATGATCCAACAACTCCCTCACGAAATGATCGTCTTGTCGTCTTATGAATTTACAGAACTCCTCGTACTCTCTTCCCAGTGCAAACTGGATAAAGCATTCGTTCATGACGAAATGAGTGGCCTGCGCAATGTTCTCAATGTCTTTCATAGATGGGTTGACGACAGAAGATAAGAACGACGAAATTGCTGCAGCCATCGCGGAGCCATCCAGGGATGCTAGGTAGACAAAAACTGTGGTTATGCCACGCTCCCCGAACGATGATCGTATCCGGTCTTCGCGGTCTTGACTGGTTCGGATTTCGGCCAGTACAATGAGAGTCCTGTTCCCCAGGCGTTCAGCATCGATGTGATATGCGCTTTTCTTGTTGCACTGCGGACCGTCCCGTGTCTTTGCATTCATCCCCGCCACATGGAAGTCGATTTTGAGTACCGGAGTCGCATTATTCGCGATCAGATGCCGATTGAGGTAAGCGACGAAGTGATTCCGCAGCCTATGGGTGGCCGTGGGGACCTTTTCGGATAAGACGGCAACTGCGAAGTCGTCTGTAGGGTTGGAAATGGTGGGAATGAAGGCTCGAGCTAGGTCCGTGCCCAAGCGATGCGCTAGTCGGTCGTCGCCAAATAAGTAGCGTTGGTATTCTTTGAGGGAAAATGGAAATGCCACCTCGTCGCTGCCGACGATGTTGTGCAGTGAGAAGACATCCTGGACCATTGAGACTCGAGAGGCCTTCGGACCCTAGAAGTTGAAATTTCGTGGGTCAAAGAGAGTGCGCGAGCATTTGAGGTCCGCTTGCCGTATAGCTAGCGGCGACCACCGTCTGGATTTCGACCTGCCAAGAACGGGGCTGTGTAAATGTCACTCTTCTCGAAACCGCCCGTCGTTCACTTAAATCCCGCACAACACGTCATTTACCAATTCCTCCGGATGTTCCTGGGTTCATGGTAGGTTCGAGGCACGTGTTGATGCCCGGGGCACTACAGATCTTCGCTGCCGACTGAAGCCTCCAGAGGCAAACGCCGCATCATGCCGCGTGTCGCTTTTGCCTTTTCACATGTCGCCGGTTGGAACTCGTCTGCAGCGTCAAGGGCGCTTTCTACGCTATGGAACGGAAGCGAAAGCGACAGTCATCAAGGAGCGGTGTCTCCGAGCGCTAGACGACGATGAGATCTCAGGAAGCGTCGTCGGAACAAGCACCGGCAAATCGAACAGGCTTTTAAGTGTGGATGAGCGTTAGAAAGAAGGGGACAGAAGACGACGGACATAATATCTGGCACAGTATTGCATGTTGTACATATGCCATGGCCAATCACCACTCAATAAGCAAGTGCGCTAAAGCTTATTCCAAGGACACGATGCTTGGCGAACACTCAACGTGTATGCTGCTCAGCCTTACAGACGGAGCGTATCCCACGCATCGATTGCGAACTGGTAATAGCTCTAGTTTCTTCAACTACAAACAGCACCATTACTGAAAAGAGTAACCTGTCCCTCTGAGAGACTTCAGGCAACTCCCTTCACCTCCGTCCGCCGGTCGCGTGCTGTAGTCCCCCTAGATTCGAGGGATATAAGCCCTCGGAACTACCAGACGAAGAGATTTCGAACGGCCTCATGTAGGCTTTTCTACCAACGTGGGGGCATCAACGTGACCTTAGAGGCATCCCCTGTGATTCGACTAGGATCGGACTTTGGGTTCACAGGGTCTATTTTGTCAAAAGACATATCGAACCACTTTCGGGAAGCAATGGGCGCCATGTTGCCCAACTTGTCACTGCCGAAGCTGGGGTAATCTGTGCGAGAGGTGGCCCACAGGCGGTAGAGGAGAGCCCCACCAAGTGGGTTCTGGAGCGCAATAGCGAGAACTTGTAGAGTCAAGCACGATGTGCGACAACAGGACTATGTCATGATACCTAATCCCAGAGACGATGATATCGGATGGAGAACGACTGTTGCGAGTGCTCAGGTGAAGTAGTACGCTTCTAGCTTCCTGAATCGCGTGTGGGTCGCATACGACACTAAAGTGTAGGCGAGCGTGAGCACAATGGTAGTCCCACACCCCTCTTTGCAGATGAGTACCTATGAGTTTGATCAGATCGAGATAAACTAGACCTGATAATTGCATGCAGCCGCCGTCATCGAAAGCCAACATGCACGTCTCAACATCCGATGTGCCCTTCCAATGTGTGGCGATCTATTTGCTATTGATGATTACTTGAGATCTTTGTGGAGCGACGTGCGCTTGCTTGCAGTACGAATAGTAGCTCTCAGTCATGCCGGTAAACGAGTCACGGGTTAGGACTGTTGTGACGCGCTCGAGAATACGGAGGACGACAGTACATATATATAATCATTGTAGAGGGCTGGCGACCAGGATCTACCGGAAGGAAATGTGAAGAGTGGCAATGGCCGCTATTACTGCGGGCTTGTCAGCGATCTATAAGTATCATGACCTCTGACGGAAACATGTGCGTGCGAATAGTACGCTACCCTCGATCCACATGCTATGAACTGCTGTTTCTACAGAACGGCGCATAGAAAACAGTTGGAAAGAACCCTATCGTACTTAACGGCGATGCTATGGGTACAGTACTCGGACGCTGGCAGTACTATCAGACGTTGGTGACGTCACGCCACCAAGAGCCTTAATTTCGCTTGGTTATAACGACATGTGTATTGAATAAAGGCTGCGGACATCTAGGGTACCTAAATTGTGGTACACGAACCATGAGACAAAGGTTGTACTGCTGAAACAGCCATAAGTGGTCACGCTACGAAGTATGCTGGGACATGGCTGAGCGGAACCGCGGTGTGCCAAGCACCGGAACCGGCCTGCTCACGGCTTCCAGCATTTGAAGTCACACGCGTACACGCTACTCATACAATACGCGTCATTATCTTCACCACTACGCATCTCGTTCGAGATCGACCCTGTCCGTGTTGTCCACGATCAATCATGGATTTTCCTATCTAAATTCGCAACCATTGCCACCCTCACAATATCTATAGTTCATCTACTCAATAGCGACGCGAACCGAAATGGAGCCCTTCGTTGTTTGCGCAACGATCAAGTCGTGGTCATACGAGATGTCCTCCTTCACGGTATCGACGAGTTTCGCCCTCGGAAGAACGTTGAGAGCCATGTACGCGCCCATGATGTACAGCTCACAGTACGCCAACTGCTCACCAATGCAGCTGCGGCTTCCTTTTCCAAACGCGATCAGTTTCTTCTGTAGCGCATAGTTTTGCGATCCGTCCTCCAACAACCAACGTTCGGGAAGGAACTCATCAGGGTCAGGGAAAAGCTCTCGGTTCCAATGATTGATCATGGATGTCATGCCAATGGGTGTGCCTCTCGGAACAACCCAGTCAGATTTGCCGTCCGCCGATACGTAGTGCAAGTCTTCCTCGCGTGCGATCCTGGCCGACCGGTGGGATACACCGGGCATCATACGCAGACACTCTTGCAGAATAGCCCAGAAGTACGGCACCTTCTCTAATTCGATCCATTTGAGCGTCTGCGTGTTGATACCAGCGGCAGAGAGATCAGACATGAGTCTCTTGTAGATTTCTGGCTTTGCCAATGTCCAGTACGTGAACACAGTCAGTATAGCCTACGGTTACTGTCAGCCCTAAAAATCAAGGTTGGGGTTTACCTGTTACTTACCGCAGTAGTTTCGGTACCCGCAAGCAAAAAGTTGAAACCTTCACCGTTGTAGCGGTACTTCTCCTCCTCGGACATGGTCTTGTCCTTGCCCATGACTTCAGCGAAAACACGTCCGTTCTCTGGGTTCTTCAGAGCCTGGCCAATATACTCGGGAATCGTCACATTCATGACTCGCATGACAGCCTTGATGTCTTCACCAAGATAATCGGCCATGAACGGTAAGACCTGCGCCATCTTCCGGCCCAAGGCATTGTGGCGCATCATATACGCGCTCTTGAAGAATGACTTGACCCAGGTTGCGAAGTTTGGTTCCCAGCCCTCCTGCGCGACGAAGCCCATGGGCTCACCGAATGCGTACTGCGAAATGACGTCGGCAGTATAGCAGTTGAACGCTTCTTTAACATCGAAAGCGCTCTTTCCAGCAGAAGCGAGCATCTTGTTTGCCGTCATCATGGCAAACTCGTGTACCTCGCCCTCCAGCTTCAACATCTGTTGGCGCGAGAAGAACTTGCTCAGTGGCGCCTTGCGCGCGCGGTGCAGGTCATGGTCCACTGTCGAAAATCCAGTTACTGAAACAGGTCCGGCTCCACCAGTGTTCAATTGATGCTGCCACTTATCGCGTACACGACCGGGGCCAGCATATATCTCGTCCGTGAAGGCAGGATCGGAGCAGTGTAGTTCGTCTGGATTTATGCGTACCATGGGACCGTATTGCTCATGCATGCGGGCGATGACTTTTCCATAGCGTCCTCCGAGCCACCAGTCGTAGTAAGCTTCGTAGAGGTAGGACGCCGCTGCGATCTTTGGGCCTGGAAATCGGGCGAGTGGATGGAAGGGCGATATGTTGTAAATTGCAATAGTGACTCTATAGCCTATCCAGAGCACAACAAGCCATACCACGATGGCGAAGGGGAAGACTGACTTGGAGCCTTGGGAAAGGCCCGAATGATCGTCCATGTTGGGAGTATTGAGCAGTTCCAGGACGACGCACAACTACACAAGGGAGAACGTAATTGCATGGCATCGTTTCAGCGAGGGCAATGGTATATACCAATAGAGTGTCTCTAGTGGACTGATACCTCAACAGGGCTGATCCTTTCTCTTTCTGATTGCTGGCTTTTGCAGTACATCCGCACTTGGCGATAAAACGGGCGTCGAGTGTCGAATGCCGAAAATGCCCCGTATCGACCCCACTGGGTTTTCATTTAGGAGTGGCATCATTGGTGCCCTAAGACCCTGGAGGATCATAGCGCCACGTGGAAAGGGAGTTAACATGCTAAAGTGGAGATGCACGCCCTCTGCGCGAGTCTTCGCGGGGATGATGTCCTTTTGAGTTAAGCAAATTTGCGACTCAAAACTCTTCGCTATCAGCCCCATGGTCTTATGTCGAAAACGACTTCGTCGATAAGCACGCAACAATGGTGCGCCTTGCTGATAAGAGATCAGGGAACCTGAGGCAGGGCTGTCCGCAAGATCGGAAAATTTGCATATTTATTTTAGAAGACATACTCGCCAGGCCTGCCACTACTGGCAGAATGCGATTCGAGTCAAGAACGAACCTGGCCTAACACTGTGGAGACGAACATGAGGTCTTCATCCGTCATGCTGCCGATGACCCTCGAGACGGAGAGTTGCGGCTGTCATACGGCAAGCGGATGAGGCGCCCGGCCGGCAGTGACCCTTGGCGCTGTGGGTCACATCCTGGGCTAGACCGTTTCACCGCCGGCAGCACATTACCGTGGGTTACTATTCCCTTTCAAGCCTCATGCTTGTATTTCCGTTAAGGCTTAAGCTGCATGAGTGCGCGAGAGTTATGGCGCTTCATTACGATCGTCGTCTCGCGTAGTTTGAAATATCTGCATGCGTATCCGGGGGAACTCGAACACATATCCGAAAGGGATAGTTCAGGTGTTCGGCCAACGTTTGTGGTAATGATCCTTTCAGGCCTCCACTATTTGACGTTGACAGACAGGGGACTGATTTCGGTCCGCTAGCCTAGGCCCGCTAGCCCAACGGGTATACGATCATTGACGAAAGTCAAGAGGAGTCTTGAGGGAAGACAGGAGAGCATGGCATGGATCAGGTTTTATGAACACTCTGTCGCCCCGACTCATCACCCCGTCGTCTCTTCTTCGTTCCTTCGTTAACACCAGTTCTCACGGCGGGATCCACTCTTTTAGTACTTTGTTCATTACTTTGCATCTCTGTGGCGTCGACTGCGTGTGTGGCTTGCAGAGAGCAAGATGGGCGAGATGGTGGAAACGATCAACATACCGATAGCCAGGAGCGGCCGTGACTCGATGATAGCGATGTCGTGTCTATGGCTGCTCTTTGCAACAACTGTTTTCTTTCGGTTTCGCGGTCGCATGCGGGGACCTGGATTAGCACTGGACGATATCTTCGCAGGCGTTGCGCTGGTACGTAGTGCACTATCTTCATATTGTAATATCTGAGCTCACACACGTTGAAGGTCTTATCGACAAGTACCATCGGTCTGAACGCTGTGGGTAAGACTTGGTTCTCCACCGAAGTTATGAACATGGAGTTGACATGCAGACAGTCTTCACGATCGGAGTTGGCTATGACCTTGACCCCAACAATGCTGAGATGTTTCCCAAGCGTAAGTCTGTTCTAGACGCTGTCGCACCCTGAGGAGGTGGACCAACTGACTAATTCGACAGTGATGAACAACCTGCCTGTCATCATGCAGATAACGTTTGCCTTCACTTTGATCTACATCTGGTGTCTCGCAGCTCTCAAGCTCTCACAACTTGCCCTATATCACCGCGTTTTCCAACTCCAACTGCGTCTCCCGGTCTACATCGTCGGCGGCATAGTCGTCGCCTGGGCTATTGTCTTCAACTTCGTCTTCATATTCCTCTGCGACCCTATCTCTCAACAATGGACCATCAAACGAGTTGGACACTGCATGGATCAGATATTGCTGCTCAAGTGTCTGATCTTGTCAAACATGGTCACCGACCTCATGATTGTGGTAATTCCGATTCGCTGCGTATGGCAGTTGCAAATGCGAAAGACGGAAAAGTTTGCTGTGTTGGCATGTTTCGGCTTGGGTCTGGCCTGTGTTTTCATCAGTATCGCACGATTCATCCTCATCTACACCATTGGTGAGTCTTTTCTACATGCATAGCCAAGCCGGGCAAGATGGCTGACATTGTGCAGATCTCATCGGCAACCTCACGGGTACATCAGGTACAACCTTTATGCTTTGCACCGTCGAGCTCATGCTCGCTGGTCTCTGCATCAACATTCCCATGTTGCGCCCATTCTACCTCCAGTGGCGCCAAAAGTATAAGAGCTCATCAATGAGCAACAGCGGTCGACTCAGTGCGATCAAGAGGTCGAACACTGGTGGAATGGGATCGCAGCAAGCGAGACCGGGACACTATACCCAGTGGATGGAGTTGGTGAGTCTAATGCGACGAGCACAAGACGGTTGACAAAGCTAATTGAATTGAACGCAGCATGACAAAGATCAGACAAACATCACCGTTACGGGCGACGACGCAAGTTCCGAACGAAAACTCACCTCAGAACCACTGCCGTTCGATGCCATCCAGGTTTCCAAAGACTTTAAGATCACCCGAACTTGAACCACTAGACGCGCTAGTATCGCCATACCTCAGATCAGAATAGGTACTTAGGACTTGGACGCGTCTCAAAGAAGAGACGGAGCCGCTCTTGTAAGACTTGGTTCGATGCTCAGTTATGAGCCATGATAATCGCCCGTCATGGGTTCGGAGGCCACACCCCCTACCTCAGGCTGCTCTTCGCTGTCAGGTACTGCAGAGAACGATACTTAGTGCCTGTGAGCCCCCAGCGAGACAATCACGAGCACTTCCAGCAGGAGATAAGGCGAATACACTTGTACGATGATATGAAGGCTAGCAATGCAAAAGATGAGAACGTAAAAATGTGAACACTGCCTGTACTGATACCCAGGCAGCAAATTGGAATGTGTATATAATGCTGTGAAACACACAGTCGATACCTCACGCTCATCATGCGGGCCCTTTCGCGGCAATGCACGTTGGCAGATCGTTCATCCGAAGTTTTGACCGACAGGACCCATCATGGTTCGCGCGTGAAGACCACAGGATCGTCACGTTCACGCGGCCCACGATGATGCGCGGTCAACCGAAAAATCCCTTAGGTCAATCTCCCGGCCCTCACCCTCCGCAAAAACACCGATAATCGGTCCTACGAAATCTTTATCACTAAGGTCCATAGTGGATACTTTTCCTATCTCTTTAAATTCTCTACTTTCTGTGGCATATGATAGCGTGTAATCCATCTCTGAATACTCGATCACGAGTTGCAGAGTTTGGAATGCATCCTTTAGTTCAACGTGCTCGTGGTTGTCGATACCCTTTGCTTTATTTAAGACGTGAAGTCTGACAGTGGAAGAGGACGAGTCAGAACACGTAGTGTATGACAAGGAGAGGAAGCGGTGTTCGTCTTTGTATACTGCTAACCCTGCAGTAATTGTCTTCGAGTTGAGCGTGGGAGGTAGAAGGGTGACGCTGCTTCTTCCTTTCAATTGCCGCTGACGTTTACCAACAAACGACGGCGATGCATGTGCAGATGTTAAATCGTCCAGTGAAGCCGTGAGCGTAATTTGCCGTTCTGCCATCTTGTAGTGAGATAGCACAGGATCGTGGATGTATAGGAAGTCAACTCCAGGTGCGGCGGTGAGTCTTTTTGACGAATTCGGTACAACAGCCAGGTTTTCGATTTGCATTTTCGCGCGATCGAATGTGAGCCAGCCATCATCACTCCATGTACCTTTCACAAGGAATGTTTCGCGTCCAAGTCCGTATAGGTCGGGAGCGCCCATCCTGATCCCCAAACAAACACCCCACCATTGCCCTTCTTTGTCTTCGAATGCCTCGCAGTGGCCCGTACACTGCACATACTCTTCGGTACCTGCAGCGCTCAATATCGGGTTCTTGGGTGATGCCTCCCACGGGCCTTCAAGACTATGGCTCCGCGCCATTGTGACGCTATGTCCTTCATGTGTTCCTCCCTCCGCAATCATCAAGTAGTAGAACCCGTTTTGGAAATATACATGCGGACCTTCAGGATAGATGCCACCGGTACCATGCCAGAGTTCCTTTTCCTCGCTTAGCTTCTTGCCTGTATTGACGTCGATTTCAAAAAGTGTAATTCTAGTTTCCGGACCTGGAGATTTTGAACCACAAAGATATGCTTTTCCGGTATTAGGGTCGAAGAAAAGACTTGGATCGATTCCGTAGAAGTCGAAATAAACGGGGTCACTCCATTTGCTTGCGTGGATGTCTGTAGTGAAGATGATGAAGTTCTGCAGGGAGCTCTCTTTGCCGTCTTTCCCGTGATTTACTACATTTGTGCAGACAATGTAGAAGGTGCCGTTGTGGTACCTTATCGTTGGTGCGTATAGACCACCTGTAGCGTAGAGGTGATCATTGTTGCCAAGGTCGTGGATCAAAGTAGAGGACTTGGAGAAGTTGAGTTGTTCAGGCCTGTTGATGGCGTTGCCGATTTGATGCCAGTGGATGAGATCCTGCGATGTATAGATTGGGAGGCCGGGGAAGAGATGGAACGTCGAGTTGACGAGGAAGTATGTGCCATCGACGAGGATAAGCGAAGGGTCTGGAGCGAACCCTCCAACGATGGGGTTAATAGTCGGACTGCTATTCATGTTGATGGTGGCGCTATGATCAGAAATCTGAACCAAGATAACTCTCCAGGAAGATGTATCGTAGACTACTCTGGGTGCGTTTTTGATAGTCACAGGGTTGGTACACTGAATAAATGCCCACCGGGTAAATGAGAACAGTGCGTGGGAGATTCTTGGCCTTGCTGCACTGACTTTTTCAGTACCATCTGACGCCTCGGTTCAGGGACGCATATCACAATCCTCTGAACACGGAAGTTCATCGACGATGGCAGCAGTAGCTACACATGTGCGTTACCAGACAGTTCCTCCTTTATATAGATCATTCTATCGTGTACCGAATTCCCCGGTACAATCGCCTTGCTTGAGGGCTCATTTCCACCTAGTGAACGTGATCGACATGTCGCAGTGAAAGGGTCCAAGTACCCGGATGGATTGGCAGCCCCAGCACATACACCAGTGTATTGCAAGGTCTGCTGAGTCCCGAATCCGTGGTGTCTAGACACGCTCCTTGGTAACATTGGAAGCTGCGCAAGTCACTAAGGAACGAAGCTCGGGTATTGGGCTATCATCTGATACACCTAGGTAATGGTCCAACCACAACACTACCCACTAACGGAAACAGGCGTAGCGACTACAAAAATCTCCACATTCCGAGCGTTGGCAATGAGACACCGGTAATAGAAGCGGCAATACTCACGTTCATCACCACCAACTTCAGAGTACAGGCCTGATAAGGTTCATTCTTTAGCCGGTTCAACCCCATGGGGTTGCTGCACGATTAGTTGACTTCCCCGCAATCGACCAAGGGCTTAGTCGCATGCCTCCGGACTGGTTCGACCCTGCCTTTCTGATACAATGCCTAGGGCTATCAAGACCGCAGCGCCTTGGTGGCGGAAGGAAGAAGAGTAAAATACGAGAGACGAGTGCTTGACTGCGGGACGAGGCCAGGCAAATGTGCGCATTCAACCTTCTTGGCTTCTTTCCGAGGGTTTGTTCTGGCTACCGAAATGTGCGTGGTAGTACGGGACGGATGCCAATAGCCAGGATTGTATGCCTCAAGGACGCTTTGTGTGGCACGGTGTTGAGAATATATAGATACGAGTAATCCATGCATCTCCAGCGTCCTCTCCGCAGGGGCAGCTCTATCGTCTTTCTTCACGATAGCAACATCCACTTTCTACAATGGCAATTTCTTTCCGTCCACCCAAGACCACCCAGAAGGTTGTACCTATCAAACCGCCGAAAGGGCACTTCTTCTTCGCGGGTCGTGCGTTCCCAAGGGTGCCTTGGTGGAAGCGAGCCAACCTGCGCAGACTATACATATACATTGTCATCCTCATCCTAACGAACACCGCTAATGGCTTCGATGGATCAATGATGAACGGCCTTCAGTCGTTGACTTACTGGCAGGACTACTTTGGAGAACCCCGTGGTGCCATGCTCGGTTTCTTCAACTCATCCATGTCCCTCGGCTCACTCATCGGTCTCTTCTTCACTCCTTATCTCATTGACTGGAAGGGCAGAAAGATCGGTGTGGCGATTGGATGTGTCATCATGTTGTTGGCTGTCGCACTACAAACTGGAGCGCAGAACATTGGCATGTTCATTGCTGCTAGGCTAGTCTTGGGTTTCGGAGACACTATCGTCCTTGGATCGGCGCCGTTGTTGATCGCTGAGATTGCTCATCCACAAGATCGTGCTGTACTGGTGACTCTTTCTGGTGCCTCCTATCACTCCGGCGCATTCATCGCATCCTGGGTCACATATGGAACACTCCAGATGAAGGTATGTTGGCACTTACTCCTTCCACATTCCGCCGTCTTCTCCAAGTAAACATGTTATCCTAATCTTTCGTAGAGCGACTGGTCTTGGCGACTTCCCTCCCTCCTACAATCAATCTGCTCCCTTGTAATCCTCGGATTCATCTTCTTCATGCCCGAATCTCCGCGTTGGCTATGCAACAAAGACCGCCATGAAGAAGCCCTCGCCGTTTTCTCCCGCTGGCATGGCGAAGGAAATGAAAACGATGAGTTTGTCCAGCTTGAATATGCCGAAGTACACGCCGCTATTGCGCTCGACAAAGAGCAAGACCGAACCAACTGGTCAGACTTCCTGAAGACCAAAGGCAACCGTAAGAGGATCATCATCATAACTGCGATTGGTTTCTTCAGCCAATGGAGTGGTAACGGACTTATCTCTTACTACCTCAAGTACGTTATGGACAACGTTGGCTTGACCGATCCGCAGACGCAACTTGGCATCAACGGTGGTATGAAGACGTTGGCCTTGTGCGAGAACTTCCTTTTCGCCTTCTTAGTTGACAAGCTTGGTCGACGTCCGATTTATCTGTAAGTGTCCCTGTACAAACTGCACGTGAGACACACACTGACTTCATACACCTACATTTAGCATTTCCACCATCGGGACTTTTGTCATGTTCAACATCTTCACCATCATTTCCGCCAGATATGACATCGCGCCACGGGCCCCTCTTGGAAAAGGATTTATCGTTAGCATTGTAAGTTTGCGTGCCATTCTTCTAAAACACAAGTGGCTATACTGACTTTGACATCCAGTTCTTCTACGGCATCTTTTACGATATCAAGTCTGGTATCATGGCCGGCTATACCACTGAAATCTTGCCGTATGGTCTGCGTGCCAAGGGGTTCACGTGGCTCAACTTCTGCGTCACAGCAGCTCTCTTCTTCAACCAGTTCGTCAATGGTATTGCGCTGGATGCACTCGCATGGAAGTACTACATTTGCTACTGCGTCTTCCTTGCTTTCGAAATCGGCGTCATTTACTTCTGCATTGTGGAAACAAGGTACACGCCCATGGAGGAGATCGCCAAGTTCTTCGACGGTGAGGATGCTGTCGATGTTGGCGAAGCCGCCTTGATGGACGTCAAGGAGAAGGGGGTTTCTGGCGGAGAGAAGGATGTATCGGTGTCGCATATTGAGGTCACGAAGTAGGAAGAACGCAACAATTGGTGTTTGGTATATGACGTCAAATAGTCCATATGTATATATATGAACATGACTTATCATTCCGCTGGAAAGTAACTGCATTGAACCGTCGCTTCCAATGCCTGACTAGTTCCACCAATTGCGATGATCCGGATACTGCCGTTCACAGAGACAGCTTGCATGATGGTCGCATCTGCAAAAGCAAACGTACGTGCACGAAGCCATTGTTGTGATGCGGAAATAGGAGTGTTCAAGTACAGCCGATTGGCCGCTGAGGGGACTTCGGCTGATGACAAGGCGGCCGGGACGCCTTGTCCAACGTGCCAACTTCGCGACATCACGACACATCCCTGGAAAGCCTTGACCGCATCATGCTCAGCAGAGGATACAGCTTCCAACGCGCAATTCAGCGTGTAAGAAGGCCAGTCGCATCCTACACAACGCCATGAGCATTTTTACCAAGCATCCAAGCCGAGAAGCTTGCTTTCCGCCACCGTCAACGGTGCCGCAAGTGCCGATCACCGTATCTCCTGCTTCTTCAAGCATCGTCATTGCGCTAGCACAGGCGCACTACTTTATCCACCTTCCCTAAACATGGTCGTTCTCGCGTCTATGATATGAATTGACAGGGTAGTTATCACCGTCGTCATAACTCGGCGTCCCTGCGTGTTGGGGTAAATATATAGGCGCGTGCTGCCTCTTGTGCAGACGTAGCTAGCGACTACGCATTGTTCCATCGGTATCATGCGCTTCTCAATTGCTGTCGCAGCGGTCCTGGGTAGCCTTCAGGCTGCTTCTGCACTAAAGCTCTCGCCGAGAAATGCCGTTGAGAGGGAAGAGCAGGTAGGTACTCGTTCTTTCTGCTCGTGGCATGAACGCTGCCATAGTGTGTTTCTCTACGTTGTGTTTCCTTGAGCTCTGCTAGCTTTGCTCGCTCTGCCACAAGGTGCACGAGAAGCGCCAAAAGTCTGACGGAACCTTCTCGGTCGACTACAGGTGTGAAGCATCAACATGAGACAACCCCTCAACCCATGAGCCGGCGGTGAGCAAATGAATCTGACAAGCGATTAGGTGCACGCTGCACAGACGCGACGCAGCCTCGCCAAACGCGAAGACACTGACCCTACGCTGCTGTACCCTGAGTACAACATCTCAGTGCCCGTCGACTTTTACCACAATGAGACACGTTACGAGCCTCACAGCAATGACTCCTTCAACTTGAGGTACTGGTTTGACGACACATATTACAAGCCTGGCGGACCGGTCTTTGTTCTTCTTGGTGGAGAGACTGACGGAGAGGGTCGCCTCACGTTCCTCCAAAAGGGAATTGTTCACCAGGTCATCAAGGCTACCAATGGTCTTGGTGTCATTCTTGAGCATCGTTACTATGGAAAATCCTTCCCAGTGCCCGATTTGACGACTAAGAACATGCGGTTCTTGTCGACTGAGCAGGCGCTTGCTGATGTTGACTACTTTGCGCGAAACGTGCAATTCGAGGGCATTGATGCGGATTTAACTGCTCCCAGTACCCCATGGGTTGTTTACGGTGGTTCATACGCTGGAGCGCAGGCTGCATTCTTGCGAGTTGTGTACCCGGAGACTTTCTGGGGCGCTATCTCCTCTTCCGGTGTGACTGTCGCAATTTACGACTACTGGCAGTACTTCGAGCCCGCCAGGCTGTACGGGCCCCCCGATTGCATGAAGAACACGCAGCTTCTAATCGATGTGGTTGATGGTATTCTTATCCGCCAGAACGACACCTCCAAGGTTCAGGCACTCAAAGATGTCTTTGGTATGGGCGATGTTACAGACAACCGTGACTTCGCTGGCCAGATTACTGGTGTATACGGTCTTCAGAGCACCAACTGGGACCCTGAGGAGAACTCGCCTTCCTGGTTCAACTACTGCCAAAACATCACAGCAGATGAGCCCACAGGCGAGAACCTTCGCCCGGCTGTTGCTGAACTCGTCTCAGCAGCTGGCTACACCAACGATACCGTCGTGCAGAACATCACACTCAACGCTATTGCTTGGCTCAACAGCACTGCGCTCGCTGGATGGCGCCGCTCGAACAGGACTCAGGATTCATACTTCACCACACTCAATGCCACTGCTCTCCAACAGTACACTTCCCTTGAAGATTACGGCGCAACGAGCTGGAGCTACCAGGTCTGCACCGAGTGGGGATACATCCAAACCGGAAACACACCGGCTGACATCATGCCCCTCATCTCCCGTACTCTCGATGTCGAGTACCTGACCTTCTTCTGCCGCGCACAGTTCGGCATCGAGCACCCTCCGGAGATTGAGCGCGTCAACAAGTACGGCAACTACAGCATTGACTATGAGCGTCTTGCCCATATCGGAGGTAACGCTGATCCATGGAGGCCTGCTACCCCGCTATGGTACCCAGAGAGCAGGAACGACACTGTGGATCGCCCGTGGCATCTGATCAGCCATGGTGTGCACCACTGGGAGGAGAACGGTATCTTTGAGAACCAGACAACCCCCGATCTGCCACCACCGCAGGTCGTGTATGCCCAGCAGTACTTGAAGAACTTTGTTGTTGACTGGCTAGAGGGTAAGTCTTTAAAGTTTCGATGAGTATATTTTGAATAGCCGCTAACGACGTATAGAATTTGAGGCCCAGAAGCAACATTCTGAGTTGCGCTAAGCTAATCATACTCTTCGTATTTAATACCAATAGGCTGCGTATGCAACACGATCGCTTCCTGAACGTATAAGGCCTAGAAAAAGGCTAGCAGATAGGTATCGTCAGGGTCCTCAATGCTTCGATTCATTGTCATCAATACAATATCACTCTTACGCCATGGTAAACTGCCACTTAAAAAATCCAAATAGTCCCGGATGCTTGTGATGCCAATGTTGATTAATAGTAATGCATAGTATACAAATAAAGCCCAAGTTCCAAAGCACTTCGGTGCGTCAATCGCTAGATACGCCGGGACGCATGCAACTTCTCGCAAGTATTCCACCAACCTATTGCACAGTGTTCTGAATCCAAGCCCGCTCCTCACTCTGCACAATCTCCCCACCCGTCACCTCGCCAACTTTGACAGTAACGTTGAATCCCGTGACAGTCGTACTCCCGCTAGCACCATACAGCGAATAAATGCCGGCGCTCAACAAGATCTCCTGACCCTTGTACGAATCGCTTGCCAATCCCTCCGGCACGGTAGCGATGATAGTAACGTTGTCTTGCCCCTGGTTGCTCTTCTCAGGACCCAGGTACGCCGAGTCGGTGAAGCTACCGAGGGAGCCTGGGTAGCCGGGAGCAATGGAGAAACCCCAGGCTACGGCTACGTCGGCGACAGTCTGGATGTAACCTTCTGAGAGGAGGGTGAGGGTGAAGGTGCTGTTGGGAGCGAGCGTTGAAGGGGCTGCGATACCGATTAAGCGTGAAGAGGCGAGGGTCGCGGATGTGAGGGCTGTTACGAGGGTGGAGAAACGCATGGTGATGGTAGAGTAGGCGGAGTCGGCTGTAGAGGAAGTTGCTATGTGGAGTTTGGTTCTGATGCGGTGGTCGTTTTGAGTTGAAGTTTGGGTGTGTATATGAGGTTTATTCGGGTATCGAATGGATTATATACCTACTCCCTTGTACTACTCATTACATTATGGCCGAGAGCGAAAGCGCACAGCCATCTCACATCACATCATACCACCCAGTGCAACCTTCTCTCCACAAAATTTGGAAGATAGTTGGCATAACAGGGATATCGGAAGATGACTCTGTGAGCCATACCTTGGTAAGCTCGTGCAGATCTCCCGGCGCAACCACGGTGACCTTTTGGGCGGCGTATAGACTGCCGATCAATTGACGACGGTCTCTATTTTGGGGTCAATACGAGCGTGGTAAGCCGAAACTTCCGAGTTGCTAATGCGGAAAAAGATGTTTTGAGAAATGGTACGTCATGCGGCTAACGGAAGCTGAGTGAAAGCATGTGGAGCTTGTACAAGTGGCAATAACGTCATTTAAGCTCATGACAGAGAGCTTACCCCCCCAAAACACGGAGGTTGCACTTTTGAGATGCATTACTCTGGGTGCTAAGACTTGCAATGACATCTTCTGTTTCTTGCTAAGATCATGTCAAATGATCAATTGCTCTAGTATCGCTATAAACCTAGGCTTACACTAAAAATAAAGAGAAACGCTGAATAACATTACCTCACAACTTGTAGTTCTTACCATACTGTTCCTTCTGGCTCGTCGCAGGCTTCCACTCAAAGTGGTGCTTGCCCTCCATTGGTTTCTTGACATTCGCGTCTTTGTCACCTTTCTTGTCGAACATGTGGCTGCCAAAGTAATCGAGCTCTGCTTCGTAGAATGAGGTGGGCAGGTCGGTACCGCTGGCAACCTTGAAGTATTCCAGGGTAGCGCTTATGGCAGGTACAACTTGATCCGTCTCTACAGCCTTGGCAACTACGCGACGAAGCGCTGGGAAGCAGTTCTTTACGTCCTTGGCAACGCGAGACGAGAAGTTGAGGTTCAAGTCTTCGGGTTTGGGGTTGGATTTGAGGACCGGCGCGAGAATCTCATCGGAGATATAGTCTGCTTGGATGATACATCCCGCACGCCAGATTTGCCAAACTTGCGAGTAGTCAATCTCCCACTTGTGCTCTTGGTCTGCTTTGGCGATGACATTCATGCCCTGGATGTAACTGGCGAGACATGATGCATATGTTGCCTTCCTCAGATCTTCAAGGAAGGCCTTCTTGTCCGTGATATTCAGCTGGCTGGGAGGGAAGCCTCCGTCGGCGGCTTTATTGGCTTGCTCGCGGTCACCACGGAAGGCGGATGCGAGACGGAATGCGTGGGAGATGTTGAGGGTGAAGGCTGGGACGTGAAGTTCGATGGCCTCGGTGTTGCTCCAGATGCCAGTACCTTCCTCACCTGTGACGTCCTGAACGACCTTGTCGAGAACTTCCGAGATAACAAGAGGATGGTGTTGGGTATCTTTCTGGCCTGGTTGGTTGGGTTTGTCGCTTGAGTCGCGTTTGTGAGATAAATCCGCGCCAATGGAGATGAGGAAAGTGCCTCTCTGTTCATGAATGAGTATGACAAACGTGTAAGATCGTGATGTGTTAACATACCAGCTCGCCTCCCGAGTTCCACTGAGAGAGTACGTCGCCAATCTCCTCATAGTCCATGCCCATCTTTCGCATGATGCCCCAGGCCTCGCAAATGGCGCTCATCATGCCGTGCTCGATGCCATTGTGCATCATCTTCACGTAATGTCCAGCTCCACCCTTCCCAATGACACCCACACAAGGCTTCTCGTTCTTGTCTTTAGCTGCGACCTTTTCTAGTAGTGGAAGGACTTCCTTGAGCGCAGAGATATCGCCACCAGGACACATGGAAGGTCCCGCTCGCGCAGCCTGGTATCCGCCACTTACACCACAGCCAATATACCGGATACCGGTACCCTTTGTCTTCTCCTGTCGGCGCTCGGTGTTCTGGAAGTGTTCGTTTCCGCAGTCTAGTATTATGTCGTCGCGGGAGAGATGTGGCTCCAGCCCCTCGAGGACCTTGTCGCCTACGCTGCCATGTGGAAGGGAGAAGACAAGTAGGCGTGGTGTGGAAAGTGACTTGCAGAGGGAATCATAGTCTGTCGTTTCATTAACCCTCGATCGTATCATCTTGGGTGCACTTGCACCTACCCTTGTACTTTTTGATCTTTCCGTTGTATCCCTGCTGCTCAGCCTTTTCGATAACTGCATCCATTGCCTGCTCGGAAGGGTCTGAAAGCGAGACATTGACACCGTCCTCAGCAAAGAGCAGGGCCATTCCACCGCCCATGCTTCCGCATCCGATCATGGCGATATTAGTGAACTTGGACATTGTGCTAATTAGTGTTCTCTTCTTCTTGTCGCGAGCGCAAAGATATCAACAGTGAGGAGGCTAGTATGATGATGTAGAGGCAGGTGAGGGAGGAGAAAGACGGGAGCGATGGATCGGCGTAATGTACGAGATTGTCGAGGAATTGGAGCATGATGAAAGACGCGGGTCAAAAGTTTGTAATGTAACAATGCAAGTGACGTCGGCGGGGTGGTAGCTGAACCTAGCTCAGTGCTATAGTAGGATGGCTGGTGGGTGGCCCTTTTATCTGCTTCTTCCCGGCTGTGCCGTGAGGGGTGGAGACGTGGGCCATGATGTATGCAGGCAGTGGGCACAGCTTGCAAGCGTCGGACTTGCGGCTAAACAAAAGGCAGGTGCGATGGAGAGTGAGGGTCGAGTTTGGGTCGCGTACCTTGGGACGACGCCACTCTTCCACTAGCGCGAACCGCTTCGACTACGGAAACATTTGGCGACGCCGCAAGCTTGACAACTCCAGTCTCTCACAACAATACCCACTTGTATACCACCCACCGACCAATTACATCCCGCAGCCATGGCCGACACAGAAACCATGGATATCGACCAGCCCGAGCAGCCCGAAGTCTCGTCGGCTGATCCCAGCGCCAGCGACGCGCGCACCGAGGCCGGCGCAACAGCCGTGCGCTCCATCGAAGGCTGGATTATCATTGTCACCAATGTACACGAGGAAGCGACCGAGGAGGATCTCCAAGACATGTTTGGCGAGTTCGGAACGATTAAGAATCTACACATGAACCTGGACAGGAGGACGGGTTATGTAAAGGTACGCGCCTGAAGTCGTTGCATAGGGCGAGTTGGGAGAGTGCAGTGGCAGAGCTGACCTTATACAGGGCTACGTCCTCATCGAGTATGCTACCTTGGAAGAAGCAAAGGCCGCCATCAAGGGCGCCAACGGCGAAGAGCTTCTCGAGCAAAAGGTCACCGTCGACTTCGCTTTCGTACGGCCCCCGCCAGCCAGCAAAGGCCGCGCGCGCGACTATGATAAGCGCCAGAGCGGGCGCGGGGCTGGGAGAGCTAGGAGCAGGAGTCCAGGCCGCGATGGTGAGGATATGGAGGATGAGTAGTCTTTGCATGGACGCGGCATTCTACGCCGCTCGTATCATTGGAACTGGACCGCAAACCATAATGCAGAACGGATGGGTATGAGTACAAAAAGCCTAGTAATACCACCCCAGAGGTCTATCACAATACTAGCTCACCGGCTTACCTCCATACGGGGTAGGTCGGGCTCTGACTTGGCTATCGTAAGTACACAACTACTGTGCTATCAGAATCTCGACTAACACATCTACAGACTCTCTTGCCTATGATTGACCAATACGTGATCACACAGTCCCCAGTGATAGTAGCAACGGCGCGTTCAGCCAGTATGCATGGTATAACGTCTTTTGGGGCAGACATATCCTTTGATCGACTGCGCTTTTGCATCGTTTTAAGCCTCCTGCTTCTACCCGTCGACTCTGGCTGGTTCTTTACACCATCTACTGGGAAACTCCTGGCGAGACCACATCCCATGGCTGATGGAGTCTAAGTAGTGCGCTTCGGATCGTGTGGCGCCTGCACCACGAGAATGGAGAGGTCAAAGGCCCGCGCAGATCAACATACCTTGTAGTACGCAAACCTTGTAGTACGCAAACCTTGACATTATTTGCCTACTCGCATTCTCCTAACCCGTTCGTCTTGTCTCTATCCCTCCTTCCCTCCTATAGTCAAAACATCATCCCCCATCAAGGACATCTTCAGGACGTTCCTGTCGGTAGGACCACATTCATCTCACGACATGTCTGCCGAAACACGTCCGCGCAGATACTGAAAGATCAATTTTGCTCCCACAGCAACAGCTCAGCATCACGATCAACATTGCGGAAGCTCCTTTCCCTTTGCATGATCCACAAATAGAACCTTGCGTCACAGTAGACTACGGCTGCACCAAAGGCTACTTCGAGACAACGCCGTATCGATGTCGTACCGCTCTTACTACCTACACCAAATCCTTATAAGGGTAATGGCGCGAGGCAATGGTATGAAGAAATATATCAATCCTTCAATGATCTGAACTGAGCCGATGCCAAATCAAACACAAGATATGTTATTCGAAAATGTTGGATCAATCGACAGCTTCTCCCTAGCTGATCAATAATATGTCTCTCACGGGTAGAAAAGTACCGTAGAACCGCATGAAAGGCAAACCCCCAAAAGTGCAGAGATATAAATGCTCTATGGTAGACTCCATTAGCCTATTTTAAGAAAAGTCGTAAAGCTTAACAGCATTATAGACCTCTAGGTTATCTATAGGTTTAATATAGTACTTTGCTACGCTTTATATAGTAAGCAAGAGGGACGAGCTTGCTAAGGAGTGTTTGGCTTCTCCCTTGTACAGGGTGGTAGGATAATACAGAGCTTTTGAAAGCTCTAGAGATATCTGATAAGCCTTAGCCCAATAAAATCTCTTCTGCATGTAGAACTCAGCCACCCACCTCATGAGACCCAGCTGAATGTTCAGTTGTGGACTCGGCATTGATCCCACCCGTTTTTCATCCCATTTTTTTTAGGATATTTATTTTCTCAATTTAAACACCTATATCGATCGGACAGATGGCCGAGCGGTCCAAGGCGCTAGCTTCAGGTGCTAGTAGCGAAAGCTGCGTGGGTTCGAATCCCACTCTGTTCACCATTTCTTTTTGCTGTTGTGGAGGTGTTCGGGGTGCTGGTGGTGGTAAAATGCTACACTTTTTGCTACTTGACATGGCTGGATGCGGTTGTGCGTGGGAGCCACGCGATAGTGGGGCAACCCTATTTAGGGTTTAAGCTTGGCGTCATTCCGACTCTTCATCACGCGTCACATCCGGGGAGACATGTATGGAGATGTGTTTATAGTCATCTTGTTGACTCTGTAGCCCCCCAACAATCCTCATGTCTCTACATCTCGCTGCAGCAAGCCTCAGGAACAGGCCCCGGTAGGAACAGTCACCCAAGCCCGCACGGGAAGGTGGACTTGGCCCAGCTGGGTGTACGCCTCATGCACTCGCGGCACACGCCTCCTCCACCATGATCTCTACAGTAACTTACGAGAAACCTTCACTGGTCTTCTTTATTGGTTTCATGTACATAACGTAGCATTCCTAACCGTAGCTTGCTCGCAGAGCGGCTTCATGAACTGCTTACGCGTCGCATAGCATTCAGCCTTCGGTCAGCGCCATCACTAGATTGACGAGCACCGCCTTCTGATCTTTGCAATGGAAGTATCGCGTGTCGCGTCGCTTTGGCGACTATACTGCTCTGTTTCGTTGCTTATGTTCGCGTTTGCGACCAGCTCAGTCACTAGTAGTACGGCATTGCCAGCTTCACAAGGTGAGGCTCAAGAGATAGTTCCTCAAGACCTCTCACTAACATGTCGTAGAAGCAGGACAACTGGTCTACGAGCCCGAGAATCAGAATGTCGTCCGCCTATCTTCTTCACCAGCCTTATCCGTATCCCATGCCGAACCCTCCCATACCTTGCTGAACGCCTCTCCAACCAGCACGGCCAGCTACTCGGTCGCCGAAACCAATATCCTCCATGATCTCCACTCTGCCCTCTCTACAATGCAGGACCACTACTTCTCTGTATGGCTCGGCAAGTACACAACAGCGATAGACTGGACAGCTGCCGTCATGTCCACTTACGTCTCGGCTACCCTATCATCGCTCTCCCACTCGCTTTCCTACACGATGCCAGGCACGTTCGATAGAAGCCGGAAACTAGACGTCGAGGCACAAATGGTGGAGAACGAAATCAACAAGTACTTTGCGCAGACCACAGCATACTATTTCGGCGAAGACGCCTTTGCAATAAGAATGCAGGCTTTCGATGATATGTTGTGGGTGGTGTTGGGCTGGCTACAAGCGACAGATTTCATCGAGAGCCATTCTGTTGGACACTATACAACAAGCAATATTGGAGGGAAGAAATGGCATGCCAGTCAATTCGTACCTGCTTTCGCACATCGTGCGCGGATTTTCTACGAGCTGGCTGAGAAGGGGTGGGACTGGAGGCTTTGTGGGGGTGGTATGACATGGAATCCGCGTCTCCTACCGTACAAGAATGCCATTACGAACCAGCTCTTCATCTCAGCGAGTATCAGCATGTACTTGCACTTTCCGGGTGACGACAACTGTTCGCCGTTTCTTTCGCAGCACGATGAATCAGATCCACATGAGAAGCAATTGTACGATGACTGCGATGATGGTCACCGCGGGCGGTACGATCCTGTTTACCTTGCAAACGCAGTCAATGCCTATGAGTGGCTGAAGAACATCGGTATGATGAACGATCAGGGCCTTTACACTGATGGGTTTCATATCGGAGGCTACCGCACAAATCATAGCAAGACGATGTGCGACGAGCGAAACGAAATGGTGTATACCTACAACCAAGGTGTAGTCTTGTCTGGACTGCGCGGGTTATGGGAGGCTTCGGGCAAGACCTCATATCTAGAAGATGGTCATGAGCTTATCAGAAACGTCATACGCGCCACGGGTTGGACGAAGTCTGGTCTTGGTTCCACCTCATTCACCGCAAACTCGCGACAGCGTCACAGCCAGGGCCAGGAGAACGCAGAGAAAGCATTGCCAACTGACTGGGCTGGCCTGGGTTTCGATGGAATCCTGACAGAACTGTGTGACCCCTCTGGGCGCTGTAGTCAAGATGGCCAAACATTCAAAGGCATCTTCTTCCACCATCTAACTTCCTTCTGCAAACCTCTTCCATCCCGACCGACCAGACCGGGGAAAACCCACGCAGCGACTCGTGAAGCAGCCATGCTGCATGCGAATAGCTGTAGAGAATACACCGCTTGGGTCGTACACAATGCCCAAGCCGCCCTCCGCACACGCGATGAAGAAGGTAGATTTGGAGCATGGTGGGGCGCTCCAGAGACATTGTTTCCACTCTCATCGCATCGCCGCAAAGAGACTGGTTTTCTTTCACATCCTGTTCTCCCTGAGAACGCAACGGACTACCGTAACCTGCATACGCACCCCGATGATGGCTTATACATGGAAGGCGAGCCCAAAGAGCCTTCCGAGTGGTTCGTCTTTGATGAAAACGTCGAGAATGAAATCACAAAGAGCAGCGGAGGTGATCTCAACGACCGTGGTCGTGGCCGCACAATCGAGACTCAGGGCAGTGGTCTCGCAGTCGTGCGAGCGATGTGGGAGTTCTTGCGCCGAGCAGAAGGAGCAGATGGTTTTTTGGTGTGAGTGAGGCTAGCGATTGAATCGTCAATCGTTGATTATCACGACGCGCAGCTGGACCTTTATGCAGTTTTGATACCTTCTGTTGACACGTCAGGACAGATGTACCGTATCTTTCTCATTTACAGGCGGCGCGATACCCTCTCGTCCAAATAGTATTGGCAAGATACATGTCAAGTGGTGCGAGACTAGCATCTTACCGCCAACAATGGGCTAGCTGCTCAGTGTCTTGGAACTGTACATGCATATACAACTGTGTTGTCAGACGGGTGGGGACGCGTGCTGTGTTTTGCTGGGGAGGGTACATGGAAGATGGGTTTGGGATTTCTAAGCGTGCGGGATAAAAAGGTACATAGGGTGAATAGAAAGATCTGGATTGCTGAAGAAGTGATGGGTTGGCATGAGATATACAAAGTGCAGAGCGACCTCAAAGAGGAACAAGACGGGCGCTGGACTCGGAAACTTTGTAGAAAGCTACTAGCACTTCACCCCTACTACTCCTATGCTCAGTCTCCTTATCCTCTGTGTTATGAATGCCGCTCGTCATCGTAAGTCGTTGCACGTGTACAAGAGTTTTCCTCTCCTCACATGATGCCCAACTCCCCAAAGCCCTTGAGAATCTCCTTATCCACGCGACTTAACCACTCTTCCTGGAAAGCTTGCTCACCACCCACTTGCTGGATAACCTGCTGGAGATGCTCCCTGATGAACGCAACAAGATTGATCTGGTGTACAGGATCCGTGTACATGAGTTCGCGCTTGCGTATATCCTCTGGTGCTTCGGGTTCCGTGGGATGGTAAGGCTCCGGAGGCCAGAACAGAGAGCTAGAATAAGAGATTAGCTTGTGCAACGTAGGTGGTAAAGGAAATGAGGGGATTCGTACTCCTGACTCCGATCATCCATGCCATCGAGCAACTCCCCTAGTACGTCTGTCCAAACTCCTATCAACAACTGCAGCCGGCCCAGCATCCAAGGCTGCCCCCCTTCCAGGAACCGTGTGAGAACGAGACACATGAGCTTCTTGTTTGGCGCGTCGCCGATGTTCTCGATGTGGCTGAACCACTCTTCTAGTAACCAGTCTAGAGTCTTTTCTAGACCTTCGCTTGATAGCGAGGATAGAGCCTCGAGGAGGACAGAAGGTGAAGCAACTCCGATACGGGCTAGTACGGTGAAGTAATCTGTTTCCACTACACCGTCGACGGCACGGGAGGGAAGTTCGCGATAAGGACCATGAGATTGGTGATGCGTCCATGCGCCGTGGAGACCCTCCAGGACTTTTGCGAGGAAGCCAGAGGAGATCAAGTCGCTAGTTAAGATCTTGACAGCATTCTCGCCTCCAACGCCTTCCGCACCCCGAATGATACAGGTTACAAGATGTGTCATTATACCGTTTGCTTCGGGTTTCAAGCTACCCAGGAGCTCAGCGAGGGCCTGGAGGATTGCGGGACGGAAAGAGTCTGCGAGTACGGCAGCAGGCGCGAGGAGAAGGTAGGCTTCTGTGATCTCAATAGCCTTTCGCAGGGTTTCATTGTCCATGGAGAAGAGAGGCAACAAGTATTGAAGGAGGTTGAGCAGCTCGGGTGGTGTGGGTTCTGGGGCTGATGGTGTCTGTGCGATGATAGAGGCCCATAGATCAAGTGCGTCTTCGAGGAGATAGACCTGAGTTTCTGACCCAGGTTCGATAGCGCTCTGGATGATGGGTAAGAAGGAAACATGAAACGAACGTGACTCGGCTTTCATCGCGTTGGTCAGGCGAGCCAAAAGGGTAAGAATGGCTTGCTTCATGAGATGCTCCTCGCCAGACTGCTCCCATAGAGGCGGAAGTAGGGCGACGATGCTATTAGCGTATGGTGTGATCTACATCGGGTTAGTGCAAGTATCCCCCACCTTTATGCTTCTGACTTACATGATGCTCCAGTCTGTATACTACAAGGCTGATAGTGTTGAGGAGTGCCATCTTTGTCTCTGGAAGCTCCACCTCCTGGACCAACGCCATTAACCTATCGAGCATAACTTGGGAATAGGGCAGGAAGGCATCTGCTTGAAACTCCCACTCGTCAGCGACAGCGTGGAATTTTCTGCCTGCAGTTATCCGGACCACCTGATCGTTCATCGGATCACTCTTATCGAGTAGATGCTGGAAAATCTGGTAGACGATTGGCTTTTTTTCTTTCGCCATCTTGATAGTTATCCATTGGGATATGATAATGGCGATACGACGACGGATGATATTGTAACCCGGTTTTTGTTTCGCTACCTCAACAACTAGTGTCTTCTCGAGGAACGAATCAAAGTCGACCTGATCGTGCAGTATATCGGCTGCAAGGCCTATAGCAGTGTAGACGGAGTCTTTGAAAAGGATATCCTCGTTTTCCGGTGCTGTGAAACGTTAGCGCGGGCCATTTTCTGCTGGAAGTGAGTACTCACTCGCTACTGTATAGAAGACTTGGAGCAAAGGTTGAATGATCAAATTTTTGAAATTCTTTGCAAGGTCTAGGAACAGCTTCTCGGCACAGGGTCGAATTGCAAATTCCCAGTCCTCTGCTCCCTCTTCCATCTTCTCCCACTCATCGGGTTCTTCCTCCCACATACGGAGGTCGCTGGGCCTGAAAACGAAGAAGCGCTGGACAAGCGCTGAGATCATTTCACGCACGAGGTCGTCAGTAAGAAGGTCTGTTTTGATCATGTGCGTGGCTTGGTTCTTTTCGTCTTTTTCCTGCTGATGCTTGAAGCGGAAAGTCTGAGTGGGGTAAAAGACCATCTTCACGCAAGCACGGATTAGCAGCAGACCCTTGAGACCTAGACGCTCAATGATGGGCGCTTCATCTTCGGCATCGCCATCAGTGCCGACTTTGGCGCCCTCAATAGACTTTGAGCCCCACTGCTCACCTAGCCTTGAGATGAGACTCCAGTAGTCGCGTGCAAGGTCTATCGAGTTGGGCAAAAGGACAAAATCTGCTGGGTGAGTAGTGGCCATGTTCAGGTGTAGCTTGGAAAGCTGCATCAAGTGCTTGCCTATCTTCCTTTGAACGTCGACTGCAAGTGGCGAGTTTTCTGGTATCACATATTGTAGAAACTCTCCGAAATGAGTACGTGTCAGCGTCCAGAATCCCTGGACATCCTTATCTCTGCCTGGGAACTCGTAGCCTGCAATGATCAGCCGCCGCATCGTCTTGATAGCGAGCAAGCTGTTGTCGATGCTCTCAAGCGCTCCGCCTTCGTCGTCTCCGCCATCGCGAAAGAAGGCCTGCCACGTCTGTACCTTGCTCACGTAGATGGTACCTAGTACGTTGAAAATCTCTGGTGCAACCGTCTGCAAGCTTTGCCTTGTTCGTAGAAGTCGCCCTGTTGACAGTTCCTTGACGATGTATAGCAAGACGAGAAGGGCGCGAGGAAGTTGTAACCGGTAGGCGTTCGGATCGGTCGAGGCGCGGAGGATGTGGAGTAGTTGTTGGAATAGATCGGGCCTAGGAGATGTCAGAATGGGAAATATCATGCTGATCTCGAGGCTTACCAGTCATTTGGGAATTCGAAGCGGACAATCTTCGCAACGACCAAAGCATTCTGTAGCGCTAGGCGGTGGTCGGCTTCGTTGACGGCGCTCTCGAGCAGGCGGGCTCGTATGGTGGCCTTGTCTTCCTTACTCACAGCGCTGTTACCGTGTCAGTATGTATATCCATACGACTATAGGCAGAGGCATACTTGGTGGCTGTCTTGCGCCAGTATTTATCGATGCCGTTCTTGAGCTGGATGATAGCGAGGTAGCGTACTTCTAATGGAAGGGACTGGTCAAGAAACACCGTCTGCAAAGTGTCAGATTGATCTTGTTCCACAGAGCGAAGGCATGTATACCTGCAACAGAGGGTAGAAACCCTGGGCCTTTTCCCACTGCTGGAGTTGCTTGGTGCCTGACTGTACTTGAGTCTGGTCTGCTGAAGACGCTGAGCGCAAGACATGGAACAGTATGTTCTCAGTCAGAGGATTCGCCTCTCCTGGCACCTCAACACTGAATTCCGTGTTCATTCTGCAAGTGCTGGCAATTCAAGTGCTGCGGTGGTGGGGCAGTCGCAAGTAGGTAAACTTGTGGATACGGGGAGAAACTGGTGAGTAATTCGATAGATACGCTTCACCGTGCACGTAGGATATGTAAAGCCTGCTCACCCAGGCTGTGATCAGTACAGGGCAAGTCTTGTTCGGGAAATCTATCTTGGTGTTTGGAGAAACAAATTCGAGGAGCTCCCCGCGTCACAGCTCGGACCTCCGAGACACGAGACAGCGACACTGGGTGACACCTTGGTGGCAGTTGACATGAACTAAACTTGGAACAATGACTTGAAAACCATGTATCTAGCGTATACTTGAAAATGCTCTATCAGAGATGCACTGTCATGGCGTCTCCAGATATGGCCCCGGCTTGTCTGGAGAAGGCGTCGCGCGCATCGGCTACTTCGACCCTTTCCCCAGCCAACCTCGGTCCGTCGCAACTCCAGTCTGGTCTCCCCATCACGCTATCACGTTCCACCCACATCTCGCGACATCGCCCAACAAACATCCATAACCTCCGTCGCTCTGCCTACACGTCGCCATCTCCCAATGCTCCCAAATGCCCTCCGCAGACTTCGTCGCCGCCCAGCAACGCATAGCAGCCCGCCGCGCTCAACGCGCGCTTCAACAACGGAATCATCATGAACCTCCGCCATCAACCGCGCAACGCGCCCTCTCGCGCCTCCCCTTCCCCTTCAGCAGCCTCTCCACCACTGGATTCAGTATCTGGGACGCGATAAAAGGCCGATCGGGAACACGACCAGAGTTCCGCGTCGGCCAAGTCGATGCCGAACTCCTCGATGAAGAACTCCTTACATTGATGAAGGATCAAGTCGGCGAAGGCCTGAAATACTTTGGAAGTCATATTACAGACCATTACTCGGCTGAAATACTACTGGCTCTGAGAGCTATGCTATGGAAACTGAGTATCTGGGATCAGAATGCCAGTTATGGCGCGCATCTACAGGGGCTGAGGTATACGGATGCGCGGAGTAGTGCGCCGAATCGCCCGCCGCCCAAGCCATGGCAAAAGGTCGCCTATGGGGCTGTCACAGTGGGGGGGAGGTATGCGTGGACCAAGTGGGAAGAGTACCTTCTATCCGCGTCAGAAGACTACACCAGGCCCGAGAGTGCGAGATTGAAGGTTCTGGGGCGGTTGAGCGAACTGGCAGGGAATGCGCACGACGTCCTCGGCCTTGCCAGCTTTCTCGTCTTCCTCGTCGACGGCCGCTATAGGACCATAACAGATCGCCTGCTCCGTCTACGCCTGACACCCACCTCACACTCAACATCACGCGAAGTCAGTTTCGAATACCTCAACCGCCAACTCGTATGGCATGCCTTCACCGAGTTCCTCCTCTTCCTCCTCCCACTCGTCGGCATCTCTCGCTGGCGTCGCATCCTAAGCCGCACATTCAAGAAACTGCGAACAACAGTACTCTCTCTACTCGGCCGCTCAAAGCCCAACAACGAGGAAGGAGATGAAGAGGCCAAGGCTGCCGGTGAACTAGGTTTCCTACCCGAACGCACCTGCGCAATCTGCTACCGCGACCAAAACCCAACCACAACCAGCGAAGCCGACATCCTCACCTCCTCAGCCGGTGGCGGCGGCGTCGTCGGCTCCGCAACAACAGACATCACCAACCCTTACGAAGCCATCCCATGCGGCTGCATATACTGTTTCGCATGCATCGCGCAACGCATCGCAAACGAAGAAGGCGAAGGTTGGACATGTCTACGCTGTGGCGAGACAGTCAAGGAATGCCGACCTTGGAACGGCGATATCATCGAGGAGCAACCCCGTCGGGTAGAGCATACCGAAGTGCATGAACGACCCAGTACAGCCAAGTCTGTTGGTTTTGCTACCGGTCACAACGACCATGACAATGAGCTAGATGAGAAGGCTTTGCTGAGGGAAGTCGATCCCATGCCAGAGCAAGAAGACGTTACAGATGTAACGCAAGAGGAAGAAGGTATCATGGGAACGACTCAGACGCGCGGTCTGGATCTAAGTGAGTCGTTGTTTACCGAGAGCTCCGAGTGGGCACGTGCTAGTGAGGATCGGAGCAGCGACGACGAGCAGAGTGAAGAATATGACGAGGATGAGGAAGAGGAGGGTGAGGAATTGGGGTTTTATGACCAATAAAACACGGTAAGGTTTGGTTAGGCTACACGACTGTTCTGCTGTATAATTACTTGATGCGTTGGAATTGCAAGATACCCTGATTTTCCAAAGCTCGGTTGCTTCATTGTGCTATGCTATCAAGTGTCAATGAGCTATTGTAATACCAGTCCTTGATGGATCTAGATGTGGGCTTGATCTTGGTTCGTTTCGTGACTTGATCGCTCTTAGATAGATACTATATGCAAAGCCAGACTCTCTTTCGCGCCGCAATGCCTTGGTTGAATGCGGTCCGCCCTGCGTCGTGTGGCATCTGTGGGGCTCTTGCCCTTGCGCTGGCCTCAAGGCTCTATAGCATAAATGCCAACGTGCATAGTCGCAACTCGGCCTTTTCTCTCGTTATACACAACAAGCTGCCCTTTTCTTGATCACGTCCGCATAAACTCCGCAAATCTTGGCAATGCAGCCATCTTCTCCTCCGGACTTGTTGTCTCCGCAAAGAAGATGAGTCGTTGGTTCTTGTCCTTTTTGCTCTTCTTCTCTTCCTTTGGCGCAGCCTCCTTGGTCACCTCGTTGATCAGATCATCGACAGAGTTCGATATGTCGCCGTTCTGGCCAGGCGGGTATGCACCAGGCGGTGGAGCACCGAAACCAGGCCGAGGAGGTAATGCGCCAGGTTGGCCGGGGATGCTGCCAGGTCGTGCGGGCATGGCGCCGTTGGCAGGTGAGAATGATTGCGGGATGCCTTGTGAAGGGTAAGCGGGCGCACCAGGTGGGAAGGCCACAGGAGCGCCAGTGGGTGGTACGCCGTATGGTGTCTGAGCAACTGGGGGTGTCTGTAGATACGTTAGTCGCGTGTTGTCTTGCTGCTCAAACCCTCGAATACGTACAGCGTTCTGTACAGGCTCCACCGGCGCAGGTAGAACGCCGTTCTTTCGATCCTCTCGGAACTTGGCTGCCCTCTCCTCAATTTCCTCCAGACTCTCGTTGATCTTCGGCCTTTTGTTTGGTGCTGCTTGTCCGTTGACGTACGCTCCACGCATAGGGTTTCCCGTGATGCGCGCGCGCTCTTGCTCCTCGGCGAAATGTGCTTGTGTGACTTGCTGGTTGTGCTGGTCTATTATCTCGGCGGGCACACCTTCCATACCGAAGATCTCCAGATCGAGACCTTGACGGCCGGGGTTGGCATTCTCAACGTGGGTGAGAGTCTCCTTGTGGACTTGGTTCATATGCACGGAGAGACCTGAGAAGCTGTTAGTATCGCTCCTGTTGTGTGTTGGGGGAGGTTTGGTGGAAAGGTGCGTACCTCCAGCAGTATTTAATCGTCTTCCACAGCGGTCGCATTTGAAATGTTTAGCCTTTTGGTGAGAGATGAGAATCTTAAGGTCGTCGAAGTCGCGCTCGCAGTAGTAACACCATGGTCGCTAGAGAGGTCAGCCTAGATTCTACATGGAAGTTATTTGCGCATAGCATACCTCGAGCTTCTGGTTTAGATCCGGATACCTTCTGCGCTTCTTCGTCATCTTCGCGATCGGGAATGGGTGAAGTGGGGAAGGATGCAGTCGCAATCGCGGTCGGTGGAAGTGAAGCTCAGGGCTCGCGATTCCTGGAGAGCTAGCCTAGCGCGGTGGTCCATGCGGCGGACATGTCAACTTTTCTTCGCCAGAACACCATTTCACTCTCACGACATCACAATGACAGGCATCATCAACTTCTAATGCGAGGACAAAACTGATACCAATACATGTCATGCTATTTCCGTATACATCACCATAGGACGCAACCCGCACACCAGCCACTTGAGTCTCGGACACTTTTACAAGTCCCTTCGGGGAGCATCCCACATCTTTGCGTCTTGCTTAGCTGTGGTGTATGCGGCTGTACTGAAGTACGTGCATTCTTCGTTCTGCGAAGTTTGTTGCAAGAACAAATAAAAAGGTCCTTCATAGTTCACACTTCCTCGCTCTTCGGAGAAATCCTACGAAGAGTGTGACTCCTTGGCTACCTACATTCCCGCTTGCTCTACTAGAGCCATCAAGCTGAAGTTGAGATTGTCATCTTCGCTTGCCATCATACCATGAATGACGCTGAGACATTTCTCAGAGAGAACGTCTTCGTCTGCAGGGAGTTCCCCGAGATCTATAGGACGTTTACGGTCGCCGTCGAGTTGGTGTAGATGGTTGTCTTTGGACGATTTGACAAAGGCGATATAGTGGTAGTCCACCTCGTCCTCCGCATTGAGAGGCGCTTCAGTATCGCCCTTGATTGCTACTCCCGCATATGCAACTTCTAGCCCTTCATTCTTCTCCAATGCGTGAGCCAGCTCGTCTGAGTCGGGTGTTAGACTGGCATTGAGTAACTGATCAATGATCGAGCCACTGTCTAATCGGCATTAGTAGTGTCCTCTAGCCAAGTCCGCGACTGTCGTACTGATCTTCTGCCGCGCTTCGCCATTACAAACAGCGTGCAAGATTGCATAAAGACCGCATGCATTGTTAATGGTTTGTTTGAAGAACACCACATCGCCAGAGCTTTGGAGTTCCCCAAGCTTGGCATCCTCGTCTTGTACCCTCCTCTCGTATTCGTCTGTCGTCGGAAACACCAGGATCAATGCAAGGGCTGGCCGTGGAAGAAAGCCAAGTAGCTCCGGGTCGTCTAGAGAGAGTACATCTTGGAAGCCTAGTGAGGTGGATAGCCCGAGCTTATGTGCAAGCTCAGTGAATACATCTGGATTTGACTCGAGAGGGATGAAGTGTTTGTTATAAGCTTGTACGCGTTCTGAGTCTGCTATGTACATAATTACTCTGGACGTTTCGGTCTTTACGGTTGTCTTGCTGTCATTTCAGAGGTACCTGCCGCCCAAGCATCGAAGCTGAAGAGCCACTGCTTCGTTGGCCGTGCTAACCATTTTCGGTCAGCGAACGAAGGACTCCATGTCTTTTAGGTTGTACAATTACGTCGTGCTCGTAAGATACGCTTTAGCTCCAACAATCACAGCATTAGCGGAAGCGCTGGTTAACTCATTTACTCTGAGACTTCTGGGCGATTATTGACTTCACAAAGTTGGCTCATGAGTAGAAGGACGTTGCATTACAATAACTAAATAAACGGAACTGAGCTTTGTTCAAACAGCTGTACTCACGGTCGCCCACAACTTACGCATCGGCAACCTCCTTCATCACAGCCTGATCACCCTTCTCATCACCCCTAGCATGCATCTTCCTCGCAACCTCATCTGTAAGGTACTGCTCCACATTTGGTGAAAGTAACGCAGCGACAATGAGAAGGACGCCAAAAGGGAGCGTGCAGAGATACACAGTTCGGAATGACAACGCATATGCGCTCTTCACAGCCTGAACTGTTGCCGCAATGATCTCGGGCGAGATGCCAGGTACGGCGCTGAAATCGCCAAGTGCGATACTAGCCAACAGGGTAGGAATTGATGTTTCAGGAAGACCCGCAGCGAGCACAGCAGGCATGACCTTTTGAGGAATGTACTTGGCTGATTCAGTCGCGAGGATCGAGGAGTACATGCTCGTAGCTATCGCGGAGAGACCAGTTCGAATGGCACCCATGACGCCAGTTACCAGACCGATGTCAGCGGGATCCCAGAGATATGCGGTACTGGATAGTGTGAGGTTCTCGATGTAGCCTGCAGCGATGGTGCCGATCAACAATAATGCGGTTGTTCGGTCTTCTGTCGTTTCGTCCGAGGCAGCGACAGCGGCGACGAACGCTGTGGTGAAGACTGCTGCGACGGTCATTTGAATCTTCATCCGCGGAAGATAGCGGACACCAGCGCCCCCGAGTATTTGTCCGAGGAGAAGACCACCACCAACGGCGCACTATGTGTTGTTAGCGAAAAGATACCCGTGTTGATGTAGGTATCGTAGACCTACCGAGAGCCATCCGATCTTAGTGATATCTGTCGTGAAAAGCGAAGAGACCATTGTAGGCCAGATAATTGAGTTCGCATAGTAGACGATGGCTGCCAAACTAGCACAAGCAACATTGGCGTCATACTCAATGTTCCTGAACAGTCGTAAGGGAATGAGTGGGTATTCCAGTCCTGGGGCGTATGCCTCCCAGAAGCAGAAAGCGACTAGAGTACCAAAACCAGCGAATAGTGCTCCCAGTACGTGCCCGCTCTTCCATGGATATGCGGAGCCACCCCAATTCAGACCGATTAGGAAGACAACGAGGCCGGTTGAGAATAAGAAGATGCCTATCCAGTCAAGAGTTTTAAGTTGCTTTAGTTTCGATTTGCCACCGACGTGAAGCATTTCCTATGTTTGTCAGCCAGATGCTTAGCATTGCCTCAATGAGACTTCCTTACATATGTTGGTGGGAAGTAGAAGAAGAAGTAGAGAACGATTGCAAGTACGTTGACAATGCACCCAAGGATGTAGCACCATCTCCATTGTAGCTCAGTGGTCTGGTAGAGGGACCGTGCGACTGGAGGACCAAACACGGCGAATGGGACTGATGTCGATAGCACGAAAGCGTTCACAGGACCTCTAAGAGAGTTGGGAACGAGCTCTCCAAGGATTATGTGGAACGAGAGCTGGCCGGCTGCGGCGAGCCCGTTGATGGAGTTCGTTGCCTTAAAAAGCGTCAGCATCATCCACACATCCCGTAGTTGCGGAAACGTACGATCAGCATATTAATGCTTTGTGCACTTGCTCCGATGATGTTTCCAACGAGACCAAGTATTGACGAGCAGATGAAGAACCATCTACGACCGAAGATGTCCGACAACCGACCGACAAGTGTGAAGCCGATGGCGAATCCAGCTGTCCATGAGATGCCAACCCAGATAATGTCGGGTGATGGTCCAATCGCGGCGTTGATGAGACTCAGTGTGTTCGCAGGAAGAACCCATCCCAAGTAACTGGATATGTTTTAGTAGCTTCTTTGTACACTGTGCTCAAGAGAAGGACATACCCAGATATTTGCGCTAGACATGTTGCCTTTTCGTTGTAAGCAGGTGTCCCCAGAAATGATTGTCGTAAATACTCACCACTACAGTGCCGATAAAGTTTATGCTTGTGAAGTACGACTTGCCCAGATCAGCAGTATGTCCGCCAAGGGCTTCTTGAGCGACATGATCATGGTGGAGGCCATGACTGCTAGCAGTGTGCTGATGGGTGAGACTGGGATCAGTCGTAACCTCTTCGCGATACTGTTTTTCTTCAGCCATGCTGGTTTGACGTTGGCTTGACGTTGGGAGACTATGTGGAAGGATGCGTAAGAAACGCAAAGACTAAAGCTGTGCAACCATACTGGGCTCTGGGTTATCTTTATCATCCACAAGTTGCCCACGAATCATGGGTCCTAAATCTGGGGTCCCCAGATTCATGTGGAGTAAACGCTTGGTGAGGCAGGTTCCAGATAGCCGGGAGACACTGTCATGTATGCGCTATGTTTTCGAATTCTGGAGTAATGATCTACTTGTCTACATAGGGACAAGTCGTCCTATGTCGATTGGTATTTCGGACGTCTACATGGGGCCAGAATGTTACGCGCAAGCTAGATCCACGTGCCTTGGCGACAACAAGCGGAAGCTCTCGCTTCGGGGGTAGTCGGTAGAGGCTGAGTTTATCGAAGAGATACATCTGGGCTGTGTCCGGGTGAAGGTATCCGGAAGTCCCGTAGGCCTGCCCTTGCGCAAAAGAACTCATGCAGATAACTAGCTATAAGATATTACAGCATGTAAGCGTTATAATTGCCCAGCAGACTTCTGTACATAGTGAGTATACAATGTTTACTGCACGACAACCTGTTCCAAAGTCCGTGGTTGCATGGTCCCCGATCGCTCGAATGAATAAACGAGTGATCGTCTAACGTTTCCCGCGTGCAGTAGTGTGTCCGGCCCTCCTTCGACAGTCGTTAACCGGGTTATATTTCTGATCTAGCGGGACACAGATGCGGGGTCTGGACTCTAATGTCCTGCTTCAGCTGCCCCAGATCCTCAAGGGCCCCTTTCTAATCGGCTCGCACTATTTGGACGTCCGCGCTACGTTGGTCAATGTGATGGTCGATGCCGGCATAGTGGATGATGAAACTCGCGTGACAGGGACATTGACGGCGCCCTACCCGTATGTACCTCGATGCGGAACATTTCATCGATGCACTATATTGAAGTCTAGGGTAAGCGACACGAGGAGGTTGGAGGGTTGGTGTCATATTCCCCGCATTCGCGTCCCATGGGGAACAAGGTAAGGATGCCGCCAGATGGACAACAAACCATGAGTGGTGAAGCTGCAATATTCCTGGAAATGCAAAATATGCAATGTGCTTGCTACATTCATTTACATGTAGCAATCGTGTCTAAGAGTAAACTTGGAACAATGGGGGACCGCTAGCAGATGCTTGCGCCACAGAAACGTGATTGGGCGTCCTTCGCCGCGGTCCCCACTCAAAACTTTTGGTGATTCACATGTCGCGACTTGAACTCACTCGCGACAACTCGTGATACTCATATAATCCACCAGCAACACCACATCCGCTGAATAACACACAATATGGCCTCAGCAGTCGCGCCGTCGCCGGCACCGAAAGAGGAACCTGTCGAGACCGCCGTGAACGAAGTCATCAGCCCCGCCGATGCTCTGTACGAGAAATGCGCGCAACGGCCTGCGGGCCAAATCTTCTTCCAGCGCGATCTCTCGAATATGCAGGTGGCGGAAACCATGGCTCAGCTAACAGTGCTATTACAAGAGCTCTGTGATCGCCATCTCTTGAAGCTCATGACGTTCGAGGGCGACCCATGCTGGAAACTACGGACAAGAGAAGACGCCGACAAGTATGTGTAGATTTTGTAGGAATCGATATGCCTGAGCTGTTCTGACAATCATGCCTTCTTCAGACTGCGACGACTTACACCCGACGAACGTCTCCTCTACCACCATATCGATCAAGTACAGGCCGACGGTATCTGGTCGAAAGCCCTGCGGGCGAAGACCAACGTTACACAACAGACTCTTACAAAATGTCTCAAAAGCTTGGAGTCAAAGGACTTGGTGCAGTCAGTCATGAGTGTCAAGTTCCCGAACCGGAAGATGTACCTGTTGAAGCATCTGAAGCCATCGGAAGATATTGCGGGTGGACCGTGGCAATCCGAGGGTGACTTCGACACCGCGCTGATCGACACAATATCGGGTATCGTTGCCCAGCATGTGGAGAACGAAACCTGCATCAAGGTGCCTGGAAACTGGAACGACTATGAGATAACAGGCGACAGGACGGCCGCTATCGCTCAAAAGAAGGCCGAAGTATTGGGCGCTGTACGAGATATAGAGGAAGCGCCGGCCGTGAAGCCTTACAACCCATCTAGAGACCCAAACACGTCCAAGTTGGTTCATCGACACAACCCACAGTACCCAACAGCTGCCTCTGTGGCCCAATGGCTCAATTCGAAAGAGATCCTGCGAGGCAAGACTGTACGGGAGGACGACATGGAGCAGTTGTTGGAGATGATGGTTCTTGACGACCGGCTCGAGAAGATATCTGGTACCAACTATCGGACTGTATTACGAGCCACTGATACCAAGGTCTACAACGGCTTTGTCGATGCACCATGTGGTAACTGCCCAGTCTTCGATCTTTGCGGGGATGAGGGTGAGATTTCAGCAAGAACATGCGTATACTTTGGCCAGTGGCTAGAGACCACATCTGAGGAAATTTAGACACTTCAGAACACATCAGGTCGTAAAGGTCTCTTGTAGGGAAAGTTCAGCTGTTTACACAGCAAACTTACAAGCTTCACCCAACAGGCATAGCGCGGAGTTTTTGGTTGTCAGCATTTGCATGGAGGATCGAAAAGGTATACCCATATATTCAAATACAGTTTTCATCAGCACCTTCTTTCTTGACCTATTGATACGGAAGACGACCCGGGTCTGGCGCCTTTGATGGGCTTTGTCAACATTCGCTGAGAGCTCAATTTCCGATGCTTTAATTCTCCGGTGGCCTGTCGTACAAAGTCTCCGGAACGACGAAGAACTCCACTCGGAGACATTTGTGAGCATCAAATCAGTCATGGACAGTGAGTCAATCGAAAGCGACCGTCCATTTGCTGGTATGCATTGAGCCTAAACAGCAAGGTTCAGACCGCAACCGCATTCGATGGTGCTTTAGTATCGTGTTTATATAAGATGCATGCGCCTATGTTGGAGGTATCACGCACAGCACACCGATTTCGACGAAGCCTCGAACTTCAATTCTCAATCAGCTCATGTTACTCCCGGGTACCTGTGTCTCCTACATCTAGACGCACCATGGCCAACTTCCTTGAAGCCGAAGCCGCGCAGAAGTACAAGAACGCCGAGAACGCTACTCGCCCTTACGCCAAAACCATCATCGAGCGATCAGGCATAGCTGCACATCTCAACTCAGGAGCTGAAGCAAATGTTCTCGACTTTGCGTGTGGAACTGGAGTTATGGTGCAGGAACTCTATGACACGATACCAAAGAAAAATTGGGGGCAGCTGAAGGTACTAGGCACTGATATCAGTCCGCCGATGTTGAAGTTCTTAAAAGCGCGAGGAGAGAAGCAAGGGTGGATGGGTTTGGAGACAAAGGTTGTGGATGGAAACGTGAGTTCCTTTTTCCTACAAAATCCCCAACACTGTCTCTGGTACTGACGCATTCTTGAAGGTTGATTTCACCCAAGCTCTCCCCAAGTCCTCATTTACGCACATCTTCACTACATTCGCCCTTAACATGCTCCCAGAACAGACACTCTCGCACCTGTATTCTCTCCTGCGACCAGGTGGATTCATAGCAGTAGCAACATGGTCTGCCATGCCCTGGCATAGTCTCCTCACTCGCAGTATCGCGCTCCTGAACACGCCACAGCCGTACTCACCTTCGCACAAGGAGCTCCAAGAGACATTCTGCGGACCCTGGGCTGCCGGATCGTATGTGGTACAGCAACTTAAAGCTGTGGGATTACAGCAAGTAGACACATCCACGCAGACGGAAGGCGTACGCGCTGGGGCGCCCAAGGATTTCATGGGAAGTATGCAGTTTCCGCTACAGTTTGTGGTAAAGACTTGGTGGGAGGAAGAGCGAGATGGCATTCTGGAAGAGCTGAGTGATGCTATGAAGGGGATCGTAGAAGAGGAGACTGGGGAGGATGGTGAGATGGAAATGGAGTTCGATGGGGTTGTTGGGTGGGGATGGAAAAGTGGTTGAGGCTACTGCTTGACATGTGAAAGGCGGAATAGTCTTCGTCTATGCCAAAGACATCCTTTTCTCTGACGTGCACAATCTTAGCAAAGTTCCACTTGAGGCAACTTGGGTAACTTTTTGGTAGCCTCTGTAGGAGCTGTCATGCCTCAAGTTCAGATGATACTATCCCTAGCGCCAAGACGCACGTTCCCGCAAGCGTTCCACCCTCATGACGATCAGCCGGCGCGACATCTCGTGGCCTCCTAACCGACTTGTCCAAGTGACTGCTTGACTCCACACTCCACGCCATGTTCCCTTGAGATACCCAACATTCTTTTAGTCCACTTACAGCCCTTGTATTTCCCATCGCAGTGTGCCTTTGCTTTTGACGTCTGCGATGATGTCCGGCACTCGCCCTCTACTCTCAAATCGCGCGTCCTCGGACATCAGCGGAGATCGCGACATTGCAGAAGAAGATGCCTTGCTCACAGGCCAGCGAATAGCACGTACGGAGAAAGAAGGGTCGCGATCATGGAAATTCTGGAGGGAGATTGGTCTTTTTGTCTGGGCAGTTATCGCAACAGCTGCCGTTATCGTGCTCGCCGTCATCTTTCAAAGGACAGGTTCCGACTCCAAGACTTCGCATGCGAGTGGGAAGAAGAACCTAATCTTCATGGTTTCTGATGGCATGGGACCTACCTCCCTGTCACTCACAAGATCGTTCATGCAATACAAGAATGGTGCACCCTTCAATGAGCAACTCGTTATCGACCAGCACCTCATCGGACAGTCGCGGACTCGGTCTGCCTCCTCTCTTATTACCGATTCCGCGGCGGGCGCGACGGCATTCTCATGTGCGCAGAAGAGCTACAACGGTGCGATCTCCGTAACACCCGATCACGAGCCCTGCGGAACGGTGCTGGAAGCGGCGAAGAAAGCAGGATACATGACGGGTCTTGTGGTTACCACGAGGATCACGGATGCGACGCCGGCCTGCTTTGCAGCTCATGTCAATATGCGATCAGAAGAAGACCGTATCGCAGAACAAATGGTTGGAGACTACCCACTTGGACGTGTCGTCGATCTGATGTTCGGAGGCGGACGATGCCACTTCCTGCCCAACTCGACTGTCGACTCAAGCTGTCGCGCGGATGACAGGGACATTGTGGATCTGGCGAAACAGAACGGATTCAACTACATCTCTGACCGCGCAGGCTTTGACAACTTGAAGGGAGGTGCTAGTCTCGACTTGCCAATGCTGGGACTCTTCGCCGAAACGGATATCCCGTACGAAATCGACCGCCGCAACGAGAACGACGTTTATCCGAGTTTACACGAGATGGCCGAGGCTGCCATGAGGGCGCTCAGTGATGCGACAAGGGATAGCGACAAAGGCTTCTTTCTCATGATTGAGGGATCCAGGATTGATCACGCAGGCCACCACAACGACCCTGCCGCTCAAGTACACGAGGTCCTCGCATACGACAGGGCCTTTACGAGTGTGCTGGATTTCATCAAGAACGAGGAAACCCAGACCGTCATGGTCTCGACATCAGACCACGAGACTGGTGGTCTGGCTGCTGCTCGTCGTACGTTCTCTCAACATCTATGATAGCAACCATTACTAACAATTGACAGAGCTCCACGCATCCTACCCCGAATATCTTTGGTACCCCTCTCCCCTCGCAAACGCGTCCCACTCTGCCGAGCGTCTCGCCCTTGAATACACAAAGCACCTCCTCACCTCCCCGTCCGCCGACGAGAAGGCTGACTTTGTACGCGAATCCATCACATCTGGTCTCGGCATCTACGACTACACAGAAAAGGAAGTCTCAGACCTTGTCGCTGATCCCATCACTGCTTTGTACCAATACGCAGATATGGTTTCCCGGCGTTCGCAGACTGGCTGGTCGACTCACGGTCACAGCGGTGCAGACGTCAACATTTACTCCTCTGATCCCAAGGCCGCTATGGCACTTGTGGGTAATCACGAGAACACTGAAGTCGGTGACTTCTTGAGGGACTATTTGGGTGTCGATGTTGAATCGGTTACCAAAGAGCTCAGGGAGAAGGGTACTGGGTTGACTGTACTCGGTGTGAATGGCACAGAGGTCAGCTGGATGGGCAAAGTGCCCGAGGAGGGGCAAAGATTGGATGGTCAGACGCATTTGGCAAGTTATGGAGGCGACTTCAAGAAGAGAGGTGACAGTGGTGTTGTTCATGGAGAGGCGTGTGGGTGTGGACATTGATTCTTGAGTCGAGGCCCTTCAGCATTATTCTTTTTGGCACGGTTTGACATTTGGCGTTTGAAATGTAAGGTTATGGGAGATACCGGTCGATAGAGACTATCCAGATATGGCGTCAATTCATTGATTATCTACTTCACTTTGGTCGGTTCCATAATCTGTTATGATAAAGTCTGCGTAATAAACATCTACCAGACATCCTACCAATCTCGACTCCACAATTAAGCCAGACACTCAAAGAACCCCTCACTCCTCCAACTCCACCTACTACCTCCGACCTCCTTCTTTCTATCACGACTACTACTGCCATTACCCTTCTCTTCCCTCCTCCCTTTCCGCCTCATCCCAGTCCCCAATTCCTCCTGGCTTACTGTTGGTAAACGCCTCGGTATGTCGTCCGTGCCAGTCAACGCCCCAGACCTGGCGCTTCTCCTCGTACTCCTCGATCTTACATCTACATCTCTTGGTAGATGTTGCCAATCCAACATATCAACACCCATCTCAGCATCCCTTTCCCTTCTTGCCCGTAACTTGGTTTTCAACCTTCTGAATCTTCCATTGCTTAACCCACCCACCGATCTTTTGTCCAAAACACCCCATAGTCTACTTAGCAGCGCGCAGACATGCCACACAGCTAGCACCATGGCTCCAGTTGCCGAACAGCCCCCGGCGCTGTGTATGCTCCAGTTGATGCGTTTGCAACGCTGCTGCAGTGTGAGCGAGTTGGGTCTGAAATGCCACAAAGGGTAGTCGTGTTCGTAGCAGAAAGCGAGGCTGGGATAGATATTGGCCGTGTAGATGTAGATGTGGGAGGAGAGGGTTAGAAGCATGATTATGTCCCAGACGGCGAGGAGGATGTGGTGGGTTAGGGGTCTATGAGTCGGTTGTAAGAGGGGGTGGTATGTATGCGGACCGGGGAGAGAAGGTGATGATGGCGTGATGTCCGAGGTATCTATCGAGTGAGAAGATGTGCAGTTTTGAGTAGATATAGGCTGCTGTTGTGTTGAATGGCGTTCCGTATCGTGTGCGGGCTTTTGCGAGTCACCCTTTCCATCTCTTGTTCCAAACGATTCAAGAGGTTGTTGCCGCCATGCCTTGAGACTCTGCCATATACCATCCAACCATCTCTTGGTAGCCCTGCGCCTCCTCCCTACAATCCTCCTCCTTCGCACCGGATGTGATTGATCTAGATGCCACCCTATGCACAACAATGCGTGCAATGTATCCATCGGTACCTATTATCATGTCAACACCCACGACATCTAATCATTATCTCTGCCGCCCCAAATTTATCTCAGGTCTCGATCACAGTCCCATCGCACAGTGTACCCGCAAACTCACAAGCAGATAAACCGCCACCCAACTAAACACCTTCGTCCCCTCCATCAACTGCCTCACAAACATCTTCTTCCAACCCGGCGGCATATCAAAAGCTTCGACTTCTTCTACAGCAGTCGTATGCGATATGAGTTGCATTAGGAGAAAAACCGCGGTGCTGAGTATGAGTATGTGGATTATGATATGAGTTTTCAGGACCCAAGTGCGACAGTCGCGGAGAGTACTGGTGATGGAAACCGGCGAGGGCGAGGTGGACGACATGGTGGTGTGGAGCTTCGGTTTCGTGGATTCGTGACTGAATCGATGTGCCGTGAAACCTGGTGATGTGGTCATGTAGGCCAGACGCTGTTCCGAGGTAAGTGGTTTTCCGTAGTTGTCGCGGGATGCTGTGGAAGGAGTGAGTGGAGCATGCTTAGGCAGGTGCAATATGAAAAGCTACCCTGAAGGTATACGCAGAATTCCACGTTAGTATTCTAACTGGTCAAGGATGGTGTATGCCTTTAGGGTGTGTTGTCATAAGCGGTTACGACTTAAAGATAATGAGCTTTCTCATACGGAGTATCATGAAATTGATTGAAAATAGGCGAACTATGCCTATATTAAATGTTTACTTTAAAAGTGTACACATATGATACACTGTGCATACCTTGCCAGGAAACCATAACGAATACCTTCTAAGTACATTTTTAGGTTTATCAGAAACAGTGGGAGAGCAGTAAAAATATGATATTCAAAGCAAAATCTTCCCACTGGCAAACCCCAAACGCCACGCTAATAAAGAGGCAAATCGCAAATTAGACACTGACCACCCCGAATAATACTAGAGATTGGAATGATCATGAAGTATCCGACTAGGCATTACGTTATTGAGCTGGCTAAACACCAAAGTCGTTCCCAAAGTTCCCGCTACCGTACGTCCAATCTGGCTGGGTATCTAGCAGCCACGAGACTGAGTCGAACATTTCGAAACTATTCGCGCTAGCCATACCGTTCGTCAATTGGAGAGGCATACTCAGCGTATTGATGTGTGGATTGAAGTTGGGGAGGGTATGAGCTGGATTCTCGACAACGACGCCAGGGGGTGGTGTCGAGTTGCTTGAAGAGTCCGGGTTCGTGGGGTTTGTCATGACTGTATTTTCGAGTTGTTCCGCAGCACCACTGACCTGAGCCTCTCGCCAACGCCACGCGCAGTCAAATACCACACTCATGCTCATTCGACTGCGAATGATTAGGCCGAGAGGATCATCCAACATACCAGTACTACCCCGCCTCTGACTCTGCTGCTGCTGGTGTTGCTGCTGGTTGTGATGGTTGAACATGGAATTCATCCCAGAGTTGCTGATAGATGGCGATTGTGATAGGCTGTGTAGGCTGCGTCCACGGGAACTCTCCTTCCATAGTTGCGCCAACACTTCTGCAAATCGATCCAAGAGATCGTTAGCCCACACCTTGGATTTCCTCAACGCATCCACAGTCTGTAGAACGAACTGGCGACCTTTGTCCGCGGGCAATTTGCTGGCGAAGTCTGAGTTGAGGAGCTTGAGCAACGCAAACCCAGCCGCAAGAGCCATCTGCATGACGTAGTACGGAACGTAGAGTAGCCTGCCCTCCCGCTGCAGTTTGAAGACGCGCTCGAGGTAGGCCGTTGCGGCAAAGTACAATGCGACAAGATCGTCTCGCCGTTCGAGGCGAAGTTCCGGACTGAAGAATGAGTATAGGTGGAGATGTAGTGAGACAGCATAGTGATATAGTTCTTCCAAGCCTGCTCAAGAGTCAGAGGGATATCTAATGTTATTGAGGTTGTTAGACATACCACTGTCCACTCCGTCAAGGGAGCTATTTTCTTCCTTCACACGCTCTTCTTTCAGGCGATCTGCTTCAAGGCTCATGTAGCTTATCGCGGCACCTTCTGCAAAGCGATGGCTGTTGGCAGAGTATAGGAGCTTATTGATCCTGCTCGCCGCCATTTCCTGGCGCAGGCGGACAAACAGCGTTGGTGGTATTATGCGCATGTGCTCTTCGTCGTCTACTTTGAAGTCCAGGGTCGAATCGTAAAGCGTTATCGAAGGCTGTCCGTTTCCTGTAGACACCCTGCAACATGTAAGCTTCCGCAATAAACTGCCAATAGTACCAAACTCACGTTTGAGCAACAATGTTGCAAACAGCCCACGTTCGCAGCCGATCGTGTATATCCTCACGCCGCAGCTGCATCCTTGTCCTAGAAAAATCGTCTGGGTGTGTTGGCTGATGCAGACCAATCTGCATGGCAACCTGCATCATGGCGCCGCATAGTATGAAGGTTGGGTCTGTTACTGTACGCTCTGCCGGAAGTGGCCAAGTACAGAGCAGACATAACGCCTTGACTACGTGGTGGTTCGGTTGGTTTCGAATCGAGTCCCAGATGAGATCACTCAGCGGCTTGGAGAGATCCTTCAGCAGAGACGGCCGTGGTCCATAACGCCGTGCCGCGACAGCGATTATAGCCCAGAACAGCAGCTTGTGGTCCTGCGAGTAATACTCCTCTGGCGAGCGCACTTGATCTAGGAATGGCAAGAATGGATGGTAGAGCTGGAAGTACTCTGTGAAGAGCTCGTTGACTTCGCTATGACCCAGTCGCACTTCGCCCGCACCAAGCGAGAAGAACATGGGCGAACCGCTGCGCAAGTCCAGCAGAGACGTCGCTGCCACTTGTGTATGTTGTGTTTGTAGGAATGCTTCATCCTCCAACTTGGGGACCGGGCCGGGAGTGAAGCCGTGGTTGTCTGATGCTTGCTGAGGAGCATTCAAGACTGGCTGGTTCGGCGTGGATTGGCCCTCATACATGGCGAGTCGCTCACGCAAGTACTCCATCTCCTTCTCCATCTCGGCATTTCTATTGCGCTTTCCGACACGCTTGAAGTTGGGTTCGATTACGCATCGCAGGTTCTGCTTCTGACATCGCGCACAACTGACGAAGGGGTCTTGTTGGACATTACACTTGAGCTGCAAAAGCACTGTCAGCGGGAACGTGAAACATTGACGTCTGACAGCTCATCGTTGGTAATAGGCGCATGTAGAGCGCATCTCGAAAGATGTGAATCGTCGCTGAATGGCACACGCACTGAGCACGGCCGAGCATAAACGGGCGCACTCAGGACTGAGACTGAGCTCCTCTATATGCGCGTATTCTTTTGTGGCGTCATATACAAAAAGTACTTACTTTCTGCTGGCGACACTCATTGCAAGCGCGCTTCACCGCGGTATTGCGCCGCGATGACGACGAGGGCCGCGTATCACCGTCGCCATTTTCTTCGTCGTCGCTAGATGCCGAGCGCTTGAATCCTCGCGTATGTGTGCTGTTGGGGCTGGCGAAGGGATGCGGTAGGCCTGGTAGTCCTGGCGTCGTTGGTGACATGGAATGCAGCATATTGCTTGACATATCCGACCGATATCGCAGGGAATTAAGGTTGTGAGGGTAGGTGGAAGTGGGGGTCCAGCTGGTATGAGTCCGAGGCCGCAAGCGCGTGCGAATCTTGACCAGCTGCCAGGCCACGGCTCTGACTCCAATGCCGCGGGAGACTCACTTGATCACCTGGGCATGCGCGCCTCGACTGCTATCGCAAGCTGCAAGCTCCTGCAGGAAGCCGCTGAACTGTGGGCTCCAAGGCGCGGGCGAGCTTGTCAGAATTGGCCCTTGTTCTCCAATCACAGCCTGGGAACCCATGCTGAATCGCGCCACTCCAGCCTCGTTCAGGTAGTCTCCACCGACAGTATCCGAGTTATTATACGCGTCACAAACTGGTTTCTGAATTATTCGCATTTACGTGTAAAGACATATCCGTGACTGACTCTACAATAGTGTGCGCTGAGGGTATGTGATCATGCTGCATTTATAAACTTCAAGCTTCCAACAATGATCTCGTCAGCAAATGTATTGGACGAAAGTAGAACATGCCGAACTACAGTGACATGGCTAATCTGAGTACGGTGGTAGGCTCATCAGGTCATGTTGGCTAAAATTCATCTCTCGCATTTTCCCGCCGTCATGTGCAGGCTAAAGGACTTCAGGCACGTGGGATACGAGATTGGAAAAGCACTCAAGCCACCAAGACCCTATCATGGCGTCACAGTACAGTGTTCGTCGGGAAACTTCTCGTGTAGCTTGTGGATGTATTCGTGACCCTACTCAGCTACATCCTGGCGGAGTGACGTAGAAATCGTCTTGATATCGTAAAAGCCGACCGAACCAGGAGACTGCCCATAATGCACATGAACACCGAAGACCCAGTTTTGACATGCTAAACCCCTTCACTCAATGCAACCGCTTAACGCTTCTTTTGCTGGGACTCCTTGAGCACCTTCTTGACGACCTTCTGCTCCTCGATCAGGAAAGCACGGACAATGCGGTCCTGAACGCAGCCGGCGCATCGCGATCCACCGTAGGCGCGCTGGACGGTCTTCTTGGGGCGGGAAACCTGGGCGTACTCGCGGGGGCGGAGGGCTGGGACACCCTGGAGCTTGGTACCGCAGTCCTAGGAACTGTCAACAACAAGCCTAGACATCCTTCCAGGTCTAACTTACACCGCACTTGGGGGCAGTACCCCTCTTCTTGATGTGCAGGTAACGGAGCTCACCACCGGGGGTCTTGATGACGCGGACCTTCTGGCTCTTGGTGTTGTAGGGGGCGCGACGCCTCTGCCCAGTGTTAGTCTACAGTCCTAGCAGTTCCAAGATCCTGAATCGCCTCCTCCAGCGCTCGAGTTTGCGGTGCGACGTACGTAGGTGAGTCTGTTGGACGGCATTGTGATAGATTTCCCGGGGAATCAGTGGGCGATTGTCTGCTGTGCGTGTGAGCGATTTGTTGTCGGAGGATATATTTCGGATTGCAAGAATCGTACCTGGGTCTAAAAAATCTGTGTTAGTATCGTCGAAGAAATTCGCAGGACGGCGAGCTTGCTTACCACTGTTGTCGTCGTTGGTTAGTGAGACCGACGAAAATCTGTGGTGTGCTCGGTTAGCCGACCTGCGCTAGCACGCTAGACAAGGAACTTCCAGACCCACCATCACGTGACTACGGGCCGTGCGCTGGGGCCTCGCAAGAAGATTCACTAGACTATGCCATGAGAACATCTCCATCGCCACTTCACACAACGCGCGGAGGTTGTATCTCTGCTTTGTGTGCACCGCCAATAATTCGACTTTCGAGCTTCTGGAGATAGTCTGGACATCCACGCGCCGACGCGACTTCCCCTTCTTCGACCGCGGCGCCGTCCGCAAAAGCTCAGGGCCCGACTCCTCAGCTTGTCGCGCGACCAACTGTGCTCAATCTACGAGTCCAGTATAGCATTGCGATCGCGTTATAAAGGTTGGTAGTCCTCTTTAATTCTTTGTTCTGCGGGAGCCTCACAGCTCCTATGCTTCCAAACTTCGACATAAGAAGCGCGTAATAATTTCAGTTTCGCGTTTTCATCCCTTCTAACGACACCAGATTTCCTTTCCTAATTTCAGTCAATATGGCTTTTCCTCCACCGCCGCCGCCGCCTCCACCAGGTCCTCCAGGTTCTGGGTTCGCGCCGCCACCACCACCTCCCCCAGGCCCTCCAGGCTCCGGATATGCGCCTCCGCCGCCGCCGCCCCCTCCTGGACCACCAGGTGCGTCCGCAGGCCCTCCCGGGATGCGACCACCACTCGATCCGCAAGTCGCCAAGTTTGCACAGAAGAAGAAGGACTGGTTACGGCAACAGCGCCAGAGGTTCGGTGAGAAGCGCAAGGCAGGATTCGTCGAGACACAAAAGGCGGATCTACCCCCAGAGCATTTGCGCAAGGTATTTAGGGATATCGGCGATGTGTCCCAGAAGAAATTCACTACGGACAAGCGAAGTTATCTCGGTGCGCTCAAGTTCATGCCACATGCCGTTCTCAAGCTTTTGGAGAACATGCCCATGCCTTGGGAGAGTAGACGCGACGTAAAAGTCCTCTACCACACCAACGGATGTCTGACACTAGTCAATGAGGTTCCTCGTGTGATTGAGCCTGTCTTCCACGCACAATGGGCAGCCATGTGGCTGGCCATGAGAAAGGAGAAGAGCGATCGCCGCCATTTCAAGCGCATGCGCTTCCCGCCATTCGATGACGAAGAGCCGCCACTATCATACTCCGAGAACATCGAAGACGTTGAGCCTCTGGAGCCTATTCAGTTGGAGCTCGACGAGGACGAAGACAGCCCCGTATACGAGTGGTTCTACGACCATCGGGCGCTCCTCGATACCCCACATGTCAATGGACCTAGCTACGAGACATGGAACTTGGATCTGCCTCAGATGGCCACGTTGTATCGTCTGAGTAAACAACTTCTTAGCGACATTGTCGACAAGAACTACTTCCACATGTTTGACATGGACAGCTTCCAGACAGCAAAGGCGCTCAATGTCGCGATACCTGGAGGACCCCGCTTCGAACCTTTGTACAAGGACATCGATCCTAACGACGAAGACTTTGGCGAGTTCAACGCCATCGACCGCATTATTTTCCGATCTCCTATTCGAACCGAGTACCGCGTCTCGTACCCATACCTATACAACTCCCTGCCGCGAAGTGTCAAGCTGGCTTGGTACTCTCACCCGCAGGTCGTATACGTTCGCGCTGAGGATCCGGATCTGCCAGCTTTCTACTTCGATCCTGGAATCAACCCTATCTCATCCAGAGCCGTTGCCCCGAAGAACATCTCCATAAGCCATGAAGATGTAGTCTTCGGTGAAGACGATGAGGACGACGAGGATGACTTCCAGATGCCAGAAGAGATGGAACCTTTCATGGCCGACGAGGAGCTCTCTACCCCTGAGACTGCTTCAGCCATCGCACTATGGTGGGCACCTCATCCATTCGACAAGCGATCAGGTCGCATGGTACGCGCACAGGACGTTCCGCTAGTTAAGCAGTGGTACCTTGAACACGTTCCTGCAGGTCAGCCAGTAAAGGTCCGGGTCTCCTACCAGAAGTTGCTTAAGACGTTTGTTTTGAACGAGCTGCACAAGAAGCCGCCACAAGCACAGAACAAGCAGAACCTGATGCGAACACTCAAGAGCACCAAGTTCTTCCAACAAACCAAAATTGATTGGGTTGAGGCGGGTCTGCAGGTCTGCCGACAAGGTTACAACATGTTGAACCTGCTCATCCATCGCAAGAACTTGACTTATCTGCATCTTGATTACAACTTCAACTTGAAGCCTGTAAAGACTCTCACAACCAAGGAGCGCAAGAAGTCACGTTTCGGAAACGCTTTCCATCTCATGCGTGAGATTTTGAGGCTAACAAAGCTTATCGTTGACGCCCAGGTCCAGTACCGTTTAGGCAACATCGACGCCTTCCAACTTGCTGATGGTATCCTCTACGCTTTCAACCACGTCGGTCAACTGACTGGTATGTACCGATACAAGTACAAGCTGATGCACCAGATTCGTTCTTGCAAGGACCTGAAGCATTTGATCTACTACCGGTTCAACTCTGGCCCTGTTGGTAAGGGTCCTGGATGTGGTTTCTGGGCCCCTGCTTGGAGAGTTTGGCTATTCTTTATGCGTGGTATTATTCCTCTGCTTGAGCGCTGGCTTGGTAACTTGCTCTCCCGTCAATTCGAGGGCAGACATAGTAAGGGTGTTGCGAAGACTGTCACTAAGCAGCGTGTCGAATCGCACTTCGACTTGGAGCTCCGCGCTGCTGTCATGAGTGACCTTATGGACATGATGCCCGAGGGTATCAAACAGAACAAGGTCAACACTGTCCTGCAGCACTTGTCAGAAGCATGGCGTTGCTGGAAGAGTAACATTCCTTGGAAGGTCCCCGGCCTGCCGGCGCCCATTGAAAACATTATCCTGCGTTACGTCAAGAGCAAGGCAGATTGGTGGATCTCGGTTGCGCATTACAACCGTGAGCGTATTCGGCGAGGTGCCACTGTTGACAAGACCGTGGCTAAGAAGAACCTGGGACGATTGACGCGTCTGTGGCTCAAGGCCGAACAGGAGCGTCAGCACAACTACATGAAGGACGGTCCCTATGTCTCGTCTGAAGAGGCTGTCGCCATCTACACGACCATGGTACATTGGCTCGAGGCCCGCAAGTTCCAACCAATTCCCTTCCCCAGTGTTTCGTACAAGCACGACACGAAAATCCTGATTTTGGCCCTGGAGCGCCTTAGGGAGGCCTATTCCGTCAAAGGCAGACTCAACCAAAGTCAGCGTGAAGAGTTGGCACTCATTGAACAGGCTTACGATTCCCCTGGTACTACCCTTGCGCGAATCAAGCGCTTCCTGCTCACACAGCGTGCTTTCAAGGAGGTTGGAATCGACATGAACGACAACTACAGCAACATCAATCCCGTCTACGATATTGAGCCCATGGAGAAGATCACCGACGCTTACCTCGATCAATACC